TTGTCAAAGATCTTGACCGGACAAGTTGTTCAATCAAATCGGAAGAATCGACCTCGACTGATGAATTAGACGATGATCAAAATAATGATGGCGAAGGTGTTTGGAGTCCAGATATCGAGCAGAGTTTTCATGTACGATAATCGACAACTTGTCTTCATATGAAACACATATGCGAATTAATTTAGGAAGCTTTAGCTATTTACCCACCATGTGGCCGAAGAAAAATCATTCTATCTGATGAAGGAAAAATGTTCGGAAGAAATGAATTGATTTCGCGTTATATTAAAATGCGTACGGGTAAATCACGTACAAGAAAACAAGTTTCATCACATATACAGGTTCTTGCCAAACGGAAATCTAAAGAACTTCAATCATTATTCAAGGTTTGTACTGATAACCAAACATAAAGACGTAGAAGTCAAAAATTTCTTTTTAGGATACAAATTTAAAAGAGCAACATCGTCCATTTGTTATGAATCAACATTATCATCCGTTACGCGATACGACAACATCATCGCTTATCACTGATGGCACTTCACCTTACTACACACATCATCGACCTGCTGTATCACTTTTTTCACCAACTACAAATATGAATATAACATCAGCATCATCGTCATCATCACCATTCAAACCGACTGCAACCCTTTCTCCATATTCATCACCATCAGCTATCGTTCGTTGACTGATTCTTCACATATTATCAATTTATTTCTTCTCTTGTGCTTTTAGAGTCTTTGGCAACAACCAACAACGCCATATCTTGAGTAAGTTGCTGGAATCTTCATAATAGTCGATAAGTTTGCCCATCTTATTCTAGTATTAAACCATTCTCACCGTCTTCGACAGTCCAACTGGACCTAATCCCTACTGCAAGTACCACAAACTCATTAACAACACGTTTCATCAGTTCAAATCGAATAAAATTAGCCGAGTTTGCTGCTTATGTCGAATCAAAACGTGATCTTGATTCAGTAAGGATTACATTTCATTCAGAATTGAGTCGTTCATTCTCGTCCAAATCTTTTAGAGACACTATCTTCTCCACATCAGTCAAGAAGCTGGTACTGATGTCAAACCTGAGGTAAGCATTCCCAATTCGATTGTATCGAGATGTTGCATGTTTATTTCTATGTAAAGCGTATCAAAGTGAGCCAAATCATCGATCTATTTCCAATGTTAAAAGAACTCTACGACAAAGGACCACAAGATGCATTTTATGTTGTTAAAGTTTGGGTAAGCAATCTCTTACTTGCAATCGTCCTTTTACTCAATAGAATTGCTTTTGCTCTAGGTCAATATGAACTATCAAGAAAATACTCCGAATACATACCACAACGTTTCACAGTAAGTTCAATCTTCGTTTGTTGATGCGAATACTAATCCGATTGTTTCAGGTTCGAAAGTTCAGAAGAGAATTTAAAATTTACAATCACAACAAAAGCTTGTTCCTTTGGAAAAACTGTAGCTGAGAAACTTGAAGTATGTGTTCCACTCGTTGGTACCATTTGTTCATATTTGTCTTTCGCACTGTTTAGACTGGTATAACAAAATATAACGATATGACGGGCAAATTTATTCACCGTTCGAATGATACAGCAATGTGTAGTTTCATGATTGATTTTATAAAGAAACTCAAAACAGAGATGTACACAAGAGAAATGATGAATGTTATCCTCGAACATTTAGGTGTTCTTCAAGTAAGACAGTGTCATCCGTTGATCTATATATACTGAATATTTTCTTCTAGACGGTCGTAACCAAGGACACGGATGAATTACTTTTATGTATTGCATATATATTCGAAATCAGCGAATCATCATCATTGGGCGGTACACAATCAGCTGCTTATCGTTTGTGCGATTAAAAGTGTATCTATAAGAGTTTTTTTTTTGAAAATCATGCCTATCGAATGGCTGTGCAGATATATTGATCATTCATTTCGTTTGTTTTCTTTTCCCTTTCAGCATCATACTGTCTTTACTTTTTGTTCGAGTTTGTTCCCCTCTTTCGTTATTATTATTCTTGAACATGTAGTTTGTTTTTCGTTTGCTTTTCTGCTTGTACCACAACCGGCTTCTTCATCTTGCTGCTATCATTTTCTTTGCTCGTTTTTTTCGTTCTCGTCTCTAATAAATTATTTTTCAAGATTCTCTCTTTTGCCCTCATTTGATTCGTTCGTTCTCTTTTTTTTCAATCGATACAGACATTCCAATGTCTATCGCTCGAGATGATTGTGTCTTGAAGAAAAACAACTCGACGGTGATTTATTGACTTGTGTCAGACGAAACAAAGTTAATTTACCATATCGTTGATCTTCTCATTTCTTCTTTTCTCATCCAATTTATCTATCTTGGAGAAGGAATTCATCTTCGATACAAGAAAAAAAAGTATTTGTTCTATGTACTTGTCCTTAATGAGAATGTAAGACAAGCTCCAGTTGTGAAAACATTACAATGGTGACGAAAAAGAAAAACTGAGAATCGATGATTGACGAGAGGAAGTAAAAGAAACGTGTTAATTGCTGCATTGAGGAAAAGATCAGCAATGATAGAATCGCAATGAACGCGTAAATGATCGAACAGTTAAGATTTGTTTGCCATGATAACATATAACACCAGTTGTCAGTGACGATGATCGATGGAGTGTGTCGTCGTCATCATTATTGTTGTACTGTCTAATTCGTTCGACATGCATGATACTATTAGGAGAAGAGATAAGACGAGATGCATCTCGACACCTCCGGTTTGCATTGATTGATGCTAATGAAATTGAAGAAAAAAAAACCCGAAGCAGACGAGCGCGACTAAATGAGATATTTTCCTCATTGGGCTTGACATAATGGAGCCGATGATTATGTAAAGAATCTCAATGTAGAACAATGTACTTCGAAATCATTATGCAATTCATAGAGATAGAATGTCGAAAATATGCCAAGGATTACTGAGTTAGAATTGTTTCATTGATTGCCGATAATGTTCTAGCGTTCTGCTGAACTTCATATGATATGAAGAAGTGATAGAATCTTTTAGTTATTCGAATATACAAAAGATGCGAACCCACAAACATCGTTACCACGTTTCATCACTTCTGAACTAACGTGGTAGCAGAGAAGGTTCCATTGTCCTTTGTTCTCGTTCAAAAGTCGAGATAGAATCATGATGATTAATGATGGCCATAAACCACACATGGAATTTTGAGTCGTTCGTTGAGTTTCAAATAATTGCGAGGCATCGTTCGATAAAATCGATTGGAGAATTGGTTTGTCAAGAACGCGAGCATATTCTTCGTTTTCGGATAAATTTCTAGCATGAATATCATTGTATCCAGGACCGTAATGTGTATAATCCGTTGTGGAAACGATAACTAGTCGCTTACCTGAAGAATATTCATGTAAATTAGAAGAAAAATTCAATTCTACGAATACTTGTTCGTTGTCGATAGAGTTGAATAGTTTTTTGGATTTGCTGACATGTTTGATGACCTTGAGTTAGATCTTTCAATCTCGAAAATGATAATGCAACAAATTTGACATCGGATCGTAGATGTTTCAAAAACGGCAGTTGATTTTCTATTGAATGTTCAGTTCGATGTGCTTCACGATCAATGATCGTCTCACCGAACATCGATACGAATGCGTCGAACAAATCCATGTCAATATCTACGGTACCGATTGGTGTTTGCCAACTATCTGGTGAAAGACTCATTTTCGATGAGCCTGCTCCACTATGGTTTGTTCCGATGATTAACACTGTATCGAAAAGAAATGAATTAATCCAGGAATAAGCATGAGCATACAGCGGTCCAGAATCACAATAAGCACCGTGTGGTACGAGCATGCATGGAATGAACGATATATCGGTCCAAGCGAGTTGTGTGGGCAGTTGACGAGGTCCTAATCGATGTAAATACGAGGAGACTATTTCCTGTAAGCATTCAGATTTGTCTGATGAGTAATAATAACAGAGTGCAGAACGAAGATTTGATTTTGGACGCGTACTACCAGCCATGTCAATTGAAACTTGAAGATTTATGATCATTTCGTCATCGGTGCAGTTAACCAATCAGAAGAACAGTCCATATTTTACGTGAGACTCCAGTAGAGTTTGAATACTTGTACATAAGTAAAAGTCAGAATGTGTTCACTGAAGCTCATGAATTTGACTACTTCTTTTTTTTATTAAAAACGCCTCCTCTAGTATAGTCACGGTGACATAGATGTAGTTTGCGTTTTACACTAACAATCGGCTTAATAGAATTAATCTAATGAGATAACAGGACATGCAGCGGGAAATGGATATTAATGAGCATAAGTAAGCTTTTTCTATATTTGATAAAATCTAATTTAATAAAGAATGCCGTGATGCGATATATAGAATCGTTATACTCCGCATTCGTACATGTTTGAATATGTATAATCATAATACTTCTCAACCGATGTTGATAATCGGTTTTTGATTTTGAATAGTTCTCATACCAATTCTGAAAAGAATGATTAACGTACGACAACCAGGATCGACGGTAAATATTTTAATTACGTATGTGAGTAGTTTAATGATGATGTAGCGACAGGACTACTGTGAGAGAACTTTTCTACGGGCCTCGTTTGTAGCCTATGTTAAGGAAAGCATACCAATTATATTGCTTCTTGACATTCGTACAACGCAAGTTCCTGTCTTCAAGGGAAATTTGAAAATTTCTCTTAGTTAAATATGTGGAATTTCAATTAGAGCATGTTGGTATCGGGAATGATTATGCGACAAGTGACGAGATTCAGCTGGCTAAAACCTAAACAGCTGTGAGTCGAACCGCATTGATATGTCATGCAATATAACAATGTCTAAAACATAGTGTGAAATGAAATCATTACTAGAAGTTAATAACATCCGATTTGGATTCAAATGTTGCAAGTCATGCTGTCCTATTCGTCGAATTGCCGGGATCTATAAAAGCAGTGGTCTCTTTTTCAAAACCAACCAGAATACCACCTAATCTGCACAATGTCTAACCCATTAACGCAAACTAGTATTACACTTCAACAAGCTGTCTTACCTATCATTATCGTTTTTGGTATTATAGGTAATTCACTTAACGTAGTCGTTCTTACTCGACGCAGTTTATTCTATCATGCATGTTCCCGATACTTTCTTGCTCTATCGGGAAATAATCTATTTTATTCGGGCGTTGTCTGTATTATCAGTTTATTGAAAAATGGTTATCAAATCGACGTGTCTCGATATTCTATTGTCTTTTGCAAAACTTACACGTTTATCAGCACTTTATGCTGCTTTCTTTCACCTTATATCATTGTGTTAGCTTCACTCGACCGTTGCTGTGCAAGTTCATCGCACGCCAAAATACGTAACTTTACCAGTATTCGAATGGCTCATTGCATGATATGCATGGTCATCATTGTCTTTGCTTTACTCTTTATCAATGTTGTCTTCATGGCTGATATCAATGCGAGCACTGGATATTTGTGCATGTCACAAGCGGTAACCACCTATTATCAAGTATATATCATTACACAAGTTATGCTCTTTGCTGTCGTTCCACCGTGTTTAATGGTATCTTTTGGTTTAATTACAATCAGGCATACGAAGCGCTCACGAGTTTCTCCAATGTTGGTGTCACGTTTTCATCGCACGGAACGTCAGCTTGCCCGCATGCTCTTTTTTCAAGTCGGCACACACATCGTATTGACTATCCCAACGTCTGTCACCTTCCTCATCGCTACTTTACCTAACTCTGTTCGTACCACACTTCTCTTTTCCTTCGTTTCTAGCATTAATCAACTTCTTTTCGGAATTTCTTTCGTCACACCTTTCTTTACCTACATTCTCTCTAGTCGCGTCTACAGAAGACAATTAATTCACATCCTTCGTAGTACACATCACCGCCGTAGTGAACCTCCGAGGGAAGGAACAGCTGTATCAATGACTTAGTTTACTAAAAACTGGAATTTAAAGATTATGTATTTCTTTTAAATAAAAAAATACACGGAGAAGCAAAAGAAATAGATGTGGACTAAATAATAAGCAATCACCGCTTCGTAGTTCCAAACATAAACACATTCTTCTCAATACTTGAAAACAAAACCAATGATAGAAAACAGAACGATCATAGCAAAGTTCATTGAAGAATTTGAAATTGCTGAATTACACAATTCATCTTGACAGCAGTACACACCATTACTTTGCGAACAGGTGGCACTATAATCTTTGGTTACTGTGGTACCCGAAACTCGTTTCTAAATATGAAACATCAGATTCTGTCAAGTCTAACATTTAAAAACTTACAACGCAATAATTTGTTCCACCTTCGGTTAGAACTAAAGTGGCTTTACTAGGATCCCATGATGTACCGCAATTGTTACATTTGTAGCATTGAAATGCTGCGTTACTACATCCAAGAACTAGACGAAGAATCCAACTTATCTAAGAGATCATCTCAGAACTTTGAAACTTACGGACAATGAGAAGCGAACATACAAGTAATACTTTCATGGTGATGACAATCGGCAAAAGTAACTAAGTTGGTGATTTTTACTTCGCTATTTAAATTTCTTCCACTCGAAGATCATCTTTGCTATCCACCTCGTTGTTTCTTACAAAATATTTGTCTGGAAGGTTGCTTAAATCAATATTAAGAAGAAAAATAAAATAAATTGCTCATTTCAATAAATATTCAACGTTATTTTGAAACGAAAATGACGAGGAGGCACATGTGGGTCGTGTCAATGTTTGATGATAAACAAAAAACTACCCATTCGATCAAATCTCAATGTACTGCTGTCATGATTATTGCTTCATCATATTAATTTGCATATTTTCGACCTTACTCAGCGGCTTCTTCTCCGAAGTATATGTTGATGATGCAATAAGAATAGATTAACTTGAACAAACCGACTTTTATAAGTCATCGTACGAATAATGTTGATGATTCCGTGCATAACGACATAATCTCTCTCTACTCCAATTAAACCTACTTTTTCTTTCGTTATCTCCATGATATTTTCGTCAACGTGGGTGTTGAGATTTCTCAATATAAATCTCGATAATCACCTGACATTCGTTCTCATCATATCAACCACATGAAATAGCTTAGAACATAAAATCTATATTTGATGGTAATGTAGTATCATCTGATATTAACGCAAACAACATTTGGTAAAATTCGCATCGGTTTTTAGTGCACTTAAATATCTCATCTTGTATTTCGATACGTCGATTCTTATAATCATGAAGTCGTCAACAACCGCTCTCCTTGCTCTCTTTACCGTTCTCGCCATTGGCTACACTGGTGCCTATCAAGCGAATGACTTGGTCGAAGTATGTTTCAATCTATTAGAATAGATCTGAACTTTTCTTTTGTTGATTTCAGTCACGAAACTTCTTGCAACAAGTATGTTTATATAATTGTTGAAAATAATCGGAGTGTTTCTGTTCTGTTTGCATAGCTTCTTATCAATCAAATCGTGAATGTTCTACCAGTGAATATTCGTGACAAAATCGATTCCACTGCTCTTCAATTCGGTATGGTTCGTCATGAATTTCTTCTCCGATGTTTAAAAGAATTACAAGCCTTCCAAGCTTACTCGAAAATTGATTTCATTACTGCTATTCAAAAGACAGTGAAATTCGCCGAAGAAAATATCACTTCCGAACACGAAGAAGAATTGAGAGCACTCGAAGACGAAGGTATTCAATTAGCCACATTATTATTCGAAAACAAACTTCGAGCTGGTGATTTAAATCCCATTTATGATTTACTTGTTAAAGTTGTTCGTAAACAAATCGATGGGCCAACCCTTGTTGTTGAATTACCACGAGTTGTTCGACAAATTTTAGCTAGCCATGCTCAATTTTAGTTCGATCGAAGCAAGAGACCTTTGTTCTGTTTAATGAAAATGTATCAGCATTGAAATTCATCTGATATGCATTGAAATTTAATAAATATGATAAAAAAAACATATGTACTATCAGTTTGTCATTTAATCAAATAGATTCGTGTATAAATTTAACAGTAAAATTTCAACAGCCATTCGATACACAAGAAGAATCGAATTTTATATCTTAAAAATGATCACCTGATTGATGTTCTAGATAGTTTTCGAGAATATTGGCGATGTTCGCTTCGTCAAAGGGTTGCAATTCATCGTTATTTTCGATTTCCATCCAACCATAGATTGGATCTTCATCGTCGATATAATAACGTCCATTTTCACATCTCAATAGCTCCCGTCGAGCATAATCACCCGGCCAATAATAGTATAAATTGTTCTGTTCAGCAATATAAACATGATCTGATGTCACATCAGTTATAATAGCGACGTGACCATATGGATTTTTCGCATTGCGCTTATAAATTAGTAATGAATCTTTCTTTGGTGGTTCGAAGGAGCCATTCGGAACAGGACGTAGTTGAAAACATCGACCATCGGTAACTCGTTCGATATGAGGCACCTCAGCCCAGATGTTGCATGCGCAGGGTATATCTCGAAATGTACACGTCTTACGAATTAATAACCATCGACGAGCAAACTCTACACATTGCCATTGATAGCCAGTGAAGATTCCGTGATGATAGTGCCGACCACCACGACAACCGCTCGTGCGTTTGTTCGAATATGCATGAACGTTTGAGGAAGCTGTTCCTTCAATTGCGTTGAACGGAACGAATTTGACGATTTCACGTGACATCAGATACTCGAATGAATGACAATGAAAGAATATCGTAAGTTCTCCTCTCGAATGAGTCAGTATCTGTTGTATAACTACCTAAAAACATCCACTAGTATTTATTACTAATTCTATTCGCGATTCTTCAGCAAGAGGTCGCTTCTTCACAGATACATCATGTATTTTCTAGAATTGATTTCTCATACATCTCGTTCAGTTCTCTTCACATCTCCGATGTGTTCATTGTTATCTTGTATTATTAAAACAATAGTTATTTGAAAAGCAGCTGTCGTCAACGTTCTCTTCCCATTGATGCTCAACGTGTGTCCGATTGAAATAATTTTTTCTGTTCTAACAACGCCATTTTCTTGTGTTATGCGCGTTGTAATGACGACAAACATTTATTTTCTTTCGTTACTACAAAAATTAACCAATAGATTCAAGTATACGAGTGAAAAAGAACTAAACTAGAGCAATGTCATCGGATACCTCAAATTATGAAGCATTACTTCGTAAAACTGAAAATGAACAATTAGAAGAACTCGCTAGTGTTTACCATCAATTAGGATGTCTTGTTGGAAATAGCAATCAGGCAATATCTTTTCTCCAACAGTCAATCGAGATCAATTTGTATTATCGACCAACGGATTACGATCTTCTTTATTTAACATATGAACATCTTGGAAGTCTTTTTAGTCAGCATGCTGATTACAATCAAGCATTGAAATATAATCGACGTGCATTAGATCTCGATCTTCATGATCGTGAAGCGAATCAACTACGAATTGCTAATCGTTATAATGCGATAGGTTTGATCATGAAAGCTCAGAAGAATTACAAAGAAGCATTGAAACATTTTCATGATGCTCTACAAATCCAATTACAAAATATTTCGCCCGATGATTTATCGCTAGTGGCAACTTATTCAAATCTTGGTTCAACATACCGTTCATTACGAGAATGTCCATCAGCTATCGAATATTTCGAAAGATCTCTCGAAATCATCAAGCAGAACCTTCCTCAACAACGGGCTTTATTAGTTTATACATATAACAAAATTGGTAGTGTGTTTTGTTTAATGCGGGACTATTCGAAAGCTCTTTCCTGTCAAACAAAAGCGTTGCATATTCAAGAAGATCTTCTTCCATTGAATAATCTCTTGTTAGCTACAAGACATTTCAACATGGCGATAGCATTAGAAGGTTTAAAGCGTTTCGAAGATGCTTTCGAGCATGTCACACAAGCCGTCAACATATTAAAACAAACAGATAATCCTCATCGACGTAAACTATCTCACTATCAAAAATATCTGAACATTCTACGTAAAAAAAAACAACTTAAATAATCTTTGATTTTCTAATAAATATAAAATCGATAGCTGAGAGAAAGATAAATGCCACATGTCATTCCGCTTGTCTAACAATCATATATTGAAAGAAAACATTCATCATAACACTTCGATACGTTCTTATCATGTGGATAATCAATCTTATTTGATTTGAATAGTCGAGAAACACTTGCTCGTTATCTATGCAGAAAGACTCGTTGGATCAAAAGATCTATTGAACTTGATTAATTAATTCGCCATTAATATTAATAGTAAATCAATTGACAAGCACGTCAGTAAAGATCAAGATTCTTCTCAGTACGCAATTTATAGCTTTTTTGTATAAATACAATATTCAGCCAGTGCAAGAAGATTAAAAAAGATATTTACTCGAATGGGTAAGTCGATAAGAAATCGCTCGGATATTTCACAGTTTGGAATTATTTTCATTTTTTCTCAGAAATATCCTCTAATGAAAACACATCAGTGCGGATGTGAAAAAAACGTCAATAATATGTCTTTAATCCACTAATATACAAGTAAAGACTGCGCTTTTAGAATTTAATCTTCATCGAGTATAAAAATAGGATAACAGTAATATCGAAGGTAATGATACATTCTTCTTTTTATTCAACGAGGGTATAAGCTAAAAAAAGGCAGGGATCAGAATGTTGATAAATCAACGACAGCAAAGTATGATTTTGTAGTAATTGATGTTCAGACTAGAACTGCAAAGTTCTTTTTATAATAAAACTTTCCCTGATGAACTCTCGAGATGTTGAAGAAAAGTATATAGACAAGATAACATCGGAATTTAATCAAAAGTCGGTTGATGGAAATCGGATGCATGAGTGTAAATTTGTTCTCTGAGATGATGTTTTTTTAGTGGAGGCGCGTCACTCAACAAGTACTCACGAACTAGTCGTCTTATTTGAAGAAATCTGCAGAAAACTACAGTTGAGAACATCATGTGGCTTCTAAATAGTAAAAACAAGAAGAATTCTTGTCATTATTTTTTCTAGATTAACTCATCTACCATGGGTTGTTCACCTTCAAAAAATACCGGAAGTCCTGTGACGTCCATCGAACCTGAACCTCGTTCAAAATCGGCAATGTATCGTCCTGCTTCTCCTATAAAACAAGCAGATCGTATTGTCGAAGATTGTATTATCGTCTGGTTTCTTCCAGACATTTTCAAAGATATTGAAAATGAGAAAGCAAAATTAAGACATATTGTTTCGACAATCAAAATGTTTACCGACCAAGATCAATGTATAGCTTATATAACTTCGATTCGTGTGGAGAAAATCTTTTTTATTCTTCCAACGGTGGAACCATTTCTTGATGCAATCCGAATCTTACCTCAAGTAGAAAAGATCTACATTTTCAACGAAAAAACTACCGATAAAATATCTTCAGCAAATACGTTTTCTAATATTGATAATCTTTGTAAACAGTTAACCACGGATGTCGAACTATGTGAACTCGATCTCTTAGTTCTCACAGCATCACCACCACCAGCGACTTCTAATGATCCCACATCTTCCAATGGCAAGAAACAACAGGCGATATTTCTTTACGCTCAATTTATTCGCGAGATTGTCTATCGACTGAAATTCGAAACTAATGCCAAAACTGAATTCGTTCACTTCTGTCGAATGCATTATGCGAACAATCCCGAACAATTGCGTATTATCGACGATTTCGAAGCCAACTATCGTCCTCAAAAAGCACTCTGGTGGTTAACACGTCAAAGTTTTATCTGGCGTGTGTTGCAACGTATGCCACGGACATTTGAAATCGACATTCTCTATAAACTTGGTTTTCTGGTTAAACATGCGCATACACAAATGACGAATTTTCTAGACAATAATGTTATGATGGACGAACATCATTTGGTTGTGTACCGAGGCAAAACAATGTTTACGGAAAAGTTTCATTCGCTGATCAAATTGAATTGTAATGGTCTAATTTCGTTTGGAAACCTCTTCATAGGTCATATGGATAAACAAATTGAACTTGATTTTATTGAACAACGTCTTGCTGCATTGCCAGCGGCTACTGGCGTTCTTTTCGAAATACACATTAATCCAACCATTCGAAGTACGAGAAGTCCATTCACGTCACTCGATATCATTCACAACGATGACAAACAGGCCAATCACGGTCTTTTATTTGGTTTAAATACCGTTTTTCATATAGACTCTATCGTTGAATTAGATAATACAATATGGCATGTTAACCTGACTCTCGTCGCTGATGACGATCCTCAACTACTTCGCATCGTCGCACCATTACGAAGTAGTGAAGTTCACGCAAATCCACTTTCTTATATGGGAAAACTATTCATGGACATGGAAGAATACGAACATGCCGAAAAGTTCTTTCTCGCAATGCTAGAAGACACGTCTGTTCAGAGTCAACCGCGCCGTCTCGTACGTGTACATAATGGTCTTGCAGCTAATTACATGTCGAGAGGTGACTATGCGAAAGCATTAGAACAATCTCAAAATGCGTTAGATGTTAGTCTAAGCTATTTACCACCTCGACATACGGATCTAGCTGCGTTATATGATAACATCGGTAAAAGTTATTTTCATATGGGTGAATATCAAAAGGCTGTGGATAACTATGAGAAAGCTGTCGATTTAGTTGTTGTCAATCCACAAACGAACGATGATTCATTTCTTTCGGATTTGAAGACTAGAATTCATAGTGCCAAGAAATTGATTAATAAAAATTCATAAATCGTTATCGGTTTTCTGTTTGTTATCGAGACGTTGTATATTGTCAACTAGAAATCACTTTATTTTCCAATAAAAATTTCAGAGGATTTTACTTTTTAACCCTATTGAAATCTGCAAAGTGGAATGTTTTCATTGAGCTCCTTCAAATACTCTAGACTTTATCATATGTCCGCTTCTGAATGACTTTTTTCAAGAGTTTTTTTTAGCACCGTCGAGTGCCGTTAGTTCCCCAATAAAAGAATGAAAGGAACAGCAAGAGATTGGAAAAATATTAAGTTTATTGTTTACAGTGACGTACTGTGCATCTGTCAAGGGAATAATTATTAGTCGTCGGGATGTATACAAAGACAAGTTTTTCGTAGAGAAGAAAACAAAAAACAACAGAAACGCAAAAGAAAAAGACTCACACGTGCGTTATTTACGATAGAGGTGATGGTATAGTACAGTCAAACTGTTTTCCAATATGGTTTCGATTAAACAGAGTGGGATCTTCGTTCGAAATCTTTCGATTTTTATATTAATTCTTTCCGTTCTCATTCCCTTACGTTATGGATCAATCGACCCTGAATATCTTTGTATTCGTTGTATGCATTCGTTATTATCATTAACATATACGGTCATCAGAGATGAGAATCGTCCAACCCTTAGTGCTGATTATCGGGCATTTGAAACATTACTTCGTTTGAGATCAGTATATGAACTTGATCCATCAGCTGATACAACAACTGTTGTGAAAGAACTTCGTTCATTATTTACATTGGCCACCATCATTCCAAAACCAAAATCCTGTCAAATTCAAAAACAAATCTACAATCATCAAGGACATACCGTTGAAGCATATTGGGTAAATCACCGTGGAACAAATGAGCAACCACGTACACAAAATATTCTCATGTATCTCCATGGTGGAGCCTATCTAGCCGGAGATATTCATAGTAAGTCTTCAATGTTGTTTCAAACCCACTGATTCTTCCGTTTTCATCAAGGTTATAGCGGGTACGGGTGTTATTTATCACATCTATTCAATATGTCATTGATTCATGTGGAATATCGACTTGCACCTGAACATCCTCTACCGCGCGCTGTTGATGATGTTGTTGCGTTATATCATGCACTACTTAGTGAGAATATTACTTCATCTCAAATCATGATCATGGGAGAGTCAGCTGGAGGCGGTCTTTCGCTATTGACAATTCAAAATTTAATATCTCGACACTATGCTATTCCTCGTTGTGTTGTTCTTGTATCTCCTTGGACTGATTTATCATCATCTGGAGAGAGTTATATACGTAATCGTCCTGCCGATGTCCTAATTCGTCCTGAAATATTAAGTTGGACCATTGAACAAGTTCTCGGTGATAATCATGAACAAATCAAACGAGATGATCCGGTATACAGTCCTATGTTTGGTTCATTCGAAAGATTTCCACCAATGTACATTACTGTAGGTACAGCAGAAGTCTTAGAAGATGATTCTCGGCACGTGTTTTACAAAGCGAAACAAGCTGGAGTTGAGGTAACCTTGGAGGAAGGCTTACACTTGGCACATGCATACCCATTATTTTATCCTTACTATCCCGAAGCAAGAAATACACTTGATAATATTAAAAGATGGATAAAAGAAAAGGCCATTCATTAGTTTTTATTCTGACCATTTTCAAATTCAGCTTTTTAAACTTTGATATCGAATATATAGTTACAGCGTTTGTTTTCATAAGAACGACTTTCCTGCTCTTAAGAAGACAATAAGGTTAACAGGAACTTAACGTTTGCTTCACTGTAAAAATGCCATTTTCTTCGTGGAAGTATTTTGTGTAAGACTTTTATGTTACGAGTACACGTGCACATAAATAATTCGTTATAAAGTCTCTTATCCATGGCTTACGGAACAAATATATGCTTTAGGGTATTTCGAGTAAGTGCCATTAATGATCGACAGCGAAAATACTATGATTGGCAAAGTAGTTTTCTGCGCACATTTTCTTGTATTAGTGTTAAGCTCGAGGCATATTGTTTTGGTTGTTAGGAAGAATGAACTCATTTGCTCGATTGACATTCCAGGATTCTGATCCGCTTCTCTTCATCACTTCACTAATTTCGTAATTCTTTAATAACGCATGAAACTATTCGATTCAAACAAATCCGAGTTAGTATGAATAATATGCAAATCATCTAGATATATCAAGTGTATTCCATAGAAACATTAATTCAGGCTGAATGCAAATACTATCCATGGATGATTTCTCACTTGCTATTTCATGTCATATTTCTTGTATAGAAGAATCGTGTGTTTTTTTGTTATGTTCTTAGCTTTCTTCTCGATATATTAGAAGCTATTACATAAACATTATTCGTTGCAATAAAGACCGACATAGTCGAATCATGTGTAGAAAGGTTTCTGGAAAGGAAGCGTTCATAGCGCGTTGAAATTGGTTTTTTTTTACGCGAAGGAAACACTTTCAAATTCTAATTATGCGTTTCTTTTTTTTATAAACGCGCATGTGTATGCATAATGTGATTCGCATCGAAGATCTGCGAGTGTATCCTTTCATCTCTTGTGTCTCTTGTCCACCCACATATTATTAATAAAATGGCCAATATAAACATCAACAGTTAACACTATTACAAACCAACTGTGGTTCTTCTTTCCATACCACGCACACATCTCTTGAGCTTGTGGAGATCGTTCATATGATATAATCCATAAATCCTGCGTCTATGTGAGATTTATTAGTGAAGAATTATATAAAAATAGACGAAATCTTCAAAAGAATAGAAAAGGCGCGTTTCGTACAAATGTTCTTCGTTCATTAATAGGTTTATCACTTACGATTTACTTTTGAGACAAGTATTCGATTATGTAACATAATCCTTGTAAGTACTTCTCCATCCAGAAGTAGTCATTATTAATTGAAACAAGGTATATTGTGCTTTTACGTTCATCTCCATTTCTTTCTTTCAGTGTTGCAGATTTACTCAGACACATTTTCATTTTCACACGTCAAAAATCGCAATGCAAAGACTAATTCTGAATAATAATATAAATTGAATGTAATAATGAATTCATGAGTAGAAGTCTAGGTAAGTTTACTGAGTTCAATGTGTTATGTACCAAATAAGAAAATTAGTCCTCCTCGAACGGACGACTTGTGAAGAAAAAGTCATTTCTTTGGGAATAATCATGAAATTGCTTTTATTTTGTTTGATTTGAAAGCTTCATGTTCATGTTCTTTTTCTGCCTACTAATTCAATTATATATAGTGCGAAGTTTTATATCATGTTCTTATTTCTTATTCTCGGTGTATACAATATGGACAATAAGAACTTAGTTTTATCACTTTATCATTATCACCAATGTCGACCTGGTGACTAGAATTTCTTTACCTGCATGTTCTATCACTATATTTAGAAAATGGATGACGTCAAACAAGGTTGATGGCTACTGTTCTGCATCGTGATTAGTGAAATTTCTTTAGGAAGTGTCAGTAAAAGTATTTTTGAAGGTAATAGGTAGCTGGTGGAGAATCTCATTTGAAGATTTGTCAAAATATTCATGAACAATGTCTGTTCTTGATTTGGTAGCTTAAAAAAAAGGTGACAGGGAAAAAAAATCTCATCAGCTAAGTAAATAACCGGCAATATTTTGTACTTTGATATTATCAAGTAGATCGTGCACATGATTAATAATATGATCAGAAGAAAACTTCAAATGCTGAACGTTCCTTTTTTCACACATGTAACCAGCACTTGACACGTCTGTCAATGTTGAGAAACACTGTCAGAAAGAGCGTTTTTACTCAAAACACTAGAGAGCGAACAGAGTCATCTGTTGTCACAGATAATAATAGAGCTGTAAAATCTATTCATTTGAAGAGTGTTCCTATTAATCATGAACGTTTCCTTTACGTGTTGTATCGTGTGGCTGGTCTCAGTATTCGGTAAAACTATATCCTGGAGGCAGATCAAGCAGGTGATTGTCATATTCTGAGTTTTAATCTACTCTTGAATGAATAGGCAAATGGATGAATAGTTTTACATGCGATAAATGTCAGATTTTTCATCACGATAATAAAATAACTGATTAAGAGAGTTTTATAATTATGGCCTCGGTTGCTGATGCATCGAGCTGTTGAAACGAAATGAAATTTATGTAAACTTGTATGAAAGCTTTATTCTCATGTTTTATGTTGAATACCCTTCGGAAATGATTATCATGACAATTTCTAAATCATGCGGATATCTAAAACGGAATAAGACGTCATTATCATCGGTATTTAGTTCCGTTTGAAACATGTCATTTGCGCTGGATTTGCTTGTTTTTCTTCAAGTAAATGTAGAAATTTCACTGGCGTATGATCTCTAATTTCTCGTCTATTATTTATGATTGTTGATGAATGCAATTCAAAACGAACAAATTACAATCTCGAAACTGAATATAATGAAAGTTCGTTGAATTCCAACGAGAAACCTCATGGTTAACAATGCTTTGACATATTGTAAATTGTTATTATGATAATTAGCAATTTGACAGATTGGAAGAACGTCGCCTGTCTCGTCCGACTAGTCATTTGAATAAATTTGATAAAGATTTATTAAATCGACGAGATAAGTCGATAGTCTAAAGACGACATTGTTCCTTTCCGAATACGAGTACAATGATAACAAAAGAAATATGTTTTGTTCTCGAAAATAACTCGTCGCCATCGTCAACGACTGTCTACAAGTGTAAATAGCTCGAGACCTGATAAACAAATAAATTAGCTGAGCGATGAATGGTATTCATATAGAATAAAATGAAATCATTTCTAATAATTTCACATAGTGATGAGTTCATTGTATATTCCTAGACAACGCACAGTATCACGTCAACAACTAGGAATATAGACATCGTTTTGTTGTTTATAGAAAACAACAAACGACGAAAGAAAAAAAAAGAGAGAGAAAACTCGTATTTCCTTTCTCTTTTCCTCTATGCTTCTTTTTTTCTTCCTTCTTTCTTCTTTTCATTAATATCTATGCCTCTTATTTCATTCTAGTCCTCTTGTATTTTCACAATCGGTTAAATTATGTTGGACCAGCATACCGACCTCGTACTTAACACAACCATTCCGTCTATAACTACAGCTCCAAATCATCTTTTAACATACTATTTCGTTCCAATCTATACAATACTCTTTTTCATTGGAACGTTCGGTAATGGCCTCGTTTTTATTAGTATTCTTCGTTCGTCTCGTCTTCGTACAGTGACAAACACTTATTTGTTACACATAGCGATAGCCGACTTCTTATTACTATTAAGTATACCATTTCTAATTGTTACTATTCTTGCTAACGGATGGATTTTTGGTAATGTTCTGTGTAAAATGTATTATAATTTTATTCATATCAACCAGTACGTCAGTTCATTGTTATTGGCGGCCTTATCATTTGACCGTTATCTTGCTGTCTGCCATCCGATACGAGCGATAGAATTTCGCACTCGAACAAAGTCAGCCTTAATTATTTTCGGTAAATACCAACCACCATGACTCTATTGGTGCCTAAAAGTACTTGTTTTTCTGTTTTTCTATAGGCTGTTGGCTTATCTCAATACTTTTTCTATGTCCAACATGGGTTTTCGCCACAGTGACATCTGATCGTCTCATTCGTTGGTTTGGCTATCAGGTACAACGGTAGGTCAAGACACAATCAATCCCTATAGAGTTGTGCATCGTGTAATAAATATAGGAATGTGCTGTTAGCTGTGAGAATCACAATATTATTAATATTGTTTAACGCTTTTACAGTTTTCGCAAAAAAATCAGCATCACGATTAAAAAAAGTAATTAAAGCATTGAGATACACCAGAACTTTCATGATTAAACCTATAGAGACTTTTGAATCAGAAGCGGACGTCACTAAGATGACGCATTGATATCTATATACATATAGCTGCTTACAAATTATATGTAGGTTGTTTGAGCACACAGGACGATTGACTGCTGTGATATTTTCATTCGAGGAAAGTACGACTCTCAGATATAATCTATGGATAATCAGATAGTCTGAGGATTTATTTTTAGATATTTAATTATCTGCATAACTACTTCTATTGCAAAAGACTAAGCAAATACAATTGTACCGGTGAGAATTTATCGCTTAAGCTCCTCTTTTGATTGAAATAAATATTTAGTGTAACTGTAAACGAAGTGTAGAATTTAAGAAACAAGAATAGACGATTATAATTATCATGTAGCATTTATCTAGTGATACGTATGATGTGCTAGGAAAAGAAACGAAAATGTACTTGGTTGATCTGATTAAAGAGACAGTATCAAAAGAAAATATTTGATGTTTGACATATAGAGTACTCTGTTTCTATTCTAATTGTATTTGAAAATGTCGAGTAAGAAATTTACAATAATCGTTAATTAAGAATATAATTTTGACGTGTGGAGGTTTTGAGAGAGTAAAGAAAGTTAAATTCCTTTGACTATTTACATATATTGATGATTTAGATGTGTTATCGACTTTCCATCGATTATATTTACGATTCCTCCCGAGATCGTCTTTACTTACTATGGATTTTTAATTGGTTTTCTCCTGCCGGTTTCGATGATCACAACATTCTACATTCTCGTTCTCATCCGCCTTCATCATATACGTCGCAAACATCAATCCGAACTGAAACAGCGTTCGCACAGAAAAGTAACACGCGTCGTTCTGGCTGTTATAACAGCTTACTTCATCTGTTGGGTACCATATTGGTTTCTTCAAATCTTCATCACTATTGATCCACTTATTCAGTCGTTGAATTTCAATTTCTCAATATTTTCTTCCAATCCGAATGTGCGTTTTCTTAAAGAATTAACACATTTAACGACAATCATTGGCTACGCAAATAATTGTCTCAATCCTGTTCTCTACGTTTTTCTTTCGGATACATTTCGGGAAGAATATCTTATGGTCTTGAATTGTTTTCAATTTAATCGTTCGATGCGAGAAAATAATTTGCAGCTAGAAATTATTCGCCAGTATGAGAAAAAATCCAAACCATCGTACCGAACACCGAGTCTCTTGAGAAAACGTCGTGAAATTGCGATTAAAAAGGCTAAACATAGTGTCTTTATTGATGACATACCTCTCGAGTATCGCTCATTAACCTTTGCTTTTCCTCGGTCAAACAACGAAGCACCATGCCCATCACCATCACGTCTATCGCCAGGACTCGGTGACAAAACTGATCGTCGGTCATCGTGCAAAATGTCACCCAACCGACAAGTCTGTTTTTTGTCTCAATCCGCGCATCACTCAGCTCCAGCTAGATTAGGTACAAAGTCATCAACTTATTCAAATTCTCGATCAGCACCGATCACCGACGACGGTGGTGTCTACTGTGGAGAATGAAATTTATGATGAAAAGACAATAAGTATTTATCGTCATTACTTTGTTTTGTAATATAAATGTTATACTTTTGTACGGTATTAAAAATATATATACCCGGTGACATAAGATGATTCTATTTGGTAGACTGTTAATCGACTTAGTTTAATTATGACAAAGAGAATGGCAGACGGTCCGAAAGGTCTCTATACGAACACGCAAAATATTTTTGTTTTGAGGGATAATTTATACTCATTGACGTGAAAGTAACCATGAGTACTCTTGAAGTTCTAATTATTTCCGTTATGACATCTTTTCCATGATTCTATTTTATTAAAGAGTGGTAGAACAATGAAGACATCACTTCCTCTTTAAAGTTATTCGAAAGAATAATCTAAGGATGAGAGAAAAATGAATATGCAGTGCAAATGTTTATTGTTATAAAAAAAGAAAAGAAAAACTGGTCTTGTTCATATCGTAATCATTCAGTTTTGTTTTCACTTAGTGTCTGGTTTCGATAAGCACGGGTGTTTAAAAAACGGTATAATGATAATAACAATAACAAACAACAACAACAAAAAAAAGAGAGAAAGATTTCCTACAGAACAAACCACACATGCAAACAATTATGTTGAGAATCAATGTTTTCTTTTTTTTTTGATGTTGATCTTTCCCGTTTACATTGTTTCGATCTAAAGGCAAACGTTTGGAAATAAAATATTCAAGAGACTTTATCTTACTATATCGTCAATCTTTAAAATTGATCGAACTGTTTCGGTAGCTAAACGAATAGCGCTGACAGAAACAAGTAATGGTTGAACAACGTTTTCTTCAAGAATATTCGAGATAAGACCCTGAAAAAAACAACGAAATGGTTTTTGTATACTCAGTTTCATCAATACGTTTTCTATCGATAGTTACTTTTCGAACGTTAATACCAGCATTCGTATCGTTTTGTGCATGGCGATTTCTTAATTCTGTAACGGTGGCAATCGGATTTAATCCAGCATTTTCCGCTAACGTATACGGAATAACCTCAAGAGCTTCGGCGAATGCTCGAATGCAATATTGGTGAACACCTGATAGACTTTGGGCATATTCTGCTAAGCGAACAGACAATTCTATCTCAGGTGCTGCACCACCGGCGATTAAAGCGCTAAATCATGAGAACAAAAGATATAGAAAAGTCAAGTAGTAATCTCATCAACTAACCGTTCTTTTACAAGACAACGAATCACGCAAAGAGCATCATGAATAGATCGATCAGCTTCTTCAAGTACCAATTTATTTGAACCACGTAATAAAATTGATACTGTATGACCTGGATGGGCAACACCCGTAATCTAATAGAAAATCATTCAAATAGATACTCCAATCAGATACTGCATGATGCTTAGAGGTTATTCTTATCTTTTTAGATTAGGTTGACATTTCAAGTGTTAAACTTCTTGACGCATGACAAGTCATCACTTACCTTAACGATTTTATCGGAACCAGCCGTGATTTCTTCAACAAGATCAGCCGTACCTAACATATCCTGTTGGAAATGATCTAAACTTGCAATTGGTTTACAACCGAGAGTCTAAAAATATTCCGTCTGATTTCTATTACGACTATCTTCGAAAGATTACCTTTGCAATGAATGGCACGTCTTCACGCTCGACATCTTTGACAATTAAGATCTTCATTTTAGCTAGATAGTGGATAGCCAAATCGCTAATTGCATCACGCAAGATGGATTTTTGAATTAACAAGACGTTGCAGTTGGTCTTCTTGATCTGTTTGATAATGTTCAAAATATATTGGCGTTCTTCTTTGATCACGCGATCCATTTGAGCATGATCACTGATAATGACGGTATTTTCCATCTATACGATTCAGTAAAAGTTAAAATGAGTATTTTGTTAATGAAGAGCCCACTCACATCGGTTTTTGGTGGCGAAATGCAAAATTGAATCAGAGCAATTTTAGCTTTTTCAATACGTGTTGGTGCACCAAAACCAATTGTTTTTTGATCAAGAACGAGACCTTCAACCAGTTCAGTATCTTCAATAGTACCACTACGGAAGTGAAAGAAATATTTAGACAGGGGATGCCAGCTTGCAACTGAATTCTTACCCTAATTTCTTAACGATACGAATATCACGAAGATCGACATTGTTGTCAACAGCTGGATTGATGACTTTCAGAACAGCTTGGACAGCAATAGGAGCGAGAAGATGAGTATGTTGTGAGACAACCTAATAAATATAATATGCAAATGTACCCGAAAAGAAAATTTTTTTGTCAGAACATACTTTAGAATTCAACGCTGTTGATGCACTTCGCTGTAATGAATCATTATCGCTAAGCTCTATAGGTATGCTAATACTCTTGAGAATTTCCGTTGCTTTGTCAGCTGCTTTTTCAAATGCATCAGCAATAGCTGTTGGATGGAGACCTACAAGCAAGAATTTTTCTTACAATCAATAATTGCACACGAACTTTCCAATTACCTTTAGATACGAGACGACTGGCGGCATCGAGTAGGCTACCAGCAAGAACAACAACAGTTGTTGTACCATCACCTGCTTCGATATCTTGTGCTTTAGATAATTCCACCAACTAGAAGAAATTCGTAGTATCATATAGAATTCAACTAACATATGACAGACCATTTTTGAAGCAGGATGTATAACCGACATTTGTTTAAGGATCGTAGCACCATCGTTCGTAATTGTTACTTCACCATTACCTGTTTGAATCATTTTGTCCATGCCACGCGGTCCTAAACTTGTTCGCACAGCATCAGCAACGGCTAAAATTGAATTGATGATTTTCACAGATCGAAAAAACACAAGATTTTCGTACCTTTTGCAGCAACGATATTCGAATTTCGGATTGCATCTGGTCGTTGTCGTGTTTTGAACCCTATGTCACTCGTTTGACCTGATCCTGCTGTTCCTTTTGCAGCTCCTGCGCTGGCAGCTGCTGCAAACGATTTTGTTGAATCACTGGTAGTCATATCTAAAATTTTTTTGATCTTAAAGACAAACAAACAATACAATGGCTAGATAGTTTTTGATCTTCCACTTAGTACACGTATGTGCTATTATCGAACGACGAGATTCGAAATAAACAATGATTGTCGGGACAAGGAAAGTAAAGACACAATTGACAAATGAAAAGAGGAAGAAAAAGTAGAAGTCAAGATAAACAACAGCAACAACAACACAATCTTTAGTAGATAGATATAGATAGAAATTTTCAACAGAAACAAAAAAGAAAGAAATCAGTATTGTTTGTTTGTCCGTGTGTCCAACCAAACAACTATACAAAGAAAAAAGGGTCATTTTTTCCTGTTTATTCTTGATTTTGAAATCATTCTTGATTGGAGTTTTTAATAGGCTCGTTCACGGTAACGTGATGACGAGTGTCGACTTGATGAGGGCGATGGTGAACGATGATACGATCGACCGCCATTGTGTGGACTGTGTCGACTACGTTCACGATCGCGATCTCGATCACGACTGCGGTCACGGTCTCGATCTCTTGAATGTTGATTTTGTTGTTTGTATTGTTTGGCCGCTTCATGATGATCATAGAAACATCGATCCGAGTATCGACAAAATCCATGACGAAGATAATATCGGCAAGGTAATGTCCTTGAGAGATGAAAATGAAAAGAAAAATTTAACAAATATATTCATTCAGATATCAGTTTGAGAAAGAACAGATGTTCGTTTAATAGTTTTCCATTAATACAAATGTTGAGCAACTGAGACTGGTATAGATAGGAAACACAGCACATCTATACATACATTGCAAAGATATCTTGGTATATGTATGTGTGTATAAAAAGTTCGTGTCTGTGTGTGTATTAACATAAGATAGGTTGTTTCATCTGCCAAATAAAACTGGATATAAAATACTTCTAACAAACAGCCAAAGTGACGATGATACTCGTTTAAGTAAATAATTCATGTAAAGTTATAAATAAGACTGTTTAAGTTAAGAACAACTGGCTTAAACTGAGGAAGAACTCGTGCGATGAATAAAAGCACAGCTCTAGTAGAATGCAGAGAGTGTGTTCGTAACTGACGATATGTTTCCTAATAGGATGGATGAATGGTTAAATTTTTCGTTGATTAAAACAAAAGCTTTAGCTCGCTGATGTAACAAAATATGTCTACGATTGTTTTCGTACTTACTTTAAATGGTTCTTATGTTTTTTCACGATGCGATATTTATCTTCTTTGTTCTCAAACCAATGTTTACTTGGAGTTATAAATGCTGAACGAATTTTACACACTGGACAACTACAACAGCAACAACAACATAAATATTATTCTTTCATTCTTTATCGGTCATCTCTTACCTTTCCGATTCAGCGTTACTATACTTTGAACGTTTCCACGACACGACACATTCGTAGCAACTAGAAAGAGAGAAAGTCACCATTCAAATAGTGAGTTGTGATATGTGAACATACAAAACATGATCGCAATTGTCTAAGACACCAAAGAGGCGCTTGGCTGCTTCGACATCAGTTGAGCAAATGGCGCAAATATGTCGACCAGAATCAGCATCGCTATCTTTTCGACGGCGTCGTTTCGTTGATGAACTTGAATGACGCGGAGGTGACGGAGAGCGATGATTGTTGTTATTATTCGTATTATTGCGGGGCGGTGGCGACTTGGAACCTTCTATAGAACTACGACTACGTGAACGCGACGTTGCCGAACGTGGTGAAGGTGTGCGACTAAATGCGAAGAACTACAGTGAAAAACAGTTCAAGCGTGGGTATGCTTGGTAGTACTTAGGATTATCTCGGCGACGTCTTTGTACGGCCGATGATTGTCGAGCCGAATGTCCATTACTTTCTTTTTCATCAGTAGCATTTAAACTCGAACGGGAATGAGATTGTGGCAAGGGATCAGGCGATATTGATCGTTCAGAACTCATTCTTGTCTTCACCGATATGGAGTTGAATCTGAATAAGAAGAAAAACAAAACATTAATTTTCATCCATCATTCTATGCAACAAACAAATAAACAGACGAATAGGCAGATAGAAACAAATGTCGTGTGTGTACGAATAACAATTGCTTAGCAAAGAGAAAAATGATGACAAAATATTTGCTCGGAAGAGACTTTCAAATCATTTCATATTCGCCATTGATTTTCTTCGATAATTCTATTTTCAATTGAATTTTTCATTAAAATTATTAATACTGATTTCCATAGATGTCGCTGTCATCGACTGTCTTTCAGTCGATGGATGTAACTAAGAAACAGATATGCAAATGAAACTTCTTACCGAACGAGTTTCTCAAATCAATTTTGAATCGGAAATATGGATGAACGCCACTGGTGGATTGCCTCGAAAGTCGAGCAAACCTTTTGCATTGACAAGACATCTTCGACTGATGCGTCATTTACTGAAACATTTTTCCGTCGACCAGATGTTCTAAGTAAAATCAACAGCTTTCTCTGTGCGAAAGGTTCAAATAAACTATTTTTCTATACAACACGAGATAATCTCTATGCCAAAGAGATTATTTGTTGTAACAATATCGTCGATGAATATATCCTCGTCAATGAATCGTTAGATAATTTAATTTTATTATTTTTTATTCGATCGGATACGAGTTCCGATGCAACAGTTTCGCCTGTATCGGATATTTACTGTGGAGAAATTAAACATCCAACGCAAATGACATCATTACTATACTCACAAACGTTGTTGCCTTTGTTTAAAAAAGAATTATCAGCTAATACACATGACAGTTATAATCAAACATCGACTAAAACCGCAATTGTTACTCAAATGGAAAAACAAATCGATGGAATCAATGCGACGTGTCACTCGTTACATAAAGACAAAAACTTAGTAAGTACACAGGTGGCAATAGAGACGCTCAATGTTTTTCCTTCTCTTGAAAGCTACTGAAACGTGCAGATGCAGAAATATTGCATCAGCTAAAACAAACTGCACGTTCAACCGCAGACAGTCCAGTTATTCGCAATTGCGAAACGTTAGTTCTATCATGGATAACAACAATCGAAAATGTTCTTCAAGATATTTTCGACGACGAGTATGTTGACTCAGTGTTGGGAAGAGTACTTTCATCGATGTGAGTTTCCGTCTAGTTCAAGTCATCCGGCACTTGGCCCGTTGAGTGAAATCGAACGATGGACGCGTAAACAACGTTTGATTAATAATTTACTTGAACAATTGAAATCGAAAGAATGCAAAGCAGTCATTGGTGCTTTGATCACATCGAAATCGAAAGTCATTCGAAAATGGAAAGCAATCGATGTTTCGTAAGAATTGAATCTACAACGGGCGCATGATTTCATTACACACGTCTTTTGTTTAGAATAACTGAAGCTCAAAATGAATGTCGGGATAAAACGAAATTTCTCGAATCAATTCGACGTCATTTAGAGAACTTAACTGAAGATGCTCATCCGCAGAACTGTGCTGTGAATATTTTACCTGCATTATGTGATGCTATGCGAACGGTTGAATCCGTTTCAAGATATTATGCTCGACAAGGTTATTTAGGCTTGATTTTCTGCAAAGTAACGAATCAATTGGTGAAAATCTGTAAACATCATATCAATGATGACGATTTAACGCAACTTTGGCCGAAGCTTTTTGATGAAATTCAAGCTGGGGGATCGATTGATGATATCAAAGAGAACTTTCATTTAGATAAACGAGTAATTTTTCTCAAAGAACACAAGCTCTTGTCAAATTATGAAATTTGTAGGATATCAAACGTTTTCGTGAAGTTCCGAAGGGTTCGGTACCATTAGAAACCAATACAACTGGTGAAAGTACTTTTCAACGTCTAAAAAACTGCCTTCTACTACTGGCATCATACAAAGAAACATTTCACGCGTTAAGAGATGCACTTGGCGGTGCTCAAGTGTTGGCAACAACTGGGTTTTCATCAGCATCATCTACTGTCAGTGGTACAACGTGAGTACAATCGAAAATCGAATGAATTTGACACGATGAACAATCTGTTCGTTTAGGAGCTCTCAAAATCGTGATTTGAGTCAATTGCGACAGCAAATACGACGAGCGAGTGGAGTATTAATGTCCGCAGATGAAAAGATCTTTCAAAATTTGGAAGATTTCTGTCGTCGGATCGAACAGATGATTGATATGACAATCACACTAAACCAATTTTCTCAGTAAGAACAATAAATCTTCGTTTCTTTGGTTAATTTGACCGAATTTCAGACTTATTAGTACAACAGTTCGATTACCGAAACCAAAACGAAAGGATATTCTCGATGCTGAACAGCTTGCTAATCGTACTGGTAAGAACTAAGTACATGAAAAAAGGATATCTGATATATGGCATTCGTTCTTAGATACTTCGACTCATAAAGATGATCATGGCGGTGAGAATGCATCGGATGAAGGTATTGACGATGGCGAGAGTGATTCAGGTGCTGCTCCTTACGATTATCTTCTATCTACGGTGTCCAAAGCTGATCTTGATTTAATAAGTATGTTCGACTTCTTTTGTTCTCTTTTAAAAACTGTTCATTCCATCCTCTTTCAAAGAAAAACATTATGAAGATGAAGAAGAGTCTTTACCTTTGAACGTTTTCATTGCCAATGGTGTTGAACAACTGAAAGCCTTGCTGGTCGATACCACACCGTCGCCGGACGAAGAAACAAATAAGTATATAGATCAAGTTTTAACCAGCAGGAAAAGACGAGTTTTCTGCTCTTCGAAGGTTCGATTTGATACATCAACAGTTTGCTGCAACTGCGTGCGAACTTGAACAGTTACTTGGTGCTTATATTAATGTCACGTTTTCGAAAACTAAACGAACACAAGAAGGTTTAGCGATTCTCGCTTGTTTCGAACCAATCTGCGAACGAAAGTATCTTCGTTCGATACTCCGCGATGCTTATGTGAACTTATTCTTAAGTAACTTCATTCATTTTGTCTCAAGAATTTACCAATACATCTTCTCTAGATTTCGAAAACGACCTCTTGGATATTCGAACAAATTTCGAAGCTCAAAAGGATGATCCACCCTTACCGCGCAATGCACCACCCATAGCTGGTAATTTTCTCTTTCATTCTCGCTGATCATTCGAGATGCACAATTGATTTTCTTCAGGTGCGATCGCCTGGTCACGAACATTGCTAACCAAAATGGAAAAATCCATGGACATATTTAAAACCAATCGTCATATCATTGCTCTTGGAAATTTTCCAGTCATATCAAAACTTTACAATCGTACAGCGAAAGCTTTGCTTGTATATGAACAATTGTTATTAGCTCGATGGAAGGAAAAACTTGAGATATGGAAAGAACATTTGGATACGAGTTTATTGTGTTTAGTAAACGATGATGATAATAATAAACAACTTCGAATCAACTCAAACTTGGAATTATTCTCAATATTCGATGAAGCAAAATGGTTTAAACGATTAGATGTCGATATTCCAAAGGCAGCCATTGCTTGTATACAAAAGGTAAAGGAAATTCAAATGGAAGGGAAGCAATTTTTTCGAAAATTGTGTGTCATTTTAGGAGCAAACGTTCAAACAATACAAATCTTTACTTGAAGATCTTCTTAAACGATTTAAAGATTTACAATCTCAAATTTATCCGCCATTTTATCCGTTATTCACTAGTCAGTTAACTCAAATCTATAGAGCATTCGAACCCGGTCTACATACAATCAATTGGTCAACTCTCAACATCGATGTGTATATTGCGAAAGTTCATCGAGCACTCGACCGTTTCGAAACGTTCATTCTGAATCTCAATGGTTTAATTGCGGAGAAAATTGATAGTATTCTTGACAATGATTTAATGAACTCTTCATATTTATTGTTTTCTCCGGATTATACTCGATCGAAATTATGGTCACCGACGGAGTTTTACGAAAATGTCTCAACACATGTAAACGAACAAGCGGATTTGATTGGAAAGAAGTTTTTCGAAGTGCAACAGCGATTTCAAGAAGTCGAAGAAATATTGAAATTGAATACGTCACAAAAATCTCGAACGTCAACATCATCAACACGACGAACTAAGACACCAACGGCGCCCAACGAAGCTATGCTGACATTCATACGTTATTATCAAGATAAAATGATATCTTGTGTACAAAAAATAATCGAACGTAGTTTACATGTCTTNGTGCAACAGCGATTTCAAGAAGTCGAAGAAATATTGAAATTGAATACGTCACAAAAATCTCGAACGTCAACATCATCAACACGACGAACTAAGACACCAACGGCGCCCAACGAAGCTATGCTGACATTCATACGTTATTATCAAGATAAAATGATATCTTGTGTACAAAAAATAATCGAACGTAGTTTACATGTCTTTGTTCGATTAGCTTCAGTCTCCGAAGAAAGTTACCTGAACGATCAAAAGAAGTTAGTTCGAGAATTATTTGATGGACAACCCAACGACGAGCAATTCCATCAGATTGATACCGAACGAATTAGGTATGGATTTCTTTCGAAAAGTAAACAATGTTCTTATTGACATCAAGTTTAGAATTGGTTGTACAATGCAATATGCTATTCCAGAGATTAGTATTGATCCGGAACTAATTCTTTGCCAGAAGTCGATTCGTGATGTCGCGTATGCGATAGTGAATTGTGAAAAACGAATCAGTGGTAAGTGTGAATTGGCCTCATCGATCTAAAAACAATGGATCATGAAATATTGGTTTAGAATCGGCTGCTTTCGACAATGACACATCACAGCGCTTAGCATCGACGATTACAGCAGATCCATACGTCGCCGAAATCATCAGTCGTTTATCTTCCATCGATGCTGATGTTACCCGTATATCCGAAAATGCTGTTCAATATATTCGCACATTCGATTTTCTTTGGCATGATGATTCGCAATTGCAATATCAGACTATCATTCAGCAAGACGAAGATGGTGATGACTATACAATTGTAATTGATCCGAATGGTATTCCAACAAAAGAAGCTCGGCAATATCTTCAAGGTGAACTGGAACGTCTTGTGCAGATCGAAGAACGTCTGAACTTTTTTCCACATGAAATTCAAATTGGTTGCGTTTGCATTGAAACAGTTCCCATTATTAACTCTCTCCGAACATTTATCTTCAGTTGGAAAAGTCAATATGCGAAATTATTGCATCGATTTGCGAAAAATCAATTGGACGAAGTGGTCGCCTATCGACAACAAATTCAAGAACGCTTCAATGATAATGTATCTACATTAGAACAATTGGATGAAGCATTGATTTTATTGGAAGAATTGAGCGAAATGGAAAACAAAATTGAGTAAGAAAATTCGTTTTTGATTTTCTTCTCAAAATTCTTCTCAATCTTTTAGTTCGATTTATTTACCAATTGAAACAACTTATTCTCTACTAACTCGAGTTTATAACGTACCGATTCCACGTGATGAATTGCATGAATGTTCCCAATTACGTGATAAATGGTCGGCGTTGATGTTAAACGCTGATCGTGTTCGAAAACTATTATTACAAGAACGTCGTCAACAATTAGAACAAGAGTTGGATAAACAAGTGAAATCCTTCGTTGTGGAAGTGATTCGCTTTCGAAATGCATTCGATGTTGAAGGACCCAATGTTCCTGATATTGCGCCGTTAGAAGCAGCGAAGCGTCTGAAAGATTTTCAAGGACAATACAAAATCATGCATCGACGTAAACAAACACTAAATTCGATTTCTACGCTTTTTAGTCTACAACCCAAACAATTCTCTGAATTAGACAAAACCGGCGAAGTACGTTCTTTGTTATTTTGTTTGAACAAATTCTTCTTTCAATGGTTTATAACTAACCAGTAACAACTAAGAGAATGTCAAATCTTTTTTAGGAGATATTTTTGAACAGGTGAGAGTAAAGATATTATCGACTGCATGATTATTCGCTCTTTTGCTTTCTATATTTATATATATATACATATCTTTATCGATTTTGTTATAGTGGAAATTGAAAATCATGAATAAGGTAGAATTTGGTTATTTTAGGAACTGGTTTTACTCGATCAATTGTACATTTTGTACAAGAAATACATTACAAAACTCCGTCCATAGGTCATTCAATTCGTTTTGACTTTGAATCAGATCCACTTCCGACCAAAGAGTATTACGGAATGTTGTATCGAATGCAATGTATTTCTTGTACAAAATGTACAATTGATCGAGTAAAACCAGTTCCTAAAATAACNTGTGTGCAAAACTGTCGTAAAGCCGAAGTTGAATGGAAAGCAAAGATTGATCAGTTAGAAAGTAACAAAGCAAGTGTAGATTGTAAATGGAGCATGATCGATCTCTATTGGACACAAGTAAGACTGGAATACATGAAAAGAATTCAATTTTATATTAAATATCGTTTAGCTTGATGAAGATATTCGTCGTTTATTAGAACGATTTGATGCAACAACATCTATTGATGGAAATAGCGATTCATTGAGTAACAATGGAAGTAATTCCAATACGAATGCAACAATGAATGACGAACGACAAGGTGAAGAAATTCGTTCATATATTCGACAGTTGAATACTTGGCAACGAGAAGATCTCGATGCACATTTGAAGCAACGTTTAGACTTTTCCACTAAAGCGATTGTTAAGCTCGTACGAGTTTTTGATAAGTAAGGTGTTTAGTTCAGTATAGGTACATTTGTATAAGTTATGTTTTAGTCTATCTGATAAATATCAACGATTATTTACTTCGATCAATTCTCCCGGTGAATCAAATTCAACTCCCGGTAAATAATATGCTTTTAGAAAACAAATGCTTGCGACGAAAATACTTCTTTAGAATGCAAACCTGAAGTGTATAAAGCTGTTCTCGACCGAAATGTCGATCTCGAGCGCGAAAATGATCGTATTCAACGTCTAAATACAAGTTTACAGAGTCGTATCCATGAAATAACCCTTCGAGTAAGTCTTTTTCCCGTCCAATACTTCTTTAACGAATTAAATTGGTTTATATGTAGTGTACAGATTTAAACAATCAAATTGTTCTTCAAGAAGAGCAATTACTCGAAGGCAAAAGTCATTTATCGGATCTTGAATATGAACTAGAAAAGTCTCGTAGTAAAGAAACGAAGTTAGAACGTTCATTGGCAGATGCAATCGCTAAACTCGAATGTGATCGATTAAAACTTCAAATGAATGATACGAAACAAGATTCAGATTCACATGCTGATTCAGCGAATAACAGCACGATTGTAATTGCAGAAAATAAAGTAAGCTCATCTTTGACGAAGTATTTGTTCACATGGATGTTTGCCTTTGCTTTTTTTCAGTATGCAGATTTACAAGCAGAAATCGAAGAATATAAAGAGTTAGCAGCTGGCCGGTTAGGTGAATTAGAAAAATTAATGAGTGATCACGAAACAACAAAACGAGAGGTTGAAGTTTTAAAAAATCGAGTAAGAATGAAATACTTGTGTGTTACCAATATGTTCTTATATGCTTTTTTTTCAAGCTTCGATCGTTACCTGAAGAGTTAATTACTGAAACGCCAGAATTTAAGTGTCTTCAGTCACGTTATACAGCTTTAGTTAACGAAAGTGTTCATCTAAGACACCAGTTAGCTGAAGCTCGTGAACTTGTCAAATGTACAAAAACAGTCTATGATCATCACTTTGAAAAAATTCAGGTAGACTTGTGTGAAAATTATATTGAAAATCTTGAAGAAAGTCATCTTTTTGCTTAGCAAGAAGAATTTGAAAATCAACGAAAGCTACATGCGAATATTGAACAAGTTGTCACTGATTTAGCTGAAGCTCGTCGTGACTATGATCTTCTTCAGGTTGAATACGAAAAAGTTCTGAATGCTAATCAACAATCTGGTTTGTTACTCAAAAGTTTCATAGGACAAAAAGAATATTTTATTTTATTTTAGTACCCATTACACGTGAAATGCGAAGTTTAATCAATCATTTACAAGCTCAATGTAAATTATATAATCTCGAAGCAAGTCGTTGCAAGAAACAGTGCAAAGAATTGGAAGACGAGTTAACAAGACTCAAAGTAAAACAAGAAAGCAATGCTAGTGACGGACTTAATTCCCAGATAAGTATAACAACATCAGAACCTACTTCTGCCGGATGCATAATTACAACTAATCAACCACCGTCGCCAACAATCAAAGAAGAGTCAACAAATCCATTTGCTGCACCATCGTCATCTTCAACTGCGGTAAAACCTGAAACAGCTACTAAAGAAGAACCAATCGAAGGGGTATGTATTTGGATGAATATGAACACCGTGAATATTTTTCATTGAATCTATTTAGAACGATGATAGTCGACTTGGAGAAAATTCTTTATTGGAATTTCCTGACCTACCGGATAGTGATTTAGATGAATCGTCAGGAAATCTAGCACGTCTTTCGTCAAATCCTGTAACTACAGAAGATAAAGATGCAGAATTACGTAATCTTAGAACGGAGTATAAAAAACTTACAGATATGGTGAAAGAATACAAGATTTTACTGAACATGTACAGGTAAATAAAGCACGATTGTTTCGTTTCATTGTTTTCGTCTTCGCTGTTGTAGAAGTGCGCCGAAAGAGACACGTGATAAAGCTAATCTAATGACATCAGAAAAGAAACTACGTCAAGAACTCGATGAAACTCGGAATGAATTGAAAAAACTTCAAATTTACGCAAAAACTTTGCGGAAAAAATGTAATGAAGATGAAGTGAGTTGATCTTTCGACTGAATATCAACTTCTACAAACGGTGTTTTTCTTTATGTTAAGGTACAAAATAAGATGCGTTCGTTTCAAGAGACAATTCGTGACCTTGAAAAGAATCTCGAAACTCGTAAGCAAGAAGAAGCAGCTCTACTGAATGAAATTGAAGTGACTGGTCAAGCATTCGAAGATATGCAAGAACAAAATAGTCGTCTTTTATCCCAATTACGCGAAAAAGATGATGCACATATCAAACTCATGGTTGAACGTGTCAAATTGCAACAATCCCAGAAAGCCATGTCTGACGAAAAAGTTCTTCTCCTTCAACAAACAACTGTTCTTCAAGAACAACTCGAGGCACAAGTAAAATTTCCGAACCTTTGTTTCACTTAACAGTATTTGGCTATTTAAAGGCAGTGATGAATCAAAAATACGAAGAAACAATTGCATCACTCCGCAACAGTGTCTTAGTTTTGGACAAAGAACTGAGTACAATGCATCAAACGTTGGATGCACATAAACGGAAAACCATTGAAAGTGCGCAAACATCTGCTGATCTAAAACTTCATCTTGATCGTTATCATGCGCAATTGAAAGAAGTTCAAGAATTAGTTGCTGAAAAGTCAGAAGCACTTGAAAAGCAAAATTTCAAAAATCGACGGTAAGTGCAGTTCGTACAGTCATATTATTCTTCTAAATTCGTTTCTATTAGACTTCAAGAAGACGTGAAGAATTTAAATCGTAAATTAGACCGATCACGTAAACTAGAGATGGCATCGAATAAAGACGAAGTTTTACTAGAAGAAATACGTGAATACAAGGAAATTCTTCGTTGTCCAGCATGTAAAAATAAACAACGTGATGCAATTCTTTCCAAATGTTTCCATGTATTCTGTTATGATTGTCTCAAATCACGATACGATTCACGTCAACGTAAATGTCCCAAATGTAATACAGCATTTGGACAATCGGACATGCATAAAATCTGGTTGGTCTAACTGTATAGTATCTTTCTCTTTCTTTTTTTAAATTTCCTCGATTGAACATATGTCAACGATGATTGGATAAATTTCGATCGAGAACTACCTGTTGTTCATCTTTTTTTCCTTCGTTTGTTTTCTTTTCTTCTTTTCGTTGTTTCAATGTTTGTCTCTGTGGAACATAAAATCAAACATATTCAATAAATGTGCAACGGAAAGAACTATACAACGATTTTCACTTTCTCATAGAATCAAGTCCACACAGATCCAATGGTTCGGATGATTTGGGGACAAAAGTATTGAAATGGTCAGGCCATTTTGGCTACCAAATAAAGTTGACCATCTTAGCTACTCAAAAGTCACGACGTTATCAAGAGATCGAGAATATCTTTATCGATCTAATCACCCAGAAATAATAATATTTTAGTCACCCTTACATTCATACCTTCAACAATTCAAAAAATGTTCGTTTTCTTGAATCAATAAAAAGTACACATCGATTTATTTCCTTCATCATGATATATATATATATATAAGCTCCATGCATATCCATATGATTACACAAAAATAAAATACTAAAAACACACTACATGACGATGATGAATAACGAGTAAATATATAGATGTGTGTCTGACTAGATGGTATTTGAAACAAAGATCATATAAGGAAATAATCATGGCTTTATTCGTATGGAAATAGATTTCTTCAATAAATTTCAATACACATCGCAATACCTAGACCACCACCGATGCACAGAGCAGCACATCCTCGTTTCAAACCTGTACGTTTCAATGTATGAATCAGTGTAACGAGTATTCGAGCACCGGAGCCACCAAGCGGATGACCAAGAGCGATGGCACCACCATTTACATTTAGCTAAGATTAATGAATAAGAATACGAAAGTATAAAAAATGTTTCTGTTTACCTTTTTGGGATCAATACGAAGTTCTTTGCTGACTGCTACGGATTGAGAAGCAAATGCCTCGTTTAGTTCAAATAAATCGACTGTTTCAATATCCCATTTAGCTTTGGTTAAAGCATCTTTAATTGCACCCACTGGTGCTAAACCCTGTATAAAAAGAAACGAATACGGGACGAGATCGACAGAAGAAAAAAAATATACCATGAGAAGTGGATCAATGCCAGATTGTCCATATGAAACAATTCGCGCCAGCGGTGCCAATTGTTTCAATTTAGCGGTACGGTTCGAACAAAGGACAACAGCAGCAGCTCCATCGTTCAAGCCTGATGCATTGCCAGCAGTTACTGTTCCAGCTATTGAACGAACCAATGAAGTGAGTTAGAGTGATTATTTCACCGCATATTTACCTTCTTTAAAAACAGTTTTTAGATTTGTTAAACCTGCGAGCGTTGTTTGTTTACGAGGATACTCGTCAGTTTTGATATGCACCTCAGCTAAAAGCAAAAGATAGTCATGCAAATTTATTGCAAAAATTTGATAAATGACGTACATTTCGCTGTAGCGAGCACAATTGGTTCGATTTCTGCGTCGAAGTGTCCAAGTGTCATTGCTTCTTCACATTTACGTTGAGATGACAAAGCAAATTCATCTTGTTCTTCTCTTGTCACATCACATGTTTGTGCCACAGTTTCCGCTAAATGCCGTCAGAATAAATAGACACAATCATGTCTGATTACTAATATCTACCTGTAATACCCATATGAACATGATTAAATGCGTCTGTTAATCTATAAATAAAGTCATTCAAAGACTTGATTTTCATCCCTTCTTTACTTTTCTTACCCATCGTGTACCATCGAATCGACGAGGGTAGTATCTCCCATCTTTTTGCCGTTTCTCAATGGTATACAATGTGGTGCTTGACTCATACTTTCTTGACCTCCGGCTACAACAATCGTTGCATCACCTGTACGAATTGCTTGGGTACCTAAAACAATTGCTTTCATGCCTGAACCACACACCATATTAACCGTCGTTGCTGGAATTGTATATGGTAAACCACCACCACGAGCTGCTTGCCGCGCTGGATTTTGTCCTTCATTGGCGGTCAATACTTGGCCCATGAAAACTTCACTGATTTCATCGGGCTTGATCGTAGCGCTAACTCTTGACAGTGCAGCTTTGATTACAACGGCTCCAAGCTGATGACCTTTTAGAGCAGATAAACATCCATTAAATGAACCAATTGGTGTGCGAACAGCAGATACTATAACCACATCGTCAAGACCTTCATTCACTGCATTAGCCATGGTTGAATGGATAAAAATAATCTACAAGATAGAAACAAGTATTCTTTGCAATAAAAGCCTCGATTTTGCGTATATATAAATCAAAATACGGGCCAACTCACTCTTTTTTTATTGTGCTTTCTATGAAAGACAATCATAACTATAGGACTGTACTGAACCGTGAAAAACAAAAGGCATTGCTTTGCAACGAGAAAAGGTAAATAGACAATCACAGCAATAAGCAGAAAGGAAAAGAAGTAAACAAACAACTTTTCCTTCACTCAAATCACATGTAGACAATTGAAATATATGAGTGTAAACAAGCGCCGAACATCGCTTTCACAGTAATTCGGTCACCTACTAACATGCTCACATCGTTAATGGTTACGATCGAACTCATATTTGCATCGCATCCATTCATTCTACTTCCTCATCAATATATATCGAGCTCTGTCTGACTATATATAATAGTTGAGCTGTTTCTGTTATCATCGAACACAAGATTATAGAACCATACATAGTAAACCAATGAAATTTATTATACGTTCGTTGAAATATCTTATCTTACTGATACACTTGTCATTTTTCTCTTTTGAATATCTGAAAAGTAAATCGAACAAATATGAGAACAGTAATGACAGTATACCAATAACTGAATTTCCTCTATATTTAAAATAAATGAAAAGCCAAAAACGAAAGATTCAGTAACAACAATAGTAATAATAATATTCACTGTAAGATAGAAAATATCAACGGAATGACTGTGAGATAAAGAATTAAAAAAATCAGAAACATAGTGTTCGATTTAGGATTTTTTTTTTGAGAACTATTTGCGGACAAATAGAGTATCGTCTTCGATTTCGTCTTCATCGTCATTAGCATCGAAAAGTGGTGCTTCAATTGCTGTTGGATCTGTGATCAATGTATATCGTTTTGGTTGTCGTTTTTTGCGTAAACTAAAATGTTGAATACAGCTCACGTTCTCAAACATGTTGGTTATTACTTACAGGAAAGCTTTTAATCCAACATACATCAAAATGAGGGCAGTAATACCAGCAAGTACAATTGTCGCACGTATGAATGTTCCTCGATCTATTTGACTAAATGTGTTATGTATGATATTTTTACTTTGATCGATTCGCAGCTTGATCGAGTCTACTCTTGCTGTTATATTTTCGTGCTTTGTGCTTTCAGATGTCGAAATTGTGGTCGCAGGTAAACCTATTGCTGCCTCTGTTGGAAGCACTCGGAGAGCATGCGTTGCAGTTTGATGAAGAACAATCGTTGAAATCAATGATAAGTATAAGCCATCCGCAAACATTCTTCTTATGAATCAATCTACGAACGAAAAAACAAACCGTACATAAATATTCAGAAAATATCATAGCAAACGAATTATTAGTAAGACACGTGCAGTACGATTTATTTGAAGAGTAGATAGTAGCGCTAATGTATGACAAGGACAAATATGCAAGTCGTCAGCGAGCAATATGCGACTTATATCAGACTACATCGAAAGAGGACACTACCGTTCACTAGCAAATGTCATCAATGATGAATATGATTGTATCTTTAAGAATATGTATGTATTTATTATGAATAAAAAAAAGATCGTATATAATGATGTATTGTACCTAATTCTCTCTTTTTTTGTCATTAGAATCAACGAAAATGGAAAAAGAAAAGAAGAAGCGAAGCTTATTTATCGTTGATGTTCAATAGAATGTTTTAAAAACAGATCAAATGTTGGACGCTCTTATATAAGCGATAAATTAACGTGTACAAATAGAGAAAAAAGATCAGCCGGTTGAGAAAAAAAACGAAAAGAGAAAAAAACCAAGATCACAACTATTCTCATTCGACACCTGTTGCTCCGTCACCTATAAAACACCAAATCAATAGAAAATTCAAGTCTTCCAAGATACTTTACCAGTTGCATTGGCACCACGTCGGAAATTTTTCTTTACTTCAGGTCGAGCTAGCTGTAAACGTTTTAAAAATTCATTTGTTTTATGACGCATATGCGCATGTAAATAAGCCTATGCAGTTAGACGTGAATTTCTTTTCCTAAGAAAACACAGAGAGTTGATACATACTTTACAACATTTGATATGATAATGAAAATAATTGCGGAGTGTATGGATGAGATTAATTGTATTGTCACGTGCGCCTACTTTTGTATGACGTGGGAAAAGAACTGAAGGGAAAGTAAGGAATGAATATTTCATTTCATAGCAAAAATGATTTTTTCCAAATACCGAATGTCAGGTAACCGATGTTATCGCCTGTTCGCGCGTCGGGCATATCTTTTAATTCTTCTGGCGGTGTACGATAACTAACAATAACTTGTGGAGCTTGTTGAAATTGTCTTCGCCGTTCTTTGAACTCCTATACAACCGAAAATAATAATGAACAAAACGGGAAAACTTTCTTACTTCCATGAAAACTCGACCAATGATATTATCATCAGCGTCTTTGAATACCGTTGAAAAAATCACAATAACACGGTCTGCTGATGCGTCGACATACATTGTCTCATCATCTCGATAATGTATAACTGCTCGTTTATGATTTCCAGCTGTTAGCTCTTGATTTGCTTGATATTCAAAGTACTTTTCGAAAACAGCCGCAAAACAATTTCGCTTTAACATAGCAATTTTACGCACAAGTGGTAGCCAGACTTCACTATTATCACCTTTAGGTAATTGAGTATTAAAATCCAAAGATAACGTTACATTATAACCTTCTAATGGTGCAACAAGTAAATTTCCATATTCTCGACGAAGAACCTACATGAACAATGAGAAAATAGCAAACAAAACAAGCTCGAGATTTACCTCATCAGTACCATGTTGTTCTAAATCCCGGTAAAATTTCAATTTAATGCTGACAGTAAATGGTTTATCACGTGAACTTGTTATATGATAAAGAGCACCATCGAAATCTAGAGGTAATCATATCATATTCCGAGATCATTCAGTTTGTACAATACAACTTACCGACAACATCAGTTTTCAGTTCCACTAGCTTTTCTTTACGTAAAAATGCTTCTATTTGAAGTGTTAATAATTCTTCAATGATCCGGTTATGTACTTCTAATAAAATCATCGTTTTTAACGAAATTAATGTTCAAACAATGAACAGGTATTTGACTTGACTAAAAAACAACAACAATGCAAGATTGAATGATTCACTCCTCCTTTCAAACAAGTCTGTTTGTGAAAGAAAAGTGAGCCAAACTCGAGTGTATAGCTTATAGATGTCGCTACAAATCGCAATCCTTCATTTCGACTGCATCGAATTCGTACATATTGAATCCTTTCACGCACACTACCAATCTGCGATGAATTACATCATATATATATATATCTATATTTGACTTCAACTGAGGAACTCACATCAATCGCAGCTAATAAAAAGTGAAATTGACATCTTGACGCATTCAATCATTTCCATTGCTTGCACGTATATTTTTTATTGAAGAATAACGATATTGAATGAAAGAAGAATTTCACAACTGAGAGATAAAACAAAATTTCGTATTTAATAACGACAGAAAGAAGTCTATTATGTAAGGCAAAAATGTTTATATCAGAGATAAAACACACGTCAGACATAAACAGGAATTTACATAGGAAATTAAATGAAAACAGATGAGATACGAACTATTGATTGTCTCATCAAACATTTTAAATCCTACACAACCAGCACATGACAACTGCCCAGGACAATGATTTCAGATCCGTGTAATTCCTGCAGGAAGACATCGGAAACCAACGAAAAATGGAAACAGAAATCCTTCTACCGAATCCTACGAGTGAGTTTTCCCGTTTCCTTCCAGTTCCGGAGAGAACCATATGATTCTGTGACTTAGATCCCCTCGAAGGATTCCTGCTTCCACTTTCTAGTGTCTTCCTTCCGGATCCATTCCGTACTTTTCGACATGAGTGGCATAAGAACAACTGCCGCATATCTAAGTGATTTCACGCTGTATTTTCATACCATGATCATTTTGTTCACGTTGCAAGTTCATCAATGAGCACCTGCTTTGCTTGTAACTTAGCTTCCTGTTCCGCAATCAGTTGCTCCAATCGCGCAAGTAATACCTGCGGTTGAAACGGTATTGTTCACAAGGGTGAATGCTACTAGAGTAATAAAAAGTCATTGTTATAAACTGCACGCGTTAATCAAACCAACAAATAGAAAACACGAAATAAGTTTTTGGAAGAAATCGTTTGCTACCTACCTTTGGCTTGCACATTCTTGTATGTATGACAGAAACTCAGCGGTGTATCTGGAGGAAAATGAAGAAGTTTAGCGTTATGTAGCGAAAGACGTGGCACAGGGAGAAAAAAACCCAATGATCTCATTGTTTTCATATTTATCGAGGTCTGTGCGTGTGGTCGAAACATGCTATGTTTTCTTAACTGATAGTTTAATAGAAAATCAGCGAAAGATACACATACAAAATCATTCTCGCCTAAACTTATTTCAGATGAAAATGGATCAATTTATATTTTCTAACTAACTAGAATACATTGTGAAACACGGTTCAAGGAAGAGCGGATAAGCTCTTTGTCATCACATTGATGAAAACGACTAGAAATTATCGTCATTTTGTGACGAAACAAGACGACTATGTATGCATATCTAGCTGTTGCTCTGGAATTCAGTATGTTAACATTAACATTGATTGAAAAATGAGTGAAACATTGGTTTGTGCTGATTTTCTTTGTTGGACTTTTGAGAATCTTTAAAAGAAATCGATTATCTAAGAAAGTTGATCAGCGAATGAACACAGGAATAATTGTTGTTCGTAGACAATCTTCTTTCGGATAAAACTTTATATAAATAATGTTTCATTGATAGTAAAGATAATTAACCGAAATTGTGTTGATTTGTGTGTAGAGACATCTACGTGTATTGTTACTTATGCTTTGTTCTTTTCTGTTATTCGTTAATGAAAGTTTTGTATTTTTGGGTATGAATGTTGGTTATCTGTCGTTGATATATGAAATGATGAAAACGATTTGTGATGAAGATTAGTTTAGTAACAACACTTATGGAATAGAAAATCACATTTTTAATAGGATTTTTATGATAGATGTTATTTATCTTGGAATTTTCGTGGAACATGAGTTTTGTTACTACGGATGATCGAACTGCCGATGTTGTAGTTGATGTTGATTCCTTTTATAGACAGAATAGATTTCGATATTTGAAGGAAAATTATGGTTTCGATGTTTATAAATTATATGATAGTTATGAGAGAACAACGTTGAAATTAGTGCGTGTTTATTGTGATTTGGATTATTTGTATGAATGTCGACGATACAATATCATGCTATTGGCGTTGCCTTCGCTCGAGAGACGAAACTCAATCTGTTTATTCGAAACGATGTGAAAGGGAATGTGTATCGAAGATAATAGAAACAGATGGAGAGGACGATGTGAAGATATGTGTATGTACATGCCTGTAACACATGCCAAAGTTTTTACGATTGAAACTCGCTAATCCGGAATTAATATATAGTCGAGCTTATTGGAAGTGCCAAGTTGTGCTTTTAAAGGAAGAAATTTATTTAAAAAAATGTAAAATTAACTATTTGTTGAGAATACAAACGAATTTTTATGAAGAGTTAAGAGGTTTATTTCCTGAAGGTGTTATGAAAAGAATTGATTTTATTATCGATGAAGTTCAATTAAAAGAACAGGAAACTAAATATCGTCGTCATTATAGGAAATTTAATAATTTATTAAATGCTATATATATACAACAACAACGAAGAGAAAATTTTCGTAAATTTTTAAATGAACATCCGATGAATCAAATAATTAAAAATATTGATGATAATGATAATGCTCATAATAATCCTGACAATGATGAAAGTACAGTTAATGATGCAAATGCTAATGGTGGTAATAATTCAAATGATAATGATAATAATGATGAAAGTGAACCAAAACTAGTATGGAATTTATCGGATCGTGAACTAACTGAAGAAGAAGTTTATGTTTTAGAAAAAGGATTGTCATCTAATCGTCGTGGTACAATTAACCATTTTGAAATTATTTCTAACGTGGAATATTTATTTTATCAGTCATCTAGCGTCCGGAAAGAGCAAACTAGTTTTCAGAAATTGGATGAAGATCCGGATGGTGCTTTATACAAAGAAACTAGAACGTTAGAACCATAGACAGCTATCTCTTGCTGCAGATTTGAAAGCTGCAACAGAAAAATTCTTTAATGAAGCTCAACAGTCATTTAATCGAAATAGAAATACAACGCTTGATGATAAACATGAAGAACAATTATTAAGAAATTTATCGAAAGATCCATCTATTGTAACAACTAGGCCTGATAAAGGTAAAGGTGTCGTGGTAATTTATCGTGCTGATTATATTGAAAAATTAGAACGAATTTTGAGTGATACATCAAAATTTCGGTTGGTAGAGAAAGACCCAACTGGTTGTCGTGAAGCTGCACTAACATCTCTTTTAAGAAGAATGAAGAACGAAGAATATTTAACTGAACAAGAATATCGATTTGTCAAACCAGTAGGTTCAATTCCAGCACGATTATATGGATTACCGAAAGTACACAAGGTGAATACTCCTCTTCGACCTATTGTATCTTGTGTACAATCATACAATTATCGTCTGGGAAAGTTTCTAGCAGATATTATCAAGCCTCTACGAGACAGTAAATATTCATTCAAAAACAACGATGGATTTTTAAAATTCTTAAAACAAAATTCATCATTATCAACAAACAAAATGATAAGCTTCGACATAGAAAGTTTATTTACAAATATACCAGTTGGTAGAACAATTGATATTATATGTTATAAATTATATTGTACTGATCCAAAACTACGACTTTATATTCCTGAACATTATTTTCGTCAAATGTTAGAATATGCTACAAAATGGACTCATTTTCTCTTCAGTGGCAAATATTACGATCAATGTGATGGAGTCTCGATGGGAACTCCACTAGCAGCAGTTTTTGCAGAAACTTTTATGACGGATTTTGAGCAAAAACATTTACCTGGTATATTAGATGGACGAGCACCTAAACTATTAGCATGGTGTCGTTACGTGGATGACACCTTCACCATTGTCAGGCCTGATGAAGATGGAGACCAAGTTCGTGATCTTTTAAATATTTTTGATCCTTGTATTAGATTTACAGTTACACCAGAAGTCAATGATACTATAGCATTTCTTGATGTAATGGTGAAACGAAACAACAAAGGATTCAACACCATAGTATATAGAAAGGAAACAGCAACTAAACTGATGTTGAAATGGAACAGTTTAATTCCAACAGCATATAAAAAGTCATCTATTTATCCATTGGTAAACAGCTATTCGAGTATGTTCCACCTATGAATTATTACACAATGAATTGATCTACATCCGCTGAATGGCAGAATTCAATGGTTATCCATCTAACTTTGTACAAAGTATAATAAACAAACAGTTGAACAAATATTACCAAACAAAAACAAAAGAGAATTTAATACCAACAACATCAACTGAAATTAAATACAGATATATACGAATTCCTTATGTCGGCAAACTAAGTTATGTTTATTCAAAGAAACTCCTGTCCATTATCAAACGATATGATCCAATAGCACAAGTGAGAACAACATACAATACAACAAATCAAACTCGACGACACTTTCCAACCAAAGATCAATTAAAACCAAATCAAAAAAGCGGTGTAGTGTACCAAGTATCCTGCTCAAATTGCATCAAAACTTATATTGGTAAAACCATAAGACAAAGTTATCGACGCGTCAACGAACATGAAAAAGATGTCGTTAAAGCGCTCATCTTTATCCACCAGGCATCTTCTATAATTCGAAAGCGAAAAACCATCAAACAGCATTTGAACACTATCAAAGGTCAAGTACAAAAGAAACCATCAACTCAACCGATTAGAAGACGTGCATGATTGATGAACAAAAAACAAATATCAAACTCACAGCAACAATATGATCAATCAACTATCACTGGATATATCCCTCAATCTGCATTAGGAAAAAACACATTTCAAACTACACATTCAATCAACTTCGACGATATACAAATACTGAACGAAGATCAACGACACTATCGGCTCTTAATCAAAGAATCACTTCAAATTCGATCGAAAAAACCAACACTGAACGGTACCAACACATCTGTTCCACTTTACGTATTTCCAGAGGGCATCAAAACAAACAGACCTTCAATAACAACAACAACAACAACAACAACATCGAATCATTCAGCTAATCAGTCATAACCCAAAAATTCTTCCAGTAAGTCACAATCAATGCCAATAATTAACTAATTATTCTCCATAGCTATCAAATCCACCACAAAATGAAAATCTCCTCCACCACCATAATACATTTCGTTAAACAGACTCTCTCCAACAATCACTAGGTAGAAGCAAACTTCAACTAAGTCATCAAAAAAACAAATTCGATTGACTATAAAAAACAACAATTTTGGTTAATCATCTTGAAAATCCTGTTTTCATTAATTTTTATCATAATATAGTACTTCTGTTATCAAGACTAGTTTCACGTCATCAGTAATGCCACACGCACACATTCCGCGTACATCAACACAAACATCGTCTCTGTGTACAAGACAAAATGTACCACGTGATCATCAAAAGAGATGTAAGTTAACTATCCGAGTACATTTTGCTACACTTTGTCTCTACCATAACTTACACGGAAAAGAAATATTGTGTTTTTATTTCTTCCCAGGTCGAAGAATCCGGCCCGGAAATGACTAGTTCCAGGACCTTCCGGGGATTTCATGGAAGCAGTATTCCGGCTACCGAATCCTTTCATCGCATTTAAGAGGTTTTATCGGGAACCAGCAAGAACCCGCCATAACCATTAGTCGGCTACGGTTACCAGTTCCTTCAGTGGGATTCCGAGTATTTTCTCGTGGTTTCCAGCGCGGACACTATAAATATCCTGCGGGTTTTCACAGGAAATAAGCGGAATACTGCTTCCAGGAACGATCGTCCTGGGTTCTTTGTCATATCAGATGGATCAACTCTTGTTCAACAGACCACTACAAACAATAGGCCATTGAATACGGCAAGTACTGGAATTCCTCATATATGTATGTTTGTAGTCGCAGTGAGCTCACCCTTATTCGCTGCATTATTCATTTTGTGTTTGATATAAATGAGTTAGGCCACAGACACACTATAAAAAATAAAATTGAATTTAAACTGAACTATGCATATGATTGGTCACTTCACATTTAATTCAATTTCATTTTTTACAGTAAGTCTTTAGCCTTAACGGACGAATAAAGGTCATCGATTTTATCGTCCGTAGACAATTTTTCTTAATAAAAGTTTCGTCCGCTACATATATGATTTCACTTAAGATGTTCACATATATATATATACATACGTGTTGCTTATTGAATAACTGATACAATGGATTCATTCATAAACAATTCTGCACATGAGGAAGAGGATATGTGGTTAAGTGAGGACGACCCTGAATACGTATGTATTTTACTTGCTTTGAATGAAAACCGACAATACGAGTATTTCCAGTAATGTAAATGATTTTTTCTCTTTTAATGTAGAACGATCAAGATGACATTGCAAGTACATTTACCAATTTTATGCGAAAGTCGCTCAGGTTTCAAAAGAAACAAGATATTTATTTGCGTCAATTATCGAACGCTCAAGTTTATCATGGAAAAATCCTCAAGAAAACTATGATTATTCTCGACAGTCAAGCTAAAACGTTAGAAGAAACGAATAAGATGTTGAAAGAAGGTAATGAAAAACCAGAGAAAATTGTCGAAAAAGGTGATACATATCAAGTGGCTGCAAATAAAGATCTTTTGTCGATCAACAAAGACTTATTTTACAAAGAATCTCCAGTCTAGATATTAGTTCCATTATCCACTAAATCTTATATGAATCCTTTCACGCACACTACCAATCTGCGATGAATTACATCATATATATATATATCTATATTTGACTTCAACTGAGGAACTCACATCAATCGCAGCTAAGAAAAAGTGAAATTGACATCTTGACGCATTCAATCATTTCCATTGCTTGCACGTATATTTTTTATTGAAGAATAACGATATTGAATGAAAGAAGAATTTCACAACTGAGAGATAANAAAAGAAATCGATTATCTAAGAAAGTTGATCAGCGAATGAACACAGGAATAATTGTTGTTCGTAGACAATCTTCTTTCGGATAAAACTTTATATAAATAATGTTTCATTGATAGTAAAGATGATTTCTTTGATGAAGTCCATGTCAAAAGCACCATATAGATAATAAATATAAGATTTCAATCGATTCATAGAAATGGGTTAGTAATGGTGAAATAAGCATAATGGTCACTCGCAGAGCGCGCGCGCGCGCCAACTTGTGTTATGAATAATTGGGCAAAAGATGCACTTGATCGCCTTTTATCAATGACAACTTTCTTCGAAAGCGAAGACGATCGTTTAGTATTGAATATTTCTGGTGCTCACTATGAAATCAATGTTTCTGATGTGTCGAATTTTCCCGACACGGTTCTCGGCGATCCACTGAAACGTATTCGTTATCTTGTACCTGGCAAAACCGATTATTTCTTTCCACGACATGCGAGCTCGTTCGAATCGATACTCTATTACTATATTAATGATGGAGTTCTTATTAAATCAGAGACTATTCCAGCAATGATATTCTACGAGGAAATTCGATTTTTTCAATTGAACGACAAATTAGTGCAACGATTCTATAATGATTATCTCTCAAGCTACGAGCAAATACCTATGAAAGCTGATTCACGATGGAAGAAGATCTTTTCTCATTCGTCAAATATAATGAAAACATTCTCGGCAGTATTTAACGCTCTAGCGATTTATTCTCTATGTGTAGAAACAATGAGTGTATATCGAAGTGTTCATCATACAATGTGGATAGTCACTCATCCATCAAAACCTTCGACATGTTCCGACATGAATATACGTCCCTATCAATTCATTCCATCGTTTAATTCAGAAAATACAACATTAGAAATGATCTGTATCGCTTGGTGAGTGACTTTACGATAAGTCTAAAATGTGAAAAACAAACATTTTCCTAAGGTTTTATTTCGAATTATTTACACGCACGTTAATCACACCTTCATTGTTTCAATTAATTTTCGATCCAAATTTTGTGCTAGATATTCTTTGCATTTTACCAACGATCTTAAGTCAAATATTCTATCAAATTTATGAAAGAAATGGCAATCCTACGAAAATCAATGAAACCCAATTATTTGATTATTTGACTTGTTTGAAATTATTTCGTCTTTTCCGATTAACTCGTCATGTACAATGTTTGATTACGCTGCTGAAAGTCTTGTACATCAATTTAAAGGATGTATTGATGTTAACCATCTTAATCATCTTTGGAGTCTTCTATTTTGGCTTAACACAATTTGTTCTCGAACAAATGTATGAAGAAAATGAAATGAAAAACATCGGCGAAGCATTATGGCATGTAAATACTCATGAATAAACATCAGTCCATCATAGAAATGTGAGTTTTACTGTAGGGATTTACAGTTATTATCACAATTGGTTATTCTGATCTCGCTGAGCATCAATTTCTATCTTACATATTTGCCATTGTTGGAGTTTGGTACGGTTCGATATCAATGGCGATTATTCTACCGAATGTAACTCAATCGTTCAATGTTTTTCATAACATAAAAAGGCGTCGTTTTATGATTAAATATAAAATAAATTGATAAACAGAATTTATTGTATCTTTTCTGTACAGAATCATTAAGAAAGTTCAAACCCGGCATTGGCTTGAATGGCATAACGTAATTTATCCAAAAGAATTCGTCGAGTTTTATAGCTGGGTAATCTGTCAAGATAAATCAAAAACTACATACGCAATAAATCAATGATAGAACTTTACTTTAACAAATTGAAACACGTTGAGCTTGACGGAAGCCGTTCGGATGACGTGCGGTTAATACTTATCATATTACGAAATATTCTTCCTAGTGTGTCACCTTCTTCCTAAAAGACACGATTTTTAAATGAGATTTCATTTCGAAGTTTACAAAATGTCTCTCTTACTTCATGTTCAGAACTTTCCAAACAACGAATAGTAAATGGAGGATTCAGTGAACGAAAGCCAAGTAATGGTGCACGACTCGAACTTGTCACAAACTAAAGTAAAGATACACATATGTATAGAGTATATATAGAATAGATCGACATACACGAAGAAAAAGTGCTCGTTCTTCTCGAGAGAAATCTTGTTCGAGTATTTGCCAAAGCCATTTTATAACTGGATGCGTTCGATGATAACCACCCTGGTAAACAATATTCGATCTAAGAACGAAAATTCTCGTGATATTCGACTTGGATTCATTCTAAACGAACTTTAAATCTTCTAAATCAATATCGGATGATTCTCCTGATATCAATTGTTGCAATTCCGGAACGGAAAACATGTTAATCCATTCCGGTTTCATTAAAGTTTTAAAGCCTTCAGTAAATGCTTTGATTTGATTCTTGATACGCGTATATGTTCGATAAATAGACATACGATGAATATAAACGATTCTAAAGCAATCGAAATCATTTTGGTATGCAATTGTCACGTGAATCTCTCAACGAACTTGTCGTCATTTGTCACATTGATATGCCGTCCACACGGAATGATATCATAAGTTACTAATTCGCCGAGAACATCTTCATCGATAGAATAAGTTAACGCTAACGATGACACATCACCATCATAATGCTTTGACAAGAAAATTCGAATGTATGAAAGACGATCAAAACAAAAGACTTGTTTACCTTGATAAAATTCAGATTATTGTACAGATCTCGATCGAGAAACATTAAATCATCAAAACATGAATAGTTTAGATTTTTTCGTGAAATTAAATGGCGTAAAAAGAATTGAGTTAATTCAATGTCAAGAACAATTTGTTCATAGACGGCTTTGCCTAAGATTTTACCGATAAAATTGAAAAGATATAAATAATTTTCTGTGCGATCAGATATGGGCGATGGATATAGAGTACGATTCTCTGTTACCTACGACAAAGAAAAGAAAAAAACTGATATCAGAAAAACGATTCGTTATTACTCGAAAGAGATTAAAGGAAGGATCGAATGCTTGTCGTATAACTTCTTGAATAAATTCTTTAAATATTCCATTTTGATCAATACCAGCTTCCGCAAGACCTTGAGGATTGATAAAACTAATTCGAATCGTATTTTTCCAAGTTGTTGACGAAGCATTTTGCAACGAACGAAAAGCATCCTAAATTCGTACAATAACTTCGAAATGACAATGTTATGATCTCCTACTTACACCGAAAAGATTTGTACGATGAATCTCATAATAGTTCTTCATATGATATCGAGACGTGGAGTATTCATTAGATTCTTTTTCCTTATCACGTTCAATGAACATTTGAAGAATTTTCACACGCTAAATATATAAAACGCATTCGAACACTTGCTGATAGGAAAATTCTTACATCTTTGAATGTTAAGATATGTGGAATTTGTTCGAGAAGATAAAATGCGCATGATTCCGTATGTTCGAGATCAGCCATAAAGGACGATGAGGATTTTACGTCACTATTTTTGAAAAACTAGAATATGAAGGTTATTGTTTGGAAAAAGTTTACCGAATTAACCAATGCGAATCAGGTACGAACGATTTTCTTGAATTTCTTTCATGAAGGAGTATTAAAAGTTGATGTAATGTTTTATACAACTGACTATTTTCTAGTTTCAGTTTCGGTGATGTCGCTGTGGTTCGTACAAACTCAACGCGAATCATTCGGTATACAAATTGATTCAGAAATAAACATAATTGTGACCAAGATTCAAGTTCCATATACTTCTGTTCTTTGTACATTTCTTCTTCGTCTAAAATTCTGTAATAAAAAAAAACCGTGGAAGTCATCCGAGAATATGAATAAGGATCTCTTACGTCGCTAAATATGAGCATAAATTACAAAATAATTGAAGAAGATCGAAGATTGGTTGATGTTCATCTTTATTAATTTCGTAAATTTTTGTTAATTCTTTCAAGCCACATGTCGGACCGATATTGTTCAAAAACTGCCATAAACTACTGATTAGACTGTCTTGTAATGACAAAGCTAAACATAAAAATGTATGAAATTTGTTGTGTTAAAACGAAGAAATCTTCATACCACAGAGTATTTGTAGTCTTAATTCAGTTAATGTTTGAATTAATTTCTGATAAAATGTCGTTATACGACAAATCGATTGAGTTAAATCATCTGTAATTAACTTCTCCACTGTCGTCTTTGTATGAAATAACTTTTCAAATTTCGCTCGAATGATATCTTAAGAAAAGAATCTATATTATTTTCAAAAACATAGTTAACGACTTTACTCGTTTCTTTCTTGATTACTGATGATTGACTAGTTGAGGACGCCGTCGGAATCGATTCAAACAGCATGTTGACAAAGGATTTTGACCAAAGATATTTATACTGGACGATGACACGTTGAACAACTTCTTGATTTGAACTATAAGAAGAAAATTCTTATTCGGAAATGTGAAAGTTTTCTTTTGTAACGAACACAGTCATTCCACTTGTTTTGCCTCGAACATGACCGATGATTAGATGCCAAACACTTGTTGATTTCGATTGTGTATTATTCTGTTCGCCTGTGCTTTGTCGTTGTCGGCATAGATCCAATATATTGAAAAGACTCTGAACAAATGGTTGTTTCATGGTCTCAATTTGACTTGGATCGATACTGGCAAGAGCAACCAGATTTCCTATTGATATTCACATGTCAAACAGCGTTTAAAATAGTACAAAAACAAACTAACCTAATATGTAGCATAATTCGATTATATCGATAGAATCATGCGTATTGACAAGAGATTCTTTGACACTATATATACAAATAAGATGATTGAATAAATCCTTCTGGCAAACCATTTGAAATGTCTACAAGAGAAAGTGTTCGACTGGAATGTTGATTTGTCGAAGTGATTTTACTTTATGCGAAGTTTCATGACACATGGTGATGAATGTTGGAATAGTAAGGATCGTTTGAGATAATAAAACAACATGCGTTCGATTCAAGTCATTATTTAGCAGCAATCTGGAACATAATGGTTTTGATATAGAAGATGAGACAAATTTGAGACTCACTTGAAAGACAAAGTGGCAATGTTAGAAAAGATCGATGACTCCAAGCGACGTTGCATACAGCGAATCATTGCAATCTTTATAGAAGTAAAAATGTGAATTGATTCAATAGATTCAGTGAGAAGTGATTTGTAAATTACTTTGAGAATTTTCAGAAGATTATGTTGACCAAGGTGAATTAGATAACTACGTTCAATCGCAAGTATTGTTTTAAGAAGAAGTTCGTCTAAAGATGTGAATAGATGATCCGACTGAAGAGAAGAAAACACTCACTCATGTTTTTCTGTAAAGCTCTCCAACTTTGACAATCGGTCATCAAATAGATAAAATTCAATGAAGTCATGAACAATTTAATGTCAACAGTCGTTATCAATTCAGTGGTTTCAAGTATTTTCAAGGCAATTACTAATAAATCTTGATTGAATTTCATCCATTGTCCATTCATTTCTTTATTAAAAAGAGTCGCTATGTGATTGTACTAAAAAAGGTAAAGATATCGATCGATTATTCGAATGCTTTTCATCAGTTTATTCGTGAGGAAGTTTGGATTTGACATGTTCCTCACTATTGGAGTCGAAAGATCAGTCTTACGTACATTCATATCATCAGTAAGTAGACTTGTTGAGAGGTAGTTGAGTACTCCTAACAGCATCTTCAAAATATAAAGAAAGAAATTCTATATAATAAATATCTGATGGAAATACATACTTGTTGGAGATCGGTTGAATTATTCTTAACTTTCATTCGATTATAATATGGAAGAAAATGTTGTAGGTGTGTGAACATTGTTGAAACTATGAAATAAACTTCAATATGATAATCAATTTGCGATGAAATGATTTACCTGGTTGTGACGGCGGATAGCTTTGTGGATTTTGTTCGGTAAAACCCAGAAAAATTTGATTGAGTTCATTTCTGGAATAGATTGAAACGATAAATAACGAAACGAAGTGGAGAAAAATGGTTTACTTTCGATAATCTCGATATTTTTTTCTCACGAGATAACCTCGTACAACCTTTTGAATAATAACGACTGACTGTTGAATTTGTTTTTCACGACGACGAGCTTCGCGAGCTTCGTCCAAATTATGTAGGAAGTCATTTTTGTTCAAATCATTGGCCGCTTTCTTTGGAAACATTCTAACTGTTTAGAAAATAAGCTGATTTAAGCTTTGAAGCATAGCAGAGTGAACACTGTGATTCTATTGGACGGTCTTTTCTCCAATGGATTTTTCGTGCCCCAAAATAGTAGTAGACAGATGAATGCACGCTGTCGTTTATGATTTTAATACATAAAAAGAACTAGGATATTTGACGTCTAAACGAATATCTATCAATTAACAGTATTGTTTACAAATTCAGTTTATCAGAACCAATATTCATTGTTGCAATCGAACAATACGGACTAGAATAGTGTACTATATGAATATATCATATCACATAATCGTCGGAATTTTAAAAGATTTCATTCGTACGAATTTGACGAGCATTCGTCCGAGCACTTTTCACGAATTGTAAGTGTAACATTTACGAAGGACATGCCCATTCAGCAGCTAAATATACTTGGACTTTTATTGTTTGAGATACATTCAAAAAATGACTATGATTTCTTCTAGCGCAGTATATAATCATAATACTCCGGAAGCTTTCCAAAGATGAAGTTAGTTTATGTATATTCAGCAAAGTAGTGTACACTTGATAACCTTTTGTATTAAGTATAACACATAGTGACATCTACAGCAAAGCGTATCGTTGATTATAATCGATGTGATCGAATAGTCAGCATTTCTTCTGTTTATATTCGTGACGAGAAAACCATATCTTGTTCCGTATCGATATCCTCCCTTAAATTTATAAAATAAGATTTGCGTTCGAACCAATCACGTATTGAACATTTCAACGGTTTTCAGATAAAAAAGCATTAAAGACTTCAAAACTACAATAGATAATATGTCTTCTGAAAACGAAAAGTTAGTGAATACAAATGGTGGTGGCATAAAACGACATCATTCAAGTATAATTCGTTGAATGCATTCTTTTTGTAATCACCTATTCTGATATTTTAGTCGAAAATTTCGAACCAGTCAAAGAAGCCAAGACGGAAAAAACGCCACAGAAGTCTGTTGATACTAAATCAAAAGAAGTCACAAAGGTTCATCTTCACCATCAAACGGAAACAAGCAACGAATGTCTTGAAAAAGGAGACATCGTCTTTATGTGTAAGTTTGACTTGAAATCATCCTTCTCGTTGGAATAGACAACGATATTCATCTTACTAGATAAACCAAAGTTGGGCGTTGACGAAGCATCATCTCTTGATGAAGTTCAATTATTCCATGTCATGTTAATTCCAGAAGATGAAACTAATCAGGGCGATCAATCATCGAAAACACGTTTGATTAAGATCGGAAAAAAGAAATTACCAGCCAGTGGAAAAGATCGCTTTTGGGCTTTTATCGAAAAAGCTGATGATGATTTAGAGAAAGTTGAAGAAAATCTCGAAGCTCAATCGTATCAAACAGCAACAGTTGGAACACGAACAATCAAAGCTGATCGTATTGCTGGCAAAGGAAAATACATCATGGTTAAGGAAGATAAAAATCGCACAGCGATTGGTTATGTTCTCGAATCGCCAGCTGAAGTTGGCGAAGTTCAACATGCATTTAACATTACGAAAGAAGCATCCTTTTCTCTGGCAGTGAAAAATCCGAAGAAGAAAAATCCAGCTGGTGCAGGTTTAACTTCAACTGAAAAGGCTGAGTTTCCTGAAGAACTTTTGAAAAAATTTGGTGATTATCAATGGTTACCAGGTTTGTCGCATCTTTGAATCAACAATATTTATCAAGAGTTTGATTTCAGCTGAACCAGCAATGCTTGATATTCTTGGCTGTGAAATGATCTGGATTGGTTCCACGACTGATGCTCTCGAAAATTTGCTGGAAGAACTTAACAAAGAAATCGACGACGAAACAACAGCAAGTGAAGTGATGAAAGATATACAACTAGATGAAAAACAACATCCAACTCAACCATTGATCGATGGCGAATGGCCAAAAGCAGAAGATGCACCAGAGAAAAAGAATGACGAAACGTCTTCAAACGAATAGATTCTCATCTTGTCTTTAGTCTATATTTATATCTTATCTTTAATTTATTACGATTAATACTCAGTTGCGATTGATTATATAATAAACGTTAGAATGAACCTTTGGACAGAGATTTTGTATTCAATCGACATTCCTGCAAGGCAATTAAACTTGTAACAAAGTCAAAATACGATAAACGATCATTATCGTGGTCGGCGTCAATCGTATGAATAGCTATTCGAATGATTTCTTCATCAAAATGAGACGTTAAGTGTGGTAGAACACGTTGAATATCTTCGAAAGTTATATACAAATCTTTGTTGTGATCAAGTTCATTGAAGACGCTAAGAAAACTATGCGTATCTTGTTTGATCGGTGGTAGATAGCATAGGATAAGTAGGAAATTTTCAAAAGTACATGGAGTTCGAACGTCAAACTAAGAAGAGATACGAAAACTAATCGGAAAATTATTCGTAGTACCTGTAAAAACTGCATTGTTTCAATCAGTACGACTTCTGTGACTTGTTCATGGAAATCATTTAGAATTCGAAAGATGTCTTCAAAAAATATTTGGTGTTTTTCATTGGCATATGTATTAAAATGAAGTTCAAGAACATTGAGAATACCATGAAGATTTGCCGACGATTCCATATCTTTTTGTGCGTAGAAAAGTAACATTTCAGTTATTGAACATTGCCGAATGTTCGGTGTGCTACGTTGATGCTCAACATTCACCACCGTATTATTCAAACTACTATTGGAATTGAAGATTCTTCCTATGGAATCATTGCTGCTGATCACTCTAGGACGATGATCGATAGAAACAATGGATGAACTCACAGTTAGAATGTTGTTGTCGTTCATAGGAAAATAATTTATGCGCGTTTTTCGTGTCTTGCCGCGAAACAAGAAGAATATTCATTTAAAATTATGATAATCTTTCCTCCGATGAATATGCATGGGCTGTGGCTGTTGTTTACATGCATCAACTGAGAAAGATACTTTACGTGTAACAATTGTTGGCTTGGAAAATTCCGGTAAAACGTCGCTTGTTCAATGTTTGAAAACTTCGAAAAAATCACGTCAAACATCTCCGTGTATTTCTACTCATGGTGTTATATCGATTAATATTCAGACGAATATGAATTTCCTTGTTTTTGATTGTGGTGGGTGTAAACATCAACGGCATATTTGGCCTCATTTAATGAACAGTCCCGACGTGATCTTATTTGCTGTTGATAGTGTGGATTTAACGTGTTTAAATGATGCGAGAGAAGCGTTGAGTGATTTACTTGTGGATGAGAATTTGATCAACAAACCTTTACTTGTTATTTTCACGAAATTAGACAGAGGAAATAAGCTTTCTATTGATGAACTTGAACAAGCATTGGATCTTTCAGTGATAAAAGTAGCTATCAAAGAAGAAAGCGTTATAATTGTTTGATCTTTTTATTCTATTTAGGATCGATCAGTCCATATAGTATTGTTTTCGTCTGTCACTCTAGATGGTTTAACGTCGATAAGAGAGTGGCTAACATACTTCAGTTATCGTAAACTTCAAGGTAAAGATATGAACATTTCAACCTCTGAGAGACATGGCTTACCACATTCACTTAACCTTTCAACAGCATGACTAACTTCCACAATCTACAGTATCTAGTTGATTGAAACAAACATTAATTATAACAAGTAAAAACTGTTTTTATTAAACATAAAGTACACACATATCACCTTTGTCTATCAAATATCACGATAAGAGAGGAGAAATAGAAAATGGCTCCTCCGAATGTTTCCATTGTTTGCCATCGTATTCTGCTATGTACATAGCTAATGGTGGATATTTACCAACGGCACGATAGAATGTTTCTTGATTAGGGCGTTTTCCTTTAATTGCACTTGTTAACGCTAATAAACCTGGCGCATGCGTAACAATCAACACTGTACCACCGCGATGACCATATCGATTAATAATACCACGCATAACCGTACTACATCGATCAAAATAGTCTCCTAAGGATTCCGGTGTATCAATTTTAGGTATCAGAGACCTATATTCAAGTTTAATATTGTAGCCATTTTCGATTAGCTCAGATTTAGTCATAAAGCTATCAATAACTTTTTGATGTTGATGAGGACATTCAAATAGGCCCGGTTCAACACGAATAGGGATGCGCGCACTCGCATTCAAGCCTATGTGAATATAAAAGAAAGATATCTCAAAAGAAATCAAGTTGTTCACTACCTGTCAAAAGACGTTCACTTGTCTGTATGCAACGAAGAGCGCTTGATGACAGACATACATCAGGTACAATGTTAGCTTGTAGCATAGCACTACCTGTATGACGAGCCAGTTTTAAACCATGAACTAAAATACAGATAATGCGCACGGTGCGAGACAAAATTCATTTTGTACATACGAGTAAGAGGTACGTCGAATTCGTAGGCGTGATGAGAATGTCGTTGTGGTAATGCTTTTGGTAACAATGGATCATATGCGACATAATTACCAGACTCGAAAGCTTTTAGAAACCAGTATGTCCCTAATACCTGGTTTACTCGTTCGCTATGGCGAACGAAAACAAGACGTAATGGTTTTCTTTTAGATACACCATTAAGTAGTTGATGGTGACGTGGTATAGTTGTTGAATGCTCCTCATGCGCTTCATGATCTTGTGTAACTGATAACTGAGGAACACGGCGACTTGAACGTATATGACGTCGATGCGTAGCATCCTTGCGGGACGCATTTTCTTCTTTTTCATCATGATTCTGTACAAAACTGGCTGATTGATGAACGGTTAGATGGTTTTCATGCGAAGCTCGCCGTTGAGATAAACCATTTGAAAGTTGTTTCGACGATTCGAGTAAGATTGGTCGTCTCGGAGGTATTCTTGGTGAACTTTCGTAAACATTTGTAGCCGAACGATGATGTCTCCGATGCTGATCTAATGAGTCAGCAACTGTGTCTATTCCACCTTCAGTATCGTATCCTGTTTCGGAACTTCGACGGGGTTTGAACAATGCCTGAGAAACATGTAGTACTGCTGACGCTACTGAATCGCTATAATCGGTTGTTGTGATAATTGGAAGAGACTGTTGTTGATTATTATGATCTGATGTTCTATGCGAAAGCGCTTGTGGATGTGATGAATTAATCAAATGATCATTATTATTGGCATCGCTGTTCGTTAAATGCCATTCTCGATGCATTAGATCAGCTAATTGCTCTGTTACTAGGTTTCTCTTCATCGTAATATGGATGATGACGTTTTACAAAATAAGATAATGATTCAATTTTTCTTTTCTTTTGATGACGAATTGTGTAGTTTTATAGGCGTCACACATCAATGAATTGCTTTGTCATTGAAACTGAATTAAGAGAAAAATGACTATTAAAGAGTACATAACACGTACGTATTTGTTGATGTATTTTGTAATCAAATAATAAAAATAATTTGCTTGAAGATATGACGATGATCGTGACTCACTCGAACGATGACAATGCACACTTTTCGTACACCATAAAGTCTCCATCGATTCAATTGTGTCGTTATCTTATTGAATACTGAAATCTCGACAGAAATCCTTGGAAAATAAATATAATCATCTCAGCATCTGACAATTAGTACTAGATAACAGCAGCAGTTACCATTCTGCAACTTTATTAGTCGTCTATCTTCTTTGAGGAACTTTTTCGGATAATATCATAGACATGGAGATAGATTCCACTATCATACATAAATACTTGCTTTCTATTCTGTAATTTAACAATCATCACGATGGTATATGAAAAACGACGATTCTTTGGAGTTTTTTCTCCATGGGATTTCACTGTGAGAAATATTCAATTGCCGATATTGTTTCTTGTAATGGTAATGATTTTCCTCGCTCTGATGATCACTCTTATTTGTGATCATTTCGCTGAACTATTTTGTTGCCATCATTCTTCTCGTTCGCCGTCTCAGAGCGATATCGAGATTACTGAGTAAATACATGTTGAAGGTGAACTCACACACAAATGATTTTTTTTTCGATTTAGAACCACAACTGATCGAACAACATCGTCGAAAGCCGTGCAAACTTCGAATTCGATCATATACACTTGCTAGAAAGAGATACTTTGTTTTTTTTTGGTGATTTTCTTTTGTAGTTATCTGTTTTTTTTCTCTATAGGCAAAGATAAATGTCTTACATATATATAATCTTTCTCTTTCTTCTTCTCTTCGTATTCTCACCGATCGATTTGCTGTCATTGTAAAAATTAGCCTATAATTCGATCATGTAGAATGATCATAATCGATATTTACATCTTGAATTTTGTTTACTTCTACACTTTATCCATCCAAAGTATCAGCTCAACGAAAATTTATAAACTCGAACAACAATTCGGATCAACAATAGTATTACCACCATGTCTTCCTCCAACGCCGTCATCTGTTGATATAGAAACAGTAAGATGATACTTTTCATTTTCTCTTTTGAAGATTATGTTCTCGCTAGACAATTCTATTCAAATCGAACTCAGGTGAATTGCTAACTTTGAATGGAGTACTAATCTCTGACAATCCACGTTTGACGATAAACAATCGATCTTCGACTAAATTAATTATTGAAGATATTGATTTATCGGACCAGGGAGAATATGAATGTCGAACGAATGAAATCATTATTTATTTATTTCATTTAATGGTTGTTAAAAGTAAGTATGAGTAGACAATCCTATATTCTTGCAACTAATTGTTTACACTTAGCATCCTTCATTCAATTAACAGCAGTCGAAGGTTCTAATGTTACATTACGATGTGTTGAAAACGGTATGTGGATTATTGAAGAGAGTCCACGAGGTGGAACTGTTCGTAAGTTGTATTTGGCTTCAAGAAAATTTCAATCGAATTGCTAATGATCATATAAAGGTACACAATATACATCGGAGTTAATTCTAAATAATATTCAACGAGATGATCGACGTTTCCAAAAAATTCTTTGTTCTACATTGGATGGACATGAAAAACGAGAATATATTATTGATGTGATGTGTAAATATTCCGTGATAGAAATCATCTTCACGTAACATTCTTTTCCTGTCTCTTTTGAATTAGATAAACCAACTGTCAAACTAACGATGTCGGTCCGAGAGAAATTGATGTGTATAGTATGCGCCCATCCGCTGCCCTATCGTATCCAATGGTTGCGAAATGCGCGAAAAGAACGCGATGAAATTGTTCATCAGGCAAATATCAATCAATCATGCATTGTTCAAGAGTATACTTCGATCTCGGTATGATTAATAAATCATTTAGATACATCAATTGACAGACTTTTCATCTTTAGAGACTAACGTCTAATCGGGAAGAAGTTATTGAATGTGAAGCGGAGAATATCTATGGTAGTGATCGAGATATTATACGAATAGGCGGTAGAACAAAAAGGACAAATTTTACTTCGGCAATACAAACGTTTCCGACCAGTTCGTTCAATCTATTCTCGAAATCAATTAGAATTAATGTCACGAATAAATCATCAAATATTCAACAACATTATGTGACGATTATGTTAATAATTTCACAGACGGTCGTTTTAAAGCGCCATCTATATGAGAAGTGAAATCGTATTTTTTTCTGAATATGAAACAGTAAATGTGAATGAAGTGTAGTTTTCAAATTTAATTTTGAATAAAAAAAGAAGACGTTAGCTATAATTTATTGTATCTTCGTATCAGAAACTGAGCTCTTTGTTTGATCAACCAATTAGATCATGTCTCACATTGATTGTTCAATTTGATCAAGAATCTCATCTCATTCTTATTCGTCCTGTTTCCTTTGACTTAACTCAAAACACAATGTCTCCACCGTCTGTTCGTCAACCTGGCGATGTAGTCAATGAAGTCTACTCGGAAAATATCAAATCCATTATTCAAACATGTCTTGACGCGGGCGACGACCCAAATTCGCTGATTGAACAAGCGAAACGTGAACTACATAAAATGGTAACTGAAATGATGGCAGAAGATGATGCTCTACTTGAACGTAAACGAGCCGAACTAGCGCCCATTCGTGTACGTTATGAAGCACTCTATCATGAATTACATCCGGATAAAACCTGTCCGCAATATGGAAATACATTACCTGTTCTTCAGGCGTTACGGACATACATTGATGAACATAAAAAGCTGAAAGAAGAACACGAAAAACTACTTGAACGCGAACCGGATATTCGTCAAGAAGAAAGACAATTATGTAATGAATTGAACGAACGTTCATTACAGATTGACAATCAAACTTTTCTGTCGAAACAACTAGTCGCACAAATGAGTCTTTTATCTGAACATATTGCGAAGTTACGTGAGGAAAGAGTACGTATGAATTTGGTCTCTTACGAATGATAATTTTTATGTTCTTTTAGACAAAACGTATTGATCATTTATCGGAAATCATTCGTATGTTACATGAATTCGAAGAAGTTTATGGATGGAAGCGACCACTTGCTGATACGATGGTTGGCCGATTATTAGCCCTCGGACCAATTGAAGTCGATAAATTTACGTTGACCAAAGAAGCTATTGAGCTTGTGGACAAAGAATTTGCTCAGGTAGATGAATATTTTCTTTCGTTGAATCTTCTGCACATTCACGAAATTTAGATCAACGAAAAAATACAAAAAGCAGAAGCTTGTTTTGAACAATCACATAAACAATTGACAGCATTAATGCGTAAACATCAATCGTTAATTCCCAATAGTAAAGCATTAGCTGCTACCAAAGTCAAACATTGTCGAATGTCCAAATTACCTGACGTATGTTCCGTTTCTTCGTTATCAACTGATACTTGACTATTGAAGTTTCCTTTGTTTAGTTAGTTGCAGAAGTTGATCGATACACTGAACATGCTTTAGATAAACTAACCAAAGATATAATCAAAGCACGTGAACAAATTCATGTCATATTGAACAAACTCTCCGTTGGTGACGTGTCGAATGATTCGAAATATGCGATTTTATATACGAGTAAGTATTGAAATTCTGAAATGATTTCTTTTGAACGAATTCTGTTTGGTTTTATAGATGATTTTACAGAAGATATCTATTTCATGCACGAAGAACTTTTGCAGGAACTTGAAGCACAATACGAAGTGAATAAGACAATGTATGAACAAATTGAAGTGTGGAATGAACTGTTTCTTGAATTTCAAGAATTCGAAGTGCGTTCGAATGAATTTCAGTGTAAATATACCATGCTTGTTCTTTCTATCTAGAAAAATGCAAGCGACCCTCAGCGTTTCCATCGTCGTGGTTATAGTGCATTAGCAGAAGAAAAAACTCGTCGAAAATTAGAGGCGACTTTACGCGAGTGTGAATCTCGTCTCGAAAATCTTGCTGAAGATTACATGAAGAAAAATAATGGACAAGTATTCATTATGAATGCTAATGGAAAAGAAATTCCTGAGTATATTCGACAACGAAAAGAAGATTACGCAAAATCAAAAGAACGTGAACGAGAAGCAGCGAAGGTAAAGATATAAAATACTTCTATTCAAATAGAATTCATGTATCCTTCAAATTAGACACCGGCTTCGAAGAAAAAAGCTCGTACAGACACTATAGTACGCGCTCGCCCTGCTCCTCTGCAATCTGTACCTGGTGGCGATGATAATACTAACATTAGTGATGATAATCAATGTGCTACAACTCTTTGTGTACCTGTTTCTAAAAAGAAAAAAGCTCCTTTGTAAATACTCTTTTTATTATCAATCGAAATTCTTTCTTTTTAAAATAAAAACCATGCAAGTCAATCTATTTATCTCATTGTTCACTTTCTTCTAACAAATCTCGTCCTTTTCTAGGCAGCACCCAAAGGTACATTAGTTGGCCGGACCCCATTGAAGACAAAGCAATTTCCAAGTAACACGTCAAGTGCTATATCGAAACGCGTAAGTTTCTCTTTCATCACGTAGCTTTCTTTCAAATGAGATCTTTAGACTGAATCGACGGCGAATCTTCGAACTCCATTAACAACGGCTCGCCGTGCTGGAATGCCACAACTACCAACAGGTAAAACCCCTCTACACAATTCAACAATGCAACTTCGAACGACGAAACGCACGAACATCGATACAACATCATCAACGATCGTTACACCTGCTAAGCAACGTCGTTTAATCAATCAAATGCACGAAACAATGAAAATTCCAAATACAACGGAGAACATGTCCTCGCATAGCATTTTAACCACTACTTTGAAAACATCGACCATAGTAAGACGAGCATTTTACTGTTTCTCTCTTACAATTTCTCTCTCTTCAGGCAACACCGGGAAAACGTGAAATACCTAAACGAGCAATTCCAACACCGATTCGTACGCACAAAGCAAAATAAAAGAATCTTGTAAATCATAGAAATATCGCTGTATATTTATTCGATATTGTTGTTTATTTTATTTGAATGTACAAATAACAAAATAGAAAAAGAGAAATATAAATACATTTATGACTATATCTGACTAAACGAGAATAGATGTGGATAGATTTTTCTCTTTCTCATCATTTAATATGGGAATCTCGATATAATTTGGATTACTAAATGCTGGTGGAGGTTTTTCGATTGGCTTAACAATCGTTGTCGTAGTTGACTTTGTTTGTCGTCGTCGTAGTTTCACACGTTCGACACGATCGATCTCTCGTGCTATAAATTGATCAATCTCATCGATTGGCTCCAGTGATGAAAGGACAGTTGCCACTGGTAATGTCGTGCTGACAAGTTGTGCTCGTTCAGGTTGAATTGAGTTCTAAGAGAAAATGGAAATTTTTTAGTTTATGAGAAAAAAAAATATTCATTTTTTCTTCGTACCAATGAGAATCGACTTGTTTTGGGTGGAATTATCACCGGATCATCTTGTAATGTTACACAACGTTTTCTCGGTTTGGCATATAACGGATCGAAATTTCGTTCGTCACCACCAATGCGCTGATTGACATAATTATGTTGATTCAAAGACGAAGGAGGCGGCAAGCAATTCGCTAAAAGCAGAAGAGGGATCTGCGTTGTATTGGTATTGGAATAAGAGCATGTGGGTTCAATATCGATTATCAATGGTCGAGAGAAGGATAAATTCGATTGATCGATGATATCATAGATTGGATTGGAATAGGAACGTATATTTGACGACATAGAAAACTGCAAAACAATATCAACATGAATCTAAAAGAAGTCAATATTGTTCAATTTCTAATGTTCACGTTTTTTTTCTCTTCCGTTGAGCTCTGTTTACATAAAACAACAACAAAAAGTCTGAATGAAAGACTATCTACGCATATACAAAAACGCCTATTGAAAGATATATATGTTACAGAAAAAAAGAAAACACAACAAGATTTTCAACTGATCTATGTGGTGTAGAAAATTAAAACAATGTTTACAATCAATGGAGAATTTCAACAAAAACAAAATTCGTTGCTTTTCATCTGACAAGTTATCTATTGAAGTTTATACGATTTCTCCCAGAAAGATAGATCGTCTTTAGCTTCAGCTAATCGTGCTCGATCCAATAATTCATAAAGATTTTCATGTGTACATTCACACATCTGCAAAAGTTTTCGAATACAATCGATTGAGTATAAATGAATCTGACTCGGTGTAAAAGATTTTGTTACTAATTTCAGTAATTGTGAATAGAGTCCCGGGTGTGAAAAGAGTTCGATAGTGATCGGCTTAAAACCTAGTTTATTTGCCTAAATTGCATAGAATTAAATGTTTGAAATTACATCGAAAAAATTCAACTTACGAATCGCTTGATTTTCTCGTCATCAAGTTCATTGAGAAGATTTGAAATAGTAAAACCTGGTATCATTATATAAGAATTGTATCTTGCAAAAATGAATTGTTCATATGAATTGATCATAACAATTTTAGTTAATGGAAGATTAGATAGAGAATATTTCGTTTGAGATGAGTCGCTCGATATTGATGAACGTTGATCAACATTGATGGGTTTCGCACAAATTTCATTTTCACGCATTGTTCTACAATTCAAATTCGAATTCATACATTCATATTCACTTTTTTTCTCTTTACATACTCTCCAGCTTTCCAATACAACGCAATCATCGAATGCATCGGTTGACCATGTTCATCCAACACATAGACCTTGACAATCATACACATGTTTTTCTTGAACGTTGAAAATTGTCTTCTTACTTGATTTTTCTCCTTGGATATATCGTCGATTGGTCGAGCCATTTTGCAGTGTATCAAAAAATCATTAATGCAAACATACGCTTCATCATGGGCAGCAAATAAATTCACGTAAAACGTATTATCCCGTCCTTTGTACAACGGTTCAACATCGCATTGACAATTGTCAACAACGTTTTGAAACGTTTTCAATACAACATTATTCCACTCATGACCATTCAAAGGAGTGATCGCTGCTAGACGACATGTCAACAAACGAACGGGTCGTTTGGAATATTTAGTTAAGATGAAACGTAAACGTGACCGTGGCACGTGCTCTTCCCAAGAATTCAGATCAACGAAGAAGACATTGACTGTATCGTCAACTAGATCGTATTCCATAATTTGAGAACGGTTCCAAGCTGATGCAGTTGGGTCCCAAGTGACGCAAAGTAAGTTTTTACGCAGATATTCTCGTGGAATATGTAAATCATCGATTGAATTATAATAATCGCTGAAAATATTCATTAGAAGTCAAACAAATCTACGAAGGTAAATCAATACTTCACAGTTTTGAAAAAAGCGTCACATTCAACCAGATCTCGAGTTAATTGAATTGTAAATGCATAAGGTGAAATGATGGATACAATACAACATTGTTGAATAACATTTAGTTTCAATGATGATGTTTCATATTTATATCCATTGGATGTTACATCGGCGATTAAAACTTCCTCGTTAGATGTCTTTTTCTAAACAGAAATTCTTGAAAAAAAAGAGACGTTTTTCGAAGAGTTATTTACAACTGATGAATTCCGAATATTCATTTGATCAATTCCGTTTTGACAAAAGAGAATTTGTTCAGTGATATAGTCATCACCATGTTTCGCTGGTTTATTTATCGGCGTTGAAGAAGTTTTTGGAAACATGCATCGATTATACGATTCCGCTTGTTGAAGAAAACGCCGTAGAAGTTGAGTGCCATGACTTGGATTTCGATGCATTTACTCATATACACACGTGAATCTTTCTGGAACAAGAAATGTGACTTTCTTTATTTGATAATGTGCTTATTGAAACAAGTGCGTGAAAAAAAGACGACGAAAAATTTGTCTGGTTAATACTGTAATTCTTCTTTTTTTCAACATAACAAAGTACAATATAGTAATAAAGAAAAGAAAAAAACACACACTATTGAAAATAATGCAAAAAAAGAGCGAATATCAACAGAAGAATCCGTTTCTGTTCAAAAGAATTCATTTGTTGTTGTTTGATTGTTCCTCTTGTTTTCATTGACCAATACATGTTCAGGAGGTTTCTCTTCTTCGGAAGGTGTGGCAAGTATAGGTGGCCAATCAGGTGTTAGTCGAAGAATATTTTCGATGTGTAGATGATGTGTACCTATTCGTGAACGTTCGTTTCGAGATGTTGATGATAGAGGTGCACGTTTGAAACTAATATTATCATTTTCAATGACATATTCCTTGAAAACAAACAATTAGATGAAAATGAGAACAGCTGAAACATTTACTTCGAACATGAACATGACAACAAAGTTAAGCATGGCCATTGCAAGAATGATTAATTTAAATTTTATATCCGGGATGAATCGTAGCTGAAAAGAAAGAAAACATTCATATCAGGCATCGCTTGAAAACACTGACATCTATTTCTAGACATTCTCTACTATGTTTATTTCTCGGTACATCAAATTATCAGTTTGACTTGCTTATATACAAAATCATCCGTCCGTTATTCGTAACGAAGAAAACTTTCCGATTGACTTCGCTCTGTTATTTTTAGTTAATTGAAATGAAAGTAGACTAATGTATATGTCTCCGTTAGGCATTCGGTTGTTAAGTAAACATTACTAGTATACAAACCTCAAAGAAGTTGTAGAGCGATTTGACAGGAACGAAAAGAAGAACTAAACTGAATCCAAATGTGAGTACGATCGAAAGAAGAAACAACCCTAGAAGATAATAAATGATGAAAACGTCAATCGTTATGAAGTGTTCATTTACAATTCGAAAATATCGATCGACGGTAAGGAGCACCGCGAGAGAAGACAATCGATTCCCAAATGTATTGAAATGTCGATTGAAGAAATATAGCCGTATTGATATGCGATACATAGATTTTATCCGTATTGAACTCAAACGGCTCATACCTAAGTGAAAATAGAAAGAAAGAACGATTTTTCTCTTTGGCAGAAGAGCACAGCTATTTTAATAACCATGGTTGTCTTTTAACAAATTCGAAGGTAAACGCTTGAAAACCAGCACAGATTGATAGATGACCGATGAGTGAAAAGAGTGGTCGCCTAGAATAGATACTCCTTTTGATTAGAAATTGATTGGATTTATTATATACCAGGAAATCAACTTTGTTCGAGGTGGTTTGGGATCCAAATATGGGTATGATACCGTTCGACTGACTAAAATTTTCCAATGATCATAGCTATTCAAAGATTTTCATCGAACTCACAAAGCAATACAAGCAATGTAATAAGACCCAAATCAATAAACAAAAATTCATAATCAGTTAAATTGTTTCCAATCTAATCAACAAAAGTAGTAATGTAATTAATCTTCTCACAATTGATTTCTTGAATCATACCGTATATAACATAATAACTGTCAAGAATTGAGTCAAACTGTACGCAACCATATACTTCACGACTCCAAACGAAGTTACTAATGCTGTACCACGAGATACAATAAAATTACTTCAATGCAAATAAATTTTTACCTGCGCGTCCTTCCCTAAAAAAAAAATTTCGAATATACATGAGTATATTGAATGTAAATTTCTCCTACCGAATAATAGTGGGTACACATTCGATTGTTGGTGTTCGAGATGTAAACGGACTTGCGATTGACGCATCAGCTGTTGATAATGATATTCCTGCATGTGCTGCTTTTAATGCTCCAACATCATTAGCACCATCGCCACACATCGACACATAGTAACTAGAAATATGATGATATAATGATAAAATCAATCATATGACAAAGTATCGTTCTATTGTTTAACAAAAAAAAAATGTCATCTGTCATTACTAATCAATCGTGTCAGAAGAGCTGATCGAGAAGTCGAAGTGAAAAAGAGTTCTATAGATTTGTTTACAAATGATTGATAGTGCAGCAAGTTTGATTTAATGGATAGAACGGAAGTTTTTTTGTATTGACATTGACATACAATGAGAAAACGACAGTGAGTATCAGAGAGAAAATAAAATAGAATAAAACAATTTATAACACATTTCTATGAATAGATTTCGTAAAAGTACATCAATTAGATATATATTTACTAGTAATTATCATTCAGAAAAGCAAATAAATCAACATCTTCTCATACACAGTACATTGTAAACTGCTTCTTCTTTTTCTTTTCCAGTTCTGTGACTAGTACCATCAAGTCGTTACTTAAGGACTTATCATATCTATATTCGTGAGTGCATTCTTATGTTGTTTCTTTTCCTCGTCTGATTTCAACATCTAGATCTCATGGGATAAACAGAATAAATGATCAAACACATGTGTTTGAATTAAATTGTCAAAAAATCTTATATTAGATTGTAACATTTATAGAATGACAAGTCTTCAATTCACATTTCATTCATATTGCATAGGAGAAAAATGACTAGAGCAATCAGTTTCCTATATTTAACAACGACATTTTTTTTTGAAACATTTCACACATTCAAACTAATGATTATTTGATTTCTTTTTGTTCTGTTCGTACATTAGAAGATTTTCTTTTTCTCGTCCAGATCAAACCTTCGTTTTGTGATGTACTCAAGCGGATTTTTATTGACTCATTAAATAATAAAGAAAATCCGTCTAGATCTCTTTATTCATTCCAAAGACATTATCTCTCTATTCTTCGTGTTTTTTCATCCTACACGTCGAATAATGTCTGCAATATATTTGAAAGGAAACAAAAGGAAAACTACGACTAGAAATCGAGACATCCATGTCACACCTTTTATTATATCAACCCATCGGTATATCTATGTGTGACTATAGGTTTTAATTAGAAGGGAAGACAACAACGAGTGGAAAAGAAGGAGAGAAATAAATTAAGAAGAATAATTGAGCTTATTCTTGTCTCTTATTTATGGGAAAAGTAATAGCGTTGGTTACGAATGATTTCGAGAATGTGAGGAAAAATATCTTTTTTTTTTGTCTCAACTATGTACGATAATCACGCTATTTTGACATTGCTAGGTAAGTACAAGGAAATTTGCTTCTGATATCATTGAAAAGTCATAGAGGAAATTTCTTTGTGTTCTAGAATTTCAGTGAAAGGCGAGACGATTTGTGTGGAAGAAATCATCGAAGCGATTAAGCACGCAGAGTAACTGGATTATTTCATCTTCTCTCCTTGTATTTATCGAATGAAAATCCATTTATATTCGATTATTTTTATTTGAAAAAAACCACACTGAATATGATTAATTCGTCATCAATCACACATTATTATATCTTGGTAAGTTTCATTTCTTCTCTTTCTCTCTCGGTTACATTTCTTTCTAAGCTCGTAATAATACTGATTGGAACTAATAGATTTCGGAAATGAAATGACTTACACCGTGAAATAAACATTTCTGCTCATGTCAATCGTCTCAGGTTAGGAAGTAAAAGACATTACACTACATCAGACTTGAAGTTTTGTAAAGTGCTTGGAAAATCTACTTTTGACATGAAGTGTACCTGTCGATGTTGAAAATGAAATTCATTTAGTGACAAGTGTTTCTTTCAGAATTTGCCACTTGTTACATCCGAGCTGTGGAGTTTTCTTGTACTTTTTGAAAGTAAGTTAAACTTTTGATGAGTCTCAGGAGATTTTCTTTCTGTATTAGGAGTTTTTCTGAACTAATTAGTTGTCATCTGTTATTGATTATTCATGATATGAAATCAAAGAGTTAAAGTATGTACGAGAAGAGAAGAGAAGTGATTGAAAGAGAACTTCTTTTGTTATATATATATATATATATATCCATGGAATAGAAAAAGAAAGAATTCGAGAAAATTTGTTTGACGTTGTATTAATAATAATCATAATAGGATGAAAATATCTAACGTACAATGCACAAGAAAGTCCCGGCTATCAAGAGAGCGAGCGAAAAGGCGATGAAGGAGAAAAAAAGAGCGGCAAGAAAACGAGACATTCGCCGTCTCTGTTATTATGAATCGTCAGAATGAAGAGGAAAACTGGGAGGAGAAGAAATATTCTAGACGCCGCCTTCAGTCAATGGTCGATCGACTATACACGATAAACTTGTCTTGTTTTTTATTGTAATTCCGTTCAAATGGCAAAGCAAAAGATTTCTTTCTTTGCTTCTTGCAAGCGCATTTAAGGAGAGAAATCTAGTCGAATACATTTTCAAGTGTTACTTCTGTCAAATCGGACGTTTCTTCTGTTTTATTTTCATAATATCCAGGCAACATCAACCTCGTCGACAACTGCCATTTGGATAGTTAACGAACAAGATTCTACAACAACAAATCTTGATGTTTATCAAGCGTCAGTTCGAACAATGTGGTATCGTTTTCTCTTAATTATCAGTAAGTAGATCTTGTTGATACGAGCTTTGTTTTTATTCCAATAAATATAAACCTTCGAAACGAACAAAAAAAGGAAATTGGTTAGCCGGAAAGATGGCTATTTACATGTTCGCTTAATTCTATCAGCTAACCAGAGAGAGGGAGAAAGAGAGAGAGAGACGTGATTTTAACTCAAGGATACTCAAGCGGAGCACGATGTTCAAGTCGAATTCGGCAAAGAAATTCTGTTATGATTAAAAATGAACAAATTTGTTTCACTTTTTCTTTTACAATTTTAGTCATTTTCGTTACGGCTGCCGGCAACGTTCTCGTTTGTTTGGCGATAGCACGAGAACGAAAATTACAAAACACAACCAATTATTTTCTTATGTCATTAGCAATCGCTGATTGTCTTGTTGCAATACTCGTCATGCCGATGGGAATGATTTCTGAAATTATCGGTAAGTTTTTCTGCAACTAACTCGATCGATTTTGACTAATGAATTCTTTTCATTAGGTTACTTTCCGTTGTCACATTACGCGTGTATTATTTTTGCTACATTGGACGTTCTATGTTGTACATCGTCAATATGGCATATGAGTACGATGTCTATGGACCGATATTTTACAATTCGTTTTCCATTTCGTTATGGAAGAAACAAAACACGTCGTATCATGCTACTGAAAATTGTTGCCGTTTGGGCAATAAGCGCCGCTGTATCATCTCCAGTGTTCGTCTTAGGTATTGTGGATAAGCAGAATGTCCTATCCAACGGTGTTTGTGCACCAAACAATGCCTCATTCAAATTGTACGGTTCTGTATTTGCATTCTATATTCCATTCATTATTATGATAACGACATATGCATTGACGATGCGTTCATTGCGAAATGTTTTAGTTCATAAACGAAAATATAATCGTGAACGACGATTAAAACAAACTTTCCGACCATTGGCACAGATAATCAATCAATATGCGGAAATAGCTCATAACATTCGACGAACATCCTCATCAACAAACAATCCGACAACTTCATTACTATCGAATACAAACACGACCAGTAATAATAACAATCCTAATTCTATTTTATCTCGAACTTCCTATGCAATTATTACTACAACGACAACATCACCACCAACAACGGACAGTCGAACACAGTTTTTCCCTTTGCATAGCTCCGATATGAATGTGAAACAAGATTCAAATAATATTCAATATGGTTCTATTAAACTAACAAGTGGCACAAACATATCGAATGAATTACTCCATAGTAATCAACATTTAACTATTAGTTATATTAAATCGAGTGGAAGTAAGAAACGCCGTGCCCAGCAACAGTTACAGCAACAACAACAACAAAATCTAAGTACATCAAGCAACCGTTCGAAAACCGACGGCGATATGAGTACTGTATATGAGATAACGGAATGTTCGAAATCAACATCCGATTCTCATGATTTAACGTCAATTACTGGAAATAGTGTAATTGGAAGATCAATTGTTACTATTGAAGAACAAGATCAACCATTGACTATGTTAGAGCAAGAACAACAAACTTCTCCGACGATAACAACATCAACTATCAACGCAATATCAACACTCAAAGAAGAAGAAGAAGCTTGTTTGACGACAGATGTAGATAGTCGAAGTAGGTCTTGTTTCTCTCGATTGATTGTCAAAGAAGAAAACCCGTCAAACTTCATTAATTCTTCCTCATTTATCGAGTTTTGTTATGCTTTGAAACCAACTAACAGAATATTGATTATCTAAGATACATGTTTCTATCCGACCGAGATAAATCATCTTTATATTCTTTTGACATTATCGATCGGAAAGAATTCAAAGGAACGGAGATTTTGGTATAGACCTCTGATACGATTATTGAATTAATATTCGATTATTCATTTAACAACATGATAATCAACAAATCTTTGTCTTGCTAAACAAAAACAAAGATTCGATTCGATTAGATTATACGATTGATTAATCATGTTTTCTATCTATTTTAGTTGAAGAAGATGAACCAACATACATGCAAATCGTTCCATCGTCATCAACTCATTCGAATCTACCTGAATCAATTTCTCTTTCATTACCATGGGAATCCTATCTTCCTTTCATGCAAGCGATTCTTCACTACTATCTGCTAGTTTTCCCCTATCGACTTCGCCCATTGCCCATCGAACCGCCCGAAAGTACGGATGAAGAAAAGCCTGTAACAGTAAAGTTACATCAATCGACATCGACAACTTCATTGAGTCAACGTTTGATAAAAACTTCTCGAACAGTCTCGACGCAAACCTTTTCAATCCCATCATTGGATTTAACCAATATTCATCCGGCAGACACCAATGAAACTTGTACACTTAATTCAGTTAAACGACGCCGATTTCCTTTCAATCACCCACTTTTATCTTCCTCATCTCTATTCACAAATTTTTTTCGTCAATCATCACGAAACGTACTTTCACATTCACGTCAGAATTCCGATAAATCATCTGCTTCACTTTGGCAGCGTTCCTCGCCTGCATCATCTACATATCCATTTCGACATCAACGTTCACCTCCGTACCATTCATCAACTGTTTTTCGTCAAATCGAATCGGAAATGGACAACATTCTCTCCGTCGAACATCGTCCGCGTGCATCATCATCGTCGGCTAGTCTTCTTCATACGACCTATGGGCAAGGTAATCAAATACCCTCACATTGGCATCGGCCGTTGAAACACCGGCATCCTTATCAATCTCATTCATCGTATTTATTAACCAATCCACACCCGTACAATCCTCGTAACCACCACGCATTAACTTCGACAACAAATACAATCTCATCTGATTCGTCGTCTGTTTTTCATCGATTTAATCCTCGAGTATTAAGTTCCATTTCTCATTCTCATCATACATCGTCTCAACGCCTAAATGACGAACATATCGTCGCTGCTAACGAACGCAAAGCTCTTCGAGTTCTCATGATCATCTTTTGTGTCTTTGTTACTCTATGGACACCGTTTTTTATATGTACATTTATATCAGCTGTATGTGAACAATGTCGTGAACGTATCTCATCGACAATCTGGTTTTCAATAACATGGCTTGGTTATAGTTCCTCAATGGCTAATCCTTTTATCTATACGATATTTAGTGATGTTTTTCGACGTGCATTTACAAATATCATTTTCTGTCGGTCAAATGAGTCAGTATTCTCGCGACAATTTTCAACAAAATCGTCTCGACAGAAAGGTGCTCCTACCGCTGCTCATCAGACGAATAATCATCAACTCTCTTTTCGGCGAAGTCCAAACCCTGATTATTCGAATCCATCGACACCAATACAATTGAACTCTCCTCCGATCCCGCTGGGCGAAAGTGATGGCACGATTTATATCAATCGGTGCGCGTCAGATTTATTACGTTAATTGAATAAAGCATCATGATTTGTAGCATGTTTCTTTTCTTTTGCTCGATTTTCAACTTACCCAAGTTCTTGAAGCGTTTCAATCAGTTGTTGTTTTTGTTCAGGTAGCATTCGTGCGAAAACAGTACCACGAACGCACAACTAAAGCGAATAGAAATGTTGAAAAATGCACAAACAAAAGATAAACTTACCCGACGTAATAATTCAGGATGTTTCTCACGTACAACTTGGAAAGATTTGCCAGATATAGCAAAATGATACGGTGTTCGACGATCAAGTTCAATCAAACGATGCGACTAGAAAATATTAGATTTGACATTCACCGTTTTCACTTTTCATAATCAAAAGTATTTATTGTTATGTTTTTGTTTTGTTACTTCGCCATTGACATATGAAAACATGATCAAATAACTGTAATCCGGTCTGTCAATATTCCGATTAGTTTTCTTCTCGGCACGAACGACATCAGAAATAGATATGATTATTTAAGAGAGTAATAGATTCTTTCATTAGAAATATTTATCTAGTAATTAGTTATAGAGTGACTTCAAAGAAAGATAATGACACATCTGCATCGAATTTTTCTTTCTTGAAAGAGATTTTTGTATTTATGATTTATACGTACACTTTGATCATAACGAACTTCTTTCACTCTTCGATTATAAACTTGAGCATAAGTGAAAGTCGGTGTATCGTCCGATTCAGTTGCTTCAATAGCGATAATTTTTGCATCATCCGGGATCATATCACAATCACGAGCAACACTTAACGCTGTCAACATGTTATCACCTAGACATGATTATTTCGAAGTTAAGTCATTGAACGTGACAAGTCCTACGCACCAGTGCACATAATTGTTCGAATATTTGCATTTGAAAGAACTTTTAATACTCCTAGAAGAAATACAAGCTATTTGCTGAGAGAAATAAGAATAGATTTACCTTCCGTTTGCGGCTTTAGTCGATTCTCCATAATGACAAGACCGAGAAAGATTAGACTATGTTCAATTTTCTCTCTAATAATCGTTACAATTAATTAGATACACTAATGTGTACAAAAACAAACAACTAACCGTTCAATTCGTTGAATTTTCACGTAGTTCAATTCTAATGGTTTATAAGCCATTGCTAATACCCGATAGCCTTGTTTAGCGTATGTGGAAAGAACTTCATTGAAGTTTTTCGGAACTAATCGAAGAAGATTGTTCGATTATCTTTAGCAAAGTACCAAGTCTTACTTGTCTCAGGTCTTGAAAGTTCGGCAATTTTTTCCGGTGAACCTTTGGTTAATAAATCAAATGAATCTTTGGCAAGAATTCGTACAATTACACTTGTTCGTTGTAATGATGAACTGAATGGCAATTGTCGAACAATACCAATCTCAAATGGAATATTCTACGAAGGAAAGACGAACATGAGGATTTTTTTATTTGCGATTTTTTTTCATTGACTTACTCCAGCAATTAATGAGCTGACAGAGCCGGAAAGACGACCCGGCGGTGGTGCGATATTGTTTGGCGAGTTAATAGGTCGAACAATCGTAGGAAAAAGCATATCAAAGTTAGCTTGTTCATTTTCAGCTGGTTCATATAATTCATATTGAGTAAATGAAAGCATTTTTAAATCAAGTGGATCACCAGCAAGTTCACCGTTGATTCTTGTTAAAGTATGACAAGCTGAATTGAATGAGATATATCGAAATGAAGTTCTCTATAGAATAATCAACACTACGTACCAGCCATACAGACAATGATCATACTGTGTGTTTCCTCATCACGCCAATTTAAATCTGTCACTTCAGTTGTTTGAGAGCCAAATTCAATTTTTTCCATCGTATTGCTTGCATCATATGAGTGGGTAATAGGCACGACACATTGAAGATCAAGTCCATCTTCTGTCAATGTGCCTGTCTAAATAATCAGATGTGCTTGATGAGAATACAACAGTGTGATCAATGAGCACGAACTTTATCGAAGACAACGGTGTTCACTGATCCACATATGTTGATGGAACGAGGACTAATACAAAAAATATTCATTTTTTTCAAACGATTTTGGGCATAGACGAGGCCCGCTGAAAGAGCGGCAGGAAGGGCAGGCGGAACAGCGATAGTAGTCACATCAATGGTACGTTTGATAATGACACCAGGTGGTTCACCGCGTATAATTCGCATGACTAACGAAAAGATCATGCCACCAAGTGCAATTATTGCCATACCACCAACATATTTGTATGTATCGGTGTTGAATTTAAAATCAACCGGTTTTGGATAAAGAATCGATCGGATTAATTCACCTTTCGCCGTGTTGAATGCTACAGAAAACTTCTCGTAGATACAACCCTGGTTTCTTTGCGTCAATTTACCTGTCCGAATGACCACACCACGTACTTCACCAGCGCCATAGTAACGCGTTTGAATAACAGATGTTCCACTAAATAAAATGAATCGATTGTGCTCAGAAATACTGAATGGTTCGTCAAGTCCTGGATGATCAGCTGATGATTGATAATAAGGAATTTGAACTTTCGTCACAGGAATACTTTCACCAGTTAACATAGATTCATTGACAATAACGTTTCCATTCAATAGGACAGCATCACATTGCATCATTGACGAACTTCGGATAACGATAACATCACCTGGAACGAGATCTTCGCTAATTATATCACGTTGTTCTTCTAGAATAGGCCAAAGAAGTTTTTCCTCAGTTGAACAAGTTCCTTCTCATCCATCAAACCTTCGTGTGTTTCGGGATTATATATAATCACAGTGTTTACTTCTGATTGATGGACTGTATCACGTAAAGCTCGTTCATTCTAGTGGAATACAGTTATTCGTGGGTCATATTGTTTAGTTTGAAATTTCAAAGAACTTACTTTTCGAACTTCACGTAATGTTAGTATGACCGAAACAACAGTTATAAAGACAATGCATGATGCATAGGTAACATATTCATCGGCAAACCAGAGAATGCAGGAAAATAGTTGAAAGATATAGAATGGAGAAAGAACCTATTGATTTTATATGAAAGAAAAGAAGAAAAAATCGTTTTTGTTGGAAATTTGTTCAAATGATCTTCATTTACTTCTTGAATAAGCAAGCGAAAGATAGGAGTCAGACGAAGACCAATGCTGTTTTCACCATATATAATTTTTCTTGAAAAAAAAATTGATCGAATTAGATCAACAACAATATTCATTCAATCAATTACTTTTGTGCACGTTCTTCGACTGTAAGTGGACGAATCTGACTAAAATAATCACATTTGACATTGTTTTCAACACCCCTAATCGAAATAGAGCATCTCCTCAATAGATTTTCTAATCCAACTGATTCCTATATTTACAAAAGTTTAGTAAATTTATATTCTGCTTCGTGCCAAACATAATGCCATCGTTTGTTAACGAAATATCGATGAACAGCTCTCTAAACAATCATGAAAAAGATTCCCAACAACGAACAAATAACATTATGCTTTCTTCGTATTTAGAATCACTATCACCATCGTTGTGTCAAGATGCATTCAAATACGCATACACTACAAAATGATTTTCTCCTTCAAAGATTCTTAGTCTTTGCATCAATTGCATAGCAACTCGTGATAGTCGATTGACACCGAGCCAAATGAAACTACCGATATTCACATAAAAAGCACATATGAAAAAAAAGGTAACGGTAATAAATAGCGGGAAGAAGTAAAGGGTTGACAAATGGCGATAGACAAACGAAGGATTAATATGAGTAGAAATGTTGATGTTAAATGTTGTGCGGGTATATTTTAGTATAGGTCAGACTAGATATAGAAATATTATTACGTTTTCGGTTTCACACAAAATCATTTCTTGACAATGACGATGATGATAGATCCATTTCCGAAGAAAAAACTAGACACAAATAAAAGAGTGAGAGAAAAATATCGTTGATATGCGTTGGACAACATGCGTTATTGACGAACATTCATTTACAAAAGAACATGTCACCAATGCAAAGCCAAACAAATCTACCTACCGTTCGTCGATATTTGTTCCTTGTACGCAGCGTAGCAGAATTGCTGCTGAGAAAAGGTTCACCTGTAGACTAAAGACTCTCGATCGTTTTATAGAATTCTTTTTGTTATGGAAGAAAATCGAGTGAATTATATGATGATGAGGATGATACGAAGAAGAAGAGTTTTCCTATCGCTTCACTTACATCATCTGTCTGTTGTTGATCAGAAAAATGATCATAACGTGAACGATTTGCAGGCGTGAAGTTTCTGTAAAATGAAACATAGAATGAAGTTTATAAACAGATCGAATTTCAGTACCGAGAATCATTTGGATCATTCGGATTTAAATTTGGATCGACTTTCAGCACAGTTTCAACATACCATTGTTGATATCGATCCTAATCAACATAAAATGACTATGGAGATTTTTCTAAACTGCCATTTTTACTTTCAATAATACATATTGAGCAACAGCAAGATCAGCTCGCGTACAATAGCATCGTACAAACCAATGAGGCTTCCAATAGAATACCAAACGAAGAAATCCAACTGTTAGAAAAATAAATATCCAGGTTATAATTGTTCGTGCTATCGACCGATTATATCCATATAAGACCTAGAAAAGGTTGACATTTCTTCGCAGAAAAACGTCTTTCAAGTACATACAAATTGGTCATCTGTTCCATCGTTTACAATCTGGTAGGATCGAATGCCACTGGATTGAGGCATATCATTGGATGAACCAATCTGAAAAGAAAGAAAGAAAAAAAAACCAGAAGTTTATTTGAGATGATTTCTCAATTAGCAAATACTTGGTGAAGTTCAAACGATTTCCCATTATCCTGATGATTAGTCATCGAAAACGATACGATTTTTTTATGATGTATCGCGTCTTCAACCTTCACCAATATATTGTCTTAGATGCTGCTATGAATGTGGAGACATGTCCTTAACCTTTTCGTAAATCCGTTTGAAAAATATGAATTGTTTTTCTTTTGTGTTCTTTTATAGACTAGAGAAACAAGATCTATGATTTTTCTTCGTTCGTTACAATCAATCTATCTTCTAAGGATTTAACTAAATATACAATATATTGTCGAAAGAAAAATATTAACTCAGGGCTTCGAGTCTGATCAAATACATTTCTTTAACAAATGTTTCCCTCGCCATGTTTACCTGTACAACAGTGATTAAATACCAGATATTGAATGCAAAATATGAGTGTAGCTCATGAAAAAACGACAAGTATTTCGTTAATCAGCGAAAGAACGCATGTTAAATATCGCAGTACAAATCTTTCTGATAAGGAACATGTATATTTCACCATTTTCGTTACAGAGCCACGTGGAATATCGAGTAAATATAAGCTTTTACTGTGTTTTGGTCGAAAATAGGGGTAGGTCCGAGAAGAACAAAAGAGCACAGAAACGAACGAAATAATAGCATGGATAGAAAAAGAAATGAAATATAGAAATAATAAACAAAACAATAAAATCTATCATATTGGATAGCAAATCTAACCAACGAGAAAGAAGCAAAAAAAATACTATGGTTATGTATAGTATTATTATTCCGTTTGCTCCTGAAAACTCTATTTGTAGAAAAGAACAGCGTGAGAAATTGAGTTTATTAATCTGTCTTGAGAATTCTCTGACGTCATTAATAAAGATATGACGAAAAGAATTCTATTTTGTTAAAATCGATGAGAAAAAAAGGAAGAAGCCCTATACGATACTGTTTTTGGAATAATTCGCTCGGTAGGCAGAATCGAACTGCTACGCCGCGAAGCGTCCCTAGGTTTGAAGCCTAGCCCCGGCACCAGCCGAACTCAACCGAGCATTTAGACGATCATCTCAGACCTTTATATATTGAAATACAACAAAACAGTTCTGAAAAGAAATGCGGTGAATTGATTTGCAACAAATTTTGTCAGTTAGTGACACCTGTTTGCATTTGAAATTAAAATTCAATTACAATTTGAAACGAAGTCTTTGAAGTGTAAAAATATGAGAAGAAAACATTTTGAAACAAATCGAAATTTCAAGTGCGCATCTATTGACATCTATGACGAAATTTTTATGCCATTGGATTCGATGATCAGCGAACAAATGAGTGTGTCATCCAAAACTATGTCAATTTGAAGTACTTGCTTGCAAAAGCAGAGAAAACGATAATCATATAGTGAGAACCTAATTTTATTCAAAATGTCAGCAGATAGTAATAGTGGTAATAAATCATTCTGGCCGGTCAAAACAGCGTTCAAAGAGAAAATTGTCGTCCTCTATGACGCTCTCTTAAGTGTAAGTCTAGTATTTGTTTCTTCAATGTGTTGAATGATAAGAGAATCATTATCCCCAGGGTGATCAGCCATGGCTAGATAATGGACATTATTGGGATGACTTTTTCCTTTTGAAAGTCAATGCAAAATATCTATTAGAAGAGCTCGATCGAAATTATGTTGAAAAACCAGCCATTCTAAAAGTATGATTCCATTTTGATTGATCATTGTTGAGAATATATCCGTTTTCTAGCCTCAATTGAATACTATTTTTGATCAATGTCTTGTTTTTGTCAATTCTGCACATCGCATTCGACAATTGAATGCTTATTATGTAAGTAAAGAGACTTGTGATCTTAACAGGAGACCTGACATTTTTCTCTATAGACAATTTGTGTTCTGATACATGCAGTCAGCCGAGTCAATCAACGAAATGGTTTTGGTCATCCGGCATTGGATTTTCTTTGCGGTAGTGAAGGTGCCGAGAACAAATTCGAAGTAAATCTTTCCTCCTACACACGATTTAATTCATCAAATGTTATGTTTTGTCTTGTTAGATTCTAATTGAATCAGTTAACCATACATTTCTCATCGATGACAGTTTATCTGGAAGTACCTTATTAAAAAACGCTGCCTTCGACGTCATTCTTACTTGTTGTACAACAATGCTGAATATTAATGAAAATATGCTGATGGATTACATGATGGCAAATGCTAATCTGTTCGATTCAATTACACAATTAATCATTCGCTCACCTGCAAGTCATGGTTACGATATTTGTCTTCTGTTAGCGTTGCTTTTACAATATCATAAATATGATGTAAGCGAAATCTAATTGGGAAGATTCTCTTCGATGTTATTTTCTTGTTATTAGACATCTAATACATATATTGTGCGATTTTCTGTTTTTGATGATGAAGTAGCCTTGACGGTAAGTTGATGAAGCTGATGGTTTGAAAATACAGGTATTTCTTGTGATTTGTAGAGTTTAGCACAAGTAATTGGCTCATCTCTTTGTGAATATAATAAGTAAAATGATTGATATGTGTTTGTTGGCGGAAAAAGGAGTGACGAATGACAATTTTATCTAGAGCTTATGATATCGAACGAACAGCCAATGAGTCCTCATCCTGGTGGAGTTCATTAACAACATTCGTAAGTTTTGTATTCTAATTCCATGGAAAATCTGTTCGTTGTTGTCAATAATCTCTGATAGGTACTTAGTAAAGTCTTTGATACTTTATTCTAGGTTGGTTCAGCCATTCAGTCTACTGGCGGCAATCGCCGAATGAAAAAGTAAAGTGTTTTTTCCTCTATTCTCAGTTTTTCAATCTTTTCTCGTGTAGAGTTGATGATTGCCTTCTACTTGCATTCTATGAAGCTGTTCATTTAAATCGGAACTTTATTTCTGCATTAACACATGTAACTATTTCATAGCATCGAAAAACACAATTGAAATTATTTGGTTTTTAGACAGCTACTAATTCATGGGGCACGAAAAGCTCGTCTTCTAGTGATATTTTGCCGCCATCTTTACCAGCTATGGCTACACCAGCTACATTGATGAGTAAATAGATCACTGATTATTTCCTGAGGCTAACAATATCATTTTTTTTTTGCTCTACAGCACAAGAACAAACAGATTTTTCTGATATGGATGATTTTTCTGGATCAAATAATCTTCTCTCTGTATTTCTCGAATATTGTTCAATTATCCAACAGTTCTCCAAAAGTAATTTGATTGATTGTTCTTCTTTTTTTTAATCTCATGTCACTCATTTCAGATGAAGATATGTGTAATACAACCAAATTATGCTATTTGATTCTCCTCTGTATAACAGAAGATGAATTCGCTAATGCGACAATGCACGATGAAAATGTTATATTCAGTGTTTACCTTCACAAAGCCGTATGAATCTTCCATCTCTTGATGTTCCAAACTGACTTTTCTTTCTCTTTCCAGCCTATGCGCCATCGTAAACAAAACAATGAGAAGAATTCTCCATCACGTCCTTTAGCCGTTGCCTTATTAGATCTCACGATGGAATTTATCTGGAGTCATATGATGCGTAATTTTCCCTATGATCTGTATACGTAAGTTTCGTTTTCTCGTACATAAGTAAACACCCAACTGCTCAATAGGAAATGTATTGGAATCATTCAACGTATACTTTCTTTTCAAAAACGTACACGAACACGATTATCATATTCTTGGCGACCACTGTGGAATGGTAAGTTTATCATTTCGAAATTTCATTTCGGAAACATTCTTCTACTTAGCATTGATCACTCTTTTAAAATTTCTTCAAAATTGTGAGTCACAATTAGCCAAACATCGTGATTTGTTTCAACTCGCATCTAAAATCATTAATATCTTCAATTTGTTCATTACGTTCGGTGACACATTTCTACGCACTCCTGAAGCTTACGATGAAGTCTTTTATGAAACAGTACGATGCTATCATATATTTGATAACCTCTTTGCATTTGGTAAGTTTTCACGTTCACTAGTCAATCGACTATTTAACATTTCTCTTAGCTTGTCGGTATGCAAACAATGATAATGAATTCAAAGAATCAGCGTTGAAACTGATGGTGAATTTAACAAATATTAAGTAAGAATAAATATGTCTCAACGGAAACATCTTATGCATTTCTTTATTAGATTGATCACACATCATTTCAACACGAAGATTGAAGCTATTTCAAATAATCAAAACAATCCATTAACGGAGAATCAAGTAAAATTTGAAAGGCGACTAAACGTGTTGCTTTCACCTTTTGATCTTTTAGGTTTTAGAAATCATTCGAAATAATTACGACACATTAGCACTGAAACTTCATGACGATCTCGATCAATATGATATCTATTCCGAAAAAGCCACCGAAGCTTCGTTTTTGGCCAATATCGTAAATAGATACAAGGATTTTCTTCGGAACCATTTTCATTGAATGTCTCTCCTAGACACGCAATATAATCGGCAACTATCGTCGTCAATATTCACTGGACACAAATAGTACAGTTCAACTGTCGAGTATACTTCTCAATGAAGTTCCAACAATCAGTTAAATCGGTCAATTAGCATTTGACTCTCAACTAGTGACTTATATATTTCTTTTCATGTTGAATGTTTCTGTGATAGTCACTAAACATTTTCAGACTTCGTTCGTTCCTTCTTTTTTTGTCTTCTCGTCATTTCCAAAGAAAATAGCAAATTTTACCTGTACATACGAAGTCTTTATGATGATTATTATTATAGATGTCAACTGTTACATTAACGGTCACTCCATTTCGGAACGAGTAAGGACATTTGAGTAGATGGAAGATTTTCATTGAATTGTTGTAGCCAAGAAATACGAAATTTAATCGATTTGGCTTATTCAAATGATATTGATGATAAACGAGAAGCAATTAACAAATTAAATGAATTAGAAGCAAGGTAAATGTCAGTTTTTTTACTTAGTAATCTAAACAAGAGCGTGTTTTTCATGTATGTCTAGACTTAGCCAATTACCGATGGGTCTTGGTTCACTAAAACATATCCTTAAAGTAGAAATAATCCGAGCCGAACAACGAGAACAGAATAAATTCGATGAGAACAGTTCATTGCAATACGCCTGTGCTGTTGCTGTACTCAAGTATGTTCACATCGTCGAACTCTTTCATCGATTTTTTCACACAAATTGTCTTCATAGATTCGTCGATGCTGTTAGTGTACCTTATCGTGCACATCATTCTCGTCTTTCATATCGAAATATTGCTAAACAGGTAAAACTGCCTTTTTCAATGTTTCATATGATTTGATCGTATATGGGTTTTAGGTGGATTTACCCGGTAATATTATCAGTTTACGTCATGACATTGCCCATCATCATGAATTACCGTCATTGAACGATTTGCTTGCAGCAGTGGATTTTAGTAAACAATGGCTTCGAGTAAACGATTGAAATTGATATAAAAGGTTGAAATCTATTTGAGATGTTTTCAGAAAAACTGCCTGGATGAATTAGTTGAAACAATGGCGTTATTCAGTCAGGGTTCCTATAGTGAATTATTAGGAATTATCGCTCGAGAAACAGTTCAAGCTTTTGTCGAAGCACGTTTGAATGTATGTTCGGGTATATTGTTGTTAGAATTCTTGTAGGAAATACTTTATTTAGTTTTTGACAAAACGAAGTAAAAAACGATTACGAATTGTTGACGAACGTGTGGAAGAGATTCGTAAAGCCTTGCAAATGTGTAATGGAAAGTAAGAATTACTTTTTGGAAAAGTTTGAATGTATTGAAAAATTGTTTCAGAGAGATTATGGCAGAGACTTTTGTTCTATGCGGACATTTTATCATGGTACCTAATCAACTAAATCGGCTCGGCTATGATTCTGGTGAATAATCGATTGTTGAGTAACAACATATCTGACTGTTTTGTTTCATTGAAGATTCATCTGATCTTCTTCCGACGTGTGTTACTCAATTCTGGAAGCCGATTCTTCATTTAATTTCGAATGATACTAGTCTCATTTTGATTCTTATCGATAAAATCTTGATATTCATCAGCGATTATTATCGTTTGCCGTCGAATGATTATTCCATCATTGATCAACAACGAATCGGTTGGATATTCTATTTAATTGATCAATCAGCAACGAAACTTGATCTTTGTGCACTCTTTCTACGTTTGGCTCGTATTCTTCAACCATGGTTTGCTGATTCTCTTTCTCAAATGGTTATTCGTATGGCTGATAATCATAATGGAACTCGCAAAGCTGTTATCAGTGAAGACAAACGTGACGCGCTTCTTCGTACGATATCCATGTTTGCAAATCCATTTGAGAAAATCGATGATAATCAGATCACGACGTCATTGTCTATAGAGTCTTTTCCACGAAATCGATTGTATCAAGAAGAGCTAAACCTGTTCAGAAAGCGTAAAATGATGCAAATTATCGAACTATTTTCTGTAGAACAAATTCCATTTTTCTAGGTACAAAATTAGCTGAAGTGCCAGCTGGATTAGTCGATAGTGAAGATGAGCAAAACCTCGAAATGAATATTGATCTTTCAAAAACAGACCGAAATTGTAAATTCAGATCATTTTCCATCATGTTCATAGACATCTTCCTCTTCTTGTAGTTCTTGGATGTCCATCTAAACAAAAACCATTGAATACATCACCGGTGAAACGCAAAAGGACAAGTTCACGTATGTTCATTTCCATATTCATTATTTCGATCATTTCTCTTCCTTCTGTAGCAACCATCGATTCGAAACTCTTTCAAGATCTGCTCTATCCTCGACATTCCTATCGATATTAGACAATGTGTGTTTTTTTTTGTGTAGTCAGATGTATTGTTATTCATTATAAAATTATCTTCTTCCTGCATACCATCAGATTTTTATCTCATATATGAATAGACTGTAATAACAAAGAATATTGGAATAAACCAAAAGATTCATTGAAAGAAACGTGTAAGCCAACTAGATAATTGTTCATATATCGATGTGGAGATATAAACAATGTTATTTTGATGTTCAATTCGAAAGAATGATTGTCCGATGAATTTAATCATCCGTTCGACGATTGAGAAAGACGAATGTTTAGATTGATTATTCTCATTGCTAGAAGTCGCCTGTTGAGAAATAGATATTACATGACATATATAAAACGATCCTATGAGAAGATTAGTGAGTAATAAGAGAGAAAGCCAGTGTCTTGTAATGTTGAAGGTTTTGTTAGATTCAGTTATATGTATTCTTTTGATTCGTTTAATCTGTCGATGAAAAATCGATGATTCCTCATCGATGGACGAAATGATATTCGTTTTTGACAGATTTGCATTCTGTGTATATCTATTGAATGTCAATGATCGTTTAGCACGAACGATTTTCTTTCGTTCAGTTGGATGAACTCGAGATGTTTTATTTTCAAAAAATGCACTAATATCTTTGAATGTTGTTGGACTAACAAGACCATTTTCATCGACATCTGTTTCCACAGATATTGACTAAATGGAAGATGATGCAAACGAACGACACATGTAACAAAAGAAACTTCTTTTCCACTTATTTTGCTAATTGGCAAGCAAAAGCAAACATGATTTCACATACTTTCCTTTGTCGATTCGATTCGAATAAGTGGTTAATTGTAAATCCATTCGATAGATTCGTACTCGTTGCTTGTACTGTATACGTGTCACGTTTCTCATCGGTGAAAGCATTGGTGTTGGATATGGCACTCTCATTAAGCATTTCCTGAGATTCAATAATTGTTGGGAGATTGAATCGATGTTTGTTCATTGATTGATAAGCAGTTTGTTTGGGTAGGAAAGTTTTCGTGACGAACTTTGAACATGGATGATCGATTTCTTCTTCTTCCATGAGACTTTCGAGATTCGGTATTGATGATGATGACGGCCGTTGAATAGCGCTTGGAGAGTCTTCCCGAACACGCGGTACTGTTGGTGATAGTTGTGAAGATGAAGAGAGAAGAGTTCGATGACGGTCGAAGTTCGAGTTGTTCTTCGTGCTCATTTCAAATCGAGTCTTCCACATTCGTGACCAGTACACACGTGAGGAAAGACTGAAGTGAAAAATAAATAGTTTTGACAGACAAGATCGAAAATGAGCAACAAAGTAGCGGGCAAATTCACAGCTTTTTATAAACGAATAGATTTTCAATGAATCATTAGTTTAGATTGTGTTTATTTCGAAACATAGCATCACGTTCGATGTAGATAGATTACTCTAACGATTAAGAATGTACATTATTTATCGAACCATTCTTCAAGATTCAATATTGAGACTATTATTTTTCCAAATTGAAAAAGTATGTTGTTTTTTTTAGAAGATTAGAATTTTTATTCGAAAAACATTGATCAATCATTTCCGATTTTCTATCTTATATGATTCGTTGTATTCACAGCGATGTGCAAATTTTATAAACAGAAATTTTCTTTGCATTCGCTTTTTGAATAATTCGAACGAATATTTCCTATGATATCAATTCGATTTCCATACACGTTCAAGGTCGCATTTTTTGCAAAATTATATGCAAAACCAAGATAATCGTCCATGTTAACAACACAAGAATTCCACCGGCGAATGTATAACTCGAACTATGAAACATCACATGATCTTTTGTTTTCAAAACAATTCAGCAAGTATCACTTACAGTAGATTTGTATAAGTGTACCGACAATCGGTGACGATGAGAAACCAGTTGAAGTAGATCGATGGTGTACAAACTGTTGTTAAACATAACTGACATGTATATCCAAAGAGAAGTAAACTGGAAACAAGGAATTTAGTAACAACAATGGATGACACATTTGGATTGTGTTCTTGATGAATACCGATCGGTAACCTATCAATAAAATTTAGCATAGAGGTGAAAGAATATAATAGACTTACCATGTCAGATCCGATTTGAACAGAGATGCGCCTAATCGCTGTGCGTAATGAAGAATAAGAAGAAGAAATAAAACGACTAGACCTATTTCCCACGGAAGAATTTTATTATAAGCAAGTACGAAGATAAAATGAATAATCGTGAAAACAATCGTGGAAATGTAATGATAACAAAGACGAGAAGATTTTCGTGAATCTTTATATTGCCTATATAATCCAATAGAATAAGTAATAAATATTATGCAGAGTAACAACCAATGAATGGACGAGAGAGCAGTTAATGTCAATTGTACAGCTAAATGGAAGAAGACGGATGATATAAATTGTCGATTTATTATCATCTACAAAATGGTTAATGATAATGAATAGAGATATACTGAAACACATTTATCAAAAATATATGCAATATTTTTATTTAGCATTTGGAATGTCTTCTAACAGATGATCAATCGTTTTTGTCGCTGAACGAGTAAAATTGACTAAGATATGAGTGTACAACGGACGTGTTTCAACGCTGGCAACAGAATAATCCAAAACGCTGAGTTGCCGAACGCCATCGTAAGAATAACGGAGCCATTTACTTAGTGTACCATAGCTAAAAATTAAAATGAGTGCTATTCAGCAGAGGGATTCGAGATAACCAAGTACCGGTTTGTTGCAGGTGTTTGCTTTTTATGACGAATCATTTTATAACGACCAATACGATTCGGTGGTCGACTTATACGATATCCTGCATGACGCAATCTAATTTAAATGAGTCAAAAAAACATAAACGAAGACAGAACCGTCATATACAAACCTATGATTCATGTCTAAAATGAATAGAAATCGAATTAGAAGCATTTATTCTGTTTCAACTTACCATCATCTTCGAACTATGATGTGAAAAAGAGGATAAATTGATATTGCGAACTATAGAATATAATTGACTTACACCCCAACCCCAATACAAGTTTGACCACCCGTTTGCTTTGAAGAACTGTTCCTTAGTCAAGGCGAGAACGCCACCGATCAAATCGTTGTACATTAAACTAAATAAAAACACCATCGAATATTCATAGATTTCGATTCTTATGCGGATTCAACTAACAAGTAACGTAATTCATCAACAGCTGGTGCTAAATGCCGTGGTCCCTGTTGTTCACATTCGTAAACATTATAATCATTTTCTGGTATCAGATCAACATCATGAAAGATGAAACAATCAAACAGTGGTGAAATTATTTTCGAAGCATAATTAAATGCCACGTTCATAATTAAACCCTTATTAAAAGTGCCATTGCCATACTAAAGTCATAAGATAAAAACAGTTTATTTCGATTTGGAATGCTCAAAACCAACCTGTTCAACAACGAACACTCGATAGGCTCGCTTTTGCCGTTGTAAAAATGGATGAAGATGTCGTAAAAGCATCTGAAGTTGTTTTTCACGATAACGAAATGGAATAATGACGGCAAGTTGCTGCCGACTAGTACAATCACTAGGAGTGTAAATGCCGCCTAAACACTATTTTACAAACAAAGGAATAATCAGTTTTTAAAATTCGTACCTTTCTCTACATTTTTTACTTCGTTTTCCACATCTGTCCACGTTAATTCCGATGACATATCGATTGGAACATTATCTTAAATGAAAAGCAAAAACATACAATAACGAATGAGAACAACAGATTCTACATTATACTTAAAAGTGTCGATGGATACAATTCACATGATCCCGAACTTCTCTTTCCATCATCTTTGATTATATATTGATTCGCCGTTTTCTCATCGCGCATATTACATAGCTGAATAACTATAATAACACTAACTGCCAGAACAAGCACCGGCAAATTTTCGCTGGTTTTCAATCGAGTAAATTTCCGAGAAGAAATCATCGATCTACAAATAAAAGTGAACATGATTTGAACCATATTACATCTATTCGAGGAAATGTTACAAAAGACCATATGGGTGAAGGCAATGAGACATAACCGTCATGCTTCAATTCATCACATTTCTTTTCTATATACTACACGTGCATGTTTTTGCATTCTATTACGTAAAATCGTTTTTATGATGGAGTAGAAATTAAAAAGAGAAAAGTTGGAACATGTTCTTTGACTATGACCGATCGAATATCTGTAGTAATGCCGAGTATTCAAAGGAAATAAGCTGCTCTTTCGTGTATTCAAATTTATAGTCTATGTACTGTGTTCTTTATGAATAATACCTATTCTTTTTTGCAATGTGTATCGCACAGTTTGATAAGGTTAACAACGATTCATGAAAACAATAAAAGAATCGTAAAACTTAATTTTTTTCGCATGTAGCAATAGAAAAATCGACATCAATTCTCAAATATCTTTTTAAGAAGTCCGATAAACGATTGATTATCACAACTTTGCAATGTAACTTACTTTCACATAACCATCGCGACATATATTTGCTTTTTTATTCTAATGAATGACTTCTATGGAAAAGAAAACTCTAATTAACTCACGCTTAATGAATTTCTATCGACTTTTCTTTCTCACACAGTATAAATCATTGAAAAAAATGCACATATTCTGCATCCAGCAGGAAAACGACGATGTTTGTTGATTGTGTTTATTAACTCTCGGTTGTTTTATCATTTCTTATGTCAACAATCTTATTTAATCAATTTTGCCTTGTCCTTTGTTACTAGTTTCATTTCTTCTATCATTATACATTCAAGTACTGGTAACCATAAACGTAGGACATCGAATTTCTGCTTATCTTTCACTTCTGACAAAACGTGTATTTTTTATACGTACCACACGGCAAAGATTAGTTTCAGCAACTGAAAGAAAAATAGTTGAACTTGCACACGAAACAGTCACGGAAAAGATTTTGTTGCGTGATAATTGATGCGAGGGTGCAGTGAAGTCTGAAAATATTCATCTGTAAGGAGGAAAGCATTGTCTGAATTGTTAATCTCGTTCGTTTGAAGAAATGGCAACGCGCAGAATTTTATTTACTCAAAAGAAAAAGAAAAAAGACGAGAAAAAGAAACGTGTAACCTTCACATGCATAAAAACTAAAAAGAACGCTGAAGTTGTTATTATTAAAGAAAGAGGAGCGACAAATTCAAGAAAATGACATTGAGTATACGACAATGAGGAAAAGAAAGAGAAACAGTTCTTATCGGGGCTTTTTTTCTATGGAACTGAAGGTCATTAGCAGAAGAAGACTTTGAAAAATTTTCTTTTTTCCTAAAAAACGATAGCAAATGCGATGACTGTCGTCTACAAAAAACGATTGAAAATAAATATCTATGGAAGATATAAGAAAAGAAAAATCAATAGTGTAATCTTTCGTATTGTACTTGTTCTACATGCAAGTAATCATATATTCTGTGATAATATTCATCGATCAGCCGATTTATTTTACTGTAAATTTCCAGTAAAACAAATCAGATGAATCATCAAAGTGTTACACAAAGTGTAATGACTCACATCGTTCTAAAATCGTTTTTTCAATATGTTTTTATCAATTGTAAAATCTGAAGATGAAATAAATTTTCGAAACGCGTAATAATTAAAACTTACAATGAAATTTAAAGTTGCTGTTAAAATTGTCATCATTTGCTTACGTCTCTTTCCGGTCAACACACACAATTATCTTGTTTATATAAGGCAACATAATGGGCCGTTCTACGCCATCACTGCATTCCAGTATGGCAAAATACAATTGAAATTCACCAAAACATATTTAGATGTGAAATTCCTTAAGAAATGCAAACAACATAAACTACTTCCAAATTTTGTTCGATTTCGAATAGCTCAAGTTTATTCTCGCCATCGACCCGTCGTCGAAAATTGTTATCATCAAATCTTATCAAACGAAATAAAATTAAAAAAGAAAGAACTCTCATATTTCCATCGACACTCAAATAGATTAAAAAATGATCTAATGACCACACTTGATCCTTTGCTTTACTCACGTACAATAACCATTATTCAAAATTTGGTACAGTACAAAAAACGACAATGGATCTACACACATAACAATAAATTTAACCTTTTATGTACCAATGATTTAAAAAAGAAACAACCACAATCGATAACTTCAAATAAATATCCAATATCACCTGTTCATAACTTATCGGAGCGACATTTAACACAAGATGAATTAGAAGCACTCAGTGCAGGTTTGAATTTTGTACCAATTCCTACACAACTCGATGAAGAAACATTCGTAAGCAATATTGAAAATTGTTTTGTACAATTACTTGGACGAACGACAGACACATATGATTATGAAAACAAACTAGAAGACGAACCTACTCAATACAACTTAACAACTGAACAAATAACTACAGCTCAAAACATTCGTTCAGCATGTGACAAATTCACTGATTCTACCTATAGATCTTTGAAAAGTCACCCTAGCAGCAAAAAACTCGAACGTACATTACAAAATCTTGCAAAAGACAAGAATATCTACATTACAAAAGCTGACAAAGGCAACGCTGTGGTAGTTATGAATAAAACCGACTATATCGCAAAGATGAACACCATTATCAACGATAAGAAGACATTCCAATTATTAGAAACAGATCCAACGCTGAAACAAGAAGATAGACTACTTCGAAAGTTGAAAACTCTCAAAGAATCTGGCTTCATAAACGAAAATCAATACAATTAATGTCGACCTGTAGGTTCGCAACCTGGTCGTATTTATGGACTACCTAAAGTCCACAAAAACGGAACACCATTACGACCAATACTATCAGCAAACGGCACTTTTAATTATAAACTAGCGAAATGGCTAGTTACACAATTATCACATCTCAAAGAACATGAAACAATAATACAAGATAGATTTTCATTTGTTAAAAATTTACATCAATTAGATATTGATATGAATGAACACAAGTTATTATCTTACGATGCAATTAGTCTTTTTACGAACGTTCCTTTACAGAAAACAATCGATTTTATTTTACAAGCAAAATATGGTGATCACTGTGAATGCACGATTGCTGAAACAACACACAAAAGAAGGAAGAAGAAAAAACAGAAATGCAAAAGTTGCATAGATAAAACTAATCTCAAATGGCTATTAGAAGTTGCGACAGCTCAAACCCATTTTCATTTCAATGGGAATATTTATCTACAACACAATGGTGTCAGCATGGGATCTCCACTTGGACCACTCATGGCCGATATTTTTCTCGTAAATCTAGAGAAAAAAATTAATGGATGAACTCAAGGCCAACGGTGTTAAGTATTATCGTCGATTTGTTGATGATACTTTTATCATTGCAAAAAGAGACGCCAATGAAGAGAGAATACAGACCATCCTCAATTCTTTTGACGAAGCTGTTCAGTTCACCTTCGAGTCTGCAAATGAAGTGGATCACTCTATATCCTTTCTGGATGTTAAAATTACACCTAGATCAAGGAAAACGCCATCATGGTTCGATACAAACGTATATCGAAAAGATACGTTAACAGGTTCAATATTAAAATATTCTTCTTTTGTACCGATTGAATACAAACAAAATGCAATCTCATCTATGGCGTATCGTGCTATACAGATATGCTCAAACTATCATCTGATGGATCAAGAATTATCAACAATAATGGAAATAAGTGTTGCAAATGGTTATCCAACCTCATTTGTAAACAACATCATTGGAAAAACACTTAATCGTTTCTTTGAAAATCAAAAGAAACATTCAAACGTAACAGATGAAACTAATAAATCAATCAACATATCCATCAATAAAGTAAAACAAAAACGTTCACCACCACTCATTGATATTCCTTACACAGGTCAACCAACACTCACATTAGGAAAAAAATTGATTAATATTGTCAAACAAGTGAGACCAGATATTGTTCTTCAACCTATTCCAAGACCAGCTCCGAAAATTCAAACAATATTTCCTCGTAAGGATTCACTCGACAAAAATCTACAAGCAAATATAGTTTATAAAATTGCTTGTAAAAATTGTTCTGACGAATACATCGGAAAAACATATCGACAAGCCATTCGTAGACATATTGAACATGGCGCATCACCAACCCTAATTCGATCGCGTCAACAAATACCGAATATTCCATTATCACAACCAAAACTACTTCATAACGAAGAAACAAATCTACGACGTTCCGAACGAAATACTAAAAAAATTATCAATTATCAAGATAAAAACACATCATCCTCTGATGAAACAATCATTGATGGTAGACAGACAACTACCACCGTCACCACTGAAAAAAATTCTGCTCTCCACAAACATCAAACAGACACGGGCCACCAACTAGATTGGGAAATTTGGAAGATTATCAGCAAAGATTCACACAAATATCGCCTACTCGTTCGTGAATCTCTTGCCATCTTGAAGCATAAACCAACATTGAATCGCACGGTACAGAGCGCACCGTTGATCATCTACTCATCTGGAAGAATACAGAAGAAAGTCAAAATGAAGTACCAACATGGTAGACGCATACCCGGGTGATATTTGTTTTACTGTAAATTTCCAGTAAAACAAATCAGATGAATCATCAAAGTGTTACACAAAGTGTAATGACTCACATCGTTCTAAAATCGTTTTTAATACGGTGCGACCTTAAGGAGCATCGTATTATTGAGTTTCTTCGCGTCTTTTTGCGTCTTTTTATTATTATTAATACGGTGCGCTAGCACCGTGTTATTGAGTTTCTTCGCGTCTTTTTATTATTATTATTATCTTTTCTCTTTCTCGACAAGGCGTCCAAAGTCCATTTTTAGTGACGTGCTGATCAAGGGATCGGGGCGTCGTTGAACTGTAGGTTAAACGCTGTCGACCAGTCAGCTAGGTGAAGATGAGATATTTTTTTCTCAGAATTTCATAAACTGTTGCCGTTTGCCCAAAATAAAACACGGACTCTGTGGTAAACTGTGGCGAAGATCTTTTAAGCAGTGGAGATAATTAAAAGACGAGTAGGCGCGAAAAGATTTGTCAGAAGTGCGCTCTGGTTAGTTGAAAAGACAATTAATGAATGCGGCGACCTCACGTTTCTCTAGATTTTAGTTCATAGAGGCTTTGATTTGAGTACTTTCTTTATGACTTGTGTCAAATCAAATTTGCTACCATTAAATACAGTCTTAGTGAGCAATTCATTTTCAACTATGTCAACTAGAGAAGTTCTAACTTCAAACTACATGGTTGCACAAATAAACTATCCATTCAGCTAAATAGAATGAAGGTACAGGCGAAATTCCGCGCACCGTATTTCGCGGTCGGGCGAAGCCTGACAGCCCATCTAGTTATCTTTTCTCTTTCTCGACAAGGCGTCCAAAGTCCATTTTAAGCGATTCGATGATCTAGAGAACGGAGCGTCATTAGCCTTCCGAACAAACGCTGTTAAGGAGCTATGACTTTGTAGATGCTCATTTTTTTATTCGAATTCTACTATTACCATTAGTTTGCCCAAAATAAAACACGGATGTAACGGTAAATCATGGCACATGCATTTTACATTGTTAAGATAATTAAAATCAGAGTAGGCGCCAAAAGGATAGTCTGTTTGTATTTTATGATTAGTTGTTGATAAAACGATGATTTAATGCAGCGACATCATTATACAGCGTTTTACGCGAATCTTTTATTTAATTTTCTCCTATAAAAAGCTCTCTGTATTAGCTGAAAAATATTTCCAACGATCTCGGGAACTATCGACTTATACACTAACTGGAAAATAAACGTTCAATAGCATACACTTCCTCCTATGTTCCCGAAAACTCGTCGCACCGTATTTCGCGGTCGGGCGAAGCCTGACAGCCCATCTAGTTTCAATATGTTTTTATCAATTGTAAAATCTGAAGATGAAATAAATTTTCGAAACGCGTAATAATTAAAACTTACAATGAAATTTAAAGTTGCTGTTAAAATTGTTATCATTAGCCGATTTATTTATTCATTGTTACAATGTGACGAGAGAAATGCGCGATATTTGACATGTAATGCAGAAATTCAACTTTTATTTGACAAAATTCTAATTTAAAATGCATTACCAGTAGACTAGTCTTGCCTCATTCGTGTATATATCTCTAATCTTCACGGAGAAGCTATGAATATGTCATCTCGCCGATTTATGTTCTTGTGCACCTGCGAAAATATGATTTTTTTTACACATAACAAAATGACTTGATAAGTGAAGGATGATATGTTCCACACACACAAATATTTATCAAATCTTTAAAGGTTTACAACAGATTATTCGTTTTTCATGGAAAGAAAGTGTGACATGTAACGCACACAGTTCTTCATTTGCTAACTGAAAGTAAAAGAGATAATCGATGTTTCGATCGATGCTCTATTTCTGTGACCATGATTTACCTTCGCTTTCTTGTTTTGAGTCACATTTTGTATGATAACAACCTACGTTTCTTGTTTACACTTTGTTATTGGTGTTTTGAATGCTATTTACATATCGTTCTCCTTTCCTACGGACATTGATTATACTTGAAATCGACCCAGGTCACTAGAATATGTAATTGCACATAAAGCGAAAAAAAAAGGAAAAATAATCAATGACGTGCGACAGTAATGACAAATGTTTTGAGCAATCTTGCCAAAAAACCATGATACTTTGCATTAAAAGGTACATTATTTAGCATGCATCTAATTATCTGTAGCATAGCCTCACATGTCGTTCACTATAAATACTTGTTCTATTTTCTCATATTGAAAACGTTTTTTTCGGCAGACAATCATCACACAATGATGTCTACCATCTCCATAAAATTTTTACTTACTAAACAAAATCTTCAATTATTCTTTCTATTCTAGTTACTTTCTGATTCTTGAATTTCATAAAATCAATGGTTGTGGGAAAAATTGTCATCGCGATTGTCGCAATCGTCGCTGCCATGGTCGCTATTTCAGCAGCAATTGTTCTAAGTCTTATATCGGTTTATATACCCGATCAAAGTACTTCGGTGACAGGTATGACATGCATCCATGCTTTTCTTTTGAAGAATTGCTTATAATCGTCTATTCATGGTATTTCAGTTGATGATAAAAATTTCTTCATCATTGTTTACTCTGAATGGTATCATAATTGCAAAGCTTTTACTTCATCTCCACCAGTGATTTATTTATAATTCAATCTACTTTTTAGCGTATCAGAAGTGCCTAACAGTGGCGTCTAAATTCGCAACAACGGTCACTGGACCAGTTTCAAACATTACAACAACAACAGGTGTCACTGTGACATGTTCACAACTAGGATCAACTTCATGTCCAGGTTCCATGGTAAATGGAATATGTACTTGGCAACGCAAATTGGCTGTGACATGCATTGATGGAACAACTGTTCGTATTCGAGTGCAATCCAATGGTCTACCTGGAAGATGCATGGATGTTCCATCAACTACTTCTATTTCGGAACAAAATGTCGATTTCGCAGTCAACTTCAATCCGACAGTTAGTGTTAATTCACCGATATTCTCACCAACCACTCAAACACAACTGGACGCTATATCCTGTAACATTACAAGTCAAAGCTCAGCTCCGTCATGGTCAAATTTAGTTACCTACTCAACAACTTCGTTGGATACCTTAGTTGGAGTAAGTATTGATAATGTCGCCATTCTCAATGTCAACAGCGCCAATATGGTTGATCCATTCTATCCATCAGGTAGCTATAGCGCAGAATCAGTCGATAGCTGTTTGGCACATCCTCAGACGAGTGGTGTGTATCACTACCATGCTGCTAGTGGATGCTCTGTCTCACCTCCAACAGGCAACATTTCGCTGTGTAGTACGTCAAATGGATGTTCAACAAATGTCGCTGGTTGGATCACATCGACATGGCCTTCATCAGCCAAAAAACTAACTGTTATCGGTATCGCCAAAGATGGTCATGTCATTTATGGACCATACCTTAATGGTGGTAAATTAGTTACCACCGGTATCGATATTTGCAATGGAATGTTCTATGATAGCAGTGGTGACTATGGTTATTTTGCCACAACAAAATATCCATATATTACTGGCTGTTTTGGACCTTCGAACTATCCGTCGGTTGGCCCTAGTTGCACGACAAATGGTCAACAATCGTACACAATGTCAAGCTATGCAGCTGCGAGATATACTGGATAAATAGACAATCAGTAAATGTTGTTTTTTTTTGCCATCGAACTTTCTATCCCTAGATCATTCTAGAAAATTTTTCCTGTAGCACATCACTTGAATGTATTTTTCTTACTGCGTACTAACATACCTTCGTTTTACAATAACCTGGTTTTTTTCAAGGACCTAATTATACTTGTCAAAATGCATACTCTTTGTATTTATCATATTGATTGATTTCAGTCATGTTGATTGCGTGTGTTTATTCATGCAGTTATAGCTGTACACACATCCTGTCTATTCCCCGACATTAATCCTACATATCACGTTGCTCAGATATTAGAGATAAAGTAGACTCTGTAGAAATTGCCTTTCTCTCTGTCGGGTGCAAACGCACGTTTCGTGTCATATATTGTGAATCGCAATTTATTCGAATTAATCATGAAACAGAAGAAATGGAAGTGTTTATTTCGAAAGTATCAACATTAGAAATTTTCTCTCTATTTCATACATATTTGCGCAGGTTAATTTTCGTTCTTTAGCGTCGCAAAAAATATTCACATGTCATCTATTGCTTGTTTTTCCTACCGTTGCGCTCTTGATCATAGTTTCAAGTAAACATCATATGTCTACACCTTTATGTTTTTAATCATACGGGGCGTATCAAGATTGTTATTTCTTCGTCGATTTTGATCTAGCTTTAATTTTATGGCAAACAGTTTCGCTCCTGATCTGACAGGCACAACGTCAATAGATATAGGTGTATCTAGCGAACTAAAAATCGAAAAATTAATGAAAGAAAAGTTGTTATCAAGACCATCGCATATTGGTAAGGACAATGATGTCTGATTATATTGACGAAAACGATAACAAGTGACTCTTAAAGGTATAGTATTTGTCATGCTATACATGATATTTCATCGCACAGTATCTCTGACGATTTGGGTGAATAATCAATATGATTTGTCAGAGTGAGAGGCATGCTAATGTAGAACGAGTATTCAATATATTTGTGATTCTACTGTACATATTTCAGTACAGCCGTATGATCTTCTGGAAAAACGTTCCAGTATACATATTACCGACAATTTTGAAAGAGGAAAATGTTGATTTCAGTTATATTTAAATTTCATCGGCATGTTTAGAAACGATGAAACTCATTCATATCTTCAATTAAACATATGATCAATCTAAAAACTATTCTGATATACTTTTTTTTATAGAAAAATCTAAGAAATTCATACTATATTCAATCAAGAATCATAGCATCTTGCATTAAATTCGACATCTAGGAACAACAACGAAGAAGACGTATATTTTGGATTTTAAAAAGTTCATTGATCGGAATATTTCAACTAGTTATATAATTTTGTTTGTAATTTAATAGTGTCGCAAACATTACAATCTCGAAACATGACGTCATGATTAAATGAATCTCACTTGTCCACATGTTATCAATCGTAATTATTAGTTAACCATAACGAAATATTTTGAAAGAGGAATTTACCACCCATAATAGATTTTAATTCGTTAGAAAAACAATTAGAAAGGATTTTCTTCCGGTATATATACCCACAAGCCTTCACGCACTCTTATCTTATTAGTCTTTCTCTCAACCAAAGAAGTCTTGGTGACGAGTTTCATGACGTTAACTATTTGAGGAACTCAATGAATAACGAACAGACAGACTGATAAATAACATTTCTTCGCTATATATATATATATATATAAAGATGAATTCACTTTATACTATCTTGCTATCGTTTGCTCTGCTTTGGTGTCATAAGTTTATCAGACAAATAGCAAGAGATACGCAGGGAAAGATCCACGGAATATGTTGGAAATAGATAAAACAATTATCTTGAAATTTATCGTGCGAGACAAAATATATTTTCATTACTGGATTAAAAGTCAAGATATTACTACGATAAATCAAATAATATACTACTGATGAGCTCATCTTCGTCAGCCAACGGTAAGACTTTAGGAACTAGTAGATCGACAGTCGGTATATGTCTAACGGTTTTTTCTGTAATTTCACTTAGCGACCGATAAAGTGAGAATAACAAGTTGAACAAACGGATTTTCATTACAGCTATTTCATCTCTATCTAGTTGATCGTAATAGTATAAAAGTGACGATTTGTTAAACGTTTTAGTGCTTACTTATCTCTCCAATCCGGTTGAACATATGACCGCAAGTGAGAATGATAATCGTCTCGCTGCTCACATGATCAGCGTTGCTTTGGATGCAGCAAAAGGACAAGAAATATCCACCGAATATCTGGATCAGATTCGTAACACAGCTGACAATAGTTCCAGCCAATCGATCTCACTTGCGGCCAAATATATTCTTTGTGTACATGCTGCTCAACACTGTGGATTTGTGGAACCGAATTATTTTGTCAGTTTACCTGAACTTTTATCGACTGACAATGTAATAATTCGTTCATGTGTTATGTGGACATTTGCAATGATATTACCATGTGAGAATATTCTGAATTCATCTTTAATTCAACTATTATTCGATTCATTGAAAAATGAAACACTCGGTTGGAGTGTTGCTTATCTTTTTCGGAAGATGTCGGAAAATGGTAAATACATACCGATGATGCCTGATGCCAAATGGATCTCTATGGCAAAGCTGTTGTTCGACGAAAAACTGAGTGAACAGGTTCGCACAGCGATCGTCCACACATTATGTCAAGTGCTCAAGGTTCGACAGACAACTGCGCCAGTAATCAAACATGAATTAGAAGAACTAGTGATACTTGAAAAGATTCCCATACAACTCTTTGTTGCAACAGTGAATGCTTTACATTTAATGATCATCGATGGTGCTATTCTTGAAGATAAAACAGTGAACAAATTACGCCACTTAGCAAAGAACACTGATCGTACATGTATAGAATGTATTCACGAATTACTGGATTTCGTTGATCATAAACGAATTTTGTCTAATGCAGTCCTGTTTACAGGTGATAGCCATGTGAAAAAAGAATTAACCATTAGTCAGAGTACATCAATCTCTCGTTGTGAAGAAGAATCGATCGAGCCAACATCGAAAGAGTTAGATCTCGATCATTTACTAGGTACGATTGGTTATCTCGATCGAACATTTAATATCGAAGCGCAACCAAAAACTGTCTCATCGGGCAGTAATCGGGCTTGGTATCGATCGAATCTTCAGGAAATTGAGAATTTAGGAATGTTAGCTACAAAAGGACAATTGAAAGACCGAGATTTTGATTATCTTTTAACCCAGTTCAAAAGTGCGGTTTATGTCGGTTGGACTAAACTGAAAACTCGATCGTCCATACATAAAATGATCGCTACTATCTTTCGAGATGCAGCGAGAGTCGAACAAGCCATTCCATTAGGCATCATTGATGAAATGATTGGTCGATTGATAGATGACGAACAAGGTGTATCTGGTTTATGCGGTGAAACTCTTTTAATCATCGTCCAGAACAAACATGACTTAAACGATGAACAAATGAAAAAAATTAAAGAAGCCTTAATCAAAACAAGCGATTCTGCAGTGAAACAAAACTTGATCGAAATCTACGCCCTGTACATTTTGAAAGGCTATCATTTAACACTAGATTTAAGTTCCGTTGAAAAAAATTTACAAAATCCTGATACGTGCTTAACTGCCAGTTATCTGTTTTTTAAAGCAGCTGCTATCGAAAAACTCACATTTACTGATCAAACATTACGAATTCTGAGTCAAGTCAGCATGAACGATAAATATGATATCAAGGCACGAAACAATTGTTTATGGGCGATAGCGTACAGTATCCGAGAGAGCAAAGCGAAGCAGTCGATCTCTGCAGAATTAATCAATGATCTTGCTAAAATGCTGACCAATCTAGATACGAGTATCAAACAAACAGCAGCAGTAGCACTTTGTTATTATGGTAAGGACGAAAAGATTGTCTTATCTGTACAAGTTCTTGAACGATTAGCTATTATACTCGTCGCAAAAGATCAAGCGCTATTAGATAATCTTGTCTCTCTCTATCTGAAAGTGTCACAAAGTGATCAAATTATTCCTGCTTTGGCGTTGGACAACCTTGCGCATATTCTTCAACATCCGGACTTTTCCCTTCGTCAAAAAGTTATTTGGATATTCAATCATGTCGTGACTAAAGGAAGAGAACTATCTGCAGTCAGTCTCGATAAAATCGATCTTTGTTTAGATGATCAAGAATTCCATATTCGAAATCCAGCAGGTCAAACGTTTATTACCTACTGGCAAAGTCAACTGCAGAAAGGTGATAATGAGCGAATTCGCCATATATCAGCTCGATTAGAGAAACTATTGATTCTATTTCAGCATCCATACGAATCAACGGTAAGAATTTCGGCATTGAAATTTCTTCAACAACTGGTAGAAAAACATATTGATTTGCCCGAAACAATTCTTCAATTAATTGAAATGTGTCTTTATGAACATGAAGCAAAGATTTCTAAGGAAGCCATCGCCGTTGTTCAATCTTACTCCCAACGGCGTTCGCTGCGAAAGACTACTGTTGTTTGTTTAGAACATTTATTAACCACTGAAACACCAATTCTGTCTGATATCATCGTCATTTTGAAATCTATCGTTGAATCTGGTCATGTTCTATCGAAAAAAATTGTCGATATTCTTGGTCAATTGATTTTAACGAAAAGCGATCCTAACAATATCGTCATTCTTCTCACGTTCGCTGATCGCCATCAACCATTATCAAAATTGGCCGACGAATTACTTCGTCAAATTCATTTTGCTAAAGCGTTAAAATACTCGACACATCAAATGACAATCGACAAAGCTGTTGAAGGACTACTTCAATTGACGCAGAAAGGTCAACAGTTATCATTATTTGCTCTCAATATATTATTCGAATTGCTGAAATCAGTCAAATTCCAGTCTTTATTAATGCCAATTATCCTTACTGTTATCTGCAATGGACAACATATAAAAGATGACGAACATCGTTCTTTTGTTAGATCAAATCTTTCTTCAAAGTGGTAGTCATCCGACACATGATTTAGTATTGATCTTTACTGAATTGAGTCGACAAAATCAAATAATTTCTGATAGTGCTGTACATCATTTGGAAAAACTTCTTGACGATCGATCGATTAATATATTCATCATCGAGATCTATCAACATTTGCTCGAACGACGAAAATCTCTCGATCCATCCATTGTTCAACGAATTCTCAAATCGTTTGATGTGAATGTCTGGAAAGATCTATCTACGGATTTCCGATATCGATTAACATCATTCTTCAATGCTTTAGCCAACAATCAACCTATCGATGCAGATCAAACTTGTTTACCTTCGTTTCTTCGACTGCAACAACCAGTTACGATACTTCGAGAAATCTGTTCGGCTATTCATACTCTCGCAGTCTATCGCCCATATCTTCAGCCAAGAATGATCGATGCTCTTTTTCAACTATTGGACAGTGAAATCGATACAGACATTCAAGAAATCATTTTGAAAACATTAAGTTTAGTTCGAACGAATTTTCCTGATGGCTACAATGATCTAAAAGAATGTCTGCATCTGTTCGATCATGCTTCAAATCTCGATGATCAATCATTGCTTATACAATTAAGACGTACGGTGAAAAGTAACAAGAAATTACCAGAAGCTTATTTAATACGATTATCACATATGCTCTATAGTTGTGATCCCAAACTGAAGGCAGAAGCCGCTGTGCTTCTCGCTTCGACTCTTCCGGCATGTTCAAGTCTTCCGAAGAAGGTACTTGATGCTATCTATTTAACTTTGTTGGATGATTCAATTAATATGCACACATTACCATTGCTGTTCGATTTAAAATCAACATAGACACCATCGGTGACTGATGCTCTCCTTCATCTTGTCTGTTACTCGAAACAAGCATCGATTCAACAGCAAGCTCAGAGATTATTGATCACTCAGAAGAATAGCAACGTCAAAGTACGCGAATTTCTTGACAATCAAGATCTTGTGCTATCAGAAAAGCAGCACGCACATGTTCAAACAATGTTCCTATCATCGGATACCAATGATGTTCATCGAGCATTGAAGATCATTCGTGCCATGATCATTCTCGATAAGCATGTACCACATAAACTTCTCTCTGCTGTTGTTGCCCAATTGACCCAACATCCGGATGAAATTATCGATTTATTGATTCTTGCATTCAAGCATGGCATTCAGTTCGATGAAATACTCTTTCGGTCGATTAAAAATGATCTCTGCTTATGCCAAACTGAACATATGTTCGCCCTCATTCGAATCTTGACCGAAAAAGCTGTTCCTTTCCATGAAAAAACACTGGAACTTATTTTGTCTCAAGTGAATNTCCGGATGAAATTATCGATTTATTGATTCTTGCATTCAAGCATGGCATTCAGTTCGATGAAATACTCTTTCGGTCGATTAAAAATGATCTCTGCTTATGCCAAACTGAACATATGTTCGCCCTCATTCGAATCTTGACCGAAAAAGCTGTTCCTTTCCATGAAAAAACACTGGAACTTATTTTGTCTCAAGTGAATTCAAATGCAGTGAACGAACCACTAAATTGTTTAGAAAACATTGCCCGATATCAGCATCTACCGGATCGTCTCATTTCGTATTTCGTCAAACAGCTCTTTGAAGATTCGGACGATATCGTCAAAAAATCTTTCAGTATCCTTCGTCTTCAAATCTCACGAAGTTACATTAAATTTTCCCATGAGTTGTTTCAATCTATTCCATTACCGTCTATCATCGATCGAGATCGACTGACTAAAGAAACAACCGCTCAACAATATCTTGGGACACTCCAAACGCTTTTATTTGTTGAATATTTTGAACCAACGACATTCGAACTTCCAGTTACTCAATGGTCTCGGCAATGTTTATGCATTGATTTATTGACGAGCTGTTCCGATCAAACTCCTGATCGAATTCTGACATTTTATCATCATTTAACAAAGTTCGAATTGTTCAAACAATACCAATTGTACGATGAGCAACGTGATGATTTTCTGCGAGTATTAATTGAAAAACAACGCTCGTGTCATTTCAATTTAGACACCGTCAATCAAGTTCTTATCTTTTCAAGGACTTCAACGAATCAAACGATAAAAATTTTACAATCGGAAGATGATGATTGGCTCTCCCGAATGCGTTTAGATTTTATTCGAGAGATAATTAGTCAAGGATCGCTCCATGCTCATTACTCTCAAACAGTCCTGAATCAGTTAATTGAGCGAATTTCCAAAGAATCAAATCTTTTGGCAGAATTGATTGAACCGTTTCTTCAACTTGCACAAACGCCGGATGAGATTTTGACTATTCTTGATCTTGTGACAACATATCAAATTAATGGTGATCATTTATTCGATATATTTGTTAAACCTAAGAATCTCGATGGATTCAAATCATTTCAAAAAGAGCTTGAAGTGATAATTATCAACAAAACATTATCAGTTTGTGCCAATGGATCTGACGAACAGTTGAAAGTTGCTCATCATAACTTACATATCTTGCTTGACCATGGTTGGCGATTAAGCAAAATCACTGATTTATTGGATAGTCTCAAGCAACATCAAGGGAACATCGATAGTTTGCCTCGATTTCTGGAATCTTTGCAGATTCTTGTAGATTATAAAATAAATGAAAACGTTCTGAATCTGTTAAGAGATATCTTATGTCATAAAGATGTTCAATCTTGGCCAGCAAGTATTCACAGTCTCGCCATCGAACACTGCTTTGGATCCATCAGTTCCGAGAAAAATGTAACCACTCTATTAGCTGAAATCAAAAGTGACAATCCAGATATTAATGTTGGCCATTTCAAAAATATGTTTGCTGAAATCGATCAAGCCTATGAAAAAGATTCTTCCTGCTTTCCAGAGACTCTACCAGTCAAAAACTGGAACATCGTGCAAATTCAAAATTGGGCTACTAAAGTTTATACGTTTCAATCGACTGCATCCAATCGCTGTCCTTTGTCAGAAATTCTTGCCGTAATCAAACGTGCTGTGTATCTTGATTCTCATTTTGAACCACGACCAATTCAAGTTTTGGCTGTTCTTATTATGCTTGATCGCAATCAGCAAGGAGGACGTCTTTTACAAATATTAACAGGTGAAGGTAAATCCACCGTTGTTTCGATCCTGGCTGTGATCAAAGGTTTACAAAATCAACACATTGATATTATTACAAGTTCAATGACTTTAGCAAAACGCGACGCTCACGAACGTGAAAAATTCTATGAATATTTCAATCTAAGTGTGTCTCATAATAACGATGAGACTAGTTACGTTTCCGGGCAAAAACCTTGTTATGCAGCTAGTATCGTCTATGGCACTTCTAGTCAATTTCAATTCGATTTACTTCGTCATGAATTTAGCCTACTCGATACACGTTCAATTAATAATAACATCGGTGTAGCTCGTCGTCACGACGTGATAATCATCGATGAAGTTGATAGTATGCTTATTGATGAAAACAATACCATTGCTCGTTTAGCTGACCAGTTGCCTGGAATGGAATGGCTTAGTTCATCACTCTATGGAGTTTGGCGAGCAGTTGAAGCTGACGCGGACGTCTTCTCCCATCGAAATTCAATCATAAAGGATCTCAAAACACTTTTTCTCGATCCAAAATCACCATTACAATTTCCCAAGCATTTACGCCGATCCGTCATTGATTCTCTTCCCACGTGGATCGAGCATGCGATTCGTGCTAAAGTTGAATACCGTCTTGATCATCACTACATGATCAAAGATGACGAAACACGCACGAAACGAATTGTGCCTATCGATTTTTCCAATACAGGTGTCATTCAGACGAGTACAACATGGAGCGATGGTCTTCATCAATTTCTTCAAATCAAACACGGCCTCAAAATGACTCCGTTGACTGTAACTACTAATCACCTCTCAAATGTCGGTCTATTTACTCGTTATGGTACTCAAATTTACGGTTTAACAGGTACCATCGGTTCGAAAGACGCTCAAAATCTGCTGCAGAAAATTTACAATGTCGACACGGTCATTATTCCACCTTTCAAAGAGAAACGTCATATTGTATTCGATTCCATATTGACTATGAGCGATGATGAATGGTTGAACACTATCGTTTCTACTAGTGTAAGTCATGCACAAAATCATCGAGCTGTTCTCATCATTTGCGAAACTCGATTGGATGCCAAAGCTATCAGCAAAGAGTTGCAACGTGCGAATCCAACTTGTCTCATTCGTCGTTATACAGACAATACCGATGCAGTCGAATCCAATGCTGTGAATGATAAAATTCAACATGGTGAGATCATTGTGGCCACGAATTTGGCAGGCCGAGGGACAGACCTGAAAACCAGCCCAGAAGTGGAGAAACATGGTGGCCTTCATGTTTGTTTGACATTTTTACCTAGTAATTTACGTGTCGAAAAGCAAGCATTTGGACGTACATCTCGACAAGGCAATCGTGGCACATCACAAATGATTCTTTGTCACCATCGCACTTTACGTCAATTGGCGAACACTCATCTCAATCTATCTGATACAGACCTAACTGATTCTTCTAATCCATTAACTTTGTTTAGTTGCTGGCGAGAGCAAGCCGAACGTGCGCATCTCGATCGTATTTGGACTGAAGAAATTAATGAAATTAAATTGAAAGATAATTTATTCAAGAAGTTTTGTCAACTGCTCGCTCAATTACGAAGTGTAAACAATGATCCTTACCGATTGCTCAGTGTAAAGGAACAATGGGGTCTATGGCTGAAAGCAATGGATTGTGCCACTCAGAATCGGAAAAGGCTTGAACAGGCAGTCGAGGCAGATGGGTATGAATGCCATGAAGTGCCTCGCGGTGATGATAGTTTTTATCATGCTATATCACATCAACTAGCGGGAGAATTAGAGGTACGTGATATCAAACAGAAAGTTATGAAACATATCGATGACAATAAGGATCTTTACACTGAAATGAATGATGAACAACAATATCGCGCGACAAGCAGTGTGTTAAATGTGTCGATCATTATTTACCGAAGTGATTATGGAGGTCCACACGTTTATAAACATGAAAATGCTTCAGTTGAATGCTTTCTTGGATATGAAGTTGATTCTTACTATGTTTCTCTTCAAAAGACCACCACAGAAAACAAAACATCCACCGCACAGCCCCGTAGCAGTGACGCAAAACCACGTCAGCAAAAGATATCGACCCGTGCTAAACTGTTCAACGGTATGAAGTTTATGGCAAATAAAGTCAAAGATTTAGGTCAACATCTGATAAAACAATCTGAAACTCAAACGTTCAAATTGAATCTTGATGCTGACTTCGAAGTTTTCAAGAAGCAGATCGAGAAAGATTTCCAAACAGATGATATCATTCAAAATCCTTCCTATCTGATGTTAGAAGCTTCTACTAAGATGCAAAAATTACTTTCATGGGCCAATAAGTTCCGATCTTGGTGTAGTTCTAATCATACTCCAGGAAAGAATATAGTGACTGTTGAACAAGTGATGAGTTTACTCGAGCGAGCAATCAAACTGGATTCAGTCTTTGCATTTGATGCTTTGACTAATTACGGCTTCTGTCTTCTTCATCAAAATAAATTAATGGGCGAACACAAAACAAAAGCAAAGTTATATTTAATTAAAGCACAGCAATGCGTTGGTGAATATATCTTGCCGCAATTATATAGCATGCAATTAAAATCCACGGAAAGTTCGGATGAGTTCGTTTTTGACGATTTTGCCCAACAAATTCAAATCAAAGTCGATATTCTTCAACTTTATCTTAGTCATGTGAGTAATGCGATTACAGTAATTGAAGAATCACAAAAACTGATTGATATTATCGATACCACTAGTAAAGAACAGAGGATCAGCAAAAAATTGTATCATGATGAAGTGGGTAAATTTCTCGACACATGTTCAGGTTCCATAGATATCAGTTTTCATCACCTAGCTGTCCACAATGATACCGTAAGAAAAGATCAAGCTATTGAATTATTGAAGAAACTGACAAACGACGAGGGTGTTTCGATTCATTTTACAGATACTAATCTTGAAGCAATGAATAAAATCACATGCATTTCGGATTCTGTTAATACTAGAGTGAATGTTCGATATCTCGATGTTCCTGAAGTGTTGAAGCTGTTAGAAAACATGTCGGCTGACCTGACATTAACGTCAACGACTGTTGAAAGCTATCTCGAGACCATCAAAATCATCAATAAAGACATTAAACTTGCCACGGATTCGTCACTCACGATGATGTCGCCCTCCAAAGCTGAAGCTTACATTAATGCACCAAGCAGTTCGGTTAAATCGATTCTGTTCCCATCGATGACGCTAGAAGAGTTCAAGAAAATTCAAGACAAAATAGATAAAGCATCTTGCGAATTGACTTTTCAGAATTTACCTCTTTCAGAGATGAAAAAGATGATCGGAACGCTCAACAAACCTTTTTCTGTTGAATTGCATTGCTTGGCCATTGAACAAGCCAAGCTCATCGCCGAAAAAGTCAATGATCGTCAAAACTTCGTCATTACTGTGCTCAATTTATCAAAACAACGTGCCCAAGCCATTGTTAAGTCGTTTGACTTGAAAGAACAAGATGTTAAGGCAAGTTTTAAGCATCTAGCAGATCAATTTCCGAAGACCGATCGACCGCATGAGGAACTCAATACTTACAATATGTTAGGTATCCACGTTTTGATCATCATCGATGAACTTGGGCCACGGCCGTGGATTAGCATAAGCATGGTCGTTGCCTTAGGGGTAGGTCAAATGATCGGTGGTATCTGTCTTGCTGCTCTCACTGGTGGACTAGGGAGCAGTTTAGGTGTTGCCTTGATTTGTGAAGGTGTTAACGACATTGTTTATGGAATACGTGGTGCCATATGTCGGCAGTTCTCATGGAAAGACTATGGTATTCAAAAAGGAGTGAGTCTGGCTATTTGTTTTGTTACACTCGGCTGTTCAGCAATCAAACAAGCAGCTCAAGCGGCCAAAGCAGCTGGAACAACCGGAGCATCATCTTTATTGAAGGCGACGGGTCGAGGAACACTTACCATAGTAAAAAATAGTTTTCGAACCGTCGGTTCTGGCGCCATCAAAGGTATATCATCGACTAGTTGGAAACTAGCATGCCAGCAAGTTGCAGTAACTTGTCTCGAGACTGGCGTCCGACAGCTTACAAATTATGCAGTGGATACTTTGTCCAACAAAACTTTATCGGAATTTACCCGTCTCATTGAAAGCGAAATGGAACGCATTGTTTATGTTAAACAATCAAGTATCGAGTATCAGCGTGCCGTCAAGCGAGCGATCAATGCAGATAAATTTAATGGAAACAGACTCTGGTGGCAGCAAATAGAACAAATAGCGTTGCAGCTGATGTCGAAACAGAAAAATGAGTACGTCGAAGCACTGAAATCTTTGTCTAGTGGTGTTGCTACTACTATTCCAAGTCATAGCAGACAATATCTACAAGGACAAAGCAGCTCAATTGATCAATGTCTCAAAATAGCCCAGCTAATAATGAAATTGGCACCAATGATCAAGAATTGCCGTCAGTTGATGGTCATTGGTGAAAAGTTCTTCGAAATATATCAGCGTGAATTAAATCTACTCGCACAGAGAATGCCTGCTTTCGAAGATTTACTCATTTTGCAGTCCAACCAGTCGATTACTATGGAAGACGCCAAGAAAATTCATGAACTTCTGATTCGTAATAATATTCTATGCGATACCGATGGTTTCAATGATCAGTTTTTTACTCTAACGGAGCAGGCAGATTTCGTTGGGCAAGTCTCGCCTTCTCAATTCAATGCAAGCCAACCAATAAAAAGTTTTCAAGACAAATTGCGTATTGAACTGGAAAAAGTTACCTTTGATTCTGATACGCAACGTGGCTATGTCATGGATCTTTTGAGCCAATTGTTAAAGCATGAACCAAACCCGCTGTCTGTTTCGCTAATGAATAAAAAAATCATAGACTTTCTTGTTCAGCAAGTGTGTGCGATCATGAATGGAGCTTTCATTGCACCATTAACAAATTTTGTCATTTCAAATACTATTCAAAAGATGTCAACAAAAATCCAACTTGCTCTCGATCCCGATGGAACAGTAACCGAGAAGTTGATGCAAGAAGGCTCAAAGCGATACTTGAATATTGTTGCCAATGATATGTTTGAAAAGATTCAAAGTGGAGAAATCGAAATAGATCCACATGCACGAAAGAAACTTGAAGAACTTCAAAAGCGGACCGAAAATGATCCAGAAAAAGCGATAAATTACTCCGAAAAAAAGGCTTTAGAAGTGATGAGCGGTGAACAAGGTGATAACATCACTCTATCCATCTTGGCAATGATAACCAAAACTCCAATCACTGTGCTTCAAAATTCGTCGGACAATTCCTCAAACCAAGACTCCAATAGTCCAAACGTAGATTTGAAATACACACCACCAAACATCGATGAAATAACAGGAGCAGTGATTGATGGACATTATGAGGCAGCACAAGGTGTAATAGCTACTGTTGATGTTGGACCTAATGATTGCTTATATTTTTCTGTTCTAAGTCGAATGCCCAATAAATTCCAATCGATTGATGATATGCGAGCTCAATGTGCTGCATTCATTTTAACTACTCCACATTTTATAGAAGGAATTTATCCGGCCGTCAGTGTCATGAGTCAAGCTCGAACGCCTTTACGACGGAAATTCTTGATGGGGGAGGGTGCTGGGTGTAAGTGGCTCACTAGCTTTCATATGAAATTCCATGTTCGTCTTTCTTTTTATTCTAGCGTCGAGTCTGCCGAAAAATTTAATCTATCGTATGCTCGATGAAATTGGAAACGTAGATGATGAGGATCGTGAAAATAAGATAAAACAAATCGTAGCGAAATATATGTGCGATAAAAACGCCAACGGTCAATCGGAAGAGAACAAACCACAGAAAAGTAAACAAGGGGAGCATGTAATTAATAAAGGCATAAGGGATGTTGAAAAAAAAATTCTTGATGCGCTTGGCATAAAATATGATGAAAAAAGTGTTGGATTAGATGAAAAGATTCGGGAAGAAATCGACAATGTAAAAGGTTCAGCAGACTGGAAAAAGTATAAAAATGAAAATGCATCTTGTTTTGGTAATGCAGCGACCATTTTGGTCAAACTTGCTGAAAAACACAAGACGCAAATGGAAAATTGTGCTTTAAGTGGTGAACAAGAGGTGAATAAGAACTATTATGACGCATTAAAAAGTGGTATCCGCATTATGATTGAGAAGAAAATTTATGTTGACAACGAGCTCAGCGTGGATAAGAGGGATGAAAAAAAAGTACAAGACCTTCTAAACAAAATCCAGACACACCTAGAAAATTTGACAGAAAAATTAGAGAACAACAAATATAAATAGATTAAACATTAAGCCATTGGAATGTTTCAACAAAAGACTGAAATCACACCACTAATTACAGTTTTTGTTTTGCAGAAATCAACTTGTAATATGCTGAAGAATACTATTGTTGTGATGTACTTTTGAAATAAAATGATATAAAACACGAATAATTAGTTTGTCAACATATTTCATATGAACGATGCAAAAAAAAATTCGTTCGAGTTCTGTACAATAAACACAAAAGGGAAATGTAGAAAAGAATATGTCTCTAGACATATTTGTCACAGTTGGCATGAGAATATAACCCCAGTTAGGAATAAATAAACAATGTCTTACACTATACCACGTACTTCAATGTTGAAACATACACGATATTTAATGTATCGATAAATGTTATTTTCATATTATCCTGATATATTTGGTTTAATAGCATTTGACAACTCTTGTAACATCGTTTTTTGTATTATTAAAAGATTTCGGTCAGTCATCCGCGTTCATATTAGAAACGTCATTTCTGTTCACGAAATGATAACCATTGCGTGTTTTGTACCAATGAGAGAACTACGAGTAGTCATCGAAAATATTTCTTTTAACCACTATTGATGTAATATTTCGAAATAGTTGTCGTACTTGCACACATTAGTTATATCGGACAGACTACACTAACAACACAGAAATCAGATCTGCTAATTGCGAAAATTTTTATGTTGGCCTGTCGGGATGTATGCTCACCTTTTTAGGCGTTTTTCTTAACATGTGCTCTAAAGAAAGTTATACAAGAGGGTGCATTGAAGAATTCCATATCTCCCCCTGCTTTCCTCTTCAATTTGATACGTTATTCTGAGAAGTCTTAATGATCAATTCACTAGTAGAACGACAGCATTCGTCTTTTGTTTTCAACTGGAACATGTTTTTATACAGCAATACAATAATATCAATCAGGCGTACATCTCAAACTAATTTTATTTATACAATAATTTCAAATAATAATTGCGGTAGCATTTCTAGATATACCGAGTCGTTTGGAGTCTTCAGAGTATGATTTGTTTGATACAAGGTATATAACAGATAGTCAAATATTTTGAACGATGTTGACATATATCACTACAAAATGTACTGATTAGTTTGTCAGTTCTTCGCATACAGTCCGTTACTTGTCTCGTGATACTTTTTCCATACATATATATGACGAGATAACGTAATTTAAAAGCACCGTAGCTCAGTAATGTTATTAAATATCGTTTGGTACAATTTCTTATCTGACCATAGCATTTTTACGATTCAGCTCTTATCTGCTCTGTTAGATTTCTCAGTATACTTCCTGATGATTGAGCACATAAATCTCAATCCAAATTCAAATCATGATAGTTACAGTATTGATACTTATTTTCACGCATTAAACTGAATATATCTTATTTGTATGCAAAAAAACCATTTCTTCCTTTTCGAATGGACATGTCGTCAAAATGTGACTTCGTTCTATGATTAATAACGACCTTGCAGCGCATCTCGTTATGTATTGCAGAGATATATATGAAAATATGACATTGATCGATTTTTTTATTAGTACAGCCCCGTATCGACATATTCTACCTACGCCTCTTTCTCGCTTCTCAGGTAGATTTGTCACGACTACAGACTGATAACAACCATTTATCCGTAACGTCGACCTAAAAAACATTGAAAATTGCAAGCAGTACAGATACACTCGAGGACATGATATATTGATAGAAATATTTTTATTTGATTACATCAACAAAACTATGAGTGTTTATCAAAAACATTGCAATGGTTATCATGGATTTCACTGCACTCACTAAATACGACAGAAAAAAAAACTTTGTATATATAGTCAATATTATTTGATATTAAAACGAAGGCTTTTCCCATTAATCATTGAAAAATATGTACAATTGCGAAGTTATTTTTCACCAATCAATCGTGCTTTCAGTGACTATGAATAAAATATATTCGCTCTATTTGTTGATGTGCATATGAGTGCAACATAAGCGTTATTTAGTATATTGTTTCATTACAGATACTGTATTATCTTAATTTTCAACTAGACCAATGGTTGTCGGAAAAATAGCAATCGCAATCGCTGCCATTGTGTTTGCGACACTGGCCGCTGCAACTACTGTTGTATTGAGTCTTATATCAATTTATATTCCTAATCAAAGTAGTCCAGCGTCAGGTATGACCGTAGAGCACACATTCAATAATGAATTTGTGTATAATGTAACTAACGTTTAGATTACCAAAAATGCCTCACAGTAGCATCGAATTTTGCCACCACGGTCACTGGGCCAGTCGCAAACATCACAGCGACAACTGGTGTCAGTGTGTCATGTCCTCAGGTGTCCACGTACTCATGTCCAGGCTCGTTAGTCAATGGAGTATGCACTTGGCAACGCAAACTAGCTATCACTTGCATTGATGGCTCAACAGTTCGTATTCGCATACAATCCAATGGTCTTCCATCACGATGTATGAATGTGCCGCTGACAGCACAAGTCAAAGAACACGATATTGATTTCGAAGTGAATTTCAATCCCAAAGTGAGTGTCAATTCACCAACACAATCAGCAACAACTGCAACTCAGCTCAATAGTATCTCCTGCAATGTATCAAGTCAAAATACAGCACCAACATCCTCCAATATGGTTGCATATTCTCTACAACCATATCTATCAACGATGGCAGGTCTCAGCATCGATAATGTTGTCATCTTAAATGTAAACAGCGCTGACAACGTCGATCCATTTTATCCACCGGCTGGTTATGAACAAGAAGGTATCGATGAATGTTTGTCGCATCCTCAAGCCAGTGGTGTCTATCACTATCATGTTGGTAGCCATTGTGTTCTGTCGCCACCATCCGGTAATCTAACATCGTGTGGTAATACAAATAATTGTCTTGCCGATGTTATTTCATATATGATTGCACGTTGGCCATCATCTGCCAAGAAATTAACTGTAATTGGCATCGCCAATGATGGTCATGTTATCTATGGGCCATATTTGAACAATGGTCAACTAGTTACCAGCGGTACTGATATTTGTAACGGCATGTTCTATGACAGCAATGGAAACTACGCATATTTTGCAACAACAAAGTTTCCTTATATTATGAGTTGCTTTGGACCTGGAAACTACCCATCATTTGGTCCTAATTGCACTAGCAATGGTGTATCATCTTATACGATGTCGCATTATGCTTCATTGAGATATACTGGATAAGCGACGTATGAATAGACATTATTTTCATACTTTTTGACTTCACAATTTTTTGAAATATTCTTGAAGATAACTTTAAGAAATACATTTCTATTTCATATATCTCTATTCAGAAACATGATAGAATGTTGATCTTTTTTTGTGAAAAGATGCGCTGTCAAATGTATTACAAATTTCTAAAGAATAATGTCTGTTGTTCCTTCATCCTTGGTTGTTATCAGCAAAGGTAATCATACGAAAGTGTAGAAGTCACTTGTTAAATTCCATTCAATCGAATAATTCGTTGTGTAAGTTGAATAAAAGACATAGATGAATGTCTGTCAGACAATTCATTTCAACGAAATTACTAAAATTGCTGTTGTTGAATTAATTTCATAGCAAAAACATTCATGGCAACTATTTGAATAATTAAAAAATGTTGATGCATTGTTGGATAAAGATAATGGAATATATATTCGAGAAGGTAATTGTCCAATTTTCACACCGGAATTCCATCCAATGATATTGTAAAGGAGAACAATGACAATCAATTGTACTTGATGTATTTATCTTTCTTTTTCTTATGAAGTTTTCTAAATATATAACTAGAGTCGAAGTATTAGATGAACGGTGAATGAAAGTACAGACTATTTAAGATGACGGGACTCTTTTGTTTTCTGACATTCTATTCATAAGTATGAAAAATAGATGATAATGTCAATCAAACTTTTATATAGAGAAATATGAAGTTTTCCAACAGAAGACCCTATTAGAAGTCATATTTGAGACACAAGATGAACAATATACGAACTGACATATAAAATCATTTTTATTTCATTCAACGAGAATTTAGAAGGAAGAACAAGGAACACTTTTTTTTAAAATATACTACATAAACCACTGTGTCATGATCAAACAGACTCATAAATACGTGTAAAACGAAAGGTTATTTAATACCTAGGATCACTTTTGATCACAGTCAATAATTCAATATTTTCGACGACGACTAATGAGCAAAATAAATCTTTGCTCAAGGTCAAATTTCAAAATATTTTTTACCGAACTCATTTATATTCCACTGTCATGATCTTATTCCATCTTAATTTGAGTATAAATATCTGAAGATATTTCTCACGCTGAACGAAAGTTTATTTGTTCACTTGACCTGACAAGTGAAAATCAGAGAAAGATAGAATGTGCACACTAACAACAGGATCAAGTGACCATAGTTAGATAGGATTATTTTGTTGCACAATGGTGAGTAAAGTTCGAATATTTTCTTGCTATTTTGCTATAAGATATTTCATTGATAATAACTCTCGAACACTAGTTCTGGATAATCTATGTGTGCATGAGCGGAACAAAATAATCGGTGTTATATCAAAGAGTATTCGTTGGTGCTCAAGATCAATTAATAAATGCATATAACGATGGCAATTGTCTTGGTCCTCTCGTTCTGTTCATAAAGATTCTGTGGTGTCAGTCAGTCGATCAATCTAATTCTATTTTTTCCGGAAGTTTTACGAATGTAGGATATATTGGACACGAATTCGCACATGAGTGTATTCCAACTCTAATTTCGTTCGTTTCAAGTAGTTCTCGATGAGATTCATCTATTCCCAAATATATCTACGCTTATTTCTGAGAAACGCACGAAATTGAAAAAAAAACAGCTAAAAAACATGAATGAATTATCGATATATTTTTCAAATATCGACCACATGAATCACAGTTTAACATTCACTGTGTATATAGATGACATCGATCGATATTTCGTTTGCTTTCGTTTCATGTAAATGTGTTTTATCTATATGTTTTGACGACACGATTCTTCACTCATTGCCCATTCTAATTCATTTCGACTTTAATGAAAAATAATTATCATTGTTCTCCTTCTAAGTGTATTTGCCCATGCCGAAAGCTGCTAGATCTGTTATCGTATTCAATAATGCGCAGAATATGAAAACCGAGAATTAAAAAAATGATATGTTTATCAGGATACCGATGAATGATTAGACTTATGACGAGTTGCTCTAAAAAGTACCTTGATTATCACATATTTCATTGTATTTAGTAGAAGAGTATCTCAGTCACTCGATATAAATAGTCAATATACTTTATCGTAAGGATAGCAGTCATTTGACAAAGCAATAGTGAGTTTCTTTGCGGTGTAAATGTACGTCATGTTTACGCGAACAAGTTCATTTTTTGTATTTCGATAAATCTACTTACCAGAAATAAAATTGTAAAGATCATATTGAGTGTGTCTTTATCTGTTCATTTCGATATCTGTTTTATTTAACTTTCCTATCCTCTATCAGAAGTATCTGTCAGACTGTTGCATCGCAATTTGCTACAACAGTTACAGAACTTGTGTCGAACGTCGTTCAAACAGTAGGCATTGCTGACTCATGTTTCCCGATAGAATTAATTGCATGTCTGGACACAATTATCAATGAAGTATGTACTGATGGCTCAGCAGTAGGTGGTGGTTCATCAATACACTTATTGCAAACGGTATCTGAACTCCGCAATATTATTCGCAATGTATCGAATCAAAGTTCAACCCTAACATCATCAAAACTAGTGCCCTACTCGCTAGAGCCATATCTATCAACGATGAAAGGTCTCAATATTAATAATGTTGGTAATTCTCAGCGTCAACAAAGTTTCCTTATGGCATGAGTTGCTTTGGTCCATCAAACTACCCATCATTTGATCCCTAAGTGCACAACAAATGGTTAATCATTACATACGGTCTTACACTATGCTGCACCAAGATATACTGTATAAATGACTTCTGACTGAAAATTCGTCTCACCTTCATTCCAGAGATCTTTTCTAAATAATGTTCTTGATTAATGTCCTACGTATACGTATTTAATTACTTATTTTATTATTAACGAATTTATTTTTATCTCTTTTGAAAACTTAATGATACTTTCTGTAGTTATATTGATTTATAGGTACACACTCATATTGAAACGACATCTGTCCATGATTTCATAGGTGAATTTAGTAGTAACTATAACTACGTTGAATTCAACATTTATTGGTGAGAAGTTATATGTTCTGTCAATGATTCTGTTGTATCGCTTCATTATGCGATATTTAGCACGTTTTTGTCTGATAATGAAGCAATATATCAAGAAATCCATCTTCTGAAGAAAACTAGTTTATCTATTTATCTTTTATTTTTGTTAAAGATGGCACTCACCGATTCGAATGCATTTGTTTCCATGTCATCAAGTGCTGATCAAGACTATCCACCAAGTAACATTCTTGATCCGTGAGTAAAACTTCGATGAATTGAAATACAATAATGCTTGTATCCACGTATATTAATTAGAAGCGAAAATATCTTTTGGATGACAACTGGTTTGTATCCGCAAGAATTTATCGTCACATTCAAAGAACCAATTGATATTCGTGAAATTCGATTCGTCACGAGCAACGGTATGTTACGGCTTTTCTTCTACAGGTCGATTCATCTCCTCGTTTTAGTTAAACGTTTTGTTATGTTTTCAACGAGTAATCAAGAACCAAAAAATTTCGAAACTATTTTGGAAAAAAGTATGTTTGAAGTGCAATCAAGCATAGAAATAGATGGCATTCGTTGTTTTAGCATTATCAAATAGTGAAAATCGACTTCAGACAACTACTCACACGCTGGATCGCTCTTTGGAAGTTCGCCATTTTAAATGTGTTATCTTAGCTGGTTATGACAGTTTTGCAAGCGTACACGCATTGAAATTCGATGGAGGAAACAATCGATCGGGAAAGAAATACTAAACTTTAATATAATGGAATCAAATCGTTCTTTTTTTGTCGTTTGTGTGTCTGTTCAATAAAATTGCATTATCTATAAGTCTATTCATTTCACACGAGTGATAACTAGCGATACCTAGCGAAAATATATATTTGATTCGTGCTTTGCTCCTCAGTTATGTCCTCACTTCCTTTTGTTCCCTTCACAAGCGTAATTTCTGCACGATGAGATCCATTCTGTGTTACGGTGATTCGAACACATGGGGTTTTGTTCCAGGTACATTTGGCACTCGAGAACGTTTTGATCGAAACACACGATGGACCGGTCGTTTACAGCAATTACTCGGTTTAACTGATTTCTATGTTATCGAAGAAGGTCTCAACGGTCGAACAACTAATTTAGATTATGGAGATAAACCCGACGGACGACGTGGAACGGAGTTTTTGTCTCCGATCCTATACACACACTCTCCGCTCGATCTTGTTATTGTTATGCTTGGAGTAAACGATTTAAAAAAAGAATTCAATCATCGAACAAGCCAACACATTACGCAAGGCATCAAAGAAATCATCGATATCATTCGTTCAACTAACTTTGGACCAAAGATGCAAAAACCACCACCAATCTTGATTGTCAGTATGCCAAAAGTCGTCGATACGGATTGTGATAGTGTGCTAGAGATGTTTGCACATGCGAATGAACGTATCGAAAACTTAGCTACTGAATTGAAAACTCTGGTTGACCAATACGATGATGATGTGTTTTTCGTTGATGCGTCACCACATATTCAACTGAGTCCAGTGGATGGAATTCATTTTGATAAAAGGGCTCATGAGCAGTTTGCTTTATTGATGAATGATACGATTCGAAAGATTTTTAATTTAGCTTAGAATGATAAACTTGTGATCTCTTCTTTTTTTCAGATATGTCTGAGAAGGTCGACGAAGAGAAAAAAGATGAAGCAACAACATTGAAAGAAGAAGAAGAAGAACAATTACCGCCCGAAGTCGATGCCTTTTTCAAAGGCAAAAACAAGTACAAACATCCATATGGCGATTGGAAACCTGTTGTTCGAGAGGAACAATTAAAACGGTACGTGAACCGAATCGATCGTTCTTTGCATTGATTTCATTCATTTTAGAAAAACATTCGGTGATCAACTTGATCTGCCGGTCGATAATTGGCATTTGCCAGAAAATCAACCTGTGTCAGTTATAACTGAAACCAAGGATACTTCTCATGTAAAGTTGTTATTCAAAGAACGTGAAATTACCAGTTTACCATCAAGTTCATCATCAAAAGCAAACGAATCGGTCACATTCAAAAAGCGCAAAGTGACATCGAATAGACAATTACGTGGTGCAAGTAATAAAGATCCACCGATGAAAAAAGAAGTCGATGAACAATAATACCAAACTTATTTTTGTTCAATTTACTTTTTTGTAAATAAATGCAAAGACAAACAGAGAAGTTTTTCTTCAAGGATAAAATAAACGCGGGTGGCTCGAATTCGTTTTACTCTCATTTATATTTTCCCGTTAAATCTTCTGTTCTATTATTCTTTATTGTTAACTATGAGTGATACCAGTGTTGTGTCCGGTGACTACCCACAGAATGATTTTTCTCAACCAAGACCTGGCTGTTGGACTACTATGGGAGCGAATATTTGTGTTATGGTTTTAGCTGTCATTACAATACTCCTCACAGCATTTTTGATATTTGTAATAGTTCAACATCCTAATGTGAAGAACAAAAAAAATGGTGGATTTCTCAGTATCCTTCCATTTGGCAACAAACTTGTGAAGAAGGGTTCAAATAAAATTCAATCTGGAGCACTAAATCACGAGGAAGAAGCTGGGGAAGCGTTCGTCGATCACAATGATGATGATAATGATGATGATGCTGATGATCTCGACGACTATATGGAGGATGCAGAGGAATAAATAATAGACTTCGCTTCATTTTTTGGTTAATTGACTTTTCTTTTCACACTGATTCACATTTGATTCGTATTTGTTGTGTTTTACTTAGCTGGAAAAGTTATCATTTCGAATATCTGTTCATTTTATTAATTGATAAAACAACACACATGTTCATATCGTGATAAACAGTTGCAAAAGAAAAAAAATTTCACTATTCGATTAAAAGTAAACGTATCGACTATGTCATAAAGAATAAATAATGGAATTAATCGGATTCATCTACAGAAAACAAATGCATATAGAAAGTAAAGGTGAGGGTAGCAAGGAGTTTACCCATAGAATAATGCAGAGCAATCGATGACCGTTCGAGTTGAATAAAAACACGATTTAGTTCTTCATCATCTGCTGTACTTTCCTGTGTTTTCTAAACGGGAAAGAAATTCGAGATTCAAGAGGACATTCCTCAAACTATACTACTGATTGATTCGATGCAAATGTTTCTTCATCGTAATCTAATTGTTTCTTAGCTAAAGCGAAAAAAAAACACGTATTCTGAAAGGAACATTCGAATATCTACCTGATGCTTGATGTTGAAGTTTTTTCGTAACACTACGAAGAAGTCGAGGTGAATCAATATTCACTGGAAAGTCACTCGTATCCATCGATGTTTGATCCTCAATGCGATTACGACGACCTGTACGCGGTGTTTTTGGTGGTGTGCCGTGCTCTTAAGAAACGATGCATGAGAAACGGAAGCACAATCTAGAACGTAAGACTCACCGGCAATAAGATCGTCTTCGCCAGTTCGGTCTGTTGTTGGTCGTTTTCGTGCTGTCGGCGGTGTAAAGATGGATTCAGTATTTGAAGTAGACGATGAAATCGACTTTGAATTAGCGAAAAGTTAATCAGGTTCGATCGAAACAGGGTGTACTTACTGAAACATCGGACAAATTTTGGGTCTTTTTTGTTGGAACTACTGCTGCTGATTTTGATTTCTTTCTTCTTAACCGACTGAAAAGTTTCTTGAATTGTTCATCATCATCATCCTCATCTTCGTCATCTTTGTGGTTATAATCATCATCACGAACGTCATCATCGTGAATTTGCATTTCAGCAATCTTTTTCCGAGCAGTAGCCGCTTGACCACGTACTGTACTGCGACGTTCTACAGCGATCATTGGTGTTGCTGCTGATGAGATATCGGTTGCTGTGATTGTCGATGGTGTTGGTGAATTGATATTGACTGGTGGTCGAGTATCAGGTGTAGAATTTTCATAAATAGCCGAGAGTGCTGGTGCACCGTTACGGGGACCAACAGTGATACGAGACGCTGTTTCGCCAGGTTTCGGTGTACTTGTATGTCGAATTAAGACGAGATCATCGGCATTTGGTGTTGAAGATGTAACTGGTGCTGGCGCTCGAGATGGTGTAATCAGTGATTCTAAGCGAGTGAATCGAAATTGGTACTTAGTTGATAGTTAGTGAACTTACTGACGGCAGAGAAGAAACCATTTTTCTTTTTACTTTTCGTTGTCGTAGACGATGATAAAGGTGCAGTGTCAGAAATACTCTTGTTTTGATCTAAATTTGAAAAACAAGAAGGTTTTCATTTGAAGAATAGAGGCGAGTTCGTACCGGATGATTTAACCAATCGTTTCGTCGCTTTTCGTAATTTCGGTGATGGAACAACAGGTGTATCTGGATCAATATGAAAAAACACATTGTTACATCTATCAACTGAGTTGATGATTTATACGAACCAACACTTGACTGGTCACTCTCTCGTGTTTTTCGTTTTTCGGCAAATAGATTTGCATGTGTTGGTAAGTCCTCTGAATTAATACTCGATCCCGACAATGAACGAGTCTAAAAATCAGGTCAAATATGAAGATCGAACTGGCAATTATCTGTCTTTCACTTGAGGTAAAAATTTCAACCAGAGTTTGCCATTTGGTGTTGCTAAACGACCCATCAAATGGTTTGCTTCGTTTTCCATATATACTTTCGTTACGTTTTCTTGAAGAAAATGAAATGGTGATGGAACAGGATTGATTTTATTTTCAACTAAAACAAACGAGAAGTAAATGTCTTGGTGAAATATTATCGAGTCGATGATTTACATTGATCCAGTGCTGATGCAACAAAAGTCAATTCAACATCATTTGGTAAAGCATCGTTCCAATTGAAGACGTATTCAATTTGATGAAGTATATGGGCAATCATATGAACTGATGTATTTTCTTCATTGTCAGTCAGTTTTAACGAGTAATCGAACACTAACGAGTAAGAATCATAGACCTAAATTCGACATTGACTGGTAAGAGAATGGAGCGATTGTTTTCCGTTTACTGTATTTATGTCGTTTTTCTTGTAGAAAATCATCGTTATATTCAGAATATGCTGTTTTCGAACGCCATCGATCAGAGGACGTAGAATTTCAGTTAATTTATACATTAGTGGTGGACTCGTTCGAGTAAGTGGTTTTAGTCCACAGATAGGAGTATCTGAATAAAGGAAAGTCAACGAGGACGAAAAGGATCGAGATGAAATACAAACCACCAATGACAATTCGGTTAAAACATTGATTAGGTAGATATTTTAATTTCTGAAGCATTGTCGAAATCAATGTATAAGTCATCATTGGAAGTAAAATCAATTGTTTCGTTCCATCTGTTTGTACAATTGCTTCTTCGCCATCGATTGTCAACGATTGATTATAAAGATTTTGCCACTAAGAAACGAGAAATTCGTGATAGAGATTTTCAAAATCGATTTAATTACTAGGGTTAAGTTATTAGGATGAAGCACATAAGCATCAGCCATAATAAAACGATCGTTATGATGGAAATGAAGGTATCAAACTGACTAAGAGAATTCATTATGTGTGAACCGGACTATTCCTCTTTCTTCAGTCCGTTCTTCCTTTACGCGTAGTTATACATATTCTTTTGTTTCTTTTATTTATACAAAAACAAAACAGAGAAAACAAATCTAATCGAACTAAAACGGCATCATCTTCCATTTTCCTTGTCGTTTGTGATATTTCGCTAATTCGTATTTATACCAATCAGGGACCCATTTTTCATTTGGTATAGCTAATGGATACTTCGGTATATTCGGATAACCATTGAATGGACATGTCATTGATAGATAGTGCTTAATAACTTCTTCGTTGACATCTTTTCGATCGCGATATTGCTCGAGATAAGTGTGAAATGGAGCCATTTCAACACTGAATTGTTGTGGAGGGACATATCGTGGTTCAAAGTCGAATTCATATCGAGGTTCTTTCATTCCTGCAAAAGATTTTCAATGAAAATAAAAGGGAATCCATCCGATCATCTCTAGTTTACCTAATGTTTTATGAAAGATATCTTTGACACTGGCATCCCAGGCAACTTGAAAGAAAGCTAAACTGATTGGTCGTAGTTGTGAACAGAATTTATCGAAGAAATCATATGTATGAAAAGTACGTTTTTCGAGGCTAACACTAAGAAAACATTGAATGATGAATTCAGTTGAGACAAGTCTTTTTATTTTACCTATTTCCTGGAAATGAGCCATAGATTTCGGAAAAGTTTATTCGTCCTCGTCGATGTTTGTATAGTAAAAATACGCATCGGTGCCATCCACTACCATTCGGTGGAAATGGTGGTAAATATGAACATAGAGTTTCACCCTGATCGATTTGATTTCCGGGAATATTTCCTCTGAAATGAAAACATTCGCTTTTAGATGAATGAGTCTTGTTTGTTTTGCTTCTACTTACACAAACCAATGAAGCACTTCAGCACCATCCTCTTTCAAATGTCCATCCGGATTCGTAAAAACTAATGTATAAAATTCATCGCTTTTTCCGCTAGATTTCCATTCCACGTGAGGTTTTTCTCGTGCCTAAAAAAGATTTCATTCATCAGAAAGAGCGAAGTCATATTTTCCATGTCGAAACTCCTTACATCTTTTGCGTACAATCGATTACCACTATAAACCGGTGTAACTTGCTCATTCTCATATGGATAATTGATATTCAATGGTATTCGTGGATAGAAATAACCATGTTTGAACAGATCATCGAACAGACCGTAATGATTCGCGATCGTATAGAGACTATTCGAAAATAAACTACTTGACAACCAATCTTCTCGAACTTCATCCAATGGAACACGCACTATAACAAGAACGCATTCGATTCGATTAGATCGATTCACTTCTATACGTACAGGCGCCATCATAATGCAATCGTTTAAGGTCAGCTCGGTCTCGTTGTTTAGCATAATGTTGAAGTCGTTCACGATTTTCCGAATTACTAACAGGATTGATGGGATACAAGAATCCGATGTTCACTTTATCAACTCTTATTGGTTGAGGATCAAACTCTTTCAAGAGAAAGTAAAAACGAGTCTAAACGAACGAAGTCGATCAGTTGCAATACCTTGCCGTCGTTCGTCTAAAGTTTTCAATTGCATATCTTTCGTATAAACTTCATCATGTGTGACTTCGAATTGTGTTTTATTTCTGAATGGAAAACGTTTCCTCCAGATCGCTGTTGTATATGGCATAGGATCAGGCATAGGAATCACACGATGATGACGTATGGATTCTATCTGAATACTCGTGATTAATTTGAATAGATTTTTTCTCAGTATCATAGACATCTAAAATAGACGGATTCTAATGATTTATTTTCTTAAAATCAAGGTTGTTGTTTCATAAAAAAATAGGCTTTAGGAAGGCATTCGACCACTTGGACTTCAGTTGGAAGGCAATGAGGATTCTCAACTTTTTACTACTTGATCAGGATGTGTGTAGCGGTGGTGTGCAATGCGTGCGATTTGTTGAAGACCAGTTAATCCGAGGCAAAAGTTAACCAGACCAAGAAAGTAATTCTTTGGTATGATTACCATACAATACTAAAAATTGAATGTAAGATGAACGTGATTATCGGATGAAAAAGAAATTTACTCGTGACCAGATCAATCCAGTTGCAGCAAGTGAAATCGATTGATTTAACGAAAGTTTATCAGCCGGACGCATCAGATCACCGAGACCAGCGACGACTAACGAACTCTTCATGACAGCTGAAAGTGAAGATCATCGATACAGATCAACATATCAATCAATTACAACTTACGAGACCAAAAGTGAACATACTTTGGACCGGCTAGAAAAAATATCGTAATAATAGCATTACTTTTTCCTAAAAAATTCTACCTGGATGTTCCCATTTGACAAGCTGTTTCATTGACGGTGACAGAACACGGTCTCCAATACCCACCAACAGGCGATACACGTCCGAGAGAATAAACATCTTCAATCTTTATATTATTCTCTATAAACAAAAGATATACAAATGGCGATCAAATGTATCTGAAGAAAAAATGGGCTTTCGTCAATATTATTCTTGTTCAGTAGAGACTATTTGTCAAATATAAAATGTCGACTGATATTATAATTATTACAGATAAAGAATAGCAAACTGTTCGCCATTACAAAAAAAGAAAAAAAAACACAAAACACCGAGTGAAATTGAGAAACGTAAATGCAGAAAGAAGAAAGACGGTGAAAAAATGCATTAGCATCAGCAAGAACAACAACAACCACCAAACAAAGAACTGTCATATTGAGAAAGTGAGCAAGAGATAGATGAATAGATGTTTGTCATATTGATTATTGCACTTGTGAAAAAAGAGAAGAGGCAAACACCATTTATTTCACTGATTACAAAAATAAAATCTTTATGCACTGTTATTTGGTAGATTAAATTTAAAAAAAGAAGCATTAACTAAAACCAGGAGGTGGTAAACCAACATCGATAGTCAGATGTGTAAATAACGGATAGGCTATAACAGATGTGGTATTATACCGAGCAGATGACACCCCATCCCAAGTGTAACGTTTAGCTGCCGAATAGAGTAGTTTTGCTCTGAAGAAGACAAGTACAGACATAGTTTTTCCACAATAGAAAACAACAATACGGCATACCGCTTATTCCATACTGATGGCACACGTTTTGTATGTTGCAACATTTTATATCGAGCTATAGATGCGGGTGGACGGATGATTTTGATGGATACTTCTTTGAATCTAGAAAATCAATAGTAATCGTATGCCTTTCTTTCTCCTTTCGAATCAACTAACCGATAATAGAGATCGTCATCTTCTGCACCCCAACCCCAATAAAGATTACTGTAACCGTTAACAGCTAGAAAATGTTCCGTACGAATATTTAACACTCCACCAATGAGTTCTTCATAAGTTAATCTAAAACAAGAACGCATTCGTTCATCAATCTTCGGTTTCACATCTATCCTAACATACTTATAATTCATTTCATCAATGGCTACAGACATATGCCGAGGAAGTATAGGACATGAATACATATTTCGATCATCTTCTGGTATCAAATCCACATCATGAAAGACAAAACATTGAAAATCATATTCACTAGATGCATATAAAAAAGCCGCATTCATTAAAACAGCTTTGTTATATGTGCCATTGCCATCTTGTTCAGAAACATAAATTTTATAATCAAGTTCTTGTCGCTGCAGAATTGGATGCAAGTAATAAAGTAATGTTACTAAATGTTCGAATCGATCTCGATATGGAATGATTATTGCAACCTAAAAAACCAGAGATTTCATTATGATTTGTTGAGAAAAAGTTTGAAATTTGTTTTAGTTTGTTAGTAAAAAAGCGCAATTTCATCTCAAACTTACTCAAAATTCATCAAAATCTATTTTTAAATTAAGATATGAGATTTTTCGAATATGTACAAGAAATAACGAATTTACCCTATAACGTGCGAGACAATGTGAAGGTGACCACTGGCCACCCGATCTGACATTGGAATAATTTGTTTCGATTTCATGCAAAGACACATTCGGAAATGTTGAATTTTCATTGAGAAATCTTCCGTCTACAAAAACGAATGAATTAGAATATAAACAATCCATTTTCGTTCAATTTACGTAGATGCCGTGGCTCTTCTGAACAATAGTTTCGGTTTCGTTGTTTCGCATTCTGTCGTAGTTGGCTATTTCTCGTTTTTGCGTATTTCCACTGCAACCGTTGATATTCTTTGGTTGAAATCTTCGTTTTATTTGACATCGACTTTGCATGAGCTGTTGTTGAACTATCCCACAAACCAAACAAATCTTCAAAACGAGATATATATGTTTGAATTCGAAATAACAAACGCCACTGTTCTATCGGCAAAACATTATCACGTAGCATTGCTTCCATACTCTCATCCATTTGTTTGAGTTCTTCTTGAATCTTTTGCATCGAGGAAAAATTCGCTCCATAACGAGATGTATGCACAACAAGGATTTGAGATAAGGTTATAATGATAAGAAATAAGAAAAATAGTAGAATGAGTATAGGTGGAATGTCACGATGGAGAAGATTAGATGAGACTGGATCATGACTATAACGATGTAATTGCTGATTGGAACGTGACGAATGTTGTCTTTGATCTTGAGATATTAATGATGTAGACGACGAGGAATGATGACTGTTGTATGTGTATAACATTCGCTAAGAACTTGATGTAGATTAGAAAGTAAATACCATTGTAAAAAAGAGGGAATATATATCTGATTTGTAGAAGTGAGAATGAAAGAAAATAAAAACCAAAAATCTAAAAGAAAAAAACAAGAGAATCGACAAATTTCTGCAAGGGAGGAAAATGGCGACCTTTAGAGATTACCAGTCTACCGTTTAGTTTCTCTACATCTAAGCAATTACTCATTAACTAACGTCGTTTTGATCCTAAAGAAAATGTCTATTCTTGAGAATTCTTATCTTCTACAAGTCAGTTCCTTCTTCTTCTTTTTCTTCATTTTTACAAAGAAAAAAATGTATCAACGCGTTTCGGCTCATTGTTTTTCTATAGAATAATCACATGCAGGAAAAAAAAGAATGAGAAACACGACTTTCTTCTTTTTCTTCTCCTTCGATGCAGACATGTTAGTCTGTACTTGACTAACAAGTGTCTCGTTGTTAGATGGATGCATATAAAATGTCATTAGGATAAGATTCGCGGGAACGATCGAGAGAAAAAAAAAGACAAAAAGTTGTAAGAGTAATTTATTTTGCACATCTAATCAATCAATTAATAATTGTCAGTTAAATAACAAGAAGATTAAAGTTTCGATCAAGAAACAAAGAAAGAAAAAACAACATGAATAAATTCTTTACCACCAGGTCATTTCATTAATTGTAAGAAGATAACAATAAATTGAGTAACAAAAAGAAAACAAGCGAACTAGTCACCCTTAGATAATTGAATAAAGAGTCAAGAGAAAGAATTAATTCAAATAAGATTAAGTCAATTACGAATAGTCACATAGAAGCAAATCTCACGTGATTAATGGATCTACTTTTGTTTCTTTTGTGTGGCATAACCCGTTGGTGGGCCAACGGAACTTGCATAGGTACTTGCCGAAATACGATTGATATAATATAAAGCAATCATAGAGAAGATGACGCTAAACAAAACAAAAAGCAATTCATGTCATTGAGTTGACTGTAAATGTTAATTAGTATAAAAAATGGTGCTCTGGACAACAATAGAGAGACTAGTTTTAGAAAATAGTAATAAATCCCTTTACAGTGCTTTGAGAACAAATCTTATGTTTGTCTTAAACTTACCATGTTGTAACACAAACTCGGTGGACAAACGCACAACAGACCATTGACATAAATAAACATGTAACAACTAAAAGCAGTAAATAGACGCAAGAAAACTACTTTCTACGAGCGCCTACCTTCAGGAAATACTCGGGCTTGAAAATTTGGTCCAAATGTATTCATTTCGAAATTGCTCACAGCCTATATTAGAAGAAAACCCGTTCGACTGAGATACAAATCATGATTTGTCCGTAGAATTACCGTAAGGAGAGATACAAATACTAATGAACCCATAAATCCACCTGCGATTGTCATTGGTTGACTTGCGGCAAGGTGACTGCGAAATATTTGCATGGATGCGAACAATAGAAGAGCAACGAGAAGTGCGAAAAGAAATGACGATGCGTTAGAAGCGGCTAGATTAGATTTCAATTGATTTCATATCTTTATAGAAACGAACATGCTAACTTACCCATATTTACGCGAGAAGTGAAGTTGAAATAGATATGTCAATCTAGAAATAAAGTATTTCCATGAAATAAGGTTTAATACAAACACAGAAGATGAAGGAAACAAAAAAAAAGAGAAAAGGTAAGAGCAATATTTTATTTGATCTCATAATCATTGGTAAGCTTGAGGGCATGATCCAATGCGTGAAGATGAACAAAAATAACACGAATTTGTCGAATATTTTCTCTAAAAAGAAAACAACAATAATGGAATCAAATTTCATGCGGAGTTGTTCGAACTCACTTATACACTTTGGCATCTTTTTCATTTGCACTAAAGACCAATGCAGAATACTCTTGTGCCATTTGATTCAAAAATGAACAGAAGTTTTCTAATGCTGGTAATGTCGTATCATTCATTTGATCAGCTAGGAGAGTTTTGTTATTATCAATCCATTGTTTGATTGGAAAACATTTTGCTAGTAATAAACAACGTGTAATCATTTCATTTGATGTTAGATCCATTTGTTTCAATGCTAATAAGATATAACGATTGAGAAGACCATCGATGGACAAATCAAGAATGGTTTTCAACGATAAAACTTGTGACCAACTTGTTATGTTTTCTAACAATTTCACGCAAGTCCAATACTGTCGAAAGAAAAATTCTGTTGCAGCAATTGCTGAACTATTCGATGATGTTCGAGATGAACCAAGTGCGATGATCTCTTTCGGATATAGAGGAATATATATGTCATCATCCAGTGAACGTTGCAATCGATCAACAGTAGCTTTTAATAAAGTCTAAAGCAATAATGACAATAATTGGAATTGACGATGGAAATATATTACCTGAACCGCTTTACTATCACTTGTCATTGTTGGATAAGTCTGAAAGATAGTTTCAATTGTTTTTACAAGATGATTCGTTTGTTTGGATGATAATGGATCGTAGATATTTTCGACAATAACTAAATGAGAAAGTACATTTAAGGAATACTTGATCTCTTATTGACATACTCGTCAATTTTGGTATGATCACTTTTTCGATGACCAAAGGCATGAATGGAAATTCTTCGTCTTCATTGTCACCATTTTTTACTCCATAAAAGAGTAAGTCTTGATACCAATTGAACGATTCTATAGGACGACATGAAGCCTAAAAGAAAGAACTGAGTTTCAAGCATCGAAAAAAAAAACAAAATTTACTTCGAATGGTCTCCAGTCGATCATTTCTTTACGTATTAACGGTGAAAATACTTTTGGTAGACATATTTCAACATATGCATCCGTGTATGATTCATTTAACTGATATTTCCATTGTTCGAATATCGTCTTGATTTTTCGATACTTGGAAAATTCATCCGACACATCGTCGAGAACATGTTCAGCTTCATTTAGAATTTCTTCTGGAAAAAGAGAAAACAAAAACCATACAAAATGAATTGTTCTTCGAGCTCAGCTTACGTTTTTGTGTGGAGAATGTGTTAATATCCGATTGATTTTCTTCATCGTCCGTCGACATACCATCATAGTGTGAAGTTGAACTTTGCTCACGATCCTTTCGTCTTCTCAGCCTAAATCAATAACATGTCGTTCAATTTTTCACCTGGATTGGAACTCACCGTCGGGCTTCACGTTCAGTGGCTCGACGTTGCCGTTTTTGATCCAATGCTGTCCGAAAATCGTTTGTCGGTAATGTTCCATTGACAAATGCTAACGCTTTTACTAAAATATCATCGAAGTGAAACAGATCATCTACGGGTTCGTTTTTTCGAATCAATGCACAATTACCTGTGGAGTATTCTACACATTGGTCTTTGATATCTTCTTGACGACGGGTTATAATCATATCGGTTCTCTGTTTGTACAACTGCAGCCAGCGATCTTCAAGATCTATGATTGTTATTATCTTAAACAAAAATGGGTTCATTCGTTTCGGTGTGAATATTTTCTCTCACTTTCTCATTGTAACATTCAACGAAGGAATAAAGATAAGCACGGCATTTTTGATAGAACTGATAAGACTTTTCCATTTCAGGATAATTGACTTTATTCTTCTCTAATGATGTTTTACTCGCATCATATGCTTGTTGAGCTTTTCCTAATTCGATCTTGTGTTTCTCATTCGATTCGATTGTCGATTGAAGGCTAAAATATAGCGAACGTTGATTTTAGTAGATAACTAATAGGAATATATACGATGCGCGTAGACGGTCTCGAATAGTATCAAACGTTACAGATGGCAATTCAAGTGGTGGTAATTCACGTGTGATTTCAATTTCCATTGGCTGTGGTTCAACCAGCGCTGACGACGGATTTTTCGCATCTGATTGAGGTAACTAAAATGAAAAGAATGATTTTTTCGATTCATCACACGTCATATGTACGGATGAGAGTCGAATAAACTTCTATGAGACGTCTAATTCTCTGTGTGTTGAAAAGCATTTTTTCTGTTTTTTTTTTGAAGTATAACACTGAATGAGTAAATGAGATAAAGCGTAAGAGAAAATCTTACGACGAATAACACCGACTTGAGATTTGGAAGAGGAGGAAGCCAATGAATTGATTGTTGACAATTTTGAACTGACACCTTTGCGAATTTGTTCATGTTCAAAACGACGAAATTCTTCATCATCTTCATCATTGTCGCTACCTGAAAAAAGAAAAATCGTAGTTAGTAGACTTATGAAAGGAAATGGAATTCTCTTCGTCACCTTGTTCCAATTCCAAAAATCGATCACGATTTTTCTGCCGTTCATTTTCTGCTCGAGTTGTATTTCGATCCATACTAACTATATGAGGATCCTCTGCTGCGCTATCATCACTTGCATCTTGATCATCATCGCTAAAAGAAGATTATGTACATGATGTCAACGATAACAACTTCATACCGAATTAAACGAGACTTTTGATTCGATGATCCGTTTTCAGCAGTATTTAATGACATATAATCACCAGGTGTGCCCATTTCTCGTGCCATTTGACGCCGTTTACGTGCTGCATGGATCATCGTTGAATCAGGAATGACACCGCCTGTGGCAATCAAGAATTTACAAAAAAAAACTTCTCATAAACTTTGGATTTCTTACTTCTTAACATTAGTTTAACTGAGCGTTGAGTCTCATCTACTTCATTGACATCTTCATCATCTTCGTTGCCTTCGATAATCCCTTCAATTTCATCGAAATCAGCAACAGCACTCGACTGACCATTCATGGCTCGCATTTCTTTTCGTAAACGCTATTTTATACAATACAGATCAACATGAATCGTTTGTTTCCCGTTAGAATACAACATACTTGGATTTCCATATTTGTACTTGTAAACGAATTGGCTGACGATTTGTTGGGAACAATTTGAAGTGGCTTAACTAAAAGGATACAATTTTAAAAATGTAGATCAAGTGAAAGATCCTTCTTTTTTCATACATTTAATCTCCAGTTCACCATTTGAACTTTCTTCTTTAACTGGAACCACTTCTTCGACCGATGTAGTTTTAGTTATCGTCGTAGTTTGTTCAATTACTACAGTCGGTGTTGGTTGCTGCATCTGTTGTTGCTTTTTAAGTTCTTTGGTCATTTTACGACTTTCACGTGATTTATTCACTTTGAATTCTTCCGTATCGCCTATTTACAGGATTCAAAAGAAATGTGATTAGTGCACAAACAAATGCTTTACCATCATCATCACCGAAACTCAGCAGCGATTTTGGAACGTCAGCTTTTTTAACCACAGTTTTCGTAGTAACTGTTTGCTGCTGGATAACAATTGAAGGCGGTTGACTGTCCGATACATTTGCTTGATCATCTTCGTTGTTATCGGTGTCCGTTCGACCACGTAAACTGCGTTGTTTTGCCTTGCGAAACATTTACAGATGGCTGATTAACTTCAACGTTGTCTTAAGCAATGTGTCAATCTACATAGGAAGGAAAAGAATACATGTATCACTATAGGGAAACGACAACGACAAATGAGACGGCTAGGCATGGTGAGTTGTAAGGTAAAATCAGGATAGTTTTGTCATCACTGCTGACATAATTAATTGGAAAAGAGAAGACTTTTATTTTACTTCTACGAGAAAAAGAAAAATGGAAATAGATGAAGAAAATTTTCTTTATATTTCGAAACGACATTTTGTACGATTGGTCTGCTATTCGACCAATCAGATGTCGTGTCAGTTTCCGTTGAAGTAAGTTTTTGTTTCAAGATTTGACTCGATCAATAGACTAATTCGTTTTTCTTGATAATCCATTTGCAAAATATGTCAGATCGGCGTCGGCGAAATTCTCGAAAATGCGCGACAAAAGAGTCAACAACTTTACTGAATGAACAAAAACCTCAGCCGAACTCTCGAAGAGCAAAAGACACTGTAAGATATTTTCAAATCTAACACAAATATCCACATTTATATCTATTAGCCTTCAACTAGACCAACGAATGCTTCGAAACGAACTCGAATAGATTCGGTTGTCTCAAAACCAGTGGGTACGAAAAAGAGAAAAGAGATTCTTTATGATGGAGATGACGATGATGATATCAAAGTGATTTTTCCAGATAACAAACAACCGTTAGGAAAATCCGGTTCGTTGATTTAATCTTTGCAAATAAGTATCTTATCATAAATTTCTAGAAATAGATCGATGTGCTATCTGTTTGGATGATTGTACAGAACCAAAAGAGCTCGCTAAATGTGGTCATATATTTTGCACAGCATGTATTGATCAATATTTCGAAACAGTCAAACCGCAATGTCCATGTTGTTTTACAATCTATGGGGAACTTCGAGGTGAGAGATTCAATCCATGGAGATTTACTAGATCGTTTGACTTATCTAGGAAATCAACCGGTGACTGGCACAATGACCATCGATAACTCGAAACATCGTTTACCCGGCTTTGAACATGATTCATGTGGCTCAATACGAATAACATATTCTTTCCCGAACGGAATCCAAGATGTAAGTGATTGTGTATATATATATGCAGAGAGAAGTTCATCTTCGTTTTAAAAGGAAAGTCATCCGAATCCAGGCACACCTTATTATGGCACAACTCGTCAAGCATTTTTACCTGATAATTATGAGGGTCGCTATGTACTTAAATTATTAAAGAAAGCATTTGAACTACGACAAATTTTCACTGTCGGACAATCTCGAACGACCGGTTATGACAATGTCATCACTTGGAATGACATCCATCATAAAACAAGTATTCATGGCGGTGTTGAAAAGTATGAATGAAAGAATTACATGATTTCACAATTTTCATCTTTTTTTTTTAATCTAGTTTTGGCTATCCGGATAGCACATATTTGAATCGGTAAATAAAATCAATGGAAAAAGAAGTCTTATTAGAATTCTTTTCTTTCTCTAGAGTGAAACAAGAATTGGCGGCTAAAGGAATCAAATAATGAGAATATTACAGACCTGTCTTTCACAATTTCGAATATCAAACTTGTTACAATCAATGCTCAACAAAGCTTTTCATTCTAATTATTATTCTATTTTTTTTATGTTACGATAAAACTAAGAATGTATAATACTCAAACATACGTTCCATTTGTCTCTCTCTTTTTTTGACTTTGTTTGGACAATGTACGTCTTTTTTTCTCAATCTTCTGAAATAATGTCAATGATGATCAGCTCAAATCTATGAAAATTCTCCTCGTTGGATGTCGATGAACACAGTCGTCTGCTCGTCGATCATTACACAACAAAAACAAACGAAAGATACAAAAGAAAGAGAAAGAATGTCTTTTCTTTCTTTGATTTCATCGGATGGATGGTATTTGTTAATGTCTTAACTTCTAGTTGATCGTTTCGGACCGATTATGTTAAATAAACTCGATCGTCTTCTTCACTCACTCATTCATTCATTCATTCATCGATCATTTCGTTCTAAACATTTTCATACAAGTATGCTAAGGAAAAGATCCGCTTTGAACGATTGTTGACATAAATGAAAATATTTCACAGTCATTATCATTCTTTCTCTCTCTATCGAGTAAGTCAGTTGATTCGATGTTGAAATTCTAATCGATTGCTTCAATATTCATTTGTCTAGAAAGAATAAATAAGTGATTATGACATATTAATATCAGCATGGATTCACAATCTCGCCTGTATGTTTGTGAAATGGTCAGATATGATTTGAATCGAAGGAATTGATTTTAGGAGTGCGCCGTATACGGAAGGAACAGCAGAATACATTCGAAATGGTGGCCGATACGCTCTAGCAACAGCAGTGCTCGATAGCATTGTCTTGGTATTTACGATTGTTATAGCTTTTCTTCTTCGGTAAGTACGAATAAAGCAAATGGATTTTTATTGAAAGAATTACTCTGTTCACAGCGCATCGGATATCTTTCCTGTCCGACAACAACGATTCTTATGCGACGATGCGCGTTACTATCAAGCGTATGAAGATGCAAACACTGAGCGAAATTATTTAATACTTTCAAATGCTTCCCTTTATGTAATTTGTTTACTTATTCCAATGATTATCGTAAGAATTTCGATGAAACAAATCGCTGTTTATTTTGTTTTATACAATGTTCTTTTAGATTTCAATTATAGAACTTGTTCGTTCGTTTTCATCGTACCACTCCTATCAAACTCGTTCTACATTACAATTTAAAGAGTGTTTGACTCGATCATTAGCTCATATTCTAAAATATCTTTGTATGTAATTGGATTTTGCTATTCATATGTCAACAAAATCTTTTCTAGCTGTGTTCGTTTTTGGTGCACTGACAGCAACGATATTGACAGATATTTTAAAAATCATGTCCGGTCGTTTGAGACCATACTTTCTCACTTTATGCGATCCGGATCAGAAATCTTGTAATGGAATGGGTAGGTAGAACAATTATAAATTGATAGATACAATAGTAGGTTTTGATTTAAGGTTTGACTGATGCTGAATTCGTGTGTCTTTCGAAAAATATGACTGGATTATTACGAGATGCTAGGTAAATAAAAGAAAAGCTTCAGTTGTCTTCTCTTGATTGATTAATTTAGACTTTCATTTCCATCTTTACATGCGTCCCTATCCATGTATAGTGCCATATTTCTAGCGGTAGGTGATATTTTATTTTCAACTAAGAGAAAACTCAACAAGCCTTATTTGAACAGATCTATTTACATCGAATTATTCGTATTGAACGTGTACGAATTGTGAAATCATTTATGATTATGTCAATCATTACATTGTCAATAGTAGCTGGTGGTGTACGATTAGCTAGTAATAAGAACCACTGGGAAGATGTAGTGGTGGGATTTACCTTAGGTGGATTACTTGCATTGTACTTAGTAAGTTTCATATGCAATGCATAAGAAAGTATTTATCGATAATTCTCATAGATGAAGACTTTTCAGTCATCTAAGTCGGTCACTGGCTTACCAGAAACACGTGTTGGTAATTACGATGATTATCAAAGTTATATTGAAGATCCAAATCAATACAATAAAGAAGTATCCTTATCGTTTTGTACTATGTAAAATTCGTATACTGATTGTGATCTAGATGGATCCAACCTATGCTCCCGGAATGGACACTGTTTACCAAACAACCGGACACAGTATGGGTGGTCCTGAACAATTTTCTCTACAACCAAGCGCATCTCAGGGTAAATTATGAATACGTTGCTATTCCTTTTTCTTAACAGATATTTTATCACAGGGCACATTGCAGGTGGTTTTGCTCGACATCGATATGATCTAAAGATTCAAATGCAACAACAAGCAGCTGCAGCAGCGGCGGCCGCTGCGGCTGCGGCGATTGCCGCTCAACAACAAGCAACAGATAAATCGATGACTTCAGTTAGTCGTGGTGATACAACTAATGGTGGTGTTATTCATCACTTGGCTCATCAAACTCAACAGCAGCCACGCGCATCGTCAAGTACTCAGCGTGCAAGTACATCACTGAGTGCCATGAGATGAAATATTTATTCCTACATCACCGATCTTTGATTCAAATATTCAATAGAGGAGACAGATGTGTGTTGCTACATAGAACAAGTTGTGAAAATGATTAGTAGAATTATATCCTTTTTTGTTTTATTTCATTTGTTTTTTTTTGAAAAAGAAAAGAAAAGAAAAGAAAACGAACATTGTTTGATCTGTAAATATTTATTCAGTATCATCGAAATTATCTTTGCTATTACTGTCATCATTATCATCACTATTATCATCATCGTGTCGATTGTATTGTTCATTGGATGTTTTACTAACATTTATACCGTTTGTTTCAACAGGTAGATTGGGGACACTATCATCTTCTAGTAAAATTTCGCGATCATCAGCGTTATTATCACTCCAATTTACATCATTACTAATACGATCTATTGATTGCTGTACATAATCAGGAAGTTCAGATTTATCATCATTAGAATTATCCCCATCTTGATTAATTAGATCGTTCGTATCATCATCTTCTGAATTCGAATACAGAGATCGACTCGAAACTGTACCAACAAATAAGGCGAAGCAAATAATTGCCAAATACGTGCGCATGATTTGCTTGTTGTATGCAGAGCAAGATTTTTTTATCGAATGCCGATCGATGAGGTGCATATTCTTTCCTTTTCTTTATAAATGTTGTTTTTTTTTTCGTTTGCATCTATTGCGTTTATACGACAGGACAAAAAACTTGCTCTGAAAAATTGTGCGAACTACAAGAAAAATATTATTTTGCCCCAACAGAAAAGGACATTAAGTTTGCATGGAAGTAATGCCAAACAAATTTCGTAAGACCAGGGAAAGAAAGAAAAGTTTTGCTGTTTTCGTAAGAAAACTCTCAAATTATTGGTAAAAACTTGTCAATAAATAAGATACGAGAGATGATTCATTTTTATAGTGTACGGCATCGTTGACATTTTGACTGAAAAAGAAGTCGTATGTTGAATGCTTTATACCTATGGAAGTTTTCTTTTAATACGCAGTCAAAACGATAAATCGAGGCTATTAATAGAGTATCTGGTGTTTGATTAATACACTAGGTACACATTCTGTTTGAGTGGGTACCTTAGACAAGTAACAAAATACTCAATGACGAGCAGGAGGATACAATCGTGAAAGTTCCTGCATAATTGCTTGTGAACCTTTGTCAAGATGCATTTGTTGAAATCTTCAAACTTCATTGACTACAGGTGCTAATCCGAAAACGAAGTTATCCGGCATCTAAAACGGCTGTTTAAAACTCGATGGAATGGTTGCTGGATACATTGAATAAAGTAATTGTGACAGTAGTCAGCTGGGAGATTACGGCATCTCTAGACAGATGAAATAAGTGGAGCACCTATTTGAAAGATAAAATAACTCGCATTCATACACAAATATATACTTCAAAATTTTCAAGTCCAAGTACTTTGAGTTCACTAATTTAATGTTTGTCAACAAGTGAAACTTACAGCGACTTGATAAACATCAGCTCAGTTCAGAGGTTTCAGATATTTGTCTTTCTTATGTTCTCATGATATTAACGCAAGGTTTTTGCAACGTCATGCTTATGTATGCAAAATCGATGCATATTTATGTCTCCGTTTTCTTTTTTACTATGTTAGATCGAAACTGTAATTATTATTCGATATGTCGACAATACCGAAACGTCAACTTGGCAAAAACGGTCCACAAGTATCCGCGATCGGTTTTGGAGCAATGGGTTTATCAGCATTTTATGGTAAAATTGCTCCAGACGAAGAACGATTTAAAGTTCTTGATCGTGCCATTGAACTTGGCAGTACATATATCGATAGTGCCAATGCGTATGGCGATAATGAAGATTTATTAGGAAAATATTTCAAACAATATCCTCATCAACGTGAAAAAGTTTGTACAATAGAAGAATATTTCGCATTATGACGAGTCATTTGTTGTTTTTCCTCAGGTATTTCTTGCTACGAAGTTTGGTATCATCGTTCTTCCAGATAACAAACGCGACGTACGAGGTGATGCTCAGTATGTCCATGAACAATGTGAACGAAGTCTGAAACGTCTTGGTCTCGATTACATTGATCTCTATTATGTGCATCGTATCGATAGCAAAGTTCCAATTGAGGAGACAATGGGTGCACTAAAGGAACTTGTTCAAGCAGGAAAAATCAAATACATTGGTCTTTCCGAATGCTCAAGTGATACTTTACGACGAGCCTGTGCTGTTCATCATGTAACAGCAGTGCAAATCGAATATTCACCATTTAGTATGGAAATCGAACACGAACAGATTGGTCTTTTGAAAACTTGTCGTGAACTCGGTGTCGGTATTGTTTGTTACTCACCATTAGGTCGTGGTTTGTTAGGTGGACAATTGAAAAGTCCCGATGACCTTGAAGAAAGTGATTATCGACGCCATCTTCCCCGTTTTTCCAAAGAAAATTTCCCAAAAAACCTTCAATTAGTCGAAACATTATCATCGATAGCGAAGAGAAAGAATTGCACAACGGGTCAACTAACATTGGCATGGATTTTAGCTCAAGGTGATGACTTTGTTGTCATTCCAGGTACTACGAAAATCAAGAATTTAGAAGAAAACGTTGCATCTATACAAGTTGAATTAAGCAAAGATGAAGAAAAAGAAATTCGCGCAGCGTGTGAAAAAGCCGATGTCGTCGGCGGGCGTTATCCAGAAGCATTTAGTTCTGTTTTATTCGGTAACTCAGCACCAAAGAAAAACTAATGTTCATACGAAAAAACTCTTATATTTTAATAAAATAGACTTTCTTTGTTTGATTCTTATTGATCCATAATGATTAACAGAAGCTTTCATCCACACGTCGACTTTGATCTTCATAGGTAATGTTAATAAAGGCGACGACGGTACACTAATGAAGAAGAATAACTACGCAACTCTAAATGAGCACAAGTTAATACCTTTTGACGACGATGACAAAGGCAAGATGGATCGAAATGTGTGCGTGCTTCTCACACTAGATAAACAAAATCACTTTCGTTATTTAAACAAAACAAAACAAGAAAAGAAATGAGCTCTTGTCGCTGTTTTACCTCCATCAATATTGATCAATTCGACTCACTTCTATCCTATCTTCCCAGATTGTTCTTCTTTCTCTCTCTCTTTTTTTGTCTTCATGTGAATGGCAAAAAGATCAAGAAGAAGAAAAACCGATGTGTTAATCAACAAATACTTGTTCTATTGAATGCAATCCTATTCATTGTATACAGCTTAGAAGAGCATCACTTTTCACATTGTTTTCTTTCTTTCATTCTAGTAAATTATGCTTAGTCATTTCTGGTTGGTGTTTGTTTTCATTAAATATTCATTTTCAAACATATTAGTTACAAATTATCCAACTATTGATCTAGTAGAAAACAGTCCATTGAATACGCTTGTAATTCAATTGACAACATCGTTGAATATCACTCGAACATCGAAATTGGTTTTATTGAACATGAGTGGTTTCGAATCCGATGTTTTTACAATTGTGAATGGAAGTATTTACACAACAAACTCAATTGATCGAGAAGAATTTCTTCGAAGGAAATATTGCTTAGATAATTTGTATTGTAAAGTCGAATTACAAATTCTCGTGGATAATGGATTAGCTTATTGGGTTATTCCAATTCATGTCGTCGAGTAAGTTTCGAGTTGTACAAAGATGAACTATTCGTTTTTGTTTTGTTCCTAGTGAGAATGATAATAGACCTGAATTTGCACAAAAAGAAATCGAGTTGAGATTTCGGGAAAATATTCTTAATGGACACAAAATTCCGTTTTCTGGTGCGAAGGATCTTGATGAAGGTCGGAACGGTGAAATTCACTACGTTCTCGATTGTTCCAATGATTTTCATGTAAATAAAAGTTTCACCAATCAATACATTCAACCGTCAATTAATTGTTTCCCATTGTTTCAACTGATCGTACTTTCACAATCTCCTTCATCAGTTAATTATGATCGACTAGCATTAAAATTCCTTCCTTCATCATCTGTTAACATTGAAAATGAATATAAACTTCGACTCTATGCCATCGATAATAATGAAAATGGTAAACAGTTAGACAGTTCAATGAATTTGATTGTTAAAATTGATCGGAAAGAAAAAGCACCATGGTTTACTCAATCAGAATATGATTTCGTTGTAACAATCAATTCTTCATCGCGTCACAATGAAAGCATTCTCGGTCGTGTTCATGCCATATCAAATGATCCGTCACAAGTTATTCGTTATAAACTATTATCGGATAGTAGCAAAATTCGTATCAATTCTTTAACAGGTGAAATCGTTCTCTCAAATTCCAACTTGACAAAATTAAATGACGAAATCGAATTCTTTGTCCAGGCATCGACATTGTTGAAAGAGAAAGTAACGAATTTTTTAACTACACGTTCGAAAGTGAAGGTTATCTTTCGTTCGGCTGAATTGTTAAATAATATAACTTATCATTTTCAAACGATTTCATCGTTAAATCAAAGTAAAATCCAACGTTTAAACTCGACCAACACATTTGTTATCGATGAACATGTTCAAATCAATGAAGATCTACTCAAAATATCTCTCATTTCAAATCCTTATCGTTCTGATAAATATATTCTTTCATTAGATAATTATCTTTCAACATTTTCACTGATTTCAACTACACCATTGAATACTTATATTTTACGAACTCGTCGACGTCTGACACCCAAAGCAATTTACATGTTGAATATTGGAGTGAAACATAAATTATCTCAACAATGGTTGCCAAATTTAAGAATAGAATTTATTGTGATCGAACAATGGTCAACCACAACGATGACAACGAGAACATCATCAACGAAATCTCGAGTTATAATAACAAATACAACAGTTTATGCGGAACCAATCGGCTTTTGTATTGAGAATAAGAATTATGTGTTACATGAAAATCATGATGAGAAGATTGGATTTTTAAAAGTAATCGAAACCAATGTTCATCTTAGTCAAAATCGAAGTTTATCATCGAATTCATTTCTCTTGATCAATTCAAGTGAAATAACGATCGATGGATGTCGAATGCATATGGATCGTCTAGAGAGTTCGTTAAACAAATCTTTACGATATCAATTATGCTCATTAACAGACGATACTGATTGTTATAATATTTCATTTACCGAAGAGATGGATTTAGAATCGAAATCAGATGAAAAACATAATCTTCGAAGTTGGTTTTTACCGATGAAACCAATTGAAATCGTTATGTTTGTACTGTCCATGGTATTCGTTCTCATAACAATCGTGCTGATTATCCTGATCTGTCGATTGAAAGGTGTGCATATTTGTTTAGCAATAAAAAATTATTTGTTTTACGGAAAGAAATATGGACTGAACAATAATTCGCATGTAACTGTGTCACCTTCAAAAATGACTGTAAATATCAATATTTTCCTGTATAATTCTCTGCTATGTATATTTTAGCAACAAGTTCATTCAATTGTTATTCGAGAATCTCATTCATCTGCACTTCAACCAATTCACATTCGTAAGAACGATTTTTTTCCTTCTGACTTTTGACTTAATTACTTTCCATTTAGAAAAAAATGATATTTCTGAACCATATATCTATAATATTGATCATCTACTTGATCGTGAACCACTTCCTTCAACAAATATGTTTACACTTCCGTCTCCTGCTCAGATGTCATCATCATCATCATCGTTGACTTGTTCGCTTCAACGCGAAGGTCGAACGAGATTAACAATGGACAATCGACCGAGTACAACTCCTCGAACATCTTCGTCATCGTCATTTCTTCAAGAAACAAAACAACTTCTTGAAATGATTTCTTCGAACTCAAATCTGGATTCATCGCGATTGGCATCCGATGTGTGAGAACAAACATTAAATTCTGACGACTACATATTTGTTTTTCATGGAAAATATATATAAATTAAAAGAAATTCCATTTCTATTAGTGATATAGGTGATCTCGTATAAAAGATGAGAAGACACATCGATGTCTGAATGACGATATGAAAGTACGGCACTCATAGACCAACGATTCGCATACCAGGAAGTTGCATTTCACTAATGTACACGTGTCAGAAAAAAAATGACGAATGATTTGATTTGATTTTTAACGAACGAACAATAATTTTGTTGTGTAGTTTTATCCTCAGATAATTCATCCAACTTATTCGATAACTACTTTATTTGGTCACTTTTATCTTGTATTGACAATCTCTATCAGTCGAAAGAGTATTTAATTATATACAAAATTCACGAACTGTAAAGCAACATCTCAATTGGCTCACAACCGATAGGGAAATGTTTGAAAAAAAGAAAGTACAAAGATGTACTTTTATTTATTTAAACATCCGCTTGCCTTTCAATGGCTAAAACAATGAGATTTCGTATAAAGCCAAGGAGAAAGCCCATTGGAAATTTTTTCACGTAGGGTGCAACAATATTCCATTTCTCAACCCAACCTTTTCTTTTTTCTGCTAATGCCTTTTCCTTCAGATGATCTTTATAAAGTGTCATCACAAGTTTAAACGTCGTTGCTAAAGTTAAACTGGCAAGAATAACTATAAATAATAGACGATACCAATTTTGCTGACACCATGTCGAGTCGGAATAAGTATCGTATTCATCGGCACAATTTGAATTACTATTCATATTAGAAAGATAACTAAGAGAATAACAAACAAAACTAGAGCTGAAATCAATCATTCGATTTCACCCGCATTTTCTTTACGACAAGTTGCATTATTGTTCGAAAATTGTTGTGACCATGTCATTGATTAATTCTTTGAAAACTGTCACTATTTGAACATTGTTCTTCTTGAGCCATTTAGCTATAAATCCATCTTTAGCAACCAAGTCTAGCACTGCATTAGCAAGACCATGTTGCTGTTTAAAATCATTCTGAATACGTTTGCGCTGTTGAGTCAGTTCCGTCTCTTTATAAAAAATGTAGCCGAGACCACTTACAATCGCCAAATTGATAATTACAAGTGTTGTAGTTGCGATGTGAAACCAATATCGATCGCAAAATGATGAAGAACGTCTTTTTCGACGAAAGTCATCATATGAATATCTGCCCGAAGCAATACTTGTATCACTCATTGTGACGTTTCCAACGAACAAAAATATGAAATTGAAAAGCACAAATGTAACTAAGGAAGATTGATGTAATAGTCCACATCGTTTTTTTTTCTCTCTTCGTTGTTCTTATCACGTTCGAATATGAATCAATCAACCGAATCAAGAGAAGTAACGTGTTTGACGATGGCGATGATATAGGAAGACTATATAAAATCATCTTGTAGTCAGTTTATTATCTAGCTTGTTGAAATGTTGAATAAAGTTTTCTTTACTCGATGAGTCAGTCAAAAGCAGTTTTAAGACGATTTATTTCTCTTAAAATTATCTGTGGACTAAATACTATCGTTTCATTATTTATTATTGTACTTGTCAATAAGAATTCAACGTATCATACAATTCTCACGCAGCCCGTGCATACCATCAATGACGCATTGAAACAAGAATTAATCAATGAACATTTACTCAGTTATTCACAATTTTATAACAGTTCATCGTACGAATGTAAAATAAAGTCAAACAATGATCAGCTGGAAAAAGAACTTAATGCTACAGCACGACTTCTACCCACTCTTGGTCGAAATATTGTCCCGTATCCAAATGATTATTTTCATGGTCGTGGAATTGTTCTTACCATCGGAAAATACCAATTACCATTTGCTAAGGTTAATTTAGAAATGATCCAACACACTAGGACGAGATTACCAGTTCAAGTAAGTCGATCTTCTCATTGTTAGAACTTATCAAGGTCTTTGTCTTTATTTAGATTTGGTATTCATCACAAGAAATCCAAGATGGCGACGTGACTGACTTATTGATCATTGCTCCTCGCGTCAACTTGAGTATATGTTGTTTTCTACAAAATCGATGTCGGAATTTAATTCGAACATGGCAAATAAATTCTCAATATGTTTTTAAACCACATATAACCAATGCTGAACAACGATTTGCTTACAAACCAGCGGCAATCATCAGTTCGACATTTGCCGAAGTACTCTTTCTTGATTCCGATGCATATCTAACACGAGATCCTGAGGAACTCTTTCTTCATGATCCGATGTATCTTCAGTTCGGTACACTCTTCTTTCCAGACGCACACATCAGTCGACAACATTCCAGTGTTTGGAAACTATTCAATACAACTTGTGGAGAAAATGAATTTGAGTTAGATAGTGCAGCAATATTAGTAGATAAAAGACGTGCTTGGAAGGGACTCTTCATAACCAAGCTAATGAATGATAATTATCGATACTTCTATGGGGTAATTCAGTATAAAATTCGAAAGTAATGCTGAATTGTCATATTTCAGAGTATAAGTGATGGAGATAAAGATACATTTCGGTTCGGTTTTCGTTATATGAACGTGAAGTATTACATTGTAATGATTCCATGTGCTGTAAGTTTAGTTTATGCTAACTTTCCAACACTTTCAAGTGAATTCTCTTTTAGACTGGTCAATTTAATGGTAGTCATTTTTGTGGTTTAACACTTTGTAAGACTGATAGTCTTGCACAACATATTTACATTAAGTATGAATTAATTCAAACGTATTTCTTTATCTTTGATTGTTTCGTTTCTTTTCAGTCATGTTCATATATTTAAATATGAAGATGTTTCTTATACAACTGAGAATTTAGAATATACTCGTATTGGTCTTGGTGATCCGAATAACCATTCGTATTTTTTCATGCATTGTCGATTACCAGGTGGACAAACAAGTTGTTTCCATATTGTTGCTCAACCAAATCCAGAAGTTATTCCAAATTTTTGTTATATAGGTGAAATTTCTCTGAAAGATATCGAAGACTATAAATATCAATCGAATGAAGTATTACTGTTCGACAGATCAAGATATAATCGAATCATATTGACTAAAACAAACAATGTAATGCCGCATTTTATTGAAAATTTAATCAAATCTTCCCATCATTTATAAATACATGATAATCTAGAATCAAAGACACTACAATCGATATCTTAAGTTTTGTCTTTGATTCATTACTTTCCAAATATTGCTAGTCCTAGTAACATTGAATTGACCAACATCTGTGTCATTCTTGCTTTTTCAACATCATGCTTATAACATTGTCATTGAACTTGACAGTACATACATCGGTGATAACGACGATCAATGCGAAAAAGTTAGTACGATCGAGGAATATCTAATGAATTAATTCTTGTTTTTCTCCAGATATTTCTTTGTTTGTCCAGTTTGATGTTATCACGATGCGAGGTAGTGTTCAATACGTTCATGAATAATGTGAAAGAAATGTGAAACCTTTTAGTCTTGGTTATATTGATCTTTACTCGATATAATCATATGATTAGTTGATTATTTTTCAAGAAAGGAACGTTATTTGAATCTAAAACCTTTGAAAAACTGAATTGTAATATTTTAAATTGAATAAATAGATGTGTTAATAAATCAAATCATTTGAGATGTTTGACAGTAATATCATATCCACTTGCGTCTATCTGATTGGAATAATAAATCGCATTGGAGCTTTTTCGCTCATCATTCAATTACTTCTCTTTATTCTGAATCATTTTTCGGCTAGTTTTCTACCTGAGATGATGTTTATATGTTGTAATCACAAGTATTGATATTATTTCGAAAGTGAAACTTGCAAATCGAATTACAAATAATAGACAATACGAATTTGGTTAATATCATATGAATCTTATTATAACCATTCTGTTAATTATCATAATTCATTTCAGAAGGAAAATTGAGAAAGTGTCAAACAAGAATAAAGTTAAAATAAAACATTTTTTTTCATCCGTGGTTTTATTAAATTGTCTTTCTACTGTGACTGAAAAATGGTCTGAGTCATATTGACTGTCAATTCATTTAAAATCGCTGCTATTCGAACATTCTTTTTATGTATTCAGCGGTTTGATCTCTTCTAACCAAATCGAATACAATATTAGAAAAGCAACATTGCTTTTTAATGTTCTAAATGTACCGACATTGTTGTATGAAAATTATAATCGAAAGAGAAATATCTACTTTACAATATAAAATCAAGTTCTCGATCACAAAACGATCAACAATGGGTTGTTTTTCCTATTATCAGTTATTGTGCGAACGCCTGCTTGGGATAATGCTCGCGTCACTAAATGATTAATTCTCGAAGTCGTATTAAGAAAGATACATTCTCAAATACTATTTTATGACAGTTAAATTAGAAGAGTGACAGACGGTGTAAGTAAAGATTTGAGGAAAAAAATTTACTGTAAGCAATTGAAAGAGTAGTTATTGATGGAGAATCTTGTATGGTTAACGTTGAATTAATTATCAAAGCGATTGAACTGAAAATATCAATGTGAGTCTGATTTTTCTATCGTATTTTCTTTTACACATCGTTAATTATCAGATGAACAAACAAGTTATTTTCATATGGTTGCACAATGAAATCAAGAAATTAATCTGAACGATTGTCATAGGTAAAATTTCTCTGCAAGATATCGAAGATCGATCAAATCATATTAACGACGACAAATAATATGATGCGGAATGTGATAAAAAGAAATCTTCTCAAATCTATCAGCCCCTTGTAAATATACAATAATCCGGGATTAAGTATCTTAGTGGATGTGTTTTCGTCTCAGGTACTATTATCATTCATGCGTACAAAAGAGACACATAATAACCTGATGATGAAACTTGTTTTCTGTATTATTCGATACGTTCTTTTTTTTCTCTCTCTTGATAATGAAATAATAACAAGAAATCGTATCCTCATAACACAACATTCTAATTATCACTGATGCCTAAGATCATTTCCTGGATATTTTGTCCGTTTCTCTAATACCATTACAGCTGCATTCATGTCCTCGATTCTGCTGGTATTACTATTGCCCTCTATCATCGCATTAATATTCCACTGGAAAAAAAAAAACAATTTTCTCTACGATAAGAACAAACTTGAGTGATGTTCTTCCCATTCTATAGCTGTCCGAGTTCTTTTTTCCTTAATAAATAGCTTTGCTGTGAGAGAAAAGAAAAGAACGAAAGAAAAAAAAAAAACCTCGAGAAAATGTCGAGGACATTTAATACATTCTGTTTGTTTATTTATTTATCCAGTATTATATTGCATTTCATTTTTTTTTCTGCTTCCATATTTGTAACAATTAAAAACATATATGATATTTAAAGGTCCTTATTGCAAAAAAATCTATTGAATTCTGACACCTGATCTTTTTTCACTTAGCATGGACGAGAAGAGAAACGAATAAATCCTACTACAGCTGTCTATTTCTCAAGATTAATATCGAAACGATTGCAATATTCTGTGACTTTTATATCCAGGTGTCCTCTTCGACGCAGGTTTTTTCTTTCTCGCAAACTCGATTGTCACTTAATTGAAAGACCTTGTAACGCATGACTACATTCGTATTATGTATCATTACAAGTGTAGATTCGATATTCTTTGTTTAATCAAACATGCTTCTTTTCTCGTTTTGATCATTTTCAATTTCAAGGTTACTTAGGAAAAAGTTTTTTTCTTTAAATCAATGACTAAGACCTTTGAGTGACGACAAAAAAGAACAAGTATAGGTTATCTTTGACGTAAGAGCACGAAAAACTGTATAATTGTATACGTGTGTAAAGCGGTTACGATTAGGCCTTTTTCATTTTCAATGTGCTTTTTATTTGTTCGGTTCTTTGACTCCTTCCGATAGGTAGAAATTTCTATGAAGGGTGTATACACCAAAATTTTTTACGGTATTTCTCGTCACTGAACTACTTAGACAGGAAAGAATAAGAGAGAGAGAAAAAAAAGGGGAAGGGTTGAATGCTTTCATGACAATAACATTGGTTAATAACGTACTTCGTGAAATAAACAATTTTAAAAAATATTGATTAAGAAATATTTTTTGCTTTTCTTTTTAGATTTCTTGAAATTATTCTCCACGTCACTTGAATACAAAAAAATACAAGCGCAATATTTGTTCTCAATTTATATATTAAAAAAAAAACATTTTGATTGACGTTATGTTCTTTATGTACAATATAAACAAATTCAATTTGAAGGACAACAATTCTTATCCATCTACATCAATTCAGAAAAATTTTTGATATTCAATTTTATCATGAATCATCTCTAATATTCTATATTGTTTGTCTACGTATTCGTTCGTTGTGTTTTTTCAACTTAGGCCAATTCTTTTTCTTTATTTGAAGTGATTTCATCGATTCATTTTTTTTCTTTCTTTCTATCTTGCGCTTTGTGATACCAAAAAAAAACTTTCTTTTTTTGTCTTTTCGTCGCCATTTTTTTCCTGTGTCTTTAGCAGTTGTCTGAAGTGAACAATTTCTCGTCAATCTTAATAGATTTCATTCATTCTTTACCGATGTATTTTTCTCATATTTGTTGCCGTATATTTCTTCTCAGTCTATTCATATCATTAATTGGAACATTTTCAATCGGAAATACTCATAATGATGTCAATCAGGTAAAGTCAATTCTGTTCTTTAAGAAAGAGTTTATGAATAGATTTGATTGGCAGGTATATCGTCGACAAGTGGTAACAAGACCGGCACGAAATCGAACGGCACAATCTAAAAAGGAATTTCATAGTCCAGATCGTAATGAATTGCCGTCAATACGTGCGAAAACATATCTATTAACAATGCTACCTGTTGCTCAAGGGGATCATGTCTTCAATAGTGGTGGCGAACAAGAATGGGAAATTCAAAGAAATACTGACGTTAAATTTGCCATATATGGTACGAAAAGAAAACAATTTCTTCTAATATAATCATTGAATGATACTTGAGAAATCGATGAACCGATCGGTAATTTAATAAGTGTTCTTTTTCTTTTGATTACCAGGGGACAATCTCGATGGTGCCGAATTATCATTTACGACTCACGCAGCTTCGTGTGCATGGGATCGAAAAGATAAAGTTTATAAATTAGAAGTTGATGAAGCTGATCCGCATGAACGTATGAGCGAACGAGCGTTCATTACTTTGAATTTACCCTATTACAATTCAACGTTGTACATGTGTATAACACCGGTCGGTTCAAATGAAGTATTCCATCAAGGAAATCGGTATTAAATAAAGCTTTTCACATTTGATTTCTAATTGATTTTCTTCTTCTCTTTTTCGACTAGACCAGCATTAAAGATTCGAGTTACCCGTCGTGCATTGCCTGTTTGGGCAACAATAGCCTGTTTAATCTGCCTCTTATCTTTATCAGGCCTTTTCTCCGGCTTGAATCTTGGTCTAATGTCATTAACACCTCACGATCTGATCGTCATACAAGAAGCTGGTACTGCAAGTGATCGTAAATATGCGAAAAAAATCTATCCCGTACGAAAACATGGTAACTTTCTACTATGTACAATCCTTCTGGGCAACGTATTGGTTAACTCAACGACAACTATCCTGTTAGATACATTGATTAGTGGTGGATTTGCCGTTGCTGCCGCAACTTTAGCAATTGTTATATTTGGTGAAATCATTCCTCAAGCTGTTTGTTCACGACATGGTCTCAAAGTTGGATCGCAAACAATTCTTTTAACAAAATTGTTCATGCTTTTAACATTACCAGTATCATTTCCATTGAGTAAATTACTCGACATTGTGCTAGGTGAAGAAGTCGGTGCACGTTATACGCGTGATCAAATGAGTGCATTGTTGAAACATACCAAAACAACAGATATCGAAGATCGAGAGAAGATCATTATGACTGGTGTGCTCAGTTTGAAAGCCAAAAAGATTCGTGATGTTATGACGAATCTAATCGATGTGTTTATGCTTGAAGCTAATCGAATTGTTGATGATGAACTTGTTTTAAACGTGCATGGTTATGGTTATTCAAGAATACCGGTTTATGAGGGACGCAGGTTTGTAACATTTTCGATGCTCTCAGATGTTTGATGGTATTGGTGAGTGTTTTTAGAGATAACATTATCGGTTTAGTAAACATACGTGATTTTGCGTTACTTGATACGGAATCTGGAAAGTTTACTGTACGAAATATCATGAACTTTTACAAACATCGATATGGAACAGCTATTACACCAGATGATTCAAGTTATGACGTATTTAACTTATTCAAGAAAGGTTTGTGGAGTATAAAATTTTCTGCGAGAAGATTTTCTATTCATTCTTGATCGTTAAGAGCAATACCATTTGGGTGTCGTGGTTGAATACGATAATAGCAGTGAAAAAGATCCGAAAGCTAAAGCTGTTGGTATTGTTACATTAGAAGATATCATTGAGGAGATGATTCAAGAAGAAATTATTGATGAAACTGATGTATTTAGTAAGTGTTCCATCGTAAAGTTTTGATGAATATCTATGTTTTTCTTTCTCAAAGCTGATAATCGTCGTAAAGTACGAAATATGCTTTCTCAAGCACCTGATTTCTCGGCATTTCTTCGTGCTACAACAATTGCTATCACTAGTAAAATCTCCGCACAAATGAAAGTTGCTGTTTTTCAATTTCTTTCCACCAGTAAGTTGATGTTTCAGAGAAACAAATCAAATGAATTTTCGTTTTTGCGTTTTAGGCGTGGAGCCATTTACTGATAAATATATCTCTGCTCATATCTTAAGTCGTCTGTTAAATGTTGATCTTTATAAAGAGTTCGAATTCGATGAAGATGATGTTAAAGCTGGTAAAACGACATACATTTATGAATATGGGAAACCCGTAGACTTTTTCGTCTTAATTGTTAATGGTAAAGCCGAGTTGGAAACTGGCAAAGAGAAAATTGTTAGCGAAGTTGGTTCATTCTCTTATTTTGGCGTTAGTGCACTCTATGTAAGTTACGAGAATGACAAGCAACGAAATGAATTTGTTTCGGTTTTAGTCTTCGGAAGAAAAAATCGAAGAACTGACGCGATTAAAATCGAATAAATTTCGTCCGTACATACCTGATTTTAGTCTTCGAGTTAGCGAAGATGTACAAATTCTACGGGTGCGTCGCGTTCATTGGTTAGCTGCTGTCCGCGCAACTTATTTCGAAAATAAACAAACAGCAAATGGTGGAACACCAATGCTCAATTCCGACGGCGAACAGATTGATTTACTAACACAAGAACTAGAAAAGGTTGATCATGTGGATCCTATAACTTCTACGGGAAGTCTTAGCGGTGGTGTCGGTCCAGATCATATCAATGCAGTTGGATCAGCACGTGAAAGAACAGCATCATTAGCACCGACGATAGCATCCGATACGGGATTGATGAATCCTGAGCAGGAAAGGCTCTTATCCCAACATTTAGCAATGGTTAATTTAACAAATTCAACTAAAACATCACTCGATAGTCCGACTGCATCCGGTCGAAACACTCCGGTCTTATCTGAGAAGCAAAAACGTCAAATAATCCGTTCCGACGTACCTTCAACGCCACCACCACCATCGTTAACAGGAAGTTCATCAAAAAATCGCTCATTGACTTAAAACTTGAAAAGCAAAAAACAAGATTCTAGATGTGTTTGTCTGTGTATATATATAGGCCAGTATTTGGAATGTAATTCTACATTTTGTTTTCCTTTCTCCATAGAACCAGTTTTGTCTTAGTATTCGGTTTTTGTTAGTTCCTTTTTAGTTTCGATTGTTTGCTTTGTTTTTATTGTTGGATCTGACCGATGAGGAGATCAGTATGTTTTGTTGTCTTCTTCTTCTTCTTCTTCTTCTGTTTTTTTTTTATTAGTTTTCAACCGTTGAAAGAAGTCTTAGAATCATTTAGTATACATCCAATAATTTTTCTTATATTTTTTTGCTTTTTTTTCTAAAATATATGCACTATTTTAAATGAATTTCTACGAAAAAGTTCAAGTCAAAACTTTGCCCATTGCTTCTACTTCTGTATCGATGAATAATTCGAGGTTTGCACTATGTAAGAATGTCATTAGATGAGTAACTGACCTTTTCTCTCCATTACATTCAAGTATAACATTAATGTCAACATGAAAACAAACCGAACTGATATTTTGCCATACTAAATTAGCTACAACGATATCAATTAGTTTTCTAATTAGTTCAAGATACCATCGACAACGTTTTCAAAGAAGACGAAAACAAGAATGTTCACCCGAAACGTGAGACATGACATGAGAACAACGAAATCCTTGCGAATATTTGATTGCTTAAGTCAGTGACAACATTCTTAATCTTGCTGATATAAACATGTACATATAATCTTCGGTAAATTTTAAAATACTTATCAAAGTGAACATCTGGGAAGTGTATTCATTCCGTGTGCTATATAAACTTTCAATTCTTGATTTTCATGTGAAATGTTTTCTTCGTGAAGAAAAACGAAGACAATTGATGATTGAAATTTGTAGCGAATACGTCATAGAGGATTTCGCTTTTCGACAAACAAGAAAAAAAAGAATGAGCGAAAAGATCAAAGCTGAACAAACGATCATTCTTTCGTGCGCACATCAAACAAATGCAGTCGACGAATACAAACATCGAACTGTTTCAAGCAGTCAAAACTGAAACCAAACCTTATCGTTTGTTTTTTCAAAAACTCAAACATGACTGGTCATTCGTCTTCGCTAGTATGTTAGCGTTCAATTTTCTCATCGCACTTCTGCCCATGGCGATGATCTTTTTCGGTATATCAGCGCTCATTCTTGGAAATAATTCTCATTTACAAAATCATTGGAAGAATATGATCATTAACGCATTTCCTCCGAAAGCAAACGAAGGTTTGCGTGAAATTATTAATATGGCGTTTGTGAAGTTATATCAAGATGCAGGAATTATCCTGACATTTGGCATCTTATTCGCAATTCTTGGTTGCTTAAGATTATTCGTAGCAATTGATCGATCGTTGACAATTATCTATCGACTTGAAGAACGAACATTCGTGAAAAAGTATCTTCTAGCAATTAAAATGCTGTTACTTTTTCTTATTCTCATTCCATTGATGATCGTTGCTTCATCAATGCCATCCATTCTCTTACATAAGATCGCGAATGTCGCGGGTCGCTTTGGAACATATGTTCTCGGAATAATCACGAGTTTTGCAATCACATTTCTCCTATTTGAAGTGATTTACTTACTAATACCAAATAGAAAGATGACATTTGAACATACGTGGCGTGGAGCGATACTCGTTTCCGGTGCGTTGCAACTCTTTATGATTCTCTTTCCACTTTACGTTCGCAACTGTTTAACAAGTTATACAGGTCAAATTGGTTTTGCCATTATCTTAATCTTATTTCTGTTTTATTTCGCAATTTTACTTCTTCTCGGCGCACAAATCAATGCGTTTGTCTATGAACATATTCAACCGTTACCCGTTCCCCTCGGTACATTTCTTAATCAATTCATGGAACACGCTCACCAACAAACTGAGTCAATTTGACTGTGAACTATCCAAAAGAGAGATAGAATTTTTATTTATCATAACTCATTCTCTGCTGTTTGAAAAACTCATTTATTCAGATTCACATTGTCAATCATATCTTTTTCAACTAGAGTAGTTATTTTCGCTTCGATTGAAATCATGGATGTGTTCGTATCATAGATCTTTAGTTTTTTTTGCAAAAGATGATTTCATGTTCAACTGGCTTTCATCTATATTTAGTTCCTTTATTCTTTGTGCTAAGAGAAATTGCTCCGGCTCATTATTAGCTATCACAGATCAGTGAATATGGTTTTCAGATTGATCTAGACGATAAAAAAAAAGAAACGTATCCGACGACTTCATAATGGTTTTTCTAGAAGGCGAGATGTGGTGATGGTTCTTTATTCAATTCAATTTGTATAAACAAATGACGATTCAGAGAATAACATCATGACAAAAATCGAACTGCGTAGAGTTTATTATTCTTTTTTGAAATAGAATTTCTCATCTATTTGTCATTGTCATCAGCTGGTTTGGATTTATGAAAACGAACGTGATAATGATCACGTGACATGTGTGGATGGTGATATTGTTGATCATTGATACGACGTTTGAAAAAATCATTTCCAGATACGGAATCAAGACTCTAGAAAACGAATGTTGTTAAGCGAAGATTTCAATGTCATGATTTACTTTTTTGAAGAAATCGTTACCATTCAATGAATCCAAACTCTGAAAGAAAGAATTTTTTGTAAGAAAATCTCGCTTTTCCACTGAGGAAGTATTACTTTCTTGAAGAAATCATTACCGGACACTGAATCCAAGCTCTAGAAAACTGTACATAGCGAGAACGAAAGACAAACAGTCAATCAAACAAACTTTTTTCAAGAAATCCGAGCCTGATACCGAATCTAACGTACGTTTCTAGGTGCGAAAATAAATACTTTACAAAACAAGACGTCAATCTAAAATTAGATTACTTCTTCACGTTTGAAAAAATCATTACCAGTGAGTGAATCAAGACTCTGCAAATAGGTGTAAATAGTCAAGTGTCAAATCATAATGAATTTTACCTTTTTGAAGAAATCTGAACCGGAGAGTGAATCAAGTGTTCGTTTCTGAAAAAAAGGACAAACAAGCCATAAAATCGATCCTATGTCCTTCATTCTTACTTCATCATTGCGTTTGAAGAAATCATTGCCTGAAAGACTGTCAAGACTCTACAAAAGTCGACAAGTTCACAATAAGACATTCATTTCGCCGTGTACATACTTTCTTAAAGAAATCCGAACCAGATACTGTGTCAAGTGTTCGTTTCTAAAAGCAGAAAACATGATGAGAAATTATTCGTTCTAAATGAAGTTTGTTGTTATTCCATCGATCGAGAAGTACTTCAGATTATATTGATTGATTCCATTTCGGATAATAATAGATCTAACTTGATTATATATATCTAAGCAAAACAGGAATGACCTAGGTCAGCATCGTCTGTGATTTTACTACCCACTGAGTATATTCGAAACAAATAATGAAGTCAATTTACGCAAATACTGTTAATAATTGAAATAAAAGACAAGTTCACATGAACACTCACTTTTTCTTCTTCACCATTGATACCCACGAAGTAGATGGTAATCATCATTAGTGCAACAGTCATTATCGACATATTGATAGAAATCGTCATGTAGTTGTGGTAGTACTGTAAGGAAATAGAAGACAACTATTACTTGGTCTTGACGCTCAATTTGTATTTATATATATAGAGAGAGAGATATTGTCTCTAAATAATTTTTCTATAGAATTCCGTTCAGAGAGAAGCAGAGAACTTCTCTTTCTGTTCAAGGGAACTTGAAGAGAAAAACATTGGAATAACGAATCAGAAGGCGAAATAGGTTGGAAATCAATCACATGAAAATATTTGCTTGTTGTTTTGTGCTTGAATATATACTAATACAAGATGAGAGAAGCTCATGAGTACATCACGCTCTTCTTCTAATTGAATCAATAGTTTTCCGAAGGTGATTTCAGCTTAGATTTCCGTGACGCAAATAGAATTAGAAAACATTTATGTTCATCCGTGTGTTTTGATTTCAAAGTATATATGCGCAAATCTTTTCTTAGCGTTTGATCAATTAAGCTGAAAAAGACAAAATCTCATTTGTCTCCTCGTTAAAAAAAATCTACACGAACACTTATAATTATCGTCGAAAAAGATTGATGTCTTTTTCGCCGTCGATTAGCAATACACAAGAAGAACATTCTCCTGATTTGTAATCGTACTTTCCTTCGATATGAACGATTTGTTATGGACGTGATTGATGTCAAAGAAAACCTAATGAGTTTTGTCATTTAATCGGCAAAATATATTCGAATTGATTACATCTATATTCATCTGCAAACGGGATCATAGTACGAAGAACTAATTCTTCGAAAAACTGTCAAATCGATGGCATGCTTGTTCATCAAGTAGATGGCAATAAAAGAAGCAAAATAGCGCCTTTCTATGACCTCCGACTGCGCTTGCGTGTGTTCATGTTCATAGACACAGATTAAAACAACAACAGTAAGAAGACATAATTAAATCAAACATAGTCAAATGGGAATTGAAAGGTCAGCTACACAGTTCCCAAATGATGATTATCAACAAAATAATTTACGATTTGAATAGTGAATAAATAGAGTTTATATAACAAGCGTTGTAGTTCTTGCCGAAAGATCGTGCCCGTTAATGTGTAAATGTAAAACGCACAGCAGCAATTAATATATAGTATAAGTGCGGAAATCTACAGAAAGAAAAGAAAAGGTTTAGTGGAAGGCGAGACGAAAGATTCGACTTACTTGAAAATAGAAGTTTTCTATTGTTACATCTAGTGACGTTTTCATCCGATTGAATGTAAATGTTGTGTAACCTTTTGATATACCCGAAGGTGTAACACAAATGAAGAATACAATAATTTGAATTAAAAGCATAGTGATCATTTGTCGATCTCGTTTTCTTATTAGATGATATCGATGTCGACTTTGAACTGTAACCGGATTGACATGTTGACGGATCTTTTGCGCATTTTTTACTGTCAACCAACCAAATGTTATCATTAAAATCGGCGGAATGATCGAAAAAAGTATCAAAAACAATATGTCATTGAACATCTGGCAAACTGTATTCGGACAAAAGCAGTTCAATGGAAATTGAGTGGTAACTATAGTATAACAATAAAATGCTTGACAGTAGAGCAGACAAAAGAAAAGAACAGTCCAGAAAATCATACGATGAGCAACTGATATTCTACTAAATGCACGTATATGTACGTTTGTATTCGACGATGCCCAACGATCAATACTAGCATAGACGAGAAACAATGCGCTCAACGCTAAACACATATATGTAACAAAGTAACGAAATTTACAAACATAAATATTCGATAAAGTTGGGTCAAGACTGTAACCGGAAAGTAATCTTGTTAGAAGACCACACCATAGGCAAAACATATTAGCGATTGACGCAGAAAGGAAATAGAACGCGCAGGAATTGTTTCTCAGTGCTCTTTGTGCTAATATGATAATGCTGAATAGATTGCCAATCGTACCGAAGACTAAGAGAGGTATAGGTATAAAACGATTGAAAGATGCAGCCAGGCGGATGTAATAGACGATAGTCGTGTTGTCTGGCATGAGTGAAAAACTTTTTTTTGTAAATGAATGAACTCGATGGAAATGTAGGAGAATATGGGAAAAATGCATTACGTGACACTGTCAAAACTACTGTCACATACATGAAAATTATTGTGTTGTATAAGAAGAACGAAGATGTACTGAATTGTTTAATTAATCAGCACTCTGTGAGACTCCGTCTGTTCAGACGAAAGAATAGAAAAACGTTGGCCTTTTAATTAATAATTCAGTAATTGATTGTATCGATACTTTGAAGAGGTATGATTTTATTAATACTGCTGAGAATAGATACCGAGGTTCGAAAACTGACCGCAGATGTTGAAAACATGATATATTCTTTTCTCCGTAGGTGAAGTTTTAATTAGATATGCATGATATAATTATGTGTAATAAGTCTTATTATGTAGTTCCTCGATGACAGCTTTTATAGACTGAAAATCTTAAAGTTGATGAACTTCATAATACGATTTTTATTAATCATTCGAGAATTTAGAGCATAGTTTAACACGGTTAGATACACATGAATATCAATCGGATTTCTAATCGATTTGATTGTTCAAGGAAATTTGGTAAACTCAAATGGTGCGTAAAACTTCTGTTGGCAGTATTCTTCATCAATTAGTTTTCATCTACCCGACAAACTCGAACACGAGTTTCGAATATAAATGATTTCAGAGAAGAATGATGTTCTCCACTGGCATCAACATTCAATGCCAATCTGTATCTTTTCCTCTTTATTTTGATGAAATATCAACTACGTTCGAATTACTGCTTTCATCAAGGAAAAGCGTACGAAATATATCATCGATGAATGTCGGATAATACAAACAAGCGCGTTCAATATCCGGCATGAAATTCATCTCCAGCAAGTACGGTTGACCATTTTCATCCAGCATCAAATCGACTGCATAAATTGCACGTGATCGAGAGCAAGGCGCCATGCCACATGGTGGTTTTCTCAAGATTGCACGTTCAAACACTTGACGGATCATTGAGAATATATTTTCCTACACTTAATCGAAATCGACATGTTATTTTCTCAAACAAAATTTTCGTACCTGAACATTAGACCATTTGAGATTTGGTTGTTGCTTGTCAAATAAAGGTACAAACTCTTCGCACGTAATCTTTTTTAAATTCTGCGCATAACGATAATTCATTACCGCTGAAATGACATGAAACTGTCATTCGTGTTATTAATCTATAGATAACTTACTGAAATGTACTTGATAATCATCATAATTGTTATCTAACGAATATGGTCTGAAAATAAATCTCAAAATTTGGTGAGTAGACAATGGAAATGTTCCATTTACTTGTTAGCAAAACGAAGCCAGAACTTTTCATAAACATAAACTTTCAATGGTTCTAACGATCGCAAGATAACAACATAACGGATGTCAAACTTCACAAGACCACTATCCTCTCGATGAAAGAGCAATGGTCTATCAATATATTTGCACACAATCTAAGCAATTGAAAGGCAGAAGTATTTCGCTATTGGAAGATGATGAATAGTTGTTCGGTTACTTTTGGGCCTGAGTCAGCCAAGCGAATAATCTCATTGAGATTTTTGGTCACGTGTGTGTCGATCGATCGAGCTAAGTTGAATGGTTTGACAATCCAATGATTGTCTAAATCACTAAATGAATATGACAGTTAGATTTGTAATTGAAAATGGAAATCATACTTGTTCTCTCGATGTTGAAAATATGAGATAAACTTTGGCAATTCGTAAGTTAAATTGTACGTTGTTGGTAACCACAATGGATACGATTGTAATGTCTCATGATTGATCAATGGTGATGTTCGACGGCAGATGACCGCGAGAAGATCTTTGATATTGATCACATTTTCAAATGGATATTGATTGATGAACTGTTGCGTTTCTTCACATAATTTCCTATGAAAAAATGTGATGACGGATATCGACTGAATGAATTATTAAGAATGTGATAGTCTATTTACTTAAAATCTTTGAAGTGCTTTCTAGAAAAGACAATATCAGCATCGGATTGATTATCAACGATTTGAAAACGGTTGTCAAGAAGATGATTGTGAATAAGTTCGACGTCAGTGAACACCTTTATTGTTCGATTCAACTTTGTAAGGTCGATTACAGGGTAAGTATCACTTGACGGAAGTGTTTCACTTTCTCGTCCAGTCTAAATAATACACAAAATAAAACAATGAATATTAAAGATATTCATGTTCAAATGTACATTGAAATATTGTTCGTCTGGTTCTGTCTGTTGATACTCAACATCTTCAGTCAGATCATCATCAGTCCATGGAACAAGTTTAGCACGCCGAAGTAAGTCATCCCGTGTTCCACAAACATAATCCACAGTCACTGAATCTACATAAATACGCGCTCAGAACGAACAAATTCTCAACAAAAAGACAAAATTATTCGCATACCATCACATTCGATATCATCAATGACCCATAATAACGTATACATTTGCCCATCCATCATCGAAAGAAATGGTGCCATACGAACATTCGGCTGTTCGGAATGTTCAATTGCCGAACCGAATTCATCTCGAATGTACCAATAAGGTTCCCGATCTTCCGCACTACCACCATCAACTGCTAATGTATACGTATGATTGAATTTCCACATACGTTCAATAATAGCATCGATTTTGTTCTCTTCATCAGCTGGTATCAGCATCAGATGAGAAAGTCGTTCAACTAATTGGGGTAATTGTTCCAGTTCATTTCGAATGTTGTTGATTCGATAGGTATATGCATGATCAATAAGAAAGATCCTTGAATAGAAATAAAAAACGAATATGATTCGATGTAGATGATGTTTATTTGATTTTCAACCAACATTGAAGGATCAGTTTTGAGAAGATTATGTTCACCGGTGACGCGAACTTTTCGTCGAACAGTTTCGCCTTCGTCATTTTCAACTTCAACTATACTGAAATATTCACCGGCATCAAAAATCTATGTCGAGACAGATAAGAATGACAATACTCGACGAAGTGTAATTCACCTGATTTTGTAGTTTATGAAACAGTATAGGATAGAAAAAGTTGGGCACATTGGACAATTGCAGTTGAGAACGATGCAATTCAATGAAACTATTCAATAAAGCTCTATTCTCTAGTGCATCACCATGTTCAACGTGATTGTAATTCATATCCATCTGAAAAAGATGTTTTATTAAGTTTATCGCTACATACTATAATTCGAAAAAATATATTTGAAATTATGAGAAAAAGAATTCGTTCGATCTTTCCGTGGAAAATGTTATTTTTATCGATATCTTTTCGGTAATAAAGATAAACCCATAAGAAATGCCAGAGTAAAGCCCATTCCATAATAGATGTGTTCATCAATATATCGTCGAATGTCTGACCAAAGCCATTGAATTTCTTGATTAAGATCATCGGGTGTATCACGCAGTAATTCTCGTTGAAGATCTCGTTGTAAATTATTAAACCTTGTTCGAAGTCTTCGTTGAGTTCGAAACTCTTCATACGTCAAATGTGTGACATGGGCTTTTAAATAATGAAAATGATACGCGACATCTATTAAACCAATAGAGGTAAATGCCAAATACGATAGCAGATATTGGCCGCGGTTTGTTAGTACTCCAATAACACCGCCAGATAACAAACCTGAACACATTTGCTTGATAATTCTCTCTGTTGACTGTTGATGCGACATGACTTAATCTAGAAATTCCAAGTAGAAACATTCGTGATTTTTTATTTTCTCACCGTTACGAATACAGGCATATGTACTAATAGAACAGACAAAAGTCTGATTGAAGAAAAAAGTGCACGAGTCAAGTATACTGTGACAGAAAAACATTCCATTAGATGCGAAAAAAAAAATTTATCACTATCAAAAAAAAAGCCCATGATAAAAATCAGTTGGTTGGTGTAGTAGGGAAAACTGCGCCATCCCAGACGGCATTTTGTTCTTCTTTGTCACGGATTTTCTGTTCTAAAAATCAAACAAATCGTTCGCCATCGATTCTTCTAGTAAAAGTTAGTCCTACGTTTAGCACTTTCGATTTTTTGACGTTCGATCTTTGTTTTATTACTACTCATCGAAGTTTTCACACCCAATGCGGCGCATATTTGACGATTAGCAGTTAGTGACGATGTCTGAGGACGCGCCTTGTACGGTTGAAGAAATTCTAAATCAAAGCCCAAGATTCAAACATGGAAAAAAACATCATCGATCTATTTACCGCCGGCATTTTTCGATTTTTTCTTCGATGCAACCGACGCTTGAGACATAGAACAAACCTTAAACATCGGGTGTTCTAATTGTAACACTTCCAAAGCTGATCACAAGGAAAAACTAGACAGATATGTTCAAAAAGCTTTCTACTTACCTGCGCCAGCATCGGGGAAGACTATCAATGCATGTGTGTCATCCACCCATTTAATATCAAAGCTACTTCGACTAAATGTACAAAAAGAAATGAAATCGAAGTAGAAATGTTTGAGTCAAATTTACGTGAGGATTTTAAATGCATTGGAAAGATCTTCAGTGTGAAATGTTGATGGAAAATTCGATACTTCAACGATATGTGCGAGATCAGCTTCTTTGCTTACAATGTCATCAATTGACCATTTGGAATAATCATTAACTGGCTTTTTTATCTGAACACTTTCTTTGAATCTCGATTGAATCTTGATAAAAAAGAAAATCGATATCGATAAAACGGAAATCAGTGGAATATGAAAGAGAATTTACTTCTTCAACCAAATTATCATTTCCATCGAATAGTTTTTCCCAATCCTCTTCTTCTTCGTCTTGTTCGTCTTTGACAATTTTTTTCTCTTCACTATCTTCACATTTTTTCTCCGTTGTTGATGTTGATGCAACAGGAACTATTTCTTTAGCTACAGGTTGACTTCGTCTGGAAGGTGGTCGATAAGGTTCAAGCGATGGGCGAGGCGTTTTAGTTTTCACTGGTTTTGGAGCATCATTGCTTTGTTGACTATCCTCAGTGGCGATTGCTGGCGATGAGGGGGGTAGTGGAGGAGGAGTAGGAGAATTAGTCACTTCGAGATTCTTACTCCGACGCGGTGGTTTGTACAAAGCTTGATCTGGTCGACGTCTGGAAGATTAACAGGTCTCATACATTTACAAATGGAAGAAGAATTTACTTAGAGGACGAGTCGTCGTTGGAATTCGATGATGCTGCCCTGAAAATTTTAGGAAAATATGATAAATAACGGTATGTTTTGTTTCTTGATGAAAATTTCGTCTTACTTAGACACTGTGGATGTTTCGTTCGATGGTGGTGTTCTAATCGATCAAAGAAATCAAACTGACTAATATAACGTGATGAATATAATCTTACGCAGTCGTTTCTTCCATTAATTGTGATTTAAAACAAATAATCGTTCGTCGTGTGTCTCTATTCTCTCCAACAGAAAAACTGAACAATTTCGAATAATCTCGTTCACGAAGTCGATGCAAAAGTAATCGATGGCGCGCTGGTAATGATGGGAAAAGAAGAATACTAAAGTACAGAAACAAAGTCTTATCAATCAAATAAAATGAAATTATCTTTTTTAAGCGAAAAGAAACAACACACACAAGGTCGATTTCTTCACTGAATTGTATTTGTTTAATTCGTTAGTAATCATATCAAGAAATTCATCATCATCCACTGTTAAATAACAACCCAACGTATTCATTTAGACAAAAAGATCTAAAAAGATAATATTTATTCAAATATTTGCCGATAGATGAAATTGAAAATGGTTTCTTTGCGTTTCTTTACAAATGTATCTACGAACAACACGAGAAAAAGGAAAACAAGCATGTTTAGATATTTTGATTTGCAACCCATACAACTGTTCGTCCTACAATCTGACTCACATACAATGCTGAAAAACGTACACGCACAATGCTCACTTAACGAATGTTCAGAAAGATTACAATAATCTGAGATCTGGCTAAAAAATAAATGAAAATATCTACAGAAGAGAAAGAAAATATAACACTGTTATCGAATGAGATCAACCATTAGACGGGCGCGAGATATCGACTCTAAAAAAGGAAACCAAATGCATAAATTCGGAGGTGGGAAAGAAAAACAACTGACAGGATTATTGCTGTTCATGGATATGGGATCATCATCACTGTCAAAATCATTGTTTAAACGTTGTCGGTCGATGGTATTGGTTATTCTAATTGAATTAAAGGTTAACCGATAGACTAAGAAATAAATCATGCATACATTGGCTGTTTCGAATATTTGCCAGCATTGGCTCCTGTTGGCTCTTTGCGCGTCGAAAAACGACGAGCCAATTGAGTGAATTTTTCCATAGAATCTATTAATGAAAAGGAATATGATGATCGAATGTTTTTGATATTTGTTTTTCTAACTTTTTCCCATATGTTTTAAGCGACCAATAAATTCTTCATTACTCTCAGGTCTTGCGGGATCGAATTCAGCTACTAACGGTGCAGGTGGAAGTGGAATGCGTTCTGTATTGTCTGAACAAATCAAGGAATAGTAAAAGAAATTTGTTTTTTTTTAGAAGACGAGTTACTTTTTCCATACGAATATCCTTCGTCTTGAGTAACTAATTCTTCGGGGACCATTGACGCTAAACGATAGCAGTCGTTCTGTGTTTTTATTCAATAGAATAATCAGTTTCATTTCTTACTTTTCATTGTTCGTCCTTGTTCAATTTGTGTCAAAACATTCTGTAGCATTGTGGCTCGAACTTTCGGCGTTTTAGGTATTTCAATGGTTGGCGGAGTTGGTAGAGGTGGTGGTTTATTACTAAGAAGATTTGTTGAGCGACGTTGTTTAGTTGCTGATGCTGATATTGAGCGATTGCCTTGATCTAAACATACAAATCTTACTTTTTCATACGAATCGATTCTATTACTACGAACCTGATTGAAGTGTGGACAGAAAATCTTTGTTACGTCGAAGTTCATTGATGAATGCTTCATCTTCGAAAAGTACTGCTAGCTGATCGTCATCAATACATTGCGATGCAAAATTTCCCGATATATGCTACATTTTTATGTTAAAACGAAGAAAATAAGGAGAACTACAAACAAGATCGATGTACTTTTGATTGGTGATGGAGCTCGGATTTTGATAGAAATTTCACACATAGAAAATCATCAGGTAAATCCCCGATGTAACACGTGCGATAATGACCGTCACTAGTTTTCCATCGACGAACTTGAAGATCTTGTTTCGCGTAATCACTACTACAATTCCATCATCAATCAAATAGTTCAAACACAAAAAATATCGATAATATACTTCTCTGAAGAATGTGGAGTTAAAGATGTCGAAGATTGAGAAAACGGCTGCATAGTCGTTGAATGATTACTAGCTGATGCTTCGCGTTCATGACCAGGATCTATCAGAGAGATGTATATATTATTAATAATCAACACAACGAAATGGTATGCATTTACAAGGTGGTGGATCATCATCGTATATGTTTGGAACGACAGGTAATTGTCGAAGTGGTGTGTGTGGTACTGCCTGCGAAAAAGATAGATAATTCATATCGGAAAATTTGTTTTTTTGTCTTACTTGATGAATGTTATTTTGATTTTCAGTATCGATTGCCATTGTAAGGAGCTGATCAATAGTTACATCAACTTGACCACGATTAGCCGACAAAACACTTTCAATTACTGACGAATCCAAATTAGAAAACATTCGCTTCAATTCCACAATTGTTGCCGATCTTGATGACGCAGCCATGTTGTATAATAAAGTGTTTGCCTTGTTCAATGTTGAATAAATCCTGCGTTCGTTTTTTTTCTCTCTTCTTCTTTCTTCACTTTTGAAAGGCGTTTCTCATCATATTTGCCTAGTACGCAACAGGTTTATCGACCTCTAAACGGATTGGCTGGAAGTTTAGGCCAATCTAAATAAATCCATATCCGAACAAAAATAAAATCGTGGACGCTTCAATCGTACTGTGAAAATTAATACTGAATTCTCAATTTATCTCGAATTGCTTAAAGAAATTAACTTATACGCTCGACTTTTTCAAAGTATTAATCAGGCTGTTGGGAGTAGATCGACGTAAAGCTACCACGAGGAAACAAAAACATAGCGGATTCTGCATCGGATGAGCTCATTTCTATGGACGGTACTTATTTGTATATAAAGTTATACGTAGTTCTTTGTCCCTTCGCACTAGCTTCACATCGATTGAAAGCAGTCAACTACAAATTTGGAAAAACGATGTTTTTGATCATCTTTGATTATGATAATTGTTACTTCTAGTTGAAGCTGATAGACGAAACGTTTAGGTTCCGCGGAAAATGAATGTTGAGCAATTTTAAAGAGAAAAAGTGTCGATCATCGTTTAATGAATACAAATGTTCATATACGTTTTTTTCTTTTATTAGTTCACATCGAAATCGTTGTGAACATTTGTAAAACTGATAATGCTTCTTCAGGTTTTTTCCGAAATGCAGATCAACGGTCTGGATAGCAATAATTAATCGCATTTTGAATATCATCTGCAGTTGTGTTTTGAGTTCCTGAATGTGTAATAGCCAAACAATTTCATTTTAACATTTGAATCGTCAAGCGTACTTGGGCCCACGCGAAACCATTGTTTTACAATAACGATTTTAGTAGATCGAAATTTTCGAGACTATCGACTTGACTGAGCGGTCAGTAAACAGAAATTGATGGATGTTCATTTCCATTCAAATATTTTCCTATTTTAATCATAATTTGGGTTGAAACAGATCCCAATAACAAAATGACTTGCAGATATCGAGTAAGAATCTAGCCGGTTTTCTAAGTCTTGGATATTTTCATAGCAAATATTAACTTGATTTTCGACTTCATGGAGTTTTTTGTATAACATAATAAACACTTGTCGAACTTCGGTATAGTTATCCTCGTCCACCAAACACCACAATTCATCAATTACAACATCCAACAACGTTTGAACTTCATTGGGATTCTCAGATGACGTTGAATCATTATCTTCAGTTGTATCTCATACAATTGACACTGTATACAATTCATCGATACCCGATGCCAAGAACTTTTTTCCATTGACAATATCAGCGATTATAAGATGTGCACATTTCTTTGCTTCGATCGATAACGGAAACCGACTAATAAGATCACTGATTTTAAATAGTTAATCATTTCAAACCTAAATCAGAAAAATTCCACATCCGAAATAAGGAAATTCTGATATACACATGTTGTGCGGCGTAGATTCGTACTTTCTTCCTTCCTTCGATTGACTTCCCGAAGTTGTCATTGTAGTGCATACAAGCAACTATGAGTATTTAGCTGACCAAAAAGAAATCATAAAGTCGAATAAAAATTGTGTTTGCTGTCTGTATCAACCGAACAAATCATCGAAATTACATTGTTAAACTATTATTTAATATTTGTGCCGTCTGATTATCATTTATACATTTTTTTCTGAGACGAAAGGTACATAAACTCAATGAAATTTGCTTTCTCGTCCAAATCAATCAGACGCTGCAGGAGATCTTTCTCATTGAAAAACTATCATCTTTAAACTAAGGATCAACTCGTTGTTAGTCAATTGAGATCAACGAATCGAATCATCAGCTATTTTTAGTGTTTTGTATGTCGCTGAATATAGTTGAATGGTAGTTTAGAACATGTTTTCTTGGAAAGCGGGCTGAGAGCTAGTGGTTTGACGAATGAGACGCTAATGAATGATAAATTTATCAGTTTTATTATCTTATGAACCGCGATGGAACATTTTTTCGTAAAGAGAATACAAATCAAAAGCGGAGAGATACACTCATCCCTCTGTTGTGACTAGAATAAAGCGATTAAGAAAGGAATTATTCAGCTTTTCATAACAAAATATCAAATACAAAATTTACCATTAACATAGGATGAAATTTAAAACACGATCGAAAAAATAATCAGTTTTGATTCAGTTATTAAGACAATACTTTACCTGTAAGGAAAATGTTGCAGAAAGGATCTTGATCAACGTATTTCCAATTTCCTATCATGTTCATACAGACATAGCATTAGACTGAAAGCCAGCGCCATCTCTCAGTCTTCAACTTTCATAGAAAAGATTGAATGCTTTACTTTTATGTAATGGTGATTTTGATTCATTGCTGAGTGTAGCGTTGAGTTGAGTGAACGAACACATCTTATCTTCGCCTAAACGACGATGACGAATGAAGTAAGAGAGGAAGAAAAAGGAAAGGATAGCGCTACATGGATATGAACATTTCCATCGCCGTTAGCGACAATATATTGAGTAATATAGAGCACGAGTTGAATAGAATAGAGCCGATCGATCACATTGACTAGTTCTCTATCTATTATTTACTTTGTTTTCTTTTTCTTTCTCTTTGATCACTGACTTTTATTCTCGGTAAAGGTTATATGTAAAATTCAGTGTGTGTTTTTTAGGCAATTTATCTTATCTATTTTGTTGTTTCAGATAAAATGGCGACTCGAGCGGCTGCCTGTAAATATTTTCTAAAAATCCTGCGGAAATTATTTATTAACGATTTCATTTTCTCTTTAGTTTCATCGAAAATTCGAGCGTTGAATGATTTTTATAATAACATCGCCACCGGTGTTACGCCCTTACCAAGTGGATATGACATTGCCAATGCAGTCAAGTTTTTTTCTCAAGCGCTTCTCGGGTAATAAATATCATATTGAAAAACATACGTTCTATCAATCGTTTTTTTTTCTCTTGGTTTTAGTGTATTAAAAGAAATGACCATTGAATCTACTCAAGAGCCGACAACAGGAAAACATTCGTATCGGATTAGTAAATATCCATCGTTAAATTACTCATCGCTATATCATTCATTAATTAATTTAATTGATGTTGTCCCATTGATTCAAACGGGCGACGTCGCTTTAGCACAATCCATTATACATGCATTAGCTTGTTTAGCACCATTTTTACCTTATGAATTGCTCGATGCATTACCGTACACATTTGCAACTACATTAACTATATTTCCGTTTGATGTGCATAAAGAAACATTGGATATGTTATGCAATACACTGTTGCCGATTAATATGGGTAAAAGATCGAATGTGTTTTTTTTTGATAATTTCGAATTTGTTTTAGCATATACGGAATATCCTGAACATTCAATGACTTTGACTTCAATCGCGTCGATTTTGTTCATTGTTTTTGAAAACATCGATAATGCCGGTAAGAAGCAGGAAGTTTTCTTTTCTATTGAAGAACTTGTTAGAGATATTATACTGATTTGACAAGATAAGAAACATTAAAAAAATTCTTCATTTCCAGTCTATCATGCTCAAGTCATGGAATGTCTATTGAGTTTAAAAGCAGATTTGATTTATGTGAGTTTCTTTTTGTGCAGATTGTTGTCGTATTCATTTCGCATGTTGTCTGTCCGTGTGTGTGTCGTGATGGCATTTGTTGAGTTCGTCTTCTGAGATGCACTTTGTAAAAACGATTTCTTTAACTCTAGGACATACTCTTTGTTATTGCACATGGAGCTGCGTCAGCGCGAGCTGCTGCTTCAAATCTTTTGTTCTTCTATTGGCCTATGCTCAACCCAACTGGAGTTGACCGACGTTCAATACATTTCAAATTTTCTCGTAAGAGTTTTCCATGTCTATAAAAAATCATTAATCGAACATATTTAGCGCGAAAGCCGATCATATGCCAAACGGAACGATGCTTAGAACGACGTAATATAGCATCGAAAGTTTGCGTGAATATTCTTCTCTCAATTCACGGACATGATACACCTCCACCGTTGTATATGTGCACGGACTGTTATAAAAATTCGCCCAAAGATATACAAAAATATTGTCGAAACGTCCTTTGTCCCGTGTCCGAGATCGATTTGCACTGCCAAAACAAGGTAAAGTCGAAAAAGCTGTTTCTCAAGACTGAACAATCGTGTTTTTTCTTCTGGTCTTTAGATATGTATTTCCGATAAAAAGATGACTCATGCTGTTTGTTACTCGATTGAATGTTGCGTAGCAAACGGGAATCATCCGATCAGTCTATGTCGTCAATGTCATGAACGGCGACATATTGATTCCAATCATGTCTATCAAGAAACATTAATCGATATGTGGCGTTTACCCGCCGATGTACAAAACCACTGTGTCGAAGCGATTATTAGTCTCTTGCGTGAAACGGACAATACTGAAGAGAAACGTATCGTTGATTCGATGAGTGATGAAAAGAAATCGATCTTAGTCGAAAATATTGATAATACAACGAATATGTTTCTAAGTTTGGACATCGATGTCGGTAGGAAATTGCTAAGTCGATATGGAATCTATCTAATCTTGGGATTAATTGAGCCGACGTCGTATGGACCACCGGTAGGAAAGAAACGATTGATTTTCTGTCGAAATACAAACACTGTTTTATTCTCCTTCAAGGAAATTTTTGGACGTTTATTAAGTATGCTGTTTCTGTGGTTTCATTCAACTGTTCGTTTACCGGGCAATGAGATCGGTAGTGTACTAGGCAAATTGAAGTCGGAGGTAAGACAATTGAATAAGTTCGATGAGTAGCTATTTGATGATATTAGTATGTGATTCCATGGTTAAAATCGGTTGTTAAAGAACATCACGAATTAGTTGTCGCTTTACTTCTTCCACATCCAATTGAATATGCAAAAGTTGGTGGAGTTTGGTATGAACGATGTCCTTTCCTCATAAACAAAGACCAACATAAAATGCTATTTCAGGGAAACCATGTCAAATCGTACATCACAAGTGATTGAATGTCTAAACAAGCTATACGATCTGATGCCAGATGGAATTATTACATATGAAGTAATACGATTCAATGATGCTATACTTAAATAAATTTTTGGTGATTTTTAGATCTGGGATTACATTATGCCGTACTGGATGGAAGCCATTCGCTTAGAAGTTCCAGAAAATGATTTGTCGGACCTAACCATACTTTTCAGGAAAATGTTTGATCCAGATCCGGACATGTCGCCATCGTCTTTGACACGCGATCAATTGTATCATTTTATCACTGATCGTTTTCAGTCACCTGCCCCTGCAAGCGTTCAAGAGCAAGCTTTACAATGGCTACAAATCCTATGTCTTATTGATATCTATATTCCTGTGCCATTACTTGTTCAAATCTTTGTCACGGGGATAAATTCCCTACAAAAACTTGAATCACGTGCGCAACGTCGTGAACACTACACAATGGCTGGTTCGTCTTCAAACGAACAATCGATGGAGAATGGTTTAAATCTGATGATGTTATCTCAAGATGATGCTAATACAACGAATCCGACAAGTGGAATTGCTGGTCTAACGACGGTCTCATCATCATCGTCAACCAATAAATTCTTAGTTTTCGATACATATGAAACGTATCGTGCTCATCGACATCAATTAATGTTACAGCAAATGACCGGCCAAGAAATGGTGTCCATTATTAAGGAGGAAGAAGAAGAATTTATTATCAATGAAAGTGAAACCAATTCCACATGTTGTATCATGATGGTAGACATGTCTCTTAAACAAGTAGGTCTTGCTGATATTCTCGATAATTCTTTATCCGTATTCGTTTGCTTAGTTGGAACTTCAACAAAGTCCACAGCATCAAGGAATGTACAATCCACTCTCGAAAGAAATCTTATCGTTAATGAATAAACAATTGATATTACCGTGGACACGCCGCCATCGTTGTCGAACCTCATCGAGTCAATGTTCTTTTTGTGAGGAATACATCCTATGGTTTTCTATCGCACAAGATATCCTCAAATATATTTCGCCACGTGATGAAACAAAACTACCAGAACTTGAATTACCAAATATAAATGAGCTGAAACAACAACAATTAAAGCAACAGCAACAGCAGCAGCAGCAACAACAACAACAAACATTAAATCAATCAGCAAGATTACCAGCGAAGCCCAAATTCGGTAAGATCATCTCGTATTTGATATTTTCGTCTATACTTTTCCTTTAGCTATCGAGATGTCATCGGGTGGTGATCTTCGAAGTTCACCGTCATCTTCGTCGTCAGACAATGATGATGATGTAACAACAAATGCCAATACAGCAGCTCCGACCACAACAGCTAGTACAGTAGTAGCACAATCTGCCACACCAGAATTAAAGGTGGAAAATAATCCCGATGCCGGAATATGGATTACTTCACAAGGTGTCTTCTATTTTAAACTTAACACATTACATATTCATCTGCAATTTTTCTACTCCGTTCTTCGAGTAATGTCACTTCATTCAGTATGACCATCATTGATAATTTGTGTTTCTTGTCGCTCATAGGAATTGGATCGAGTGATTGATATCGATGCGCTTTATTACTTATTGTGCAGTTTGAAACTATTGATCTTAAATGACGAATGTCTAGAAACAGCTGGAAAGGATAATCGCGGCTTCCTCTCATATTGTCTCGAGAAATTGCTCGTCCCACAGTAAGTTCACTTTCGTGCTTTTGTTACACAATTCTTTTCTTACTTTAAAGCATTTGGAAAATTCTTGCATTGGGTCATGGTCACTTGAATGAATGCTGTGTTCCATTACTTCTTCATGCTCTTAATTACGATTCTGGCAAAACAGCCCTATGGAATATTCTTGAACGCGATTTTTCAAGTACACATTGGAAAGTTCGTTCATCAGCGGGTAAGAATTGTACTACTGAAGATTTTCTTCATATCATTTGTTTTCCTTCAGGTACACGCGTCATTGCTCTCTATTCTCTCCTTAAACCGAAATTAATCAAAAACAATTACAATGTTTTGTCTGTTCTTGCCTATGCATTTCTCAATTTAATTACTTCCATCGAAGATGTCGAACCAACCGTGAGTCAAAAAGCGATGTGTTCACTTGAAACATTAGGTGACGCATCATTCAAAACAGTAATGTGTGCGTTAGAATTCCAATTCGATACTGTGATCAGTGATCGTTCAATAATTCTACATCGTTTATTGAAACTCTACACAATTCTACTACGAAATAACTCGGCGGTTAAAATTCTTAGTTGGGAATTCTTCCTCAATCGTTTCGATACATTATCGCTTGAGTCTCAAATCAGCATGGAAGAATCAGGTGAACTGATCAGTCCGCAAAGTATTGGCGGATTTAACACGGAAAGCGAACATTTCATTCGCAAGTTAAATCAAATACGCTTTGCCATGGCGAGAACAGATTCAATTAAGCCAATCTCAACGTCATTACGTTTTTCTTCGCGTCAACGACGAACGAATATTGTTAGCGAGAAAGTAGAAACAGATTCAATCGGAAGTTTTTCTCCAGATGGCGAGCCAAGTGATACATCGACGTTACAATTGTTACTCAATCTATTGATGAAAGTGAGTTCATGATTAGTTTAGAACGAAAGGAAATATTTGCGTTGATTTAGTTCATGATGAAAGATGACCAAAATCAAGTGAACGACGATCGTATTATGCTTAAACAACAAGTGAATAAAATATTTCACGCTGCTCTCTCTTTTTCACAGTAGTTTCTTTCTAGAATGTGGTTATTCGTCATGTTTGCTCATTACTTGGCTATAATCAAACTAATCGCACATTCATTAATCTACCCAGTAAAATCCGGTTAGTAGTTTTTCTCATTCGCATCGAATCGATATGTAAAGAAATGATTTTTATCCTCGTAGACGTAGTCCAGTTTTCCATGCATTCTTATCGAATTTATCCAAAGTGGTCGATTACAATTTTAGTCTTGGAACTGTTCTCTTACCGTTCTTTCTTTCTTTCTTACAATTTTCTACGTGTTCAAATGCATCGATTCAATTCTACGAACATATTGCAGCATCGAATACCTTAGGACGAATTGATCCAAGCTTACGAAATTCATGGTTGATGGTTCTCATTATTATTTTATATAAAGTAAATTATCCGTAGATAACCTGTCACTTTCTTAATTATGAAATATTTTAGTATCAATATTCGACATTTGCCAATACAATTCAACATTTGACTCGAATCGCTATGAATACGATTCTCAGTCATTACCATCAATGTGAAACACCACCATTTGGTGTTACTAGCGGCGGTTTAAGCGGACGTATTACACCGAAAGTTGCTGGATCTCGGCGAGGTAGTATTAATCTGAGAAGGTTTGATATATTGTCTTGTTGAACTTTCGTTACAGGATCGTCGCGACCATTTGACGATATTCGTGAAATCGAATTGAATGAATTAGGAGGTCGATATGATTTTGATGGAGATACACAATCGGAATCTGCAAGTATTGTTGAACATAAACGATTTCGATTATTATCACCGCCGAAAAAAGTCAAACCAAAGTAAAGCTACGGAAGAATGATTGATATTTATTTCTCCTTCATTGTGTATCAAATAGATTATACAAACCGGAAATCGAGTGTTTTGACGAACCATTAACCATCCGTCAAACAGAAGAGAATACTGGTTCAACAGGACGATCGTATACTGGCTTTCTGAAGAGTCTCTTTACTAGTGGTGGACAAGCAGGTGCAACTGGTACTGCACTTAGTCCAACAACAAATACGGCATCATCTATACCATCCATGGTGCCATCTGAAAAATTAACTGAGATCGATTCGAAAGGTGTTAAGGGTAAGAAAAGTTTCTGAACTATTTTAGCATAAATAATAGAAATCTACTTTTATCAGGAATGAAAGAACTCTCACGTGTAGTCTATTCAGCTGAACGCGGTAAACTTGAAACCGTTCTGCTCAAGCCTGGTGCTGGTGCTGGAACTAAAGGTGAATTCTTCTGCTAGAATAATCATCAACATTCTTCATCCTATTGTAGAAGAGAGTCCTCCCAAAGTTCCTAAAGCAACATCATTGTCATCATCAACATTGGCTAGCATGGGCGGACCAACAGTGGGTGGCAAATTAAAACCAAGTTACCATGGTAAAAAGGGTAAACATAAAGATGATAGTGCCGTTCGATCGCCAACACTAAGGTACGTACAAATCGTTTTTCTCCTTGATATTTTTGAAAGATAAAATTTCGTTCTTAGCCGACCGCCACGTATATCAACATCTCAAGCTCATGCAAAAAGTATAGGCGGCATCCCATCAGGCGCCAAACGAGCGACAACTACAACTACAACAGCAATTGATGAATTGGATAATCCATATGCTGATACAGATTTACATAATCAATTCATTGCCGCACCCAAATGCGATAAGTGCGGACAAGCTATTGAGTACTATAGTGAAGAGTGTATTGGTCATTGTATAATTGTCTGTGAAACACTTGTTCATCGTGAACCAAGTATAGCTGCACCATTATTGATGGACATGATCGAAACAATAGGACGTGTTGCTGCATCGCATATTTATACGTGGCAAGAAAATTCCACAGTTATTGCGCCAGCTAATTCACGAAGTATTGCACAACAATTCATTCGTTGTACTTTTCAACAACTAGCTGCTAACAATATTTGTTACCAATTTTTTCAACAACATTTTCGAGGTGCGTATAATGAAATTAATCGATCCTAATTAATAATCTTTTTCTTTCTTCAGATGAAAAATTACTTAACACTATAGCTTTATCTTTGAACGATTTTCCAGAATTCAACTCAATCATTGCATTGAAATGGCTTCTCAATGTAATAGTTCAATTCTTGAATTCCTCTAGATCTTTCGTCTCTGTTTAGGATATGAACAAACAAAAAAGTCTCTCATTGGATATTTGTACGACATTACTGAGTAATATTGCACAATTCATGGAATATATTCCAATCGACTCACCAGGTCAATTGTGGACTAGTGTCTTCCTTGAATTCGACTTTTTATTCGATAAATTAACACGAGTTTATACAACACTCAAATCCAGTGCACCGGTCACTTATGATTTAACACCAATTCTTCGAATTATGATGAATATCTTGAAAGTGCCATATATAGCTACTGTAAGACTAGTATTGGATCCATTTTCGAAATTATTAACATTCATTCTACAAAATGGAACATTTCAATTGGAACATATTATTGAACTATGTTCATTGAGCAATCGAACATTTACTCGAGTACATACCATTGACGAAAAGAAAGAACGGATGTCTTTTGAAAAACGTATGTTTTTAGGATCGTGAAAAGTTATTATTGCCACGAACGATCGTTAATGTTCTCGTTGAAGCTATGCTTCATCGATATCCATGTCCAGATCGAAATCTACTACTGATGATACAAGTAAATCGAAAAGACGTCGATCGAAATTCTTCTCTAAATATAACAAAACTCGTTTTTAGTTAATTTTACTTGACGCGGGTGGCACAATTTATGCGTCGGCGATTGTCAGCGATGACGTTCGTGCATATGATCCCCATAATGTTGTGCGTTTGTGGTCTTAGTGCCGTGATGTTTTTTTCCTTTAGTTACAATCTATCGAATTGTTCTACATGTTCTTTTTTTGCGAACTTAGGTTACTACCAACGGTGCCGAATGCATGAAACATTACTTAAATGAAACTGTTGCATTCATTGCTGACATTCATACGATTACAAAAATCAAAGTAAGATAAACGAAACTCAGACGCAATGATTCAATGTTTGTTCGTTGTTCCAGAGTACAATGAAAGAAAAGAGTGAAAAGCAGCAACTCTCGAATTTAACGGAAGATACACTGGGTGGACAATTGAAAGCTGGTTTAGCACAATATTTAGCTTTAGAATTTACAAAAGGTGGTCAACGGGATGCAAAAGCAATCGTACGATTTCTTCCTTGGCTCTACAATCCGCCAACATCAGTTCAACAAGGGTTTGTTTTCATTAAAATGTACACAAGTTTTCATATTCTTGTTTCTTCAGAGCAAAAGATTTCGTTGATTGCATTGATCGTATTCGATTTCTCTCATGGTTAATGATTGGTTCATTGACTCATGCAGCAATAACTCGAAATGAAGGAACAATCATATGTCATCCTTTACCTGTTGACGCCAGTCAATCGATTGCCGATTACATTTTATACATTCTAACTGGTTTTGCTGATCAATCAAAAACATCGGTCATTCATATGTCATCACTTTTTCATTCGTTTATTCTTTGTCAAGTAAGAAGACAAAATAATAACTAAATTCTACTTATTTCTCAATTCACACCTAGTTATGGACAATGTATTGTGAACAAGTTAATCGTGGACATGACCCCGAAGCACTCGTTGCCATAATGGATTTCTGGGCGCGAATTACACCTGGTATACTTCATCTGTTATCCCATTCGAAAGTGGTACGTATAGATGCTTCTTAACGTTGACTTCAAATATTGTTCGAGAATTTTCCATGATATGAATTTGTAAATATTTTTTAAAACACATCAATGGTAAATTTCAGGATAAAGAAAGTCCTAACAAACATCGTGAGGTATTTTCGATGTCTTAAATATACACACGTGCTTATCTATTGAGCTTTATTTATATACACTGTACTTTCGTTTTTGTTTCCTTGTCTTCATGAGATTTTTGTGATATATACACTTTTCTATTGATTTTTAGCTTGCTGAAATGGTCAATTTGCATTTCTTAAGTTTAATCGAAGCCTTACAAGAGATTAATTCCATTGTCTTAGCTAATGTAACAGTTTTGGAATTCACTTTGACGGATTTTCATTTTCAATTTTCATGTTCTTAGTTATTTGCAATGTGGGTACCTGTTCTCTATACGCATCAAAGTCAATTACCAGCCCATGTTCAAGTTCGTCTTCAAACCTGTTTGAATCATCAACCATCATCGGAAACGCAAGGTGATCTACGATTTATGTACGGTATGTACTTATGCCATCTCTTTTAAATTAAGCACTAAGCACTTTTCTCGTCTTCCAGCTATTTTACTCAAGTGGCTCAATCGTTTACAATTTAAAATCGGACAAATCGAAACTCAATCTAGTCATGCCGCACAATTTTATAGTTTATAATCATGTATATGTCTAAACGTATCTTTTTTTCTCAATAAATATCGCTAGTATAGTTTATGTCAAGAAAGCAGAAGAAACGTCAATTGATCGTTTTGATTTCTTTTCATATAGATAGATATGCGTGTTGTCATTATCGGTTCTGGTCTCATAGGTCGATGTTGGAGTGTTATCTATGCCCGAGCTAAACAAGATGTTTTTCTCTTTGATACGATGTCGTCGATGCTTGAGATTGCTGTAAAAGAAATTGATCTCCAACTTGGTCAATTGAATCAATTTGATTTGTTGTTTAATCAAACACCTGCAGAAATATTGAAACGTATCCAAACGATTGATACAGTTGAAAAACTACATGAACTATTTCGACAAGGAATCGATCATATTCAAGAATGTATACCAGAGGATATACAAATGAAAACGAAGCTTTTTCTACAGCTCGATGACATTGTTCCCGCGAATGCATTGATAGCTAGTTCATCTTCGTGTATTATGCCATCGAAATTTACTGAAAATATGAAAACAAGAAATCGATGTATTGTCGCGTAAGTTGAACGAAAGGATTGACAATAGAGTTCATAAGAACTTAACCGATTTAGACATCCGATTAATCCTCCGACAACAATTCCACTTGTTGAAATTATTGGTGCACCATGGACTGATCCAGCGTTTGTTGATTTAGCTATGGAACGTTATCGTTCTTTTGGTATGGAACCAATTCGATTGAAAAAAGAAGTCGATGGTTTCGTTGTTAATCGCTTGCAATATGCATTACTATCATCGGCTCTTCAACTAGTTCAAGATGGTGTTGTTGAGCCTGAAGACGTCGACCGAGCAATTACACATGGTTTAGCGTGTCGATGGTCATTTATGGGACCATTTCAAACGATTGATCTCAATGCGCCGAAAGGAATTAGTGATTGTAAGATCAGATTTTCGCTCGATGGAATCAACTAACTCTTCTTTTCATTAACAGATTTTGATCGATACGGTTCGTCGATGCAACGTGTTCTAACTGACATGAAATTTCCATCGGATTGGACGCAAGAAACAGTGAACAAAGTCGATCATTGCTTTCGCTCGAAATATCCTGTTGGAGAAAACGGAAGTGGTATAAATGAGAAAAAACTCTGGCGTGATGAACGTTTGCTAGATTTGGCTAAACACAAGCAAACATACGTTGATCGAGATTATCGCATTGTACGTTTCCCATTGACGGTACCGAACGATCAAGGACGCGGGATGATTCAAGCCATTGAAAGTGAGCTAAAACAAGTCTATAAACAGGTTCAAATAAGATTGGTACCAGCTGATGAAGCAAATAATATGGATTTCTCGGCAAAACCTTGGAATTTAGCTTCATCACAACTTGGAAATAACGGCGTTTTCTGTCAATTAGGCGGAGCGAAAAATGTTGAGTTTCAACAAGGTCATTCAATTCGCTTTGATATATCCAGTGTTCTTGACCAATTACACATTAAAAATGAGCAAACGCTTGTGATTGGCCCTGGTGCTGCTGATCAAACGCATCTTTCTATCAACGGCGAACTTGTCTTTAACATGAAACTTGATCAATACAATAAAATTACTACTCAACGTTCATACAGCTCAATGATACCGAAAGATACCGATGAGCCATGTCAACAGTTATATCTACCGAAAACCTGTGGCCCGTTTCAACATGTTATGATATCAACAGTTGATCAGCAAAAATCTGCTATTTTAATCGAAATTGACGTACAGGAACGTCTCAGTGCTGAACATGAAGAAGAAAACAACTTCATATCTGTTATAAGACGTAGTGTAAAGCAATATTCCAAAGGACCAATGGCACTCGGAGGCATTTTTCGCATAGAAAAGGGTACCGTCAAAGCACATGTTATGCCACCCTTTGTCGATGATGATCTAACAAGCAAACAGCAAGTTGATCAATGGTTGAAATTCTATGATATGCACGCACCTTTGAACTGTTTATCCGTTCTTTTAACCGAAGATATCAACAATGCTGGTTTTCGTTTAGAACATTCGCACTTTTTCAGTGATCATGGAGAATGTGGTCATTACCATTTTGATACTACACCGAAAGAAGTACATTATCATGGCTATTTTATTGTATGTGAAGAGGCTGTTCTGGTCGATCCAGTTGTATGAATAGTAAACCACGTGTTTTTTCTTTTGATTCGTTCGCACTTGGCATAGTCTTTAGAAGTCTAATTTTCAAATGAGTATATTTTACTGCAATCAAAAATAAATCGTGATTTGTTCTAAGACCGTGTTTTATAGTGATATCAATGATTCTTTAGTGTCTTTCCTGCAAAAGAAATGTTGATCTATTGGGTATTGATTACTAGTGCAATTTATATTTGGATGACATGTAGCAAAGAAAAAAAAACAATAAAAAGAAAAAGAAGAAGACAAAACAGGTGACTTTTTATGATGATGTTTTTGTTTTCTTCTAAAAGATGATTTTATCTAACGATAAAGTGTTGCTCTTCGTATTGGTACTTGACGTGACCGCATGTTTTTTTCGAATATGTTGAAGTAGATGATTCAATTCGGAAAACTGTTCGTGACAGAAGATACACGATGATTGTAGTCGACGAAGATCAAATGTGGATGGTAGAGGTATTGGAGAAGGTCGATGATGTGGAAAAAGTAATGGTTGTTTCATATACGAACTTGGAAATAGTGGAGGTAGCATTCGTTGAGGACTTCCATTACACATTGTTCGAAAGATTTGATCGGATGTTTTCTGATGCATTCCGTTTAAAATAAATCCATCTTTTTTCGATAAATCAACATTGAATGAAGACGATGAAGAAGACGCAGGAAAAGATGGATATTCATGAGTAGTATCTGAAATGGTCGATGAAGACGTATTTGTTGATCGAGAATCAGAACGTGACGAGCATCGCAGATGTTTATTTGCAATTGATTTCTGGGCAGATGACAAAGCTGGAGCTGTCACTTGTGTTGACTCATTGGATGCTACTGATGATTGAGGTTTATGCCATCGGCGATGTGATGCTAAGTTGGCTGGGCAATTGAATGTTTTGTCGCATTCAGGACAACTAAATCACACATAAAAATAACTGTCTTGCTTGTAAGTTCTTTCGTTATTGGTGTTCTTACCGAAACTCGATGTGTACTACTCGTGGACATTTGTGCATTGCGAGTGCAAAGGCATTTTCATATTTTACTTTACATAATTGACAAATGTAATCGCCAATGATATTCTTGATTTTTCGTAATTCTTCAACAGCTTCAGGTGTGATTTCAACATAATTCATTGTTGGTTCGATATCACCTCGTACTTCTTTCCATTTTTCATACTCTTCCCAGTCTGTAATTCGTGTACCAGCTATAGGAGAATCATTTGTATTCGCCACTGCTGATGCCGTTGTTAATACTTTCTTCTTTTTCGAGGCAGTTATTGAAACTGAACTACGATGATCATTGCTTGTTGGTGCTGATCGTTTCTTGCTTGCCGTCGCCATTGATTTGACAAGATTGAGAAAAAAAATCACCTCACTCATCAACGAACGAGAAGGGAAAATGTCTCAATTTAAATTAGGTTTTGATTGGTTAAAAATCTTTCTGCGACACTTGAGAAACGAAGAGAAAGAAAAAAGAAGGAAGAAAAGACGAGGAGAATTTCTCTGTATACAAGTGTGCATGATTGGCCAATGAACAAAATAACGGAGCACATGCTTATTGGTTTCGATTTGATCAGCAAGGATGCATGACAGATGTGATCGATTGTTACTTTGATTTGTCTATCAAATACAAAAGAGTTAGAAAATGATATACATCCATTTATTGATAGTGTATATGCAGGCGATTGTCCGACACTTGTTTACCTGGTTGTACGACAAAGTGTGCCGCCTTTAACACGCTCATCATCATCGTTATTTTCTTTCTATTGTTATCATTCTCTCATCACTTTCGTTGATCATTTATCACGCGAGAATATGAGACAAATTGCAGTGTGAGATTTGTAATAATCAGGTCATCGCCAGTAAAAAAATGAAAATTACATTGAATTCAGATATGATTGCTAAAAATATTCGATGTTGGTTGTCTTGTTTCTTTTTTGTTTTGTTTATTCATCACAACTCCGATTGAAATGAACACACGTGCCGATACGTTAGGTTTCATTTTCTCTCTCTCTCAAAACTTCACACTATCAATGTCGATGTTTACTGGCTGATGATCATGTTCTCAAACGCACGTATATATTCGCATTCAGATAAGATCACAGACTAGAAAGTCACTTTCTTCTCTCCTTAACAGTTTAATGTTGTCTCGTTTGATCGTTCATTCTTCTTCAAGTTGTTGAGGCATACTTGAACGTCGTATAGGAGTCGGGGATATATAAATACATATTGCTACCGCTGTTAAGAAGAAGAAAAGTAATTATGCAAGGAGAGAAAGTTGTCACAAAACGCTACAATAGATATGTACGTATTGACTTAAGTCTTTTGCTTTTATTGAATGATACTTGACGATATGGTCGAATTGAGTAACAAGAGGTAGCGGCAAAGGTTTTGTTATTAACAAAGAAACAAATCAAACCACTTCTTTCTATTAGTTGATTGATATGATGTAATGTAATATACAGTGATCAATCGCATCTCCGATAGAAAAATTCGCTTAGACAGAAAAACAAAAACTGATGAAGTGATTTAAACCAACTGTTAACCTATTGTTAGCGAGAGAGTGCAGAAATTAAATCAGGCGAACAGCTTTGATGAGCTCCCTACCGTGCATGATAGGTGTTTGTCAATATAAATATATGTGCACGCACAGGTAGAAAAGAGATCGAATGTTCGCTCATTAAAATGGACAGATAGGTGATCTGCTACGATGAGATGACGTGTCATCCACTTGATCTTGTTTTTTTTTCATTCGTATACATAATCTAATGACTACGAGAAATAATTAGTGTCGCCAAATTGTGTCATGATTAACGAAGACACAGAATATATGGATAACTAATGTACAGGAAAAATCTGTCTTTCATCGTTTCTTATGTTTTTCTTGTCCATGTTCTCATATAGACTTGCTCATTTGAAAATTGATGTGTACCACCCACTCAGCAGGAGAGATCGTATGTGTGTGTGTGTGTGCGCGCGTTGAGAACATTAGTCTAGAGGAAAACATATGTCCGTTCAATTTTTTGTCTTTTTCAACGACAAATGAATAGAAGAAAAATATGACGACCAACCACTTGAGAGAAACAACTACGATCTTTATTTTCAATGAAAAAAAAAGTAATGAAACTTGTGCATTTGTGTTTCATTATTTCTTTTACACTCATTCCAAAAAAGTGCCACTTGAAGAATAGAGAATACAGCAAGTCTTTTTTCTTATTTTATATTCGCTATATTGTGTACTGAGTAGTAAATAAAGTCCTATCGTAGTCAATATTCAAGGCAGTTTCAATCTAAGAGATTGTGCCTATATATAGTCTACGAAACACATAATTAGATGTCTTGGTGAATCGGTTTTGATCTTGTTCATAAACGTATATCGTTTCTCATTGATGGCATTGCCAAAATAAAAATTCGATTTTTCTTCATTGAAGTAGTACAAAGCAATGGCAGGAGCATAAGAAAATATTTTTTCGACGTAAAAATCATACAAAGAAATTTTGGTTCGATCACAAATTACTATAGCTTGGAAAGAAAAGGGCGGTGACTTCTTTATCACAGCATGCTCATTTAATTTTCAAAACGATCCAATTATAATGCTTTGCGCGCAGTGAAACACATAAGAAACGACGCTTGTGCGGGAATCGATATAAATATAACTCAGGTCAAACAACCCGAGGATTTCATGAGAGCAGTATTTCAGTGATTAAATCCTGTCATCGAATTTAACCGGTTTCTGTGGGAACCGACAAGAATCTGCTATGACCGATAGTCGGATACGATCCTCGAATCCTTGAGCAGGATCTAGGCACTTTCCCATAGTATCCAACGCGGAAAACATGGACATCCTACAAGTATTTATCGGAAGTAGTTGGAACCCTGCTTTCAGGTATCATCATCCTAGGAAGACATTCAAGTACAGTCAAAGGCTGATTGTTTGACAGTAGGTAATATTGTACGTTTTGCAGACGTGCGTACGAAAAACGTTTTTCTTTAACATTGCAGCTGCATGTGTGCGTACTGGACGTGCTTTGAACACAAGTTCAATTATTCAATTGCTCAGCTGTTCAAATATTATAATAGAGTGATCGTCTTGTTTATGACTTAAAATTTTTCATAAATCTACAAAATGAATGCTTATGAAGGAATTTAACTTTACTAAAAAGCAACTTTACCAGTTATAAAGTAAATAAAAATGTTCTGAGAAAATAATCAATAATGTAAACAATGTCATCGATCCTGAGTTTATAAACAGCCTTCATTTATTAATACAATGTGCAGTGAAAGCTACTTTTTATTTTCTCGTGCTCATTGACCGAGAGCTGTAATCGTAGTAACCATGCAGATACATGTTCTGAGAGCTATTCGATTTTGACTCGAATAGTATATCTTTGACGTTATATGAATATTTATATAAAGACACATACTTTGTGGTCACTCGTTGGCAAAGCAGTTTACTTTTTGTATGAGTTAGTTATGTTTTCAGAGATAGAATTGTCAGTTAAAGTATTGCGCTGAGGTTTTTCTGGAAACCATGCGGTCAGTGGCGATACAGGTAACACCTTATTTTGCTTTTCGGAGAATAGGCGATGACAGTTTAACGCGAATGAATATTGAATACAAATATTTAATGATAAGTTCGTATATCTGAAAAAAATAGTGACACATCAAGATTTATCACCGTATAAAGTAACATATTATATGAAACTACAGTCTCCAATGGGATATAATACATATACTGTAACGAAACTCGTATTAAATCATAGTGTATCAACTGACAATAAAATAGAGAATACTGTATACTACGATGATACAATCAATTAAATTAAATTGGCAATCTAGCTTGTAATAAAATTTCATTGTGCGACTCAGTATTTCTAGTAACAAAATATAAGCTATATATGGTACCAAAATTAGAATCGGGTCATGTAAATTTACATATGTCGAAATCTTTTTATTATAACAATTGAATAACTTAACATTTAGGTTAATATATTGTAGATTTTTATTATAATATCTAATGATACTCAGTTTGAAATATAATAAATATAAACTTGGCCCTCTATTGAGCATTATACTTCTCCTATAATGAAAATAGATCGAAATTATTGTGCAATCTAGCCCGATTTTTCCGAAGGAATTTGATTTAAATAATACATCGTTTGTAATTTAGAACATAGCAACGAGAAAATTGATCAATGAATATCTAAGTGAGAGTAGTGCCCTGGAAGAAATTTTCTTTTATGCACATAAAGTCATAATGTACATGTTATGATCGATTGAACTCTTGTTCATGAAAGAAAAGAAGAAAAAGAGAAGATGTTTGGAAGTTTATTTGTTTCTGCACTTTAAAATGTTACTGTTGCATAGACAGACGCTGGAATGAACAATATCGATCTTACATAATGCATTCTTTTTTCAGTAAAAGTCTGAAGTGTGTTTATTAAGAAAGAATAATATATAATAAGAGACGCAAAGTTTTATATTCCTAATGATGCAATCAGTCGCGTTGAAATGCAAGCCAATTGTATAAGAAAAAGAAATCTTCTTTGTATAGTATCCAACTCTAATTATAGACTGAAGCTTTGCAGAGGCTTCCTACTTAACAGTCGTTGGTAGAGAATAATATTCGAAAGGATAACTAAGTTTCAAAATACTACTAGCACATATGTTCGGTACACAAACAGCTCTCGTTTCTATATATATACATATTTCAATTAAGACCCCATCATGAGATGAAACTCACATCACATCATGTGTAATTACAGCATAACGATTTCAAGTACACTCGACAAAGCAATGATTCATACATGGATACGACACTCTTTTTCAAGGTCTTGGAGAATGCGCACCATTCGCTGCGACAATAACCATTAAGCAGACAAAATGTGCATAAACTGATTGTCAAAGTTCAGGTAGACAAGCGTTATTATTTGTATTTTTTTGCTTGCCACATCGCCATCTTTTTTTCTATTTCAATCTGTATCACATGCGACTATTTCGTCCTGCGTAATATGCATGTAACGAATGAATTTTTGCGTGCAAATAGTAGCCTATATGTCAGAACATCGTCAACGTGTACCTGCTCGTTGAAAAAGAAAGAAAAAAAAATTCTACGTAGTGAGTGGTACAAAGAATCGAATAGAAGAAAAAAGAAATCGTTGACAAAATATATATATATTGATTTTATCAAGCTCGTTTTTTTTCTCTTGCTTTCTTCTTACTTTGTCGTTTGACAGTAGTTCTACGATCAAGTAATATGCACAATACTATTTACTGTATTCTTATTCTCATATGTATCATTGCTGTGGATGAAAGTCGATTCGTGCCGCGACCTGACAAGGTTCATTATGGTAATGTAGCTCAACCTCGTCGGTGGGGTAAATGGTGTTATGTGGATAACGAATGTGGCCTTGGATTCTGCAGTGCTTACAAATGTCAATGTTATCCTGGATATATTACTTGGTATTTTATGGACACTTGTTCTTATGAGCAGCGTAAAAAATTAACTGCATTTCTTCTCTCGTTTTTTGTTGGAACACTTGGCATCGACTGGTTTTATTTGTCCAGAGGTTATGCAGGTTACATCGTTGCCGGAATTATAAAATTACTCCTTTCAGGCGGTTGCTGTTTCGGCTGGCCATTTATATTGATGGGCACTGACAAAAAATCGAGGAAATACTTCGTTTTTGGTAATGCTGTCAATATTATTCTCTCGGCTGCAGCACTTATATGGTGGTTAATTGATTGGATTCGAATTCTAGCCGATGCTTTTCATGATGGTTACGGTGCACCATTACAGCCATGGGGATATCAGTATTACTATAACGGCCGATTTCCTTATCGTGTATGAATACTTTTGTAAATAAGCAATGAATTTTTATAACTATATATACGTATTTGTTTTAAATGAAAGAAGTACTAAAAACAGTAATTCGGCTTTTTAAATATTATATATATATATATATTTTGCTGTGCATTCACTTCAGTTCAAAACCCATTTTTTGATCGAAGAAAAATCGCATGTTATTTCTCATATAAAAAGTTAAAGGACATTTCGTGGGAGAAGAAAATATTAATAAAAACACATTTGAATTCATCGCGAATAGAACGAAGAACAACAACTAAATGTACTCTCGATCAACATTAACTGCGACACCGAACAGCTAACCGATACATGAGAAAAAAATCTTTTTCGATTCGAATTACCAAACATGATTGTGAAAATGGGACAGAACTATTTTATAGATCACCCGACGATAAAGTCAAATTTTAAAATAATATTTAGAAAATAAATAAAAGCGTACTCATCCGACACTTCAGGAGTGCATCGATGAGTAATATGCATTACTAATTTTACATAGTCAATAATCGAATTGAAATGAAAGCGTATTCCGCTATTTCGGTTCTGTTATTATGTTTACCAATTTAACTTAATACTTTCAACAGATCTGAAAGTATTGAACGATAACAAACAATGTTTTCAGATAAAAATATGAAGATTTAATACCGAAAGAGCTATGCATTCTGTATGTTCGGCAACAATGTACATCTGTCATTCTTTCGCAAAGGACATATCTGAGATTGTTTCTATTTCAACACGTACTCTGCCAGCGGACATTCTTCAGATACCGACGTACTTGCGAATAAGAATAGTGTCGGCTGTAGCACGTGCGCTTCTCAGAATACAAATACTGATCGTGAAGAACAATAATGATCTAAAGCGAGTTATATTTATAACAAAAATCCACTTCTTGGACAGACATTGATAAATGAATAAGATAATAAAATATTCATAAACACTGGTCAATTTTCGTTCATGTAAACAAATGATTGAAATAGATGATAACTGTTTTTGAGCATATTTTGTGTGATGAATTGATGAATGAGAACACGAATTCCAACACGATGTCAGCTCTCTTTCCTCGAAGAATGTGTTCGAATCATTCTGAAATGTTTATAACTGCTCCCATTTTCTTCGTTACTTTCATTCTACGATTTATCATATTGACGGACAGAAGTTTCATCGGATACAAACGCTCCACATCGCTTTTTTCGTCTTAGAAAACCATCACATGGCAAAATTTACGCACCTTTTATTTTGTATCACCCTAATTACCACCTTGATTTCGGCCATCTATACTATCAGTTTACCAACTAACGAGACGGCTCATGGTGCTGTCGTCGTCACAAATAATGAAAATGGTATCGTAGTAAAGGTACCAGTATGCTATGGACCACATGATTGTGGTCACGGAAAGTGCATTGAAAATCGCACAAGCTGTCAATGTGAACGAGGATGGATCACAGTTAATAGTACGAATGCAAGTGAAGAGACAAAATATTGTAATTATCAACAGCGTTCGAAGAAAACAGCTTTCTTTTTATCATTCTTCGTTGGCGTGTTCGGTGTTGATTGGTTTTATCTTTGCAGATCAAATTTACTCTTCATATTTGCTGGAATATTGAAATTATTTTTGGGGCTCAGTTGTGGAGGTGTTTGGTTTTCAACATGTTTCGCGTCAGAAAATGGAAGTATTGAATCATCTAAATCCAAATTTCGCGCTGCTAGCACATTCTTCAGTTTGTTAACATTTGCATGGTGGATTGTTGATTGGAGCCGTATATTAGGAAATCGCTTTCCGGACGGTAATGGTAACATACTTGGTTCATGGTAGAAACAAGATTTCACACAATGATCTATTCATTTATTGTTAGCGTAGGGACGAAAAACATCTAATCTTTTTTTCTGTTCGTTCATTGTTAAGAATAAAGTGGATACACAATATTAATCTAAATTTTCAGAAAAAGTAACACAAAAATTCAAACTAGATCATCGTCAAATAGTAGTGTTTCGTTCGTCTCTGATGTTGACAAGTTTCTAGGTAGAAATAGATCATCTTCATCATTGGACTGGCGCATCGCTGATGGTAAATTCCTTGGAAAAGATTCATATATATGATTCAAGTCAAGAGATAGAGAAATGTTGTTTTACTCTCGAGGTGTAGCGAACAGTCGCTGACGGAGCGTTTGGATACGTGTTGTAGTTGCATCGGCAGGCGTCACTGTTAACGTTGGAATAAGACGATTTCGATTAAGATCATTTTCAATTGATTCATGATTGGCAGCTAAATCAATCTGTTTTCGAGAAACAGACACCAATATAGTAAAAGATCTTACTTATTGTTATATCTGGAACTTCTAATGAATATGTTGGATACATGCTTGGTCGTGGTCGCGTTAACACTTCAGCTAGTTTCGATTTCGTGCCGACTGCCTGTGAACGAAATGAATGATGATCGCGCGCTTTCTCACAGATGAGTTTACTTTGAGAACAGTATTGAGTAGTTTTGGATCTGGTTTCGGTGGATGATCGACAATGATTGGTTCTGCTTGAACGATGCCATCATCGCGATTAGCTTCTTCGTCGTCGGGTTTCGACGAACGCTTCATTAGTTTTCTTTTAATGACAAATGGGATGATTTCTACATATTCGTTTTTTCACCTACCTGGCCTTTCGACGTAAGATTTTTCCAGCTTCAGGAAAATCTTTCAATTGTTCATTCAGATCCGCTTTATGTAAAGTAAATAGCGTTGAGAAACCTCGCGAGATCACCTGTACATATTCAAATTATCGAACACACATCTTCACCCCTTAATTACTTACATCAGCTGTACGTCGATTTCCACCAGCCACTTCCAGTAAACTGATTTCACCAAATACGGCACCATCTTCAAGGCCTGCTATACGTTTATCATCGATGAAGACGTCAAGAACACCATGATTGACAATATACATTTCTCGGCCAATTTCACCCTACACTCAGCCATGTCACATCGGATTGGTTTAAAGATCAAAAATATATTTACCTTTTTACAAATATAATCACCTGGTAAGAACAGAGCAGGCTTTAGTTTTAATACGAGCGAATGAAGAAAAGTCCTTTCACAGTCCTAAACCTGAAACCATGAGACGAAAATCAGCAAAAATTGTACATACTTGAAATAATTGCACTTTCGATAGTGTATCATAATGAATACTGATAGCTAATTCTGTTTGCAGTGTAGTTGGTAAGAATGATAGAGTTGTATCATCATCTTCTACTCATAAAAAATACAATGCAAAGTCTACGTATGTTTTCAACTTACCGAGAGTATTTCTATCCTCCCAATTATATTGAAACCAGTTTCTTACTCGATCTTGCACAGTTTTTGGTAGTTCAAACTTCTTTAAATATTGCATGACTTGTTCAACTTTATTTTGATATTCCGAACGTCGTTGATTCATCGATTGAAACACATCACGTATTTGTCCAATTAACAAAGCGAATATAAACAAAGCGAATAGATACCCGATGATAACGAAAACATATTCTAAGCCCGTTTCAGGGCTCGGAATATTTCCAATAGTCGATGCAATTTTAAAGCAATAATAAAACGAGTACGAATATGCACTCATACGTGGTTGATTTTCGATTTTATAAACCCATCCATTGTTGACTCCATGTCGACGTTCATAATTGGAAAAAAGAAAGTAGATACACGCATAAACATGGACAGATAGGATAACATAGAGAAGCAAAGCGAGAATTCGAACTAGACGTACACTTGCAAAGAACGATTGAACCCATCGATCACAATTTCGAAAGAAATCCGTTAAAGATTGAAGTTTTAATAAACGTGGCAAACGAAATATTGCTTGAAAGCCAAAAAGAAAATAGAATAAATCCAATGGAATCAATGATAAACAGTCGAAGATGAATCGCACTGAATGGAAATATCTTATGGCTGTTAAACGAAATGATGTCTACAATAGAAAATCGATTCTCGTGAAAATTATCGACACGTCTATTCGAAGGTCGAAATCACTTACAACCCACAGACCATTTTCTAGATATTTAATTCTTGTCTGAACAAAACATGTGTCAATTAGATACAAAACATCACATGAATAATCAATAATCAGCCACAGCCAAATTTGTGTTTGGCCTTTGTCCCAAACTGGAAATGCGATACGAAATGGTACCGATATAAAGTTATACAAATACGCCATTGCGACAAGAAGTAACCAAATTAAATGTGAACTGCCTAGTAAAAAATAAAATAAAATAAAACTACTAGTCAAATCAACGGAATATTTTCTACGTACTGTCGGTATCAATCGGTTTTCGAATACCACATTTACGTGTACAGCGGAGAATAGTTCTTTGTACACTTTGTTTTAGTCCGGTGCCTTCGATTTTTATACTATCAGTCGAAGCTTGGCTTACAGTTTCTGATGCGAAGATCGAGCGACGTGGAAACTGACTTTGCTGTTGTTCTTCACGAACAGTCACGCTGGTTCCTGTGAAAGAGAGTTTGATGAATTATTCTTTGTTAAAAAATGATAAATATGAGAATTTCACATACCAGTATTACCATGCTCGAAATCAGATGGTTGATGAATGATTTCTTTAATTGTATCTGTTCGATAGCTGAACTTTCGACGTAAGTTGCGTAGTTGTTCACTAATCGATGATGCTCGAGATGCACGCTGACTGTAGTTCGAAATCGAGTCATATATTAGACTGAAACAAGTAATAGTGAAGGCAAATTCATAAATCTATGAACTAAATTATGTTTACTTGCTATAGCTTCGGACAGGTGATCTGCCTATGGGTTGATCTTCTTCGTCATTAGTGACTAAAAAAGTAAAAAGAAATGTGTTTCATCTTTGATTGTGCAAAATGTGATTAATACGAACTATCGATTTCTGGAGTGGTGAGATTTTCAAGTGTTATTTCGTTTAGATCATTTTCCGTATCTAAGCTACAGATTAAATTGTCATATGCTTCGAATCGTTTTCCTAATCGGGAACGCTGTGTCATTTTACGTTTCCTTGAAAGAAATGTGACTTGAACTGAGCTCCATTCATAACGTACAGATTAAAAACCATAGAAATATAGCGGATGCGCATGTTTCTTAGAAATTATCCTCCTAAGAAAGAGATAGCAGATGTCACTTGCCATAACATTCGTTGAAGAAAATGTTCATCAGTTCTTTTTCGTTATAGCTATTACGCATTTACGAATAGACGGTCTAATCTGGTATTATTCTATGATATAACTATTAGCATCATTGATCGATAGATTTCTAAATTAATCTATCAACTCCTTTACAATCAGTTGAAATTTGAGATGATGAATGCTTGAATTGAACAACGGCGACATCTATCACAATTCTACCTAATTCGCTCTTTCGACTTGTCTAACATTGCAATGAGAAACGAAATAAGTCTTTGGCTTTTTTAGTTGTGATTTCTCAATCGACGAAAATGTCTGACAAAGAAATGACTACCAACAATTCGATGGATGTTGATTCAGTTCCTGCTAAATCGACTCCATCTCCGAATGTACCATCATCCTCTGCTGTACTTGATATTGGTATCGGTAGTGGATATATATCGGGTTCAGATGACGAAGAAATGACTGAACCGACAACATCGCAGAGTTCAACACCAGACTCGACAACACTTCCGCCGACCACGAAGAAAAAACCTCTAACAGCTGGCAAACATCCACTTACAAAAAGTTCGTATTGCTCGTTCAAAGAAAACGATGTCTTCTGAGAATAAGAATACTTGTTATTATTTTAGCAAAATCATCACTAGTTAATTATGAACGCGACTCCGATGACGATGAACATACAGATGATGAAGACGACGATGAAAACGGGCATTCTAATGAGGAACAGGATCTAGACGACGACCGATCTAATTCCAATCATGCCGCTCCATCGCATGGCGAAGAATCGGATATTCTTCAAATGGAATCAAGTACATACGCTGAACAAACAATAGTCACATCGGATTTGCTCAATGTGACACCGGTATACTCATCTTGACAATCTTCATTTCCCATGTGTTCAATTCAATTCATTCTAGTTCAAAGGAGACGACGCCTCACCATCTCGTTCCGACCTACAGTCAAGTAAGAAACTATTAAATAAACTAATCTCGGCTGTACCCCATGTTCTTATAGATTATGCATTCGTATTTCCAGAAGACGCAGAAATTCGCATACCACCAGAACCATCAAAGAACTGTTCGGCGAGGCTGCAAGTAAAGACGGGTATTTCTCAATGAGCGCAGTTAATTCTTGATTTTTTATAGGCAAAATTCGAAGACTATTATGATCGATATATCAAAACAGGTATTGATCAAAATGCTGTTATTCAAAGATTGAAAGATTTTCGAAATCCATGGTATAAAAATGATTATTTTGTTATGAAAAAGCATTCGTTCAATATGTTTCTATTTAGTATGTACGAAAAAATGATTTCACATTTGGATATCGATGAAATTGGTACAAATTTTCCTCAAGTAAGTTGGATAAATTTGATCTTGTGCATTTATTCATTTATTCTGCATTTAGGAATTGTATGATCCACACTTATGGGGTAAAGAATCGTATTACGAAGAATTAAGTATGAACATTTTGTTTTGATTGCTTATGAAAACACCGAATGTGCATTATTTGTATAGGTAAAACGCAAAAACTAGAAATGGATCGACGAGAAAAAGAACGGCGCGATCGAGCTAAAATTGGCTTTACTCCAGGTGTGAAAAAAATCGATCAACTCGGTATTGGTTCAACGAATAATTCGGATCTCGGTGGTGAAAAACGTCGCAGTCGTTTTGATCAATAATCATATACATATATATAGTACATTTTTGCTGTTGTTTCTACTGTTACGATGATGAATACATAATGAAAAACTAGAATTTCTTCTCTGTTTCTTTCTTTCGTACACTCATCATTAGGAATTTCGTTCCAACTTCTTGCAGACTGTTATAAATATGAAAAGGAATGTGTAGTTTCAGTTTCTAATAAAAGAAATACATTCTATCTTTTATACTGTTGAATAGATGAAGAACGTATTGATTACTGGAGCTAATCGAGGTATTGGCTTGGCATTAGTAAAACAATTTTTGGCATCGAAGGTCGATTATGTTTTTGCAGCATATCGCCAAATGGATCGTTCAAAAGTAATCTGATATTATCCTACAATGTGATCGTGTAACCGTGATTCTTCTAAAGGAGTTATTCGATTTGGCCAAACAACATTCAGCAACGGTGATACCAATTCAATTGGGTTTGTTGCTAAGTTGAGTAAGAGACCAAAATTCGGTTGTTTTTCAATATTGATAGACGCTATCGATGATTCAAGTATACAAAAAGCAGTCGATAAGGTCGAAGAACGGTTGAATGGTAAAGATTTCAACTGTTTAATCAACAATGCAGGTACAACAACGAAATTAAGATTCGCTAATATCAACGAAAAGGATATGATGGAAACCTATCGACAGAACGTAATTGGACCATGGAAAGTCACCAAAGTAAATTTCTTTCTTAAACACACATCATACAGTTTATTTGCAAATAACATTTTTCGTAGGCATTTCTACCTCTTTTAGAAAAATCTGCTTTTCAACTCACTCAACGCGATATAAAACAATCTTCAGTGATTAACATTTCGTCAATTATGTCGTCGCTTGAATTAGCCAGTAAATTACCTATTCCTTATTATGATTATCAATGTAGTAAAGTGCGTTTCAAATCTTCATAATTGACTTTCTTATCTGCATTCCTCCAGGTTGCGTTGAATATGTTAACAATTTGTATGGGTAAAGATCTTGAGAAGAAGAAGATTTTCTTTTCATTCCTTCATCCTGGTTGGGTTAAAACAGATATGGGCACAGATAAAGCACCACTAACACCAGCTGCTGCTGCTGTAAATATTCTCGAATGTCTACAAGCTATGACCAACGAACATTATTGCAAATTAATCGATACACGTGATGGAAAGAAAGTGACAGTTTTACCTTTCTAAGACAAATTTCTTTTTTCAAAAATGCCTTGATTAATAAAAAAAAAACAAAGAATGTGAGTTATTCATGATAGGAGTGTGTAACGGTACGCTCTTCGGTCGGAAATCATAACCGATTGTCGAATGGATTTCAAAATCAACATCATTGTTGCAAAAGTTAAAGAAATACCTACAATTAGCAGAGAAATGAGAATTGTATAGCGAATTGTTCCACTTGTTCGGTCGATCCATGATGTCCATTTGATTTGGGTTGAGTTCACTATGGACGACCAGAAAATCGTACCGAATGATGAACGAATCTCATTGATCGCCAAGGTTTTATTCATTTGTTTCGAATTTTTGAGCATATTAGCTAATATTTTATACTGTTCACATTGACCTGAGTAGCACAAACGACCGAGACAAACATTTGAAGACGATCGGACAGTAACTTGGCATACGTTGGAAGATGCTAAAAGAATGATGATAAGTATGAATGATGAAGTAAAATGTTCATACTTGTTTTATTCGAATGATTCGATGTGCAACAATTGAATTTACATGAATCGATCAAATTCTTCATTATCTCTTCATTAGAAACGGTTGCAGTCGTATTAAACTTAGTATTACATTGATAGAGTTCAATATTAAATAATGAATTCTTCTGATTGAGAGTTATTTTGTTAGTAGTCGAATAGGCCATTGTCGTAAAAAGAAATTGATATTGAAAAAATAGAGGGAGTACTAACAGATGCATTTGCATATTGTTCTACTATATTTGTATGATAACAGACAAATGAAATGGAATGCAAATGCGTCTTTTCATTCTTATTATAGTATGTAACACGACAATCACATACTAACAGCAGACTGAAATAAAGCCACAGCTGGTTTCATGATTCGTTGAGTCAGACAATTAAGTGTTATTGCTTCAAGTGTCCTTCATCGGAATCATTTCAAATTCGACGTTTTTTTTTGTTTTTAAGATCGATCTATTCCAAATATAGTAGCATATCATATGAGTACATGATCAACGATCGTATACTGTGTTTATTCATCTAACGGTATTCCATTATCGAAAAACAAAGAACTGAAATATCTTCGAATAGATTGAAAGAGAAAAGATTGAGTTTTGGTTCATTTGTATTTTTTCCTTTTCTTTCCTAATTTCTCTTGGAATTGAATAAATTCTTTGAAACCTGAATGAAATGATATTAATATTGTTAAAACATTTTTCAATAAGAAAAACACCATTTTATTCGAACTATCCGACATAAATGTAAGAAAATACCAGCGTATAACTAAAAACGGTAAATCTTGTGTAAGAGCGATATAAGTGACTGACCACATTGAAGTACAAAAGATCAATTCAAATACTACCAAAGCTTTCTGCTGGAAATTCAATTGGGAGAAGTTTCTTTCATGAATATCTCGCGTCGGTTTACTTTTCATTTGCAAATTCATACTAAACTGAAATGTTGACATGATAAATATGACGAAAATGATCGTTTGCAAATGATGTCGATCCTGTAGTTTGTTTAAATTTTCTCCTTGATGGAAATTTCCATAGAATTCAACGATATCAGGTGCAGCTGCCAGATATTGTCGTAACATTTGTGCAAAATAAATCTCATCGGAACTTTCTGTTTGCGGCCAAATCCAATTGACGAGAACCAAGACGAGTAAAAACAATTGTTCAATCAACATGAAACCAGCTAATTCATCACTTAAGATCCCAATCAATGTAAAACGGTTGATCAAGTCTCTCCAAGTCGAACATGAATTGGTTAAAAACGGGCGAAACATTTTCACAATGGACTGCCGTCGGCAACATGTTCGATATTGAATTTTTGTCAATAATGAACACATCAATTGAAAATTATCCTTATTAAAGTAACTCAAACGATCTTTCGAACACTTGAATGTATAAAGAGGACGTTCAATTGATGTATTTTGAATAAGTTGATAATCAAAACAAAAAGTTAGATTTCGCTTGAGCAATAATTCGATATTTGTCTGTCGAAAGACTTGACTAACATGTAATTGATGTTGTTTGAAGATTTTCAATATTGGTACACATGTGATAATAAATAAAATAATCGATGGTGAAAACCAACGGAATTCTTTCCATTGCCCACGAAATTGATAATAAAGACTGATACTACCTTCTGTTGTAATTGCAAGAATTCCACATGTATAGGTTAGCAAATGATAGTTTTGTGTTACGCACATGATTGTGCACATGAGAAACATGGCAAAGCCAATTAAAATTAATCGAACGGACAATTGTCGCAAAGCTTTGATGTGAAAAAACGAATTGAATGTGTGAGAAGACATTAGAAATCAATTTGGAAAACTACGATCGCGCGCATTCCAATATTTGTCAGCTATTTGCAACAGCTGCATCAAACGATAGAATCTATCGATGAAAATCTTTACACTGAACAAGGTTATTTAAGATGCAGTTCGATTGGATTTTATCTGTATGTTGTCATTTAATGTTACATATTTATGATGTGATCTAGTTAATCTGTAGTAAATGTTTGTCGAACACAATTTATTATTCTTTATGTAACATATTCAATTGCTTTTCAATGACAAAAAAAGAAAACGAGAAAGAGCAATAGCAAACGCGTTAAAGACGAAGAAAGAAAAAACATTACAAACGACAACTTATGCACATAAAAAGAAATAACGACTGAAAGAAGAAGTTTTTTTTTTGGTATTTCTATTCAACTGTGTTAATGGTCGGTCTGTTGCAATTACGACGTCGGCAGAAGTATCGATCGGTGGTTGCTACTATATGTGTAGTTATTGCTCTCGTTGTCCTATACACTTATTTATCACCTAAACCGACTCTTCCACCAAAATTGGAAAATTCATCTCACGATGTACACGCCGCTGTTACTGTTCGTTCAGTTACGACTGCTAAAAATACAACAAAAGTAGTCTCGATCACCACTACTAGTATTCCTACGTTTCGTGTTGTACGTCGTTCGGCAGACAAACGTCGGTTTAGCAGTGCTGCTGTCGAATCATTAATTCAAGAAATCAAGCAAAATATCAAAAATAAAGAGCTTGCATGGTTATTTGAAAATTGTTTTCCTAATACACTTGATACTACAGTTGATTTTGATGAGAAGGCTGCATCTGAAAAACGACCTGATACGTATGTTATCACCGGTGATATTGATGCTATGTGGTTACGTGATTCAAGTGCTCAAGTGAATCCGTATTTACCATTGATACGGAATGATTCGAAACTACGGCAATTGATTGAAGGTGTTCTTTTACGTCAGAGTCTTTTTGTTCAACGTGATCCTTATGCGAATGCACATTACAAAGATACGAGTCGTACGAGTGAATGGAAACGAATGGATAGAACTGACATGCGTCCTGGTGTACACGAACGAAAATGGGAATTAGACTCTCTTTGTTATGTGATACGATTGATGCATTCGTATTGGAAGGAAGTGGATTATGATTTGACATTCTTTCATGATAATGAAAAACAATTGAAAAAAACTATTGGATTAATCTTACAGACAATGAAAGAGCAACAAAGATTTAATGATTCAGGTAAGAACATTTGAAATAATCCTTGTTATAACTTCTATAATCGAGAATATGTTGTTGTTTACATGCGAACAAATCATTCGGTGCCAATAGTTACCGATTTTTCTTTTTTTTTCTTTTCTTCTTACTGTTTTACTTATGTATTTTCTCTCTTTCATGCATTAAGGTCCTTACACATATCAACGACAAGGTCACCCACCAGATCCACGTGGACATGCAGCAGAACCAAATGGACTCATCCATACGTTTTTCCGTCCAAGCGACGATCTACAGATGTATCCGTATCTCATTCCTTCGCAGTTTTTTGCACATCATGTCTTACAACTGCTATCCGAATTGGTGAAAAAACTTGATTGGACAGTAGATTTCAATGATGATATCGTTCACTTAATAGCAGATCTCGAGAAAATTCTATTGGTCAATCATTTGACAGATAAACCAGCAAAACAAATCATCTTTAATCATACTAAACATGGGCTAATCTATGCATATGAAATCAATGGATTCGGCAATTCAAATCTCATGGACGATTCGAATATTCCATCGCTTCTTTCTCTACCTTATCTCTGTCCTAATACTATACCAATTAATCATACGATTTACCAAAATACACGAAAGTTTGTATTGAGTAAAGATAATCCATGGTTTTTCAAAGGAGCGGCCATAGAAGGTATTGGTGGCCCACACGTAGGGAATTTAATGGCATGGCCATTAGCGATCATAATGCGTGGTTTAACAACTACTGATGATGAGGAGATTCGGACGTGTTTGAAAATGCTGCAGAAATCTCATGGAGACACAGGATTTATGCATGAGGCGATTGATGTGAATAATCCCAGACATTTTACAAGATCATGGTTTGCTTGGGCGAATAGTTTATTTGGAGAATTTATTTGGAAATTGTACCGAGAGAAGCCTTATTTATTAGACTAGATCTTGAGTGGAGCGGTAATTCTGATAGGAAAGATTTATTCGTTTATTTTAATTTGTTATGGTAATAAAAAGCTTTGTTTTATTAAATAAAACAACTATATATATCAACTCTTTAATCCTCAACTTATGAGTCATCAATGGATACGATATGTGATGGTGTCGTCCATGAAGGTTGTGCAATACGTGATTCATATGCCAATAAAATGTTATCGTGTTCTTTGTTAGTTCTTCTTCTTTCTTATTTGGAATAGATAGGCGAAAAACAACAACAGCAACATGGCATTTTTATTGCATGTTGAATTCGATGCCAATTCTGAAGTGAAAGCGAATGGCATGCTGCAATGTTTAGCTGGCATGGCCAATATTGTTCGTCGTGATCATCCAGAAGTGTACACTTACATATTTCGGCGAGACAATGAAAGCAAAACTAAACTTGTTTTTACGGAGATTTACGGCACTGAACAAGTCTTTCTCGATCACGCAAAAGATCCGGAATTCACAAAACTGTACCAACAAGCATTTGATCCTTCATCAGGTAAAAGTCGAAAAGAATTATGTCTACGAAATGATTTAAATCAAGCATTGATGCCCATCACAGCAAGTATACTCGATCATTATTTACATGTCACTTATGTTCAAATCCAACAAGGATTTCTTCATCGAATTCCAATAGATAAAGGAAATGAAGATTCGTTAATTGTATGCAATGGTTGTGACAAAAATGCCTATGAACTATTCAATGAATTATTTACTTGTGTTACATGTGTTACATTCGAAGAATCGGATGAAAATCGACAACTTATCGCAATTATAACGAAGTTCTCCAACGAAAAGAAGGCAGTTCCAGATACAAAATCGATAATAAATGTAGTCGAATTAGTTTGTGAAAATGAAGATATAGCTGAAAAATTCAAAAATATCGTTCAACAGTATTTCCAAGTTCAATCATTACACGTTCAAAGTATTTACAGCGGTTATATTCATCATCGACCTTTATAAAACCATTGATCTATATTTATATAAAAACACATTGCTGCTTAATTGTTTTCTGCTTCTTTTAAATGAATTCCACACCAGGCAGGACATTCATCATGATCGTCATTGTCTTTTTCATTATCAAAACTTGATGATCGACACTGGAGAAAAAAAAATAGCAAATATTCTTAATCTAATGAAATTTTTCGTTCATCATTTACCCAAAGAATAAGGTTAAGTCTTCGTCCACTAGTTATCGGCAAAGCTCTATGTCGATGATTACCAAGATGGAGACAAGCTGTGCCAATCTGATGTTCGAAAAAGAATTCTTCCTCTTTCTTCGGTGCAGACGTAGAGACATGCGACGAACAACGTACACCTCCGAAATACAATTCACCATCGGTAAATTCCTCTCCAAGACAAACATTTAGAGTAACGGCGGAATCATCAACATGAAAGTCAAGTTTACGATCTCTAGAAAATAAAAATTCAATAGGGCCTCAATGAAAGTTGTTCATTTACTTGTTCATGGCATATTCGACGGCGAAACCATGATGAGAATCAAGAGGGAGCGTGATATGTTTATAAAACAGTTGTGTCAATGGTTGTACAATATTGGTCATAAGATCAGTTAAACATTTCTCAAACCCAAAATGATCGAGAATTACGCCGTACTTGTTCATAGAATTTGGCCGATATAGCTTCAATCCATTATCGACACACCATTGTTCGAAGTATGCTAGTTCATTGACTAATCGTTGACAAAATGCCGTTGGTAACAAAGGAAACGTATATACACCGGTTGTGCGTATCTAAACGATAATAAAAAGAGAAGATTTAGAGTTAATAAAAGAGTTTCAATATACCTGTTTAACAGTATCAGAATCTAATGAATCTTGCTTTAATATTGCTAACAACTTCTCGTCAATTGGCCATTGATTAAAATCATATAATTCCGGCGATTGTGATCTAAAGTTGTCTTTAATTGTATTCAAATACTTTTCCATAAGACGTGCTTCCTCACGAGAATGCTCTCGATGTTTTCGCCAGTTTAACAAGACATCTTGCAAATAAGTATCACGTTGCTCATCTGACCAGTGCATGGACAGATGAGATGTAACATATTGTAGAAATGATTGTTCTTCTTCATCGTGTTCATTGTCGTTCGACATATTTCAGTCTGATTATTAGAAAATGAAAAAAAACCAAGATGCGTAAGGAAGTCCATCCTTTCATCATTACTTTCGCGACTCAAAAACATGGTTGGTCGGTGCCAGTTTAGCGTTTGTGAGAATCTTATGACGCGAAAGACAACGACATCTACCTTTGGAAAGTTGTGCGCTTTTCTTATGTTCATATTTATCAATCAATGCGTTCTGGATCATTCTGAAAGTTTGTGAATTATGAGATTAACTTGAAAATCAGTATAGCAGTACATCTCATCTTTAAATACAACGTTATTGATATAGATACGAAGTGCAGATACTATAACTCTAATTCATTTTATAGGGTCCCGACAAAATATTATATTTATTTTTCGATGAATAAAAGTGACATATTCAAAGTCCAGAAGAATCCAAGTTGTCTTTCATAGTCATCAACTGATATAAACAGTAACTTGGTGTTTGCTCTCTATTGATAAAGATAAAAAAAACAAATAGTGACTCTGCTTTGGAAAAAGATAAATATTCAAATGCCTATATAAAGATCGACGCAATATCAACAAAATATCAGTATATTAAGAGAGAATTTGTCGGTATTTCTATCTACATAAGCGAGTAGCACTAACGATCTTCTTCCTCTTTAACTTTTTTAGATTTGCTGTGCATATACATTCTAAAATGCATTTCTATTCACTATTAATTGGTGCTTTCGTAGCTCTCTCGTGCATTAGCACAGTTTCTGCAGGTATTTACGGTGTAGATTGCCAATGCGTCTGTTGTGTGCCAAAGGCAAAAACAAATGATTGCTCACCAATGGACATGGGCACAATTCATATTGATACAGCTACTTGTGACATACCACAATGCATTAAAAGTTGTGGTAATTTGTATCCTTTCTGTGAAAATAGCAGAGGAACAGTACAAGCCACATGCACAGATACGTAAGTAAACGATGATGCACTATGGTTTGAACGATTTCATACTCATAATTTTAATTCTTTTGTAGAACTGAAGGATCATCAACTTCGACGTAAATAATTTTTTTCTCTTTCTAAGATTTCTCTTGCATTATTTTTGCTTTTATTCCACAGAGCTAGTCCAAGTTCAACAGCGTCGGCAACTACTAGCACCGCAACTCCATCAACAACGGCATCGACACCGTTCCCAACCACGACATCCACAGCAGCACCCTCAACATCTACAGCAGCACCCTCAACATCCACAGCAGCACCCTCAACATCCACAGCAGCGCCCTCAACATCCACAGCAGCACCATCAACATCTACAGCAGCGTCCTCAACATCCACAGCAGCACCCTCAACATCCACAGCAGCACCCTCAACATCTACAGCAGCGTCCTCAACATCCACAGCAGCACCCTCAACATCTACAGCAGCACCATCAACATCTACAGCAGCGTCCTCAACATCTACAGCAGCGTCCTCAACATCCACAGCAGCACCCTCAACATCCACAGCAGCACCATCAACATCTACAGCAGCACCATCAACATCAACATCCTCAACTGTTGCTCCAAGGTATTACTAATAATGATAACCCTTTCATGAATTGTGTATATATGCTCTATATTACTTTTTTTTCTAGCTCAAGTGGAAAACCATCAAGCGGCACTACAATGAAATCTATGTTCCAATTTTCACATTTTATTCTTTTCACTGTTGTACTTATGTTTTTATGTGCGTAAAACTATGTGATACAACGATCAAAAACATATGTGTCTTTCGAACAACTAAGAAAAAAAAACAATAATAAAGTGCTACCTATCGTATACAATATGTATATTGTTACCTTTCTTAATTCCAAATAAGTCTTCACATAGGGATGAATGCTGTTGTATATAGATTCCGAATAGAATCGATGTAAGATAGCGCATGCATTTATAATGTAGTTAGCTTTCAATTTATTTTTAAGTTTCAAGCCATTTATCTATAGCAAAAAAGATAATTGTTTTTCATTTGTCAGTGACGAGGTAAAGATAGAACTCTTGCTTGTTATCTCATGTTCGAGTATTTCTGTATATAAGAAATCCTTTTCGACTGCTTGAACACAATCACTTTCTGATTGCCAATCAGTCAAAAAAGTAAAATAGATTAGAAAAAATTATAGTTTTGTAACGAAAATATTTAATTAGAATCAGTATCATACAAATTCATTAGGTTCGAACTAAAAAGAACGATGCGGTTCAATATCATAATGACAACACAATAAATACTAATGTACAAATCTTCAGGTAACTGTCAATATGAGATTAGATACATGTATATATGTAGATTAATCTAAACCATGTATTCCTTTTTTGTATCTGTGTATATTTTCGATTTCTCTAGTGTCGAAGGTCGACGCATACGTAGTAACTGGGATTACAACACGAAAAATATACATTTAGATGCCGTCTTACGCGATTCAGTAGAGATTATTCGTTTTATATAGAACACCGTCAATAGCCGAATGGATTTACTAGAAATACCATGGAATTGTTGACATCGAGAATAAATTCGAAAACAATCGTATTGATTGGCATTATCTCATTGTCACGGACAGTCAACACTACAACATAATGATTTAAATTCTATTTGTAGAACCAGTGTCTCGTCAAATGAGAATGTAGGCAGGTCAATACTATTCATTTTGGATAAAGTCGTGGTTGATTTATATAGAAACAAGAAGAAAAAATGAACAGAACAGATGAACATTCGAAAAAACGAAAAATATTTTATTTCTCAACCGTCTAATTTCAATAGATCTAAAAGTAATGTTTTTAAATAACGTGCTTCATATGCGACTGTATTCTTTCCCGCGTGTATTGGTTTATTCGTTAATGGCGAGACGAAATTAGCTTTAACATCCCGGCCCCAACCTAAACATAAACGATATTTGAGTAAAACCACTTGAACAAAGTCTTACTTTCGCAGTGACTAAGAAAATGCAACATCTCCATGAGAACTTGATCACGAATAATTACGGAATGACGTGCCATATTTTCAAACAGGGAGAGAAAACAACGTTTTGTGTAAAACCATGTATCTGTTCCGAGTTTCTTTTGATAGGGCTCGAGAGATTTCATCACACGTGCAATACCAAATTCATAATTGTTCTTTGCACAGTAAAGTGTTCTAAACAAGATACAAAAAATATCCTTTTACCTATACAAAACGATCTTTTCCTGCATACCCAATAACAAGATTGACGATACATAAATGAAAAACCTTATTATCCGGTGTTTCAAATGGTAATTTATCTTCTTCACGTTCAATTTTACGCATTAACTCCTCAGCCTTTCAAATAAAAAAAAATTACAATTCGAAAGGAAACTTCTCAATCGCATACTTCTTCGTTCTGACTTGTCATTATATGACTGACACAGAGATTCGCCAAAACAATGGGACTGACGGATAACAACTAAAATGTTTTAATACATCTCAATATTTACGTCACCCAGAAACAAAATATCTTACATTGTCTTCATGCTTCCTAACAATTGGATCATAAAAGCCGACTAAAAGAGAATACCGTAGTATTACGGATTGAAATTGTCACATCAACTTACTCGCTTCTTTATATTTATTGTCTTGCATGAATAGAACGTGTGCGACCTAGAGAAAGGCACTTCCTGGAAAACATCTTCGTCACGCTCAAGTTAAAACTTACGTTTAGTTTCCATATTTCATTATCGTTACAAAATTCGACTGATTTACGAAAGATTTTCTCGACTGCATTGTAATTTTCTTGTAACCAGTAGATATTTGCTTGAGCCATCAAAACTGGTACATATCTAAAAATGATCTTTTTTAAATCATCAAGTGAATACAATGAAACAAATACTTTTCTAAAGTCGTGTCGTATTCCTGAATTTTCTTCTTAACTTGTTCATCTTTTTGCGATCGTCGATTTTCTTGCACTTCTTTCACTAATCGACGTAATTGTTCAATTAACGTTCCAGCTAAATCATCAAACTTTTTAAATGCAGCATCCGGAGCAGTTTGTTGAACAATTTTAGCCTCGATGAACTCGTATATGTACGGTTCCATATATTTAAATGTCATATCTGTATTCTCTGCTAGAAGATCAGCCGCCAAATCGTAATACTGTAAAGAAATATGTTCGTCGGCGCGTGTGCGATGAAATGTAGACTTACGTCGTATTTCAAGTATAAAAGACATAAATTAACAAATGTTTCTGGTGGAAAGCTTTCTCCTCCAACCAAAAATGTTAATTTAGCAAAACCACCTGATGGATCATCTTCCATATTCATGATAGCAAGATTATGTAATGTAATAGGATCTAGTTCACTGACATTTCGAGGTGGCATATCTGTCAAAGCCTCTCGTGCAGCAGTATCTAAATGAAGAAAAGCAATTCGAAAATGTATTTGATTTTACACAATAAACGAACAATTTTTCAGTAGAAATTCAATGGCGGCGCGTAGATTAAATGCTTCGACGAGTGTGGATTCTTGTAATGTATTTGTATTACCAACTGATGTGATGTCGATACCTTCGGTTTGCATTCCAATACTCAATTCTAAATACAAACAAATAATTGTCATTCGAAGAATCTTTCCTTCGTACCCGGATAATCTTTAATGCCCTTCTCAACAATTGCGCCCAAATGCTGTACAGCTTGCCCATACTGTTTCAATTCATAATAGCAAAGCGCTATGTTATACCATACTTCTGTATAGACAAAGGAAATCGTTCAATATGAAGAGAATTCGAGAAAAACATTTACGCACTTGAGTTATAACCAGTTAACTGCTGTGCTTTTGTGAAACATTTTAAAGCTTCATCGAATTTACCTTCTTTATAAAGAATACAACCAGTATTGATCACCGTATCGGGATCATCATCATTACATTGATCAATGTAACTCTAGTAAAAATTACACACGAGAGAATAAAGCATTCAACTGGCTCTTTTCTATACCTGACATGCTTTCACATCTTCTTTCGCATAACAGATTGCTGCTTGAAGCTTGCGTACCTGAAACAAATACTCGTCTGTTATTCAACAAGAGAATTTATGTAAGTACAAACATTATTCATCAATGCTGGTTGTTCGATTTGATTCAGAACTCGTAGAGCTTCATCATTGAGACCGCATTTATAAAGTGATTGTCCAAAGGCAAATTTATAGTCATCAATTTCCGGTGAAATTTGTACCAGTTGTTCATAACAATCAGCGGCTTGTGTAAAGTCTTGTGAATAATAATAACAATAGGCCAATAACGACAATGTTGGTCGACACTAAAATGAACCAAAATTTGTTTTTTTTTTTATTATTATTTTGTTCAGCAAAAAGTTGGTTTTCTTTGCATACACGAGGTTGAATTTGATTTTGATAACTGAGAACATTAATTGCTTGCTGATATTTTTTATCGCGAATCTAAAAAATGAAGTGGATACATTTGAGAGATGTCGAATGCAGGACATTCGATTGATTACCAATGAGTAGACTTTGGACGTCATGTCCGTATTTGCACTATCGTAATCCATGGCTGAAGTGATTCAGAGTGTTGTTAAATGTGTTTGAACGTTGAATAGAAATGCATAATAATCACCATTATTCTCTCATCGGTTGTTGTGCGTCGTTGGTAACAAACATCATAGATGTCAAAGTTTTCATTTTAACTTCAATCACTCAGATTTGATTTATTTTTTGTTTAGAAAAGATTTTCTATTTCGTTCAATTGTTGCTAAAAGGAATATTAGTCTAGATTGTAGCGACACGAATGCGATTGAATAGAAAAGTCCACTAATCAGCGAGCAATCATCTATTATCATATATATCAGTAATAGCAAAGTCTTTTTTTACCTCGAACGAAAGAGAGTGAATATCTTTGTTTGATTTAAGTTTTTTCAATTAGAATGAATTCAAATACACATGAAGAGACTGATACTCATGTCGTTCAGCCAAGAGCGAAGAGTAGATTTACGTTCTATCATCTGAGTACATTTCTCTTGACATTCATTAGGTAAGGAAGGGAAAGCTAAAGTTACTTTAACAGTCTTTTCTACATTAGTTACGCAATGCTACATGCAGCTCGAAAAGTCTTTTCCAATGTGAAATCAACTATGGCAGAAGAATGGAGTGCACTTCCAAATCAGACATTGAATCCAATAAAACCTGATGATGTATAAAAAGAACGCGTGCCTTTTGAGAAGGAAACGATGTATGTTTTGTTTAGATCTGGAATCAACATCGTCTTTATGATTCACCGGAAGATGCAACGATTTTCTTAGGTGTTCTCGATGCCGTGTTCATGTTTTCCTATTCGACAGTGAGCGAATGAAGAAACGTTTAGCAATAATATGTATTTGTTCTTCTTCTTTAGGGTTTGTTCATTAGCGGTATTCTTGGTGATCGGTAAGAATAAATGATTGAAATATCCGATTAAGTTTTGCTGAACTACTGTCTTGCTTACTAACTAGATTTGATCTCCGAATTGTTCTTTGTGTTGGAATGATTGTCACTTCTCTTGTGGTATGAGCAGACAATATTCTTGTTCTTTTCTTTTACAATTACATACAACATTTTCTTTCGTTCGTAGAATTTCCTATTCGGTGTGCTCAGTGAATGGTTACACATATATTCCGTGGCTTGGTATGTGTCATTCTGGGCTCTCAATGGCTTAGCTCAATCAACCGGTTGGCCATGTGTAGTTGCCATCATGGGCAATTGGTTTGGGAAAGAGGGTCGAGGTCTTATATTTGGTATTTGGAGTGCATGTGCTTCAGTTGGAAATATATTTGGCGCAGCATTGGCTGCAACATTTCTCACATATGGTTATGAATATGCATTCCTCGTTTGCTGCGTCTTGTTAGTTTGTTGTGCGGTTATCTGTTTCTTCGCTATCGTTCCTGCACCCGAGGATGTTGGTATGTACCGAATAAGTACGAAGGAAAGTTCTCAAACTGATTTGATAACATTTAGGTCTGGGAACGAAGGAAACTCATGTTACAGTTCAAGGTAAGGAAGTGTTTTGTGCATTGATGAAAGATCATTTTTCTTTGCCTGTCAAGAAGCAACAGCCACTACTGTTAACAATGGCGGTGCTAGTGGCGATAATGCAAGTGAAGAAACAGAATTGATTGCGAGAACAACACAATCAGCGAATAAACCAATCACTTTCTGGCGAGCATGGCTTTTACCTGGTGTCTTTATGGTAAAATTGGCACCAAATTTTAAAACCAAAACTGTTCATTATTCTTTTTATTTAGTATTCAATCTGTTATGCTTGTTTGAAATTAGTTAACTGTAAGTAAATCAACAAAGATGCGAACATTCTTCTTCTAAATTAATGTACCATTCCTTCAATAAAGATTCGTTCTTCTTTTGGCTTCCATTCTATCTACATTCCAAGTTTAACTGGCAAGAATCTGATGCTGATCTTCTCTCGACATTATACGATGTCGGTGGCATTATCGGAGGTATTGTTGGCGGTCTGATTTCTGTAAGTAAAGTCTAGAAACTATTCCAAACTACGATTTAAATTATATTCTCAACTAGGATTTGATTGGTTTTCGATCTATTGTTGTGATTCCAACATTGCTAATCGCTATCCCAAGTCTATTCATCTTTAGTGGTAAATTCGTGTGCAACATTCTTGTATGGAACAATCATGTGACTTTGCTTTTCAGGTTTACCAAATGACAAAGCTTTAAATGGTTTTATCATGACAATGACTGGTGTGTTTATTGGCGGTCCAGCTAATATGATTAGTGCTGCAATTACTGCTGATCTGGGACGCCAAGAAGTTCTAGCTGCAAGTGATCAAGCTTTATCAACAGTAACTGGTATTGTTGATGGTACTGGAAGTTTTGGAGCAGCTATTGGTCAGGTATTGATCCCGGTAATTCAAAAGCACTGGAATGATTGGCGATTCGTCTTCTATTTCTTTGTTCTTATGGTGAGTTGTTATTCACATTCTTTAAAAAGTGTTTTCACCCTGTCTTCTTTTCAAGACATTCGTAACATGTTGCTGTATTCTACCTTTATTTGTTCGTGAATGTAAATTAGCTATTAACAAAATTAAAACTCGTTTTGCATCTCGTCGACAACAAGGTTATGACACTATTTAATGAACAACGAACATTAGAACAGATCACAATGTCATTCAGTCTATTTTTTGCTGTGCAATCGGCGTCTAGTTTTTTTTCTTCTCCTCGTGATAGATGTGTATGTGCGAAGATTATTTTCCTCGAAATATGTGCTATTTTCGTTACTAATCGTAAATTAAAAAATAATAAAGAGATTACGATGTGATTAATATAAGTGATATAATTAGAAACAAGCGATTTTGATTTAGGTGAAAAGATGAACTCTTATCGAGAGAGATTATTGAAGATATTCTATGTAGGCGAACTTTATCTCGCAAGAGCATCCGATAGGGCAAAATGGATAATATATTTCAAGAATGTTATTATTTCATTCTATTCTTGTCGAATGCAGACCAATGTTCTTGAAATACTGCAAAAAAAATAGTTCCGATTGTTGCTAGATACAATGAAACAGACAGTTTCGAATGGTATTAATAAGAAAGAGCGTTTTAATCTAGCAGGTGTAGCAAAATATCCTGAGTCATACGGCTGTTTGGATAAGTGTTATTCATGAAGAATAAATTCTGGTTTTATTGACTATTGATAAATAGGTGATGGAAATGTTATCACACCTGTTTAGACTTTTTTGTTCTGTTCCTATGTTTGCGCTTCGCAATATGTAAGGGCGACATAGCAACGATTAAATATTTGATGACACAACTGATTTTCATCGTTCTGTTGCCAGTCTGACGTTGGTTTTCGTATATAAATACCTGTTTCAGTATTCGATATCTTGTTTTTTTCTTTCGACAACTTTGATAACAGCGATGAGTGGTGGATGCTGCGACCTTCGTAAACGCTGGGACGACTTAGTTGGTAAACCAGAAAAGGAAGCAGTGGAAACGATCAAACGCGATGGTAAAAATAATGAATTTACAAAACTGATTGGACTTTTGTTTGTGAATATAGGAGAACGAAACATTGAGGTAGTTGACGATGGCACGCCTGAAGCTGATGCTGCAATCAAAAGTGGCGTTGTACGTGTTATTTTAGACGAAAAGAAGAACGTGAAATATCCTCCCCTTCGACAAGATTAATCGAAATTGTACCTGTTAAACTCGCAAATAAAGACTTAAGGCAAAATAAATTTAGAATATCAACTATTATTATTTATCTTCGTTGAACTGCGCTGTCAACCGAATACTCTTAGTAAAATATAGTTCTTGCAAATAAGCCATCTAATTAACAAAATCTCTGACTTTCTATAAGCTTTTGATTACAAACGACATATCTCTGTCATCTACTGAAAATATCAACAGGGTTTAAATTATCTTTTATAAAGCTTGTGAGTTTATTTTGAATGATACGACTATTGATGGAAAAATTTGTTCGCAAAAAAAAAGGACGAGGACATCCTTCTTCAGTTCATCAACGTCCAATCATATGGATGTTTGGGTTTGTTCTTTAGAACTTGTTCGATTTCTTCGAGAATTTCTGGTGTTAGTTTGGAAACAAATGTAAGTGCCTTGAAATTCTCTACGATTTGGCTAGAGCGACTAGCACCAGTGATCACCGTTGAAACATGAGGATTCTTAGCCGCCCACGCAAGACATAATTGAGCTAATGTAGCACCGAGCTTATCAGCAATGGGTCGTAGATTCTCAACGACTTCCATGATGCGATCTACGTTTTTTTCTTCAAGTCCATTTAAACCTTGACCTGCTTCAAACTGTTGCCGAAGCCATGATAAACTACCTGTTAAACCCAGCCGACTGTCGGCTCCTTCGAGTTTCCTTGAACTGTATTTGCCCGTAAGAAGACCCGATGCTAAGGGCGACCAAATCGTTGTACCATATTCGATTGGTGACTTGTAAAGTGGAGCATATTCCACCTCAAATCGGGTACGATGTAGCATGTTATCTAAAATAGTAGAAAAAAGTCACGATTTTCATGTCAATATTTAATTCCGGATTTACACTGTGGTTGTTCAGCACATGGTCCGATTAAATTCAATTTATCAGCTATTTCCCATGCCTGTCGAATTTGTTCAGCTGTCCATTCCGATGTACCCCAATAGAATGTATAACCTTGGTCGATAAGCCAATTAAATCCTCGGACGATTTCATCCATGGGCGTATGTGTATCCGGTCGATGTGCGAAAACAATATCAACATATTCAAGATTCAAGCGTTGTAAACTGCCACGCATACCTTCGATGATTCGTTTACGAGATAGACCTTTCAAATTAGCTTTATTTGCTTGTGCATGATAGTATGGCGTGCCCCAAAACAATTTCGTCGAAATAACTAGGTCAGATCGCTGAATACCATCTTCTTCAAACATGCGTTTGAGTACTTGACCCATGACCGTTTCTGCTTTCCCGAGACTGTAGACCTCAGCATTGTCGAAAAAATTGCAACCATTATCATATGCGACTTTCATACAAGTGTATGCTTCATTGGCATCCATTTGTTCGCCAAACGTTACCTGCAAAACAAGGAATCTTATTATAATGAATCATAATGTGTATACTTGCCCATGCTCCAAATGATAACAAGCTAACTTTCAAACCAGTCCGACCTAAATGTCGGTATTCCATTAGCTCTTTGATATTTTTCTCCGGCGTCGACATATTATCACTTAACGAAGATACACTAATGAAAGAGACGAAAGTATCCCTAGTTATTGTTGTTTTTTTACTTGCTCTTCTTATCTAAAAAATATTTTTCACGGGTTTTGCTATTATCTACCTCTTTTTTTCGTTTCGCTGTTAGCGTAAACAAATGCATATCATTGGTTAGGTAAAGGTAGATTTTGTCAGGACACTAGAGACAACTATCAGTCGGTTCCGTTTACCTTCGAAGAGATTTCGGCAAAGAAAATAAATGGCATGCATGTGTTTTCTTCCTCAATAATACCTATTGAACAGACATCACCTTATTTTCTTCATTTATAGCAGTGACTATTGAATCGACGCAGCTAAACAGTCGGTTTATGATGCGCAATGAAATCGAAAATAAAACATGTTAATACAGACTAGAGAAGAAATAGGTTTGTCTGATCATAACTTCCATTTCTAGACATCTCGGTTTAGATGTGTGCATCTCTCACTTGGACAGTCTCTCGCCATTGAAAGTGTTTCTCATGTATGAATGAACTTCAACAAATGTTCCTGAATTGTAATTATTTTCCGGCAGATAGGATTATTTTCAGCGTTAATAATATAGTGGAAATTTCCTCGTACTATCTATCTTTGAATCCCTTATTTCGTTACAGTCAGCATGCGTTCTCAGAGTTTACTTAAGTGCACGCAATAACCTTTTAATAAATTATTAAATCCAGCGAAAATACATATCAGATGAATGTAAATTAACGTGATGTGCATTGAATAACAAAGGTTCTTTCTCTTCATTACAATAGATTGTTCAAAAGTATTAATTATTAAGGACACGCATGGCGTGATCAATCAATGAAAGTTTAACCTCTTTAGGAAACCCACGACTTTCACTTTCGCTCTAGTATTCTCGACAATGTGCATGATAATTGCCGTTGCATTCTTGCTAAGGAGATAGATATATTTTTAGACAAAGACTCTGTATTATTTGTCATTAAGTCGGCGAGCAGATTATAATATAGAGGTTAGATTTAATGAAGTTCTTAGATAAAAGAATGTCTTTTAATGATATAAAAGTGCATTTCCGTGTTATTAATCTCGAGAAAAAGATTCAAGAAATCTTTTAACACTTCCGTCAGTTTCTGCATGCCGACTCTTCGAGTTTCCAGTTCAAACAATCACGCATTGATGACGTAAGTACTGTAAGTACAATGCCCTTTTAAAATTTTATTTTCAAAAATAATCAAGGAAAAACGTCAGTCTTTAAGAAAACACCTTATGCATATCTTCATACTGCCATTTGCATTTTAATTGGTCCGTATGGTAAGTAATTCTCTAACTTGAAATCATCAATGGTAAAATCATCGATCGAAGTTCGTTTATTCACAATTGTTAACGTTGGAAATGGTCGTGGTTCACGTTCAATCTGCTCAAGCAATGGTTCGATATGATTAAGATAAACATGTGCATCTCCCATCGAATAAATAAAATCACCTGGTACTAAATTGCAAACATGTGCAAGCATATACGTGAGTAAAGAATACGATGCAATATTAAATGGCACGCCAAGACCTAAGTCACACGAACGTTGAAACATCAAACAAGACAATTCATTCGATGGTGAGACATTGAATTGACAAAGGACATGACATGGGGGAAGTGCCATTTCAGATAATTGACCCACATTCCATGCACAAAGAATAAGACGACGAGAATTTGGATCAGTTTTGATAAGGCGTATCAATTCAGCAAGTTGATCAATACCTTGACCTGTGTAATCTGTTTTACAATCGATGTATTTCGCTCCACAATGGCGCCATTGAAAACCTATCAAGGAAAAATAACTGTATTGATTTAACTTCGGTAGCATTGTGTGAAACAAAATTTTCTGGTAGGAATTTTGTCTTCGTAACTCAGAAATTCTTAGGAGAACTTTTGTTCTACTTTACCTTCTAATTAAACTTATTCCTTATGAATATAAATAATAGTTTTCTTTTTTTAGAAAGTTTCAGATGAGAAAATACACTTAAATATAATGGATCAAATAAATATCAACGATTTCGCTTCCTTCCGGCATCATAAGGATTGTACATGATGACCTTAAAGTCGTGACTGATTAGATTAAGAGCAGAAAAAGCTCAAAATTTCTTTACAATACAAACCATAAACAGGTCCTAAGTCTCCTTCTTCACGCTGCGTAAAGCCGAGTTTGTCAAGAAATTCTCTTGTTCCATTATCATTCCATATTTTGACATTTTTTCCATCGAGAATTTTCGCATCTGTTTTTCCGCTGATAATCCAAAGAAGTTCTTCAACAACACCGCGCCAAAACACACGTTTTGTCGTTAATAATGGAAAACATCCATTTCGTAGATTAAATCGCATATTCGACGGACCGAACATAGAACGTGTACCGATGCCAGTTCGGTCGGATTTCTCTAAACCTTTAGTAATGATTTCACGAACTAAATTCAGATATTGTTTCTCTTCGTGATTATCATTTCCATTAGAAATGACAGATGAATTCTTTTCCTGAGTGTCAGTAACCATCTAGAAGAATTGGAAGAAGAAGAAAGTTTTTAATTAATATAAAAAACAGAATAATGTGTCAGTTGGTGACAATGTACGGTTACAAAATAGAATGGTATCAACTATAAATAAAATTATTTCAAGAGGAGTATTTTTTAGAGGTGTGCCATGCTCACGGGGAACGACTGAGGGAATTATTTTTTGACATCTGTTTTCTTTTGTTTTATTTATAGAAACGAGGAGATATAGGAGACTTCTCCAGCGCGTATTCACTCTCGTCGTACTCAACAACATACTCCAATTAGTGGATTATTCGAGGCTTCGAGGCTAGAACAAAACTATTCCAAGTTAACCTTTGATCTGATAATTCAATACTTCGTTTTTGCGGATTTTCAATCAGAAAGTGAACATGAACTACCCTTTTTTCTTTTCATTTGATACTACTTCCTGAGTGTATGAAATGCAATACTCTGCTGAACAAGCGGAAATCTGTTGATGGCTTTCCTTTGGCTCGTCTTCTATCAATATAATTGTTCTGAATGTCGCCTCGATCTAAACATTCAGTTGACAGCATGTAGTCTTCACAGATCTCTCGAAGGTAACAATTGCATACCAAGTTATTTTTCTGACAAATTCCCCCCATTTATTAGTACGGTTACATTCAATGGCCGCTTCTCTCTCTCTTATCAGTGGCATAGCATCCTTGAAGACATCAGTGTCCAGCGGAGCTATTTTTGATGAATCTTGGAATTCTAATGAAATTAGCGCTGATAACTCTGTGACGATAGATATATTTAGACAGTGAGTCATCGAACGCATCTCTCTGTGACATAGTCTAAAGAGAACGAATAGTACCCGGAGTAGAAACGAAAAAAGGCTCTATCGTATTGTTATGCATCCAGTAATCATTTTTGAGTTTAGGTACTTTTGTCAGTGACGTCGAGAAATTTATCGACGAATCTAATTAGACTTATGTGTTATATATAATTTCTATTTTGGTCTCGAAGAAACTGGCTTTTCTCGTTCTTTGTCTGTTTCATTGGCGCACTTTCTAACCATATTTGCTTTATATTGTCATCGGAGACAATTGTCTGCTTTCTTTACATCAGTCAATGGAAGATCTAGTTCGTTTTATAGAACATAGCGCGTACTTCGCAACCTCAGAACTAATGTGTTCATCGTCTCTGACGCTGAACTCTATTCACAAGAATTTGTATATGATTTTCTTTTTCTCTGTTTGTTATTTGCATGGTTGCACACAATCCACCCATTTCGTATCCGTCCAATTTGCTTCTTGTCGCGCTTTTCTCGTTCTTTTTTTTTATTTCTTCTCTTCTTTTGCAATGACAAATATTTCTTTTCTTTTTACCGTTAGTCAGTTAGTCTTCTAGTAAACGAGTGTGCTCGTCATGAAAAGAGAAAAAAAAATATCACTCTTTAAGCTCACGCTATGCAGCTTTTTACGGAGAGAGAGAGAGTAGAAAGAAAAGGAAGAATAAAAGGATGAGGAGTCTAATAAGTAAAAGGAACGTATTGCTGTTGTTATTGCAACTGACAGTCTACCTACTTGCTGGTTTGCACGCTTACGTTTATGGGTATGCATTTATCAAAACTGAAATTAACAAGAAGATATATTCTGTGTATAAATCTAATTAATCATCAACGCATAAATGTTCCTGTAGATTTCTATCTATGATTGAATACATGGGAGGTGAATTGATAATATCCGTTTAGTCAATAATCGAGTGGCACGCAAGAAAATTAGTTGAGTGTCTTATTAGAATTATCAAGTCATGCTTGATTACAAGTAAGACAATTTGAGAATTGATCTGATGGAAACAGAAGTCCAGTATGGCATTGAGATGTTTTTTTCAAACTGATTGCATTATTTATTTGAAATAACAAAAATGCAAATTTACCTTTTTTTGTTTCAGATTCTTTTTTTATAGAAAATAAGAGTATGTACCTAGCGACAAGTGACCCTGTGAATGGCGTAGACATGGATGATAGTTCCCAAACGCAGCAAGCGAATACCCCATCTGTTGCCTCGAATGTACCTCAATTTTTCATTTCCATATCTAACTAATCTAAAACGGATTTTATCTTTTCTGATAGGCGTCACCGCCTTCATCTCCTTGTTGTTCAACATTACTTGTTATTGATGATAATTCCAATTCAAACGATTCGACTGTAATTACAAATGACACTCCGACAAATTTACCATCACCAAATGTTCAAACAAGTCATGTTCAAAGAACGTCTTCTCCTTCATTACCCATCGTTGGTAAATTTATCTTTGAGTTGTTTAATAAGATGGATTTGTAGTGAAAGAAAAAATATAACTTTAGACATAACAGACGGTACGCCTGAACAGCAACGTCGTCGAAATTCATCCATTGCGAAATTGCTTGGTGGTCAACCACTGAATAATCAACAATATAAAGGTAAATTTCTCCTTCTTTCTCATTCGACTCACGATCACTTTACAGAAATCAATCAGCAAATTCTCGACGACCAATCCGCTCAAAACGTTCCTAATACTAGTGATAATAAGACCGACGGCGAAACCCAACGGTCGCGTAGTTCAATCGCCCGAACTATATTAATGAATGCAGGTATATATTTAACCAGTGTCTATTCCCTGTTTTATTTCAAGTTTAGAGCAAAATAACAGTACAATGATAAGCGTTGACAAACCTCGACCCCCGTCACCAGGTTATTCCAAAGATTTCGAATATTTGATACGCCGTGAACTCGATGTAGAACATCCGCCATTGACACTCAAACGAGATAGTGAATATTGTCATTTAATTTGCCAATAGTCTCATCACAGTCTTTTGATGTAGGTTCAAAACCAAGTGTTTTTCAGAATCTCAATGGTATTCGCAACTCGCCAGTCGAGCCACAGTCACCAACAAATTCAAAACTAAAACGAAAAAGGTCTGTTTCTCTCACTGATGAATGTTTATCTTCAGCATTGTTTTTTGTCTCATAGAACACAACCAAAGCAAACAGGTCCATTACCGACGACAAACAAATCTTCGAATATGCCTCCATTTAGTATTCTTGATCCTTTCGAACTAGATTCATCTTCTCCATCAATCGGTCCGCCGATTAATCATGTACCTCCTCCTCGCGCACATCAACATCAAAATGAACTATTTCATTTTGATCGTCTGTCACGTCATTATCGTCATCAAAGTCAACCACCAGTATTAACGCAACATCAACAGCAATATTCATTACCAATGAACAATTCAACATCATTTAATTATCCGAAAACGAATATACCGCCTATGTATGCACAGTTTAAAACTCATTCGGATCATGCGTCTACGGCGTCTTCGCCGTACAGTTACGCTCGTTTTCCGCAAACACCTGAACTAAAATTGCCAGCGCCCGTGTCGCCATTATCAGCGCATGCAGCATCACCGTCTGCCATATCTCAATATTTCACCAGAGCGCCGTCACGTAAGACAAAGGTAAATATTTCGTAAAAACGGTAGCAAAAGAAAGGACGCAACGTCATCTTTTTTCGAAACACACTTTGAGGTGACACAGGTGAAAGGAAAAAAAGTAAAGTAAAATGAAATCATAGTGTATGAATAGATTAGTAGCTTCATGACAGAATCTTGTCATCATGATACTTCAATTCTTTACATTGAGCACGAAGGAAAAATCATATACCCACTTGAAATTAGAAGTCTTTTTTACTAAGTGTGTTTATTTAAGTACTCCGAAGTAACGATAAAAATAGATCATTTAAACAGTGTCACAAACGATCTTAATAGCAGGCAATAATCGTCCTTGTATTCAAAATACTCTCAATTCCACGATTTCCTTCTATACTCGACTATCTTCAATAAGAATTAGCAAACAAATTTCCTCTTCGTTACACTGTACTAAACTTCCAAGCCATATCATACAAGGCTGTGTCATACATTTGTGTTCAGTTATAGTTCATTAAAAGTCATTTGAGAACGCTTTTTACTTGCGATAAGTTATCCCGAATCGGTGTCATTGAATTCATTGAACAAATACTCGATGACTGCCCATGTCTTTTCCTAAAAATTCTGATACTGGTTTGAATTCAGTTCACTACACTGGAATTAATTACAGCCATTGTATTTCAACTCTTATTGACGTACTTTATATGATATTTTGAGTTTTCCTTGGAAGAAGACCTGTCGTCTTCTCCAGGTACTTTTGAATTGTCTCGAAGAATGACTGTTAATTTCTTCTCTCTATTTTTAGACAGCAATCAATCGATCAGATATCTCTGATATTCCCATGCAACGGTCATTTTCAAATACATCACATCAATTCAACACTTCGTTGTCATCGTCATCATCATCGAGTCCTTCGGAGTACTGTGCGCCATTGAAAAAACGTTTACTACAGTCTTACAAAAACGAGCACCAGTCTTCATCATCATGATATATCCCACCCTTGTTCTATGTTTTGAATTACAAGAAAACATAAATCTCATTCGACTAACCATCTCCCAGAGGAACGAAATGACAGTGAAACTTTCTTGATATATATATTTTTTCTCTTCATCTTTGTTTTTATTTAATGTATATAATCATGTGGATTTACAGTGGCTTAAAAGTAGGTTTCTGAGAAATTCTGATGATCATGAAAGCTCGATATCTTCGATCTCTCTTCAAGTATGTTGTAGCTAGTGGTTAGGTAAGTACCAGATAAAATTTTCACCTTGATTGGATCACTTCTTCCTACCGAAAAAGTCAATAGACGAGCAGAATTTTTCATATTTATAATTTTCGACTTTTTCCGATTTCTATGAAATATACTTGAACAAAGGAGTTAAGTAGATGGAATAACTATGTGAGACACTGATCCGTCGAGAAAGATGTTTAAAGTATCAATAAGAATGTCATTTTCAAGATATCTTCTGAGACTACCCGATCTAACCTAACTGTCGACTGTACCTATTTTACGCGCCAATAAGCAATCGCTCTAATATTTATACTAACGATGGACGGCCTCAAAGTGTATCATCTAGTATACATGAAAGTTTTTACTCTTTCAAAAAGTTGGGCCTCTTCCGAAACATCCTAGTGTATACTATATACACACTTTATAGTCGATCTCTATAGCTTTATTCAATTAGCTCAGATGTTATACTATAGTCAGTTATTAAAACTCGACTAGGATATCGTTTGGTCGGTACTTTGTTCCGTTTTCAATTGCTGCTTGCTGTAACTAACGTTTGGATAAGCGATGTTAGTGCCACCAGCTGTTGTTCGCAAAAAAATTTATATTTTTCTCGTTTTTACGGGTTTTATCTAGCGAATAATGCACTAAAACTATTTCATATGCATGACGGTGATTTCATTCCAAAATTCATCTTATTTGTATGCTTAATATTACTCACTACTAGTTATGGAACAGACTGACGACGTCATACGTTGACAATGGTCCAGATATAAAACGCAAACAGGAGTTAGTCGAAAAAGAAACGGAAAAGGAGGTGTGATTTAATCAGTTTGACTTATAGTAGGTTTCTCATTAGTATGACAGCTCGATTTATTAGGAAATGCATATGCTCTTAGCTCTGCATCGAGCCTAACGATAAATAGAGAAACGGGAAGACGAACGGACTACTTCATAAGCATAGAGGAAAGTATGTTCATCAGTAGAAAATGATGAATGGCATATATCGGCCATAGAAAATTATAAGGCACATAGCGAATACAGCTGATTACCACAAAAGGAAAGCGTATAGGAACAAAATCTTCATGCAAATGTTTGTGATACAAATAAATGTACCCAAGCATAACTTCATTTTCACCATCAAGGGAAGGTTGTTTTGTATATGATTAAATCCTTCATTACAAGAACCGAAACTAATAGCGTTTCTATACTCCACGTATGTTATGTAATATTTTGATAAATCGCTCGTCTCGGTTTGTAGAATGAACACGTTTTGAACATATAACTTGTACATACATATATGTTTTATAATCAAAAACGATGTCAGTGCGAATTTTGTACTGCGAAGTAGATCAAAATGATTTAGTCAAAAAGGTACCCAGATACAGAAACGATAGATTTCATGCTCAAACGGCGGCAGAATGAAGAGCATTTCTTACGTTCAGAAATCCGTCAAAGGATAACATCATCGTACACACCCATATTGGATTCATGCTGGAAAATCTTCGTGAGATTTCGATGGAACTGCATTTTGAGATCAACCGGGTACACCGACCTATATCTTAGTTATACCAGGCAACGATTAAAAACGGAACAAAGTACCGACTAAATATTAGAGCGATTGCTTATTGGCGCGTAAAATAGGTACAGTCGACAGTTAGGTTAGATCGGGTAGTCTCAGAAGATATCTTGAAAATGATGTTCTTGTTGGTATTTTAAACATCTTTCTCGACGGATCAGTGTCTCACATAGTTATTCCATCTACTTAACTCCTTTGTTCAAGTATATTTCATAGAAATCGGAAAAAGTCGAAAATTATAAATATGAAAAATTCTGCTCGTCTATTGACTTTTTCGGTAGGAAGAAGTGATCCAATCGAGGTGAAAATTTTATCTGGTACTTAGATCACTACTACCTACAACATACTTGAAGAGAGATCGAAGATATCGAACTTTCATGATCATCAGAATTTCTCAGAAACCTGCTCTGGTATATAGACAAAACATTCAATACCTATCTGCTCGTCTAACAAGCCTGAGATATGATACAAAAGATAGGAAAAATCGCTCTTTCAGCGAACGCTCATGAGAATTTGTGATAATTCATGTTTTGCCAACTCAATTCCACCATTACGAGCTTAGAAAGATTCTGTCGTACTTGTGAACCCGAGCAATGTTCCTAGGAAAAACAAGTAGGTTAACATCACCTGTCATTTCCTTTCGTAGTAGGAAAAAATAATTTCTGCATCAGCAAGTCGACCCACATCGTAGGATGAAACAAATTAACAAAATATCTCAATCATTCCCTATGTAGTTACTGGTTTATTTTTAAGAAGCGAATTTATATATATTAATCTAAGTATCCTGTATTCAATGAATATAAAAAATAAAAACTATTTCACATGGGTTCTTCCGGCCGGAAATGGTCTTCTTCATATCATGCATCGCTATTCGAAGATTTAGAATCATATCATTTCAGATAGTTGAACTTAATCAATTCCGAGACGGAACCATTTTATTTGAATATTGCTGCTTTCATAAATAGAATTTTTAATCAAATTGTTCTTACTTTTCATGCGATACAATTTCAATCTGATGTTCTTGCTATTCTTCTACATCATTCCCTCATTTCTAAAGCATGTAATGTTTATGAGCAAATCAATACGCTTGCAGATTTTTCACCGCTTAAGTTTGATGGAATTTACCGTCACAGCAGATTTTTGGGTTAAACTATTCGACTTGCAATACGTCTGCATTCATACATTCTGACATTTTAATAGACAAATCTCGTATTTGATGACATAGTTATATTTCAGATTAATAACAACAGCGACAATGACAATTCTTTCTATATCACAGATCATCAATTGAATAGATATCATAACGATCCTGTACAATATCTGATGAAGTACATCAGATATAGAACGTGAAAACACAAATGATACATGTATTTTCAGTTTGAAATAAAAAAATATGATTTCTACTAAAGTTATTTCTTCTTCTTCGTAGTTGTTCGTTTCCGTGGCGCAGTTGATTTCGCTTTCATTAATTGAACATATCTTTGACGACACTGGACAGCTGATCGATTTGGTAATTGATTACCAGCTAAGGTTGTCCAACAAACAGATCCCGTTTGACTCGCTTGTTGTAGTATGATCGCATCTTCTTCCGGTGTGAATGAACTTTTCTCGACATTAGGATTAATATATGTCCAAACATGAGTGATTTCACGTATTCCACGATCACCGAGCAGATAAGCAGCGTGAGATACACAAAAACGATAATCTTTCACAACGGAACAGCGATGTTTATAAATCGATAGAAGATGTTCTTTCTCCGATTTAGCGAATCGTCTGGAAAGCAAAAGAACAGATTTGGAAACATAGTGTGTTTTTAAAAAAAGATTTCTCACCTTTTTGCATGTAGTTTATTTGAATTAGTCATATATCGTCGAGCACACATATATGCTGATTTTTTCTTCTTCTAAACGTAACATAAAGACTAACTTTAATTCTATTCTTATTTAAAGAGATTTACTTGAAAAAGTTCATGTTGAGCAACTTCCATCCATTTTCCAAAGCCAAACTGTTGAACTAATTGATTTAACATGTCATCTTCTTCATCTGACCACGAAGTATTAACTCCATATTGACATCGATGTAACCAAATACGTCTTAACGAGTATTCATCGAAATATTTAAAGCCACCTTTACTTCGCATTTTCGTGACAATCAATTTCCAATCGACTTGATCGATGAGAACATCTTTCGAGCTTCCACTCAATTCATACAATCGATCAATATCGATTGATTTAGCCATGGATTTTAATTCAAAAACTATTTCTCGCAATTCATTTTTCTTGATATCAGTTTTACTTTGCCGCTCTTCTTCATTGTGCAATTCGACTTCAAACCAATTCAGTACGATTGCATGCATACTCTCAGCAACTAATGGCAGCAGTAGGCGAAGAAATTTCTCATTGAGAAATTGTTCGTGCCGCCATTGACATATGGTCACTGATGATGGTGTGAGCAATCGATCAGGAAAAACTGTCGTATCGAAGTCATCTTCAGTTACATTGTAAGATAATGACACTGGTTTAGAAAATGCATCTAATTGACTGGCAGCTTCTTTTGTATAATCACGTAGTAATGATAAAGCTTTTTGATAACAGCTGTTCAATGCCGAAGTTGGAATAAGTGCGTTTTTGGACGAAAAGGTTGACAGAATATCACCAAGATTCACTTCATCGTGAATTGTATAATTATTTGAAGGACTGTTNGCTTCTTTTGTATAATCACGTAGTAATGATAAAGCTTTTTGATAACAGCTGTTCAATGCCGAAGTTGGAATAAGTGCGTTTTTGGACGAAAAGGTTGACAGAATATCACCAAGATTCACTTCATCGTGAATTGTATAATTATTTGAAGGACTGTTTGTACTAAATACAGAAGAAACCGTTGAAGTCATACACAAATATACGAAAAAGAAAGAAGAAAGAAAGTTGTACTGAATTGCACAAACAAATACTGTGAAAATACTCGTCAGTGCAACTTGATTGGAGAAGTTCTTCATCCAATGAACAATTGATGGAGTGAATTAAATCTAAAAGATTCGTCTTTTGGAAAAAGATCTTATTGATTATGATGAAAGAATAAAAAAATATTTTCCTAATCATGAATTTAGATTTGAGTGAAAGAAATTTTGTGATAGGTCGATTAATCATCACCACCTGGATAAATGAGAGAAAATATAATATATGCGTGAACGCTTTATATTTTGTTTTCGGTGTATTAACAATCGAATGGTGATTAATTATAAATTATTTTCTCTTTATTAGATTTAGAGACTTGTTAAGATGAGTTTGTATTCGTTGATTTTCGCACTATCTTGTTCAATTCTTTATATATTCGCTTACACTGATCCGTCTGTGGTCAATCCACAATTAGTGAAGAGATTCGAATATAAATATTCATTTAAAGGCCCTCATCTTGCTTTTAAAGACGGAACTGTACCGTTTTGGACATTTGGCGGGAGTAAGTTTCGCTTTCTGAAGACAAAGGAAATCGCTTAGTTATGAATTTTCTTGTGTTAAGGTGCGATTGCCAGTGATGAACAAGTACGTGTGACACCGTCGATTCGTAGCCAAAGAGGTTCGTACAAGAAATCTAAGCAAATTCATATTCAACAAGGCAACATTGATTTTCTCATTTAGGCCGGATTTGGACTAAAAATCCATTGGTAGCTGATCATTGGCTGCTCGATGTGAAGTTGCGTGTCACAGGACGAGGCCGTGTTGGTGCTGATGGAATGGTAAGAGAGATAGAAATTCTATTTTGAATGATTACCGCTTTGTTTGATCAGGCGATTTGGTTTACAGAAAAACCAGGTTCCGAAGGCAGTGTCTTTGGTTCAAATGATCAATGGAATGGATTAGGTATCTTCTTGGATTCATTCGACAATGATGCATTAGTAAGTCACAGAAACGAACCGTTTATTTCTTCATTAGATAGAAACGAAGATTGAGTGATATCAATTCTTTCCTTTATTCATTTATTTTGTAGAGTGTCTCACTCGTAAGTTTTCCTCTCTTGTTTATACTGTGTCCGTGTTGTTCGATACCGATTCAATGATTGCTTATTGTCAAATTCATTAGTTGGATTCATTGTCATTCTTGATCGGAATTAACCGATCACGTCTGAACAAAAGGATCATCAGATTGGAGAATTCATTGAGTTAAAAATGAAATACTTTACGTTATTTATATCGTTTTAGCAAAATAATCCAATTATTGCTGTTATGATTAATGATGGTACAAAAGTTTATGATCATCACAATGATGGCAGTAGTCAGATTCAAGGCAGTTGCATTCGAGACTTCCGTAACAAGCCATTGCCAATCCAACTTAAAATCGAATATATTAATCAAGCATTAACCGTTAGACAAATAGATACTCGAAAACTTTGTTTGAATACTTTCTACGTTGACTTTTTAGATTTATATCAACAATGGCATTTCACATGATGACAATGCTTTCGAATTTTGTACACGAATCGATCGAGTACAGTTACCAAAGAGTGGTTTTCTCGGTGTTACAGCTGCTACCGGTGGTCTTGCCGATGATCATGACGTTCTGGAGTTTCTGACAAGTACTTATTCGGATCGTCAACAATTAGCAGAAAATCAGGCTGCCAACGACGAACAAGCACGAAAATATAAGGAAGAATACGAAAAATATGAACAAGAGCTGAAACAACAACAAGTTGAGTATGTATTGCATCGCTTGTATTTAATCTCTATAAATAATGTTCAACGTGTTGTAGTTATCAAAAGCAACATCCAGAAGCGACGACACGAATTAATGAACAGCAAATAGTAGGTCTTTGTTTCGACTAGGCCAGTACATGAATTGTTATTTGATCGACTTCTAGTATGAATCGGAATATGATCGTGAATTCCGTGTTATCTTAGAAGGTCAAGATCAAATTCGATTATCACTAACAGGTCTTGATAATAAAATGGTTGAACTTTTGGGACGTATTGAACGACTGTCGACGATGGGTGGTGGCCAACAGCAGATTGCCGGACAAGCTCAAGTAAAATTGTTTTCGGTTCTATGAATATGTTCACGAAACTTTCGTTTTCCTTAGGGCGCAGCAGGCATCGCCACAGGTGTTCCATCAGATGTTGCTCGAATTCAAGATATTAACCGCGTAATTTCTGCGAATTCTGATATGACACGCACTATCCAAGGTTTTTCGTAAGTAGCAGTAGTTCTTTGTTCCATTTGTAACTTTTATTCTTCAATTAGACAAGTTTTAACTGATTTACAACAAAAAGTCAATAACATACAATCAAATTTCGGAAATCAAAAGCCAAGTGGTACAGGTCAACAAGTTGTAGGTGGTCCTAGCACTGATCCAGCCATCTTAAATGAACTTCGCGATACAATTCGTCAAATCAAATCAGAAACCAATACACTTTTACACAAACCTGTATGTCCAAAACAACTTCTCCATCTAGTTTTCATTGTTTTCTTTAGAATACTCAAGTCAAATGTGCATCTGTTGATGGTGCCGGTGACTCAACATGTTTGGGTCCATATACATTCTTCACCATCATTGCTTTACAAATCGTCGCTATAATTGGTTATATGACATTCAAGTAAATTGAGCTGCTTTTGTTTTGTGATCATTATATACCTTCTATATTTGTAGGAATCGTCGCGAGCAACTTTCACGCAAATATTTGTGAATGAAATATCGTCTGTGCAATTGTATGAACAATGTTCTCTTTCTTGTTAGTTGTTGTTGTTTTATTTTGATTTTCTTTGAGATTATGTACGTTTCATTATAAGCCAACGAACAGTAAGACAACTTGTCTTCAGTTAGTCAAACTTTGAGGAAGAATATCTTGATAAGAGATCGATCTTCCTCCGTCGAGCATCAAAAGACAACATTTCTACGTCAGCTAGTTTCTCTCTCTCTAGGATCTCATCTTTAAGCACTCGTTATCTCTTTATTTTATTGTTTGTTGTGTTTATTTATTTATTTCTTACTTGACTTCTCTTATGATCTACTTGTCGACAATAACAACAAGTGTTTTTCGCATGTGATTTCATGTTTCTCGTCGTTTCTCATATTTAAATATATAACAAACATTGCTCATGATAGGACAAATATTTCCTCGCTTGTATCTTCAATATCTCTTGGTTGATCCTTCCGATGGCATCTTCGTATTTGATTTATCATCAAGGAAGTTTTCCGGATTCAGATATTTCGTGTGTTTATGCCTGTAGATTGACTTGTATGTCACACGTTTTCGATTTGGTTGCATATAAAACAAAGTCATCCAAAGGCAAGATATCAATACAACCAGAGCAGATGTTATACAAAATAAAATAAATGGAACGAGAAGAAAGCCGAATGATATCATTTGCTTGAGCAAAAATGCGCGTAGCAGAAATATTCTGTTTATTTGTTAGGTGACCTAAATATCTTCTCTCTTGTCATCATCTCTTTGCATTTCATATTTGTACAGATAAGAAGATAAAGACTTGTTGTAACTGAAAAAGACCGCAACGAGTTATTATTGAGTGAAAGAAAACGAAATGCTCGTGAAGGTTGCAAGTATTCTCTTCCTAGTTGTATTTTCAGCTGTGCAAGCTGATCTTCGGAGCACGTCAGTTGAAAAATGAGATGAAAAAACTTTTAATTTCGTTTATATTGATGTAGTGTTTATGGATTGGTAGAAGCTCGTAGCGGTGCGAAGTCGAATTGCAGCTTGTGGACATCGTATTTTGCAGCAAATGGTGTCGTTCGTTCACCAGTTGGATCAACACCCATTGTTGGTCTTGATGCAATCCAAAAACATTGCGATGCTTGGAATCAAATGCTCGGTCCTCAAGGTAATGGATGGTATCCAATGGAATTGTGGTCAGGTAATTTAGAGGTATGTTGAATACTCGTTAGATTCGATCGGATTTCTATTTTGAATATGTTTTTCAAGACTGCCTTCGAAGCAACCATACGAGCGGTTAATAAAGGTGGTTGTCAAGTCAATTGGCGTGGAATAATTACAATCAAATTCGATAATACAGTATGTTGATTTTGTTTTGATATTGTTAGAGTTGTTCTATATTTTTAGTTGAAAATCACGGAATGGAGTCATTATTATGATGATGATTTTATGGCACCACAGTTGAAAGGAAAGTGTCAACCATTGTAGGTAATTCAATTCAATTCAATCAACAAGAAGAATTATTTGACCGAGAGATGAACAAAACGAAGCACTTTTAACGTTTCCCCCCTCTCTAAATCAAAATTTGTCGGTGTCTTTTATTATACGAATTCAAATAAAGGCGAAAGATTTTCATAGTTGACTAATCCCATTATTCTTCTCTCTTTCTTTTTCGTACAATCTCTCAAATATGCGCAGTAACTCTCCGAGAATTTTCAAGACATAATCGTTATAATATTGTTCGTGAGACAAGAATCGATCAGTGTTCGTTGGCATTGTTGACGATGAACGTTCTAAATGTATACATGTTGCTCAACAAATTTCCAAGAAGAAAAATGCCGAACCTGTTGTTGCTTGTAAAGTTGTTTCGAGAGTCAATCAATCGCCAGGTGTTGAATGTCCACCGTTTTCGATCTCCTGACACGGGCTGTGTAGGATCGATGACTACAATAATCAATATTGTTGCAGTTACCATAAAACTGCGCATTTTTGAAATTGAAAAACTTGAAAGATCGTATTTTGATGAATGCGTAGATCGGAACTGATTTGATCTGAATATGCCAACAGATAGGACTTTTGTCAAACAACTGAACACTTGTTAATCAGTACACAGATCGTAATTGCTAATTTCGATTTGTTGATAAATTATCAAAGATAAGAAAATAAGATCGCGTACTGACAATCTATTATCGTAAACTAAATGCCCTTATCAGACGTGCAAGTTTTTACTTTCTATAAAAAGTATATCATCAGTGTCCTCATTTCCAAAACTAGTATATGATTAGCGACACGACTGATAATAACAATGTTTCCGTTGAAAATAGATCATGATTTGAACATCCTGTCATTGAATACATAGAAATCTAATCATAGTTTTGTTGTAGAGAAGCGTTTTACCAATAGATTTACACACCAGTGACATCTAGAGTATTACTAACGTGTGCGAGGAGTAGAAAGGAGCAGAAAAAAAGAGAGGTTCGAGCGAGGTTTGAACTCGCGACCTTCTGCGTGTAAAGCAGACGTGATAACCGCTACACCATCGAACCGATGACTTTCAGTAGAGAGAGCACCGTATGGATATTAGGTAAAATCAGTGCGAACGGCAGGAGTATAAAATAATACTAACTTTTCTAAATAATGCCCACGTAATCGTAGTCGTATGATATTTGTTAAATATGTATAAATAATTACGTTTGAATTTTTATTTTAGTACTAAATTTCATATGAATTAAGATTGTTTCGTCGTACAATACAAACATTCATGTACTATGTACATTTTTTGTGTGTAATGAAAAATTGAAGTGGGTGTATGGCTGACATTCTTGTCCTATTCATGTATACACCCTCAATGGCGTTGAGAGTGTATGTAGTTCTGTCGATCTCGACTACAAATTTGTACTTTAGCAGCCAATTAGATTTTGACGAGTAGTTTAACTTTTGGTTACTCATAAATCTATATATACAACGAATTAGTGATCTGCTTAGTCATTTTTCCACAAACATCTCTATGTCAACGGTGATCATATGATTCACATCGAATTAAACGAATAAAGTAGCAGAGCATAATTATGATTTGCATACAAACTCAAAAGAATCGATATTGATATGAACAACATTTAGTAGCTCTCTTAATTTCTATCAAACAATGCTCATGCATCTTTTAATAGTGATGCTGTAATCAATCAATGACATATGTCCTTGGGCATTTGCAGTGGGTATTGTTATTGTTAGAGAGAAACGATGTTTGACTCTAGTGACGATGAATAGGACCACTATGGTTCACCCAGTGATTACTGCTCTTACATCTACTGTCTAGTTATAACCTGACTATTATGTTATGTCAAGGTCTTGTAATGTTCGATAGACAATGATGAGTATACAGTCAAGTGTCACAGCTGATAATGCATCATTAGACACTTTTTTTATGAGTGAATGACGATTGTGCACATGAATTACGCGACGAGGCGATGAAATTTTGATCGAAACTCTTTGAGAAGCGATTTGCGACTGACGTCAGACAGGTGAAAGGGATTTCAATTATAAAAACATTCTCGGCCAACGCCCTGTCTCATCACTCCATACGAAATTCATGTTTTCAAACAATTGATCGAACACTTCAAGTGCAACCGAACACCCTTCGACACCCTCAAAAAAAGTGAAGGTTGTCGGTAGCATATTCAAAAGTGCTATAATTTTTTTGGTGTAACCAAATGAGACAGAAGGAGAGAGAGAGAGGCAAAAAAGCGAAGAGTAAGTAATGATGCGAATGTAGAAAAAAAACGAGAGAGGGAGAAGGAGAGTGAAGTAACACATATACATGCACATACAATGTATTACATCAAACACATTCTTCAAGGAACAGAAATGAGAGAATAGTGAGTGGAATCCATTCACATTCTTTGTTCTCTTTTCTCTCATTCTCAATTGTTGTGTCTCTAATCTTTGCCAATTTTTCATCGACAACACTTCGGACGCGGATCACTTACAATACTACTCGCTATTTTTTATTTTATCTTCTCTATCGTTCACTCATCGTGCGTCGAGTCGTCGCCGTCGTTCAATTTTTATATTCATTCAATAAAGTACATCGATAAATAGAAAGTAATGTTGAAGTGGGCGGTAACACCATCACGTCTAAATGCAGATGGCTTCGACCATGATGATGATATTCATCATGAACAAAATTACGATTTATTAACTCTCCAAGCAATTATTTCTCAACACCAACTTCCATGTCTTGCTCGATTGATCAATGATGATACAAATGAAATCAATGATAATTATTGTCTGCTACTTTGTGAAACAACTGATCCGTACCTGCTCGTTTCAACTGAAGCCGAACGTTTTTCTATTCCACTTTCATTTGATGGTAAGCATTCTTGAGTCATAAGTACAACAGAAAAATTGAGAAAAAGAAATCAAGGTCATTATGATGTCGTTGTTCTCGCGAGATCTTTCGTTTTTTTCTGTCATCTAATCAACGATTGGAATAATTCGATATTTGAGTATACATACGTTTATTCCTTCTGATCTATTGACGAAATATGATCGTACTTGGAAGAAATATTTCTTGAGAAATCTGCAGGCTTCTGTTTGATAAAAATATGTCAAAAAAATTTTCTCTCTCATGAATATTTCAAAAGTGAAACCGAAAAAATTTCTTTTTCAACGTCATCTCATTTCAAGATAAGATGCTCAGCTTATAGTTGGTTTCGATATCTAGGCCTATTCGCTCCTGTTGAACATGGAGTTACTCGTTATAATATTTTACAATCAGTACGTGTCCTACAATCACATCTCAAAACTCAGTCATCATCATCATCATCAACAACAACAACAACAGGCTTCTCCCACTTTACCACATTGCAACCATGCACAGCATTCAGCAATGCAGCATTCCGCCGTATCCGTCCGGGAACTATATTGGAGCAATGCCGAGCACCAATCATATCATGTCGATCGCCATCACCTGCAAATTCAACGTCGTCATCAACATCTTCCAAACGTTTGCGTGCACTCTTGGCGAACATTCCTCATTCATTCAATAAACATCTCCTGCCACAACATCACAGTTCACGATTGTTCAAAAATCAACTGCCGCCAAGCGACTATCTGGAAGTGAAATCCGTTCAAAACGACGAACATTTTTGCTTGAAATCAGAATCAACCGGCGTATTCGTTCCAGTCTACAATCATCTACCAACCAATGCTACTCGTCGTTCATCGCTTTTACCTTGTTCATCGCCATTTTCATCATCTTTTTCGAATCAAATTCAAGGCTTGTACACTGCGGAGTTGTTATGTCAACTAGCTCATCAATATCCACTGATCACCGAACTCGTCGTTAGTCGAACATTAGAAGAAAGTGTTCCAAACGACGTCAGATATCCATTCCGTCGCTTAACACTGCATCGTCTCGTGGAACAACATACACGAATAATTGCCTTCGATATGAAAAATTATGCTTTTATTGAACTCGATACAAGCAATGCATTAGATTTCTATCGAGTTGAACATGAAGACACACTCTTTCAACGTTATCAAGCACAATTGCGTTGGTGCGATTCTAACATGTCGACATTTCGATCACAAATTAAAACAGTCGTACATTCATCAAATGGCACGGCAATGTTTGTTCAAACAACTCCAGTTCAGGGTCAACAATACCATCTACATCGAAATTCAGCGCCGTCAACAACAACAACAACAACAACAAGTGGCAATACTACATCACCGATACCAAAACATGTTCCACAGACGATCTTCACTTCAACAGATTCGATATCTTCTGCTCGTTCACGTGCTCGTACACCTTTGTCAACTACTACGAAATTTCATACAGCAACTGATCGTCCGAAAAGTCAAACAACTCGAACTAATGCACCTGTTAGACAAGATGTTCGCGTCTATTTCAATCATTCAACAATTCAAAAGCAATTCGAACTTCCAGCACGGCCAATGATTAAACAAACGTCGTTTAACAAGAAGCACACGCCGTATCGAACGAATAGCACTGAAAGTGATAGTTTGGATGGTGACGGAGACGCAGAAGATGTATATCAATGCACAGCACTTTGATTTCATTTAGTTGAAGAGGCGTTGAGTTCATGTACAAAGTGTACAGTTCATTTAGTCGTTCATTTTCGAAAATCGTCAAGGTTCGCATTGAGAAAGAGAACGTTAAAAAGGAAGCAACGGCAAATTGTAGAGATTTTTTTTTATTGCTTTGAATAAAGAATGTTTTGAAATCACCTCATCTCTTCGACTATTGCGAATCAATCTGTATTTGATTACTATTTTGCCAATGATCCGAAGTTAATATATATATCTATATATCTTCTATCTATATATATAAAGAAGAAAGTTTGTCTGTCTGTCTGTTCGCTATGCATTCAGTCCCTGTAATAGCTATCGCCACCAAACTTTCCACGATCCTTCCCGAGGTCCAGAGAAAGGTCGACGTCTACTTTTCCCCGAGAACAAAGGAACCAGCCGTTTGCTACAGGCAATATATGAAACTGACCAATAGGATTGCAGGATTTCAAAAGTGGGTGAAATCAATAGCGAAGGCCGTCTGAGCGCTCATGGACAACAATCCACGTGTTCTACCTGTGCATGGGAGTCCTATACATGCTACAAGCAACCTGCGAAGCTGACCAATAGGATTGCGAGATGTAAAAAATTGCAGCGGGTCGGTAGCGAAGGCGGCCGAAGGCCGTCTGAGCGCTCAAAGACATCAATCCACGAGTTCTCTACGCCTATGATAGTTCGGTGAATGCTACAGATAATCTGCGAAACTCACCAATAGCGTTACAGGTTCTCAAAAGATTAAGATAAATGATGAGGGTGGGTGAATTCGAAGGATATAAGGCATGAAATGACGTGAGAGTGAGAAAGAGGTCGATGAATGAATATCTGGAGTGGAAAATTAATATCAGAGAAAGAGGAAATTTTCATGATTTTTGAGGCAGAAACTAGCTTCGGTAACTCTTTTGCATAAAGAGATATAGCCGAAACTGCCATTTTTATGCGATGCACGGTGGGAAAAATAAGGACTGGAAGCGTAGAAATTTTAATTGTATTGATTTTCTATCTGTTATAACTCTTCAACACGTAAGATATTCGACATAGATATTTCTTATTTGCAGCGGGTCTCCCTCTAGTAGTAAATAAAACCAAGAATCTACAGTACAAAATAGAAAATAATTCATATAAGTTTGAAATAAAAACATTAGATACTTACCGAGAAAAGATAAAATCAAGGATCTCTAGAAAAATTAAGAATAATTGATTTAAATTTGAGGCAAAAACAATCGCAGATCGAAAGAAACGGCTTGTAAACTGTGGTAAACTGATAAAAAACGATGCCTTTACAAAGTGCCGACTTTTTTGTTTACTGTTACCAGTTAAGGGTGTACATACAGATATGTTTCGCACCGTTTTGAATAGTTTTTACCAAAATTCTGCTATAATAAGTTATTTTATTATATTTAGTACTTGAGTAATCAATTTTGATTCTAATTCTTCAAAAATAAAAGAGGGGTACGAAAAGATTTATTTATGAGCAATATTTTTTAACACGTTCTTGTACTAATGAATATAATCATGAATTAAATAGAAACTAACAGATAAACCTCATCGGTGCAATCAATTCAAATTAATCTTTTATTAACTAGAAAAAACTATGAAAAAAGTGATAGTCAATATTGAATAACAGCGTCCTCTTTCCTACTGGTATCTAATTGGTAACAGATGACAGAGAAAAAAAAAAGAAAGAATGTTCTATGCATGATATCAATGATTATTAATATATTTGCGAAGTGAAAAATTTAGTAATATTTGTTTTTCCAACGAAATGGCCATTCACTCATCATCTAGTTATCCATTTCGTGGAATACTTTATTTATTAACTCATCCACCTCTATGGCGACATATATTTTGTGGTTTAATAATAATGTTATTAGCAGCAATAGTTACATCAGTTTTATTATTCGTCTTTATATTTCCTTTACAAGCATATGCATTTGAAAACTATATGGCTGAATGGTTATCATGGTTAATAAGTTTTTTTGTCACTTTATTTGAAATAGGTGTATCAATTCTTGTTATCTCTTCACTATTTCTTGCATGTTATATGGATGTTATATTTGATTCAGTATGGAGACAAGAAACAATGGGATTAAATGAAGGTGAAACACATCGAAGATCAGCAACAACATATACATGTATTAAATCATTTTTAACTTTGATCTTATTTCGTGTAGTACTTCTTGTCGTAACATCACCATTAAATTTAATTCCAATCGTTGGAACAATTCTTTATATTTATATAAATGGATATTATTATGCCTGGTCATTACATTGTCGATATTTTGATTTACTTGGTTTATCATTTTTACAAGGACGACATTTTGTTGAAGAAAATCG